GAGCATTGTCGACGTGACCTCGATACTTGGTCCTCGGTGTCCTATTGATCATTGTCAACGTGGGTCCTCTGCAAGTGGGTCGGTATATGGGTCCGTGACGATCGTTTGTGTACAAGATCCACGTTGTATCCACTGCAGTCCTTTTTGTACAATCTCGGTTTGTATAACAGATATTGCGAGTGTTGATTATACTGGGTATCACTGACGCGGCTTCACAGCTCGGTCAATCGATACTGCAGTTCCTTGGCTGCTCTCATCTCGTTGCGTAGTCCTGTTTGTTCAGTGTTGTTTTGCGAGTTGTTCATGGATTGTAACAGGAGGCGCTGCCCTGTCAGTTAAGGCTGAGGAGAGTGCTGTTACTCATGTGAGTGAGAGCGTGACGTGTGAGACGCAAGAGAGCCGTGGTTCTGTCAACCGAGCGCGTGCGAGAGCCGTTGTACTGTCAATTGACCGTGTGGAGAGCCGTTGCCCTGACGTGTGGGACGCAAGAGAGCCGTGGCTCTGTTGATGGAGCGTGTGAGAGAGCCGTTGCAGGGTCAATTGACCATGTGTAGAGCCGTTGCCCTGACGTGTGAGACGGAAGAGAGCCGTGGCTCTGTTGATTGAGCGTGTGAGAGAGCCGTTGCACTGTCGATTGAGCGTGTGAGAGAGCCTTTGCAGGGTCAATTGACCGTGTGGAGAGTGATGCTGATTGACCGTGAGGAGAGAGCTGTTGCACTGTCAATTGAGCGTGTGAGAACTGGTTGGGAATGCAAAATTGCTGTTCGCGTATCATGTTGGGTAGCTGACATTATCACAGCTCTTTATCACAGCTCCATGCTGACAATGTCCGGTAGGGTGGGGCTAGTAGAGCCAGGGTGTGGCTAGTGAGTTAGGTTTAGCCACGTGTAGTCAAACGCGTGCATCACAACAACCAGACTAGCTACACAAAATCCAAGGTCAGATTCGGAATCAGCGTACGATTCTGCACAGGATGGCCTATAAGGATAAATTTATTAAGCTCTCTAATGACCGCAAATCGGCCAAACAAATTGGGGGTCAAAACCTTCCGTTTCGGGCAGAGAAACCCTAACGCTAAGCCTACTCTGGCACGAATTGGGGTCTATACGGATTGTTGCAGTTGTAAATCGTAAAGGGTCAGGCGCAGGGGTCCTGCTAGCGCCGGGTTAAATCGTATAGGGTCTATACGGATATTGACTAGTAGTTAGGGTGAAGTCGGCCCTGCACCTTACCCTCTCAAAACCCTCATCTCGTATGCGCGCGTTCGCAACATCAAGGGTGGCGCAACAGAGAGTGCACAGTTGCCGCTTACTCTTGGCAATCTGGCCCGCGTCGATGAGATGGGAAACACGGTGCTATATCCTGGGCAGTATACGCTGATGCTCGACGAGCCGACGCAGGCAGAGATCAAGCCGTCGCTTGAGGGCGAAGCCACCAACGCGACGGTGAACAGAGTAAGCAATAGCGGCAAGCAATTTCGAGCACCCAGTTGCCAAGGTCGCGTAGCTGAATGTGTATACCTTCAGGCCGCCAACCGTCGAACGCTAAGCCTTCTTGGGTGATGTGACATCCACGTGTTCGCGTCGTTCTCATCCCCTATTACCTTGACATTGTCCATGCGTCCTCTCTGCAACTCGCTCGCTGTTGTTTCGCCCAATTACAGTTTGTCTGAGAAAACCTACCGCGTGCCACCGAACGTCCTTGAGTCTTTGATGATATCGTTACCGACCCCCACAAGTACATTCATCTTACCTGTTCATCATGATCGCGCTCGTTACCACGGCGCTGCTCGCCGCCTCGGCGACTGCTCAACTCACAACGGCCATGTGGGGATTCTCAGTTCCCAAATTCGCGAATGAAACCTACACAGGGTCCGTCGTGGACTTCAGCGTCAACCGCACAACCGTTGCATACACCGCGGACAGCATGACAAGCACAAAGACAGTGACCATCGGAGGAGTCACGTATGTCGGCTACACTGCGACGCCGACCGTGATAGGGCATACGTCCGCTGCGTTCGTCGTAACGTGCTCACGGGCGAACCAAGATGTCAGTGCGACGTGCCTGCAGTCTCAGATCGGCGCTGAGTCGAAGATGTCCGCGTATTGCCAATCCTTCTCCAGCGTCGTGGCACAGACGACACACGAAGCGCCCGAATGGTGCACGAACTCTGCAGCCTTCAGCGAGGAGGCGAGATCGCCTATGACGATCTCGGAAGCCGCAATGGCGACGTATGCGCTTGTGTTGACAGGCGGGCTTGAGAAGCTGTCCGCGACCGCTACAAGCTCGGAAGTAGAAGATGCAGGCCAGACTAGGGAGAGCACGTCAACTCCGACTAGATCAGCCGCTGCGACAGCGATAGGTGCTGCAGCTTTGTTCAAAGTGCCGGCATTAGCAGCTGCAGGTGCCGCAGTCGCCTGGTTCCTGTAGACCATGCTATGCTGCGTAAAGTAAGAAACGTACTGCTAGGCATTATAGATAGAAGTACGATCAAGCTACGAATTGAATGTTGCAGCCCAAGGCTCGTAATCATCCCTTTGTAAAACCCCCTCGATCTGGCGTCTCCGAACGCCGACGTTTCCGCCATCAAACAAGGGCAAACAAGCTGCGTCCCGTAACAGACGCGAGAATGGCATGTCTTCTGCGTATGCTCTTCTATTCCACGCGTCAGCTGTCCATCACACTCAGTCTATCGCAGCGCGAGTACTTACATGCCGACAACACTCATGCACTCTATCACGGCTTTTGGCGCCATGTCGCTGCACCACACTTTTGCTTCAAGCGCGATTTCCAACCTCTGCTCCCATCCCAAGGCTTGTTCCTTACTTTCCAGAACACACATAGCCTTCCATGTGAGCGCTCTCGCAGCCTCGATCTTCATTTTGACATCGATGAGTCGATCTGCCACGCTCTGCTTTTCAATAATAGGTTCTGTGCCACCGCAAGCGTTGCTCTTGCAAAACAAGAGTGCAACTTCGAAGGCATGTCGCATGATGCCCACACACATGGCCCCCACGATCGCGGCGCTCATGCCAAATGTCTTTTCAACCAACTGCGCACCCTCTCCGGGCTCAGCTAGCAGGTTTGCTGCAGGCACGCGAAGATTCGTAAAGCGGGTATGGGGTCCGCTGGTGGATTTGTGGCCGCCAAGCTCGGGATCCGAGAGCACTTCGTAAGCGCCAGGCTCATTATTGGCGATATCTTCGCGGGTGATGGCCAGCATCAGTATGTGCGAAGATGGATCAGTTGCTATTTCCTGGATCTCATCCGGTCGTCCTTGTCGGCACACAACGCACTGCACATCCGCACCCCGAGCGTCCCATCCGCCGGAGTTGGTCGTCCACAGCTATGTCATATCAGTCTCTCTGAATCACAGCTAGTATGATACCGAGGATAAGGTTGGGAAAACAACTTTTCCATGGAAAGCGCCCGTCACTCCACAAGATAACGTAGAGAAAACTCACCTTTTCTCCGTTGACAACCCACTCATCCCCATCCTGGTAAGCTGTCGTTTGTAGACCCGGGCTCCCTTTGCGGAGCCAGTTCGCTGTTCCATTGGGTTCACTATGCACGAAAGCTGCCAGTCTCTCGCCTTCCTGTCTCGTGAACGGCGTCAATAGCCTCTCGCGCTGCTCTCCATTCCCAGCCAGTATCAGGGGCGTTAGTCCCAACCCAGTCCCGAGAATGGTGAGAGCAGTGCTTGGCTCTACAGCATAGAGTTCCTCGACGACGATGGCGGCGTCCACCATGGAAGCAGAGGCTCCACCGTAAGGTGTTGGGATTTGACCTTTGATAAGGCCTGCGGAGACCGCAGATCGATATGTAGGAAGTGTAGATCGAAAGCGTGTCGTTTGAGTGGGGAGGTGGTTGTAGAGTCCGGGTGCTGTAGATAAGACATCGTGTGCGAAGTCCCTCACGCTAGAGCGAAGTGCTCTCTGTTCTGGAGAAAGTGAGAAGTTCACCATGGCTAGCAAACAAAGCGTCGTTGTGGCTGATGTCGAGGTAGCTTCGCAGTTTATATTCGACCAGAGCTACAGCATGGGGAACCATGACGGAAGCTGGTACACGCCAGGGACGTATAAGATGTGAGAGGGTACGAGGTCAGTGCAAATGCGTCGTTCAGGCTCACGTCAGCCCTTGGCATTGCCAAACTTGGTAATGCCCGGCTTGTTCTCCGCTCTTGCCCGATGCCACCCGCTGTAGTCACACATATTGGGTTGCGGTCTGAGATATTGTACATGTATTATCTTGGTTAGAAAGCAGGGGAACCTGCAAGCGCTAGTTCCTCGAATGGGATCTAACATACCAGTTCGCTTGTGTACTGGCATGAGCTCGTGTTAGCAAATGTCACCGAGGTTGTCGGGCTGAGCCGGTACGATCAAGGCAAAGCCAGGCGATCTCATACCTTCTTCCAAAATGAACGGTGCAGGAGGGGGATTGTTCAGACTCCAACGAAGCAAGACAGCCCTGAGCGTCTGCTATGGATCTTCACGAAATCATCCGCTGCGCCATTACATGGCCAGGTGCCATGGTTGACCTCATCCAAATACGCTACAGCGTTGGCGGGTGTCATGAGCATCGAGACTCGCCTGCAGCCCTTGCATAGATATAAGCATGTCACATCCAGGGATCTGACGCTCGAGAATCTTGAAGGATGTCGCGAGTACTGGGCTCCGTGGCTTCTGAGCCGGTTTCTTTACCACACCATGATCTGCCTGCTCAACCATCCACTCCTCGTCACCCTGCAGCTACAAGTCAAAGGCAATGACTCTGAGCTGTTCCGGGAACAGTCGTCTTTTTACGTGGCGTTCAGGATGCTCCTGCCTGTCGAACCTCACCTGCCATGAGAGTGACTGCCACGTCACACTAGCGTTGTTTACAGCTACTCACCTATATGTACTGTCCGTAGCTTCACCTAATACAACCTCAGTTCAATCCTTCAATATTTCCGCACATGCGCACTGTCCATACTCCCCGACATGAATGAATGTACTGGCTCACCTGGCTCGACGCGAGCTCCGTGGGCTCCCCATGTGAGACCCACCTGGCTCAACTGCCAAGGAGTGAGCTCATCACGTGACTTGTAATCACCACGCCGCATCCGTGCCGTATGGGGTGGATACGTGTAATTACAGCGGCTAGCTGTTTGCGTATGCTGACTGCCTGTCAGCAATTGGCTGGAATATAAGAGATCGTAACAGCTACCTGTTTAAGGTCTCTATCCCTCTTCTATCCTTTGCCCCTAGGGGCTCATTGCCTTATTACAAAAAGCCTCCCCAGGCCAAAAATAACTAATTGTGTTGATAAATCACTGTTTGTGAACGGGCGGCACAGGCTTGGTGGGGTGCGTACAGGCCACAACTCAATAAAACGAGCTTCTTCGTACACAGCCCTAATCGTCTAAAGAGTGCCAGCTTGCAGCTTGTTTGACCTGCTCCATGACGCACGGCGTGTGCGCTGGACGAGAACATGTGGGCGCCGCGATGCGTCCTTCTAAGCGCTTGCCGGGCGGCGCGTTCGAGCTAGTGTCTCAGCAGCGACAACTCCCCTCCGTACGAGTGCGTCCGCGGAATGAGCGCGGTGCGCCCGAAATCCTACACCCCGCTGTGCGCCTCTGTGCGCCTGCCACGTGCAGATGTCTTCCAGGTAAGCGCCCGCCTCCAAAATCCAGGTACGCGGCTGCACGTTTTTGACAAAGTTTTCTTGATTCACTCTAAGTAACTACACCCAAGCTCGCAAGAACTCGCTCCAGCCGTTTTTGTCATTCCAAGTACACATCAGTGGAGCTTGTTGCACTAGGTATGGAGCCCGTGGAGCTGCAACAAACACCTTCGCGGACGCACTCAGACTCCTCTCGGTTTTCCTCTGGATCGGTCAGTCTCACGGACCTGTCGGAAAATTCGAAGTCAACGGTAGACGTTGCTCTAGTTGCGGGACTACCAGCGAGTCACGACAACGAGAACGAGAACGAAGCTTCCTATTTCCTCCAACTCGATCGACAGCATGCAGGACCACAGTCTTCAGAGCGATCATCAAGCGAAAACAAGCACCAAACGCGCGCTTCTAGCCGCTCAGTTTTCACGGACTGGTGGGAAGAGCTGGTCTCAGTCGCTATTGGCTTGGTTTGCACCTTTTCGGCCATCACCATATTGGCATACATGGACAGACGATCTATGCGCGATTGGAGACTTCCGATCCAGCCCAACTCTTTAGTCGCTCTACTCGCGACTTTGACCCGAGCTGCCCTGGTGTATCCTGTGTCAGAATGCATCGGGCATCTCAAATGGGTGTATTTCGAGAGACCGCGGCCTTTAAACTTCATGAACGCTTTTGACATTGCTTCTAGGGGCCCCTTGGGTACATCCAAACTTCTTTGGACAACAAGATTGGGGTCGCCCTTGGCTTCCTGCGCCTCACTGGTGATCATTATACTGCTACTCTTTCAGCCCTTCATGCAACAAGCTATTGAAGTCTCTTCTAGACTGGCGCCACTATCGAATGAGACAGCACTCGCTGCACGTACAACAACTTGGTGGCTACAGCTAAACCCATGGATGGAGAATCCGGACAGACGATGTAAGTAGTAATCTCGCATTGAATAGCCACGAAGCAGCAGTTGCAAAATTCACAATCTGATGTCTGCGTTAGTCTGGCCCGCACTTTCGCATGGTCTGTTTAAGGCAGTGACGAACGAGGACCCTAGCCAACCGATCAATACCTATTGCTCAACCTCGGTGTGCAAATTTCCCGAATTTGACACATTAGCAATGTGTTCGGTATGTGAGGACCAAGTAATCCAGGTCAACGCCTTCAAGGACTTCGATAACTGCACATTCTCTTTGAATGTCACAGACAAACAGGTCATCAAGCCAACCTTCAGCGAGATAAGTCACGAGATTGAATCACGAAGATATCGCGAAAACTTTTACGGCCATCTTTCATGCCAAAACAATCTGCTATCTTTCGTATTAAATCTCAACAATGGGTACGAGAACTGGAGCAACGATACTAGTACCTACATTAGTTTGAGTCTCTTCGGTCGAAAAGAAGGCACATATGGAGTGGACTATGAAACCTACCCATGGCTTGGGCAAAACCGTCCATTCGGCTCTGACGCGCCCGTTCGCAGTTTCAAATCTTGCCGAAATTCTGCCCCCGACAAAATAACGCAACACACGTACGAGTATTGGAACACCGTCCTAAGATCTGACTGTTTGAACTCAACGAGTGATCTGCAGAGTTATGTTTCTGGCAACAAGTTGACCTCCAACTTCGGTACTATCAACGGCACCCTTACAACCTGTTCTTTGCAACCCTGTGCAAAACGCTACTCAGCATCGAAGCTAGAGAACACAAGAATCTCTGCAGAACTCGTTTCTTCTACAACTAAGTTTCAGAACGCGACGAAGCAGAGCGATACTTATCTGGAATGGTCATCGGAGTATGCCGTTGACAGCGCAGTCATCCAGTACTGTGCCGACAATACAACCGACTGTCAGTACTCTTGGAGAATGTATGCTACAAGAGATCTTGGCGCGGCGATCAAAAAGATCCTTGACTCTGAAGATTTTGTACGATATCAAGCAGCGCTGCCGTCGACCTTTGACCACAATTTCACCACACTCTACCACCGGATATCTGACGAGATATCTGTACTTATGCGGAGTTCAGCGAATCCCAACGCTACCAACATGACTGGCATCGCATATGGAACAGACATTTATGTCAAGGTACGGTGGCTGTGGCTTGTACTTCCCTTACTCACAATCACTGCATCAATGCTAGTGTTGGGTTTTAGCATATTGGACAGCAATAAGAAGAACTATCTGTTCAAGAACAAGATCCTCGCATCTTTTGCATTCGAACTCGATGGATGGGAGAAAGAAGAATATAGGGCAGATCATGCCTGGGAGAGACATACTGTAAGGAGACTGGAAGAAACGTCAGAAAGAATGATGGCTTCGATCCACCTTCCTAGCGAGGACGATGATGGGTTGAAATTGAAGAAGGCGTGAGAGAGATAAAGGAAAATCAGCTACATTATCAAGTCACAAGAAACAAGAGCTAGTGGCATCTGTTCACATCTCATCCCCCGAGACACCATCTGGGTTGAGCAAGAGTCAGTGCTTGTTTGGTCCTTTACCGTACTCAGTACAAAGGGATTTATCATACATATCGTAAACTGTCATCCCAGGCCCCACATCTCCAACAGCTATTTGCGATCTAGGAGCCACCGTTCGCTACCGTTCTTCCCGCAGCTAAGTGTTGCGTGGGTCTTTCAGAAACGACCATTCAGTTTAGTTGTTTGCGTGGTTATCTTCTAGCTTGTAGAGCTTCAATGGCGGTACGACGTCGCCTCTGCTTTCCTCCGGATGCAGCAACATAAGCTCACTAAGTTCTCTCTGCGCAAGTCGAACTTGGACAGCGACAAAGTCCCGCAAATCGCCCATGGCCAGGCTGGCATCGTGGTACGTGACCTTTTGAAAATCTTCAGACCAGATCATAAAGCTCATTCCAGTCGTATTACTTGCGACTCGCCTGGCGAACTGACGCAGTCTATAAGCCCAATCGAAGGGGCAGCGCGAGCCTTGGACAAGAAATCGCTGCTGCAGATCGTCGAGCATGTCTGCTGGATAGTCCCATCTTCAGCTGCTACGACCGCTCGCTGGGTCACGAGCATCTGTGCTTTCTTGATAAATTTTGAGAGCACTGGCGAAAAGCTGGCAGCATTGTGGAAAGTCCCTGCATCTTTCTCTTTTATCGGTGCGTTCCGGGACGACCGGCCACCCCCATTTGTCCACAACACTGAGTCAATATTCTTCCTTACTTACTTTACTTCACCACCACCCTATATAATTACTAACCCAGCTTGGCAACATTTGCAACTGCATGCGCTAAACCAATTGCTGTTGTCACTTTTTCGATGCAACATTGTGGTATTGTTGCGCAGTGACTTGAGGCTCATGGCTGGTTGTTCTGAGAATGTCCAAATAAACAGCTAGGTCAGGGTCCACCTCTACCAAACAACAATGGTATACTCATCTATGGGTAACCAATGCCTGCGTGCTTGATTGTGAAGCGATAGAGGGTTGCCCACAATGCAAATGTGGCCTTCCTGCAGTTCAAATCCTTTTCCTGTGATGTTTTCTTCTATCTCACATACCGCACAGCATTATGCTGCCACCTCAACACAGCGGCAGAGGGTCAGTACACACTTATCCTACACATCAACACCACTGACAAGGTGCAGAAAGCAGGCTCCTTGGACCATGGAGAGCATGCCCACACCAAGACCAAGGTCTCAAAAGCGAGCTCTGGCATCCCAGGCATCATCGCAGCCTCGTAAGAGGCGACAGCGAGCTTCACAGCTACCATCTCCAACTGCTTCTCCTCCCAATAGTGGTGCCTTAACTGTCAACCCAGCTCTTACCGACCTCATTGTCATTGATGATGACAACGATGATGCTGAAGAGGACCTTGATCCTTCACCAGAGGAGTTGCAGCCACCGCCTTCAGCTCAGCCAGCTTTTCCTAACCTGTCCTCTGGCACTAGAGGTGTCCAGCCACCTCGTCTTACATCACCGTCTGCTGACAAGGTGGTGGAGTTTAGTACATCTTGGGTGGCTCACTACATCTCTGGCCCAGGCAAGCAAAAGACAAAGTTGGCAGGATGGGGAGCCAGAAACAGCCAAGACAACACACAGCAGCTGCAGCTGCGCAATGTGAAGGAGTGGGTTGAGAAGGTCATCTCCAAGCAAGCCATCGCTGTCAAACAGGTTGACCTCACTGCCTGTTGAAGTCGTGTCTTAAGCAAAGCTCGTAGACACTATTCGATTGGTTCTCGGGGATGAGCAGAGGTACAGAAAGCCGTCAGGGGTTGGTTATCACTGAGCGAGCTCGGAGCGGCAGAGGTTTGACCGTGATAAATCGCCGTGATAAATCGCCGTGATAATCAGGGGGTAGTCGTCTAGTCAAAGACCATGGCGACTGGTTGCAATGAGTAGTACAGAGTATACTGTCTGGCTCGAGAGCAAGTGAGATTCCAATAACAAAGTTGATTGACGAGGTTGAACACAATGCCATAAGGGCAGCGTGTCTACTTGTTTATATACTTGACAGGAGGATTGATTGTACTGCTCATATCGAGTATTGTCAGTGACTTGATACTCGGTCCAATCGAGCGTTGTCGGCGTGACCTCAATACTTGGTCCTCGGTGTCCTGTTGTCGATGTGGGTCCTCTGCAAGTGGGTCGGTATATGGGTCCGTGACGATCATTTGTGTACGAGATCCACGTTGTATCCACTGCAGTCCTTTTTGTACAATCTCGGTTTGTATAACAGATATTGCGAGTTGTTCATGGATTGTAACACTGCCTTTGTGTATGTAGAAGGTCAACAGAAGTGGGCTTGCAAGGTGGAGTCTCTGCAAATGGATGAGCCTGAGCTACTCACCGCCTTTATGAAGGTCAAAGAACTTGTACAACAGTGCAAGTACATCAACAACAAGCCTGTGGGAGTTACTTTTGACCTTGTAGTTATGCCTGTGGTGCTTGGAGGTGTCAATGGTACCTCTACTCAGCACCAGTTGACTCAGGTTACAGAGACTCAGGCCAACCACATTGCTGGCAGAGGCCTCAGCCAAGTGCAGAAGTACTGGAAATGTACACTGGCTCACTGTTACAACATCGACAACACATGCTGGGTTGATATCGATGAAGGAGAAGAGCTTCCAGGCAGGCTGGAGAGACACCATGAAGTACCAGGTCCTACCATCATGAACTGGGACCGGGAGCTTTTGCATGGTACCTCAACATTGGAGCGACCTTCTGGTAATATTGTCAGGCAGCTCTACGCCTTTAAGGCAAGAGAGAAGAGAGCAGCAAAGTCCACAGCAACTGCTATATCTGACAAGAAGCTTGACAACCTCCTCACGATGGTTACTGTACTTGCTACAGTACAGGTTACAAGTGCGTTGAGCGATGTGGCAGCAGCTGGTAATGCGGGTGTTGACATCTCAGACCTTATCCGCAAGGCCTTGGGTGGTGGTGCTGCCAGAGGTGCTCCCAACAACGATGGAGTATAGTTGCTGTGCCTGATTTCTGTTTGAGTTTTCACGTTGCTTGGCTTCAACACCACAACATTAGTATAATTAGCTAAGTAGATGAATCAATTTGCATGACTCTGTTCTATCTTGCCCTGCAAGCTGGTGGTTGTTTTACTTGGTTGCGCTGCCTCACATATAAGTGCAAGCCCATACTTAGAAATGGCCATTGGCAATGATCATACTGCACAGGTTTGGTGTTTGTCTCGCTTATTTGATGCTAAGGGACAGTGACCAGAAGCCATGCAGGACTTAGACAAATTCCAGCAATTTTGTTGTGCCCAAGTCCATGGCCATGCCGATAGGGTCAAGTACTTCACCACTACATGTCCAAATTCAAAGCTCCTGTAGAAGCTGGTTTGTATGTGTTTACTCAAGCAGCTCCTAGGGTTTTAGCAAAATCAAATAACGTTGTAGTGTTGACCAAGGACACTGCTGGTGAAAAAGTTGACAAGGCCTGACTACTCCAAGTCCACCCCAAAAAGCATCACTGGCAGCCACCTTATAACGATTTGACGCTAAGGCCCGTCGCTATCGTCAAAGTATGTACACCTCCAAAACAAGCTTCTAAAATCCTTCACCACACACACCTGGGCAATGCCCTTGCGCAGGAACTGCTCAAAGTCTGCCCCAGTAATGTTGTCTGTGTAGTTGCGCTTAATCCAGTCTTTCAGCATCTTGAAGGTTTGCTCAATTGGGTTGTAGTTGGGTGAGTATGGTGGCAAGTACTCCAGGATGACACCTTTCTCCATTGCTATCCTCTCAATTGCCACACTGTGGTAGATGCTAGCATTGTCAAGGATAATGACTGACCGCTCTGCAGGGTACATGTTGCATTGTTCAAGAACACGTGCAAAGAACTGTGTGAAGAGCTCTTCAGTGTATGCGCCTTGGAAGAGCTCATAGTCAAGGTACCCATCCACTGTCAATGCCGGTAAGATTGACCATCGTTCAGAACATTGGCTGGCGTACGCACTCACGCAAGGCCTGCCTCAAGGTGACCATCCACGCTTCCTGTCACCAGTATGCTCATTGGCAGCACTCTCATCCAGTGCAACGATTTGGTGCGGCTTATACTGTTGCAATCGCTCAAACCAAGCATCTTGGAGGAGCTGGTTTTGCTCCTTTGCATGCTGAGTGACTACTTTGCACGACCAATTACACTCCTTCAAGTATTGGTAAATGCTTGTTCAACTGGGGTCAACGCAATGACAGTCATACAGGTAGTCCTGCATCTCCTCTAGGTATGCAGAGGGCTTGCTGTTGAGAAACTCCAGCAGATCCTTCACCATTGTCAGCACCCACAGCACCACAACTACGTCACCAGTACTCACATCTACCTGATACTTTGACAGAGTCCTTGCTGGTCCATTGTGTATGCCTCGAGGCGGGTACGGCTGACTGTACAACTCCATACTCCGCCGCAATCACTGTATAGTATGGACTCCAAGCCGTAGTCAAACCTGGATTTGAGTAAGTGAGTACCCCTCCGCTGTCAACTCCATAAGCCTTTGAATTTTCCATCCTGGAGTGCGGAGTCCCATTTTGTTGACCTTGTTAGCACCACAAACACTACACGTGCAGGTCAATAGAGGATGCCACAAACTTGATTTTGATTTCTCCCACACAAACCTCGCTTCTGGCCACCCAAACTATCCATCCCAAGCTCTGCAGCTCCTCCAGAAACCCTTTGGGTCGGTACTGTTGATGCTGTACAGGTCAGCCAATGGGATGGCTTATTATCCAAAGTATTACCGGTAGGTGCTGGTGGAGGGGGTGGCCGGTCGTCCTGGAACTCACAATATGCCAAGCACAGCAAGGGAAACCACAACAGCGCTTTCGTAGATGCTACCGCAGAGACGGTGATCGAGCAGGGATATGCACAACGATAGGCACGCTCTATCTAACGCTCTTGTGTCTGTACTTCCCCCTTGGCTGACGCTCTCTGCCAGGCTTAGTACTTTGTGAATGCTTGTCAGCTGTAATGCCATATATTGGTGGGGGAGTTGGATCGCTTCATCTCCTCGCTGGTCTTAACTTGTACGACATACAAAGCAAAGAATACACTTCCAGGTATACTTGTACGCTCTATAAGTCTCCTTCCTTGATTTTACTACAAGTTCTCCCTCGCTAGCTCGCCTCGAGTCGTTGACAAAGCTGTTGATCCAAAGTCCGTCAAAAACACCGATCCTGTCATCACAGACAGCAGCATAAGCTGCCTCGACCAGCCGGTCTAAGCTTTCGGTAAGTACTTGCAGATGCGGCTCTATAGAGGGGTTGGGCATATGCGCTAGACGGGCGGCTTTGAGGAGCGGAATTCCACTGAAGATCTGTCGCCACCCGGTATGTTCCGTCCATGGGTCCACTTCGATCTCTGCTGCTTTAGGCTTACAGACGTCTGCGCTAGCATCTAACATCTTTCGGTTGTCATCCAGCTCCGTGCTCACCAGTTCATGAAGCAGAGCCTCCCTGGAAAGCGCCAGTCTTCTTGCCTCCTCTCGCCCTGGAAGGAGGCCAGCTGTTGGTTCTGCTTCTTGCTGCAGAGTGACCTGGAAAAACGAGCATTGAAGGCCCTCGAGAAAAATTGTTGGCTGTAAACAGCAGTGGATATTGGAATTCCGTCTTCCATGAAGTCTTGTGTAGCGTCGTCCCGACCTCCGCGTTTTTCCGCACGGCTCGGTGCTCTTGGAAATGCGCTGACATCGTCGATTTCACACTAAGAGTTGATGAGATAATGTGGAGGCATCATGAGCATTTCTGTTGCGGTATCAGACTGCTGCAATATACGTTGCACATGAGCCTCAATACACACGGTTGTAACGGGTCATGTTTAGCACGTTTCAAGTCATGTACAGTCGGAGGACAAAAGTCTTGTCGCCCGATGCACTTGGACCACCACAACTACTTTTGAGTGAATGTTCACACACTATTATCTCAACAACCACACGGTGAAATTTGAATCTGATTAAAGCGCTGGATTGCGCATGATCTCAATATTTAGTCTGATACCCCTGTGCACGCATACAGGCACTGAGTCGTCGTGGCATTGAGTAGATAAGCTTCTTGATCAGAGTATCAGGTATGGCCCACCACGCCTCTCTTAACCCTTCACAAAAGCAATCCCACTCCTCCTGGGTATCCCCGAGTGTATCAAATTCAGGGTGAAGCTCATGGAGCTTCCGTTTGAGAGCCCACCACATGTGCTCGATTGGATTGAGGTCAGGTGAGTATGGTGGGAAATCCATAGTCCATACCCCATGAGTCTCTAACCAAATCCTTGTCTTTTTGGCCTTGTGGATAGGTGCGTTATCGTGCATGAATATATCCATAGGGTTATAGTGAGGTTGGAGTCCATCACTGAGAGTTGAGATGTATGAGTCGGCAGTATAGCCTCTGCGTTGTGAGGTAGTATCCCGTTCCATGATGACCAGAGGACTACGCCTAACCCTACCCCCCCTAGTCACCCATATGCTTGCCCACACCATCTGCTGCCTAGCACGAGAAGACTCCTTCTCTGTCACCTTATTGTGATCATATTTCTCATCTGGGTACTGAAAACTCCACTCCTGGTTGGCACCAGAACCTCTTGCAACGCTGCACTCATCACTGAACTTCACTACTACCCGCTTCCAGTTGAGATGTGAGTGCTCACGTGCAAACCTGAGCCTGAGTAGAGCTGTGGCCCGGTTGATCTTAGGCCTCCGCTTTGATCTGAAGTTGCGTAGGTCTAGTGAGAAGAGCGTGCGATAGACTGTCTTCTTAGAGACTAGAGGGTGTAGGTTGCTGTCAGGCCACAGGCCAGCCTCCTCTAGTAGTGTACGGTATTGGATTTTGGGAGATCTTCTGGCAATGCGAAGGAGGAGACGACGCTGGCGACGTGTTAGACTAGCTGGGCGACCACTGCGAGGTCTGCTGGCGTTGGTGTTGAGCTCGTTGTAACGTGAGACGGTTCTCTGGATTGTCCGACGCGAGCAGCAGAGAGTCTTAGCAACTTCATTGGTCTGCGCACCATTCTCTAGAGCAGTAATAGCATAATCGCGTTGACGCTCTGATAATTCACCACCAGGCAATCGATCGGCAGAAATCTTAGCACCAAAAGCTCTCATATTGGGTGTGTAGATGGGGTGGGAAGTTGGGTTGTTGCTGATGCAATCACGGTGTTGGGGTGAGGCCTGTGCTCATGCGACCAGACTTTAGTCTTAGTACTGTATATACCGTCACCTCCTAGCTAGATATCAACACAGCGCAGTTTTCCATCAACCCAATAGCTCTATGTTATTGTTTACCGTAGCTATCAGTATTATACAGTGGCAGTTGCCGCTACAATTTCTCCCCGCGGTGTAAGGGGAGTCCCAGGATAGGAGGCGAGGCAGGTCTCGGTCGGGGGATCTTATGCCTCACTAGATCGACGATGTCCGGGAATTCTGCCTGTAACCTTCTTGCGATACTTGCAGCTCCACCTGTTCTATCGCGTGTTCGAACATCGGGGTGCGATGCGTGCTTGCTGCAGAGATGAGTAGCCATCGCTGCTGGATTGACGCAATATCCGCACTTTTGACATAGGAAGAGGTTATAGGGCTGCAGAACTTCAGAGGTCCATGGTACATAGATGTTAATTGGGTGATGGGTATCTATCCTTATGACGGGTCCTTTTCGCTGCATTACAAGGCGATCTCGGGACGCGAATTGCAGGGGGCTTCTCAATTCTGCCCGACGCCAAAATAGTTGGTGATCATGGAGAGGGACTACACTGCTCAACATCATGGCTACTCATCAATTTCATACTGCAACGCACTTGAAGATGGACTCTGTCCTCACTACAAACCTGGAGAGATGTTTATGCAGGATAATGCCTGTGTACACACTTCAAAGTACACTCAGAGGTGGTTGGAGTCCCATGGGATATGGACTATCAAAGCACCACCATATTCACCTGATCTCAACCCTATAGAACACATGTGGTGGGCTCTCAAACGTAAGCTACACCACCTCTACCCTGAGTTTGACACTCTTGGAGAGACTCAGGAGGAGTGGGATTGCTTTTGTGAGGGTATGAAAGAGGCATGGATGGCACTACCCAATGGACTGATCAGGCAGCTCATCCACTCAATGCCAAGGCGCCTCAGAGCCTGTGAGCAAGCCCAGGGGTACCAAACTAAATATTGAGACTCTGCGCATTCAACTGCTGTAATCAGATTTAATTTTCACCATGTGGTTGTTGAGATATTGAGGTGTGAACATTCACTCAAAAGTCGAAGTTGTGGCCCAAGCTTTTAGCGCGAACAGACTTCTGTCTACTCACTGTATTGTAAGCTTTGAAAGGTCTTAGGGCTAACTGTTACGGTACTGAAGATAATCGGTATTGGGCAATGGATATTGAGGTTCACTGAAGTTGTATTGAACTCAAACTGTGTGTTTATATACTGTGAATGAACGGAAAGAAGAATTGACTGTGAAGCTGTTATGTTACTGTTACTGTTTGAAGGAGTCTGATCCAGTCGGTCCTTTTACTCAACCTCATACAGTACTGTAACATGACCTCTTACTGTACTGCGACACTAACTGTCACGGTTTGGGGTCTCTTTGTCACGGTCAGGGTGCTCCTGCCTGTTGAACCTCACCTGCCATGAGAGTGACTGCCACGTCACACTAGCGTTGTTTACAGCTACTCACCTATATATACTGTTTGTAGCTTCACTCAATACAATCTCAGTACAATCTTCAACTTCTTCCTTTGCGTACAGTTCACTGAACTCCGACACTAACTATTACTAATTCTATCTAACGTCAGCAAAGCGGAGAGAGCTTAATCTCTTTAATTGTTAACCCTAGCTTAAGCAGAAAACTCTCTACATTTCAACCCTGTCTTTGCACCTACTCTCAATTGATCTTGACAAGACCAAATGCCCCGTTTTTTCTTTGGCGAATCTGGAATCGTTTTATCTCTTATCCAAGTACCTTCAGCCTTGTTATCCAACTTGAACTTCTTGTCTAAGGCGTGCATCATGACGCCAAATAACGCGAAAGTATCGGCATTGGCGATCGCTTTGCCGGCTGCAAGTTGTAAACAGTTTTTCCACCCATAAGCGTAATCAGTAGCTGTCAAGTATGTCAGTCAATGCTCTGCCTTTTCGAGTCATAGGGAATTGTATAGAACGTATACATCGTGATCAGAAAATAGATAACATACCACGATAATCTCTGAAATGGTGCATTTCATGGAGCATGAGCATGCTGCCGACACTTGTAAGCGCATCGGGAGGGACCAGAGCTTTGTACCTAGGCCAACCGCTGGACAGCGCAACCTCGGACATAGTATTGAATCGATTCTTCTGCTTCAGCCATACGTTGCAGATCTAGAATGGATATCAGCCATCTTGCAGCCCAAAATTATTATGTTGTGTGCTAACTCACCGTCATGGTTTGTCGATCCCAGTTCTCTGCGTCGTCACCTTTCACAGGTGCAATTTTGGCATGTAAACCATACGTTGATGCGAACGTGACCTTCCCGTCAGTTCGTATCGCGTTGTATTTACAACCTGGGTTCCCCGCTAAGCGTTTATTGATTGGGTCCCACCACTCTTTCTTGATGTCGTTTCGTTTGCTATTCGGCTCTTCGCCATCAAATCTGGGCGTAGTATCGCCTCGAGGCTCAAATCTGGCATCCTCATCGCAATATATGCGTATGTCGGACGCTTTCCGGTTGGCCTCATCACTTCCGGTCCCCACTTGCTTGCTCCAAGTAGGGAGACCGCGGGCTTGTCCCCAATTATCTGACACTGGTTACTAACGTATCAAACAGCGGGATTTGAACTTACACACCTTTGAAAGTATCAAAATAAATCTCGCTTGTGGGATCTCTTGAGGCGGGGTCATAGTTAAACAAAGTTCTGAATATCTCGTAGGCTTGCGGTTCCTGGTCTGGGTTTCGGGACATGCGTTTCCCTCCCTAGAATGTTATTCTTAGTACGTAATACAGTGATCGGTTGAGTCTTTATACCATGCTCGCTGTCTTAAAAACGTCTTCCATCATTTTGTCGAAATCTTCCACCTTGAAGTATTGCTTGCAAGTGGCGTCCATCCACCAAGTGCGGGTTGCGAGAGCGGGTGAGATGAGAAGGAGGAATAGACACGGACTCCATTGTCGAAACATGACGAAATATATACGGCAAATAGAACTGCGAGTTTGAGATTCGTTCTCGTGAAGGTTGAGAGAAAAGGCTTCGATAAATATATGGAGCTGGTGATGAGAAGTTATGAAAGCTTGCTACGAAGAAAGATCAGCATATGTCTTATATATCATAGGAAATTAGTCTTTATCTAATCATAGCCACCACTTTGATGTTGTTTCGGGCAGTGGATAGAAGTCCTCCCAAGTTCTCACTTGGAGGCCTCAGAGTCCACACAATGACAGTTAGGCCGTTGAGTTCCACAATAAATCTCTCGCACGAACATACTCGTTTAAGGCAAAATAGTCTGGATCGTAAACTCTTACTTGCTGCGCCTTGCGTAGGTCTGGCGAGTGTCATAAATTGATACCTTGAAGTCGTACCCTGTTGTGTTCACGTGAACATGAACGAGGTTTCAACCTCACGAATAGCTAGCGCCTCAATATCATCACGCCATTATTATTAGACATCGGGACTCGCGTTAGGCCTCATGTAGATCCTAATATCTTCAAAGTGGGTTCATTACCAACCTGATATAACTAGTCGTTAACCATACTCGGTAAGCGCTACGGCGCCTAGCGTATGACATCCTCTTTAAAGCGCCGGGCATCTAACTAACTCAACTGAGAGCCGTAAGCTTGGCCCGTTCACCACCATTACGGTCAGTCGTCTCCATTAGACTGACTTTTGTCTCAACACTGCCTCAAGGTCTATTGGGAGCCTGATCTGCTGCGCATCCAACTCAGACTTGGAGTGAATGACGACGAGGGGTGAATTATGTAGTCGCAATGCCTAACTAAAACCAATGTATGCCTGAAAGTTAAATGGCCGGATGTACTATATAAATGCTTGGTTTCAGCTGCCGCTTGCTATATCGTCATCATCATCACAGTTTTCCCTCAACTCATTCCTAGAATTTTTGCTCCATCGTCCCAACTTGTCATCTACACATTGGGTTTCTCCTCACTATGAGGACTACAACAGCCTCTTTCCTCCTTACTTTGGGTCTGTCTTCTTTGATCGCAGCTGAGGTGCCGACCTTTACCCTCGGAGACCCAAATTCGTATCTAGGCAACATCGACCGAACCGATGTTGGCGGGAACGATATCATTGTCAGTACGGACAATGGAGTCACCATTACATTCGGAAGGGACCTGTCGAAGAAGATCGTGGACGTCGCATCCAATCAGTGTAAAAGCCGTGGCTCTCCTGATTGTTTGAAACAGACGCTTGACGTGATGGGCGTTGGTAACGCGGCCAATGGTCTTCAGAAGAGGGTCATCCCTGTGCTAGCAGCCGGCGTCGGTGTTGCTATCGCCTACATTGCTGGTGTCGTGTGGACGGCTGTATATCTGAACAATGAGTCAAAAAATTATAATGTCGTGGAGTTGAAGATACCACAGTCACAGGTACTATGATTCATATCATCCCCGTCAAATCGTCGAAGTATGCAGGCTAACTACTAGACAGGTGGATGAAGTATCCAAATGGAAACTCGATGAGGATAAATTCAATTTCAAGGATACCTCAGGTGACACTTCGGTTGTCCAGATCGATACCAACCCCACACAGCTACAAACAAAGCCGACAATCGAGACGCAGTCAAACGGAGACATCAAAGCTACTTTCCCTGGCATTGTGGATGACCTCAAGGACATGTGGAGCAAGATTAAATGTACGCGATCCCTCCAAAAACGTATTACCCTACAATGCCTGGTACAGTATGCGCAGGCATTCGCGCGCCTTGCTCAAGACGGTGGTAAGTAGACCTTCCAACAACAGATTTGAGTATGGCTAAGTCTAATCATGTATCAGGAAATAATGAAGGCATCCAAGACGTTTCGCTATTGGCATTCCCGAAACCTAACAACAACCTTTATGTATCCGCTCTCGGAGAGGACTTCGAGTACACCGAGGAGCTATACATCGCCTCTCAACGGAAAACTGACGAAGTTCGAAATAACATCGCTACTATTTCAACTTGGGTGGGATTTGGGTATGCAGTGGAGAACTTGGCCATCTCAGCCTTGGGAGAAATGGTTTTTCCGAAAAAATTCCTTGATTCAATGCAGCTGCCTGAACTTCCTGTAGATAATTGCTGGGACGAGGACAGCATGCCGTAAGTATTGGCCACTTCTACCTATTGAACTGCAAGCAACTAACTTCCTTGTTGATTCTGTACCAACTGTGGGGGAAACACAGAGAGCGAGAGCAGCGGGCAGACCGAGGGCAAGTGCAAGGGGTTTGATGATGGCAATCCTGATCATACACCCCAGGCGGCAGGGTATTTCTTTCCTTTGATAACCCCATGAAGCACACATTTACTGACAAAAAAAGCTGTACATGCCACGTAGACGATCCAGGGACTGAACACCTGATTGCTCCCGGCGATCTCGAAGATGCCATCCAATACCTCATGACCCTTACTGATGACACAGATTCGTCTCCGCCCGCTGCGACCGATGGTCCGCTTAAATGCAACGGCCTCGACTCAAACAAATACGTTGCCGCAAATACGCTCGATGACAAGATTATTGGCTTTTGTTCAGGCATGCAAACCCAGGGTACCCAGGACAAGAATACCGGTTCCTATTCCCGAACCTTCAACTCTGGGACACGCGATGAAGTTGAGCTAGCCGTCGACTGGCCTCCTGGTCAGACACTGAATATGTTGCCGTGCGCGGCAACAATGAACGAGATCTCTGCTGGTTGTGATAATCCTGCAGGCAACAACCCGCGGAACTGGAAAGGTGGCGGTAGCAAGCAAGTCGGCATCGGGCTTTTCCACATCAACCCAAAGGTGATACGTTCGCCGCACCCAACTAAGTACTGTCCGGTATGCATACTTTCATTTAACTCCCCATTACGTGTTTACTTCATACTGACATTCACACAGGATTCTCGCCCGACAGTACTGAATCAACCTAATGGTAGCCTTGATCCGAAAATGGTCAGGTGGCAGCAGAATAATATATGCGGAGACATCTGCCCAGACGGATACGACAATGAGGGAGGTTCAGATCCAACGAAAGCGCGTCTTGCTATATGCAAGCTTACGGACGCTGTTAAGAACTGTGCAAAGCCCTTCGCAGATAGCACCGAACTCCCGTACTGTTGGATTCCAGCGTCATGAGGTCAATCATCCGCTTTGCTGATCTGGACTCTGGTATTATATAAAGTAATGTGCACCCGCCTGGAGCAAAACAGCCTTTTTTTAAGCACTGGCACGCAGTACGAAGTTACCCTCCGACCAATACTGGAGTTGAACTTCACCTTTATAGAACTTCCCATTCTCGTGATGTTTGAGGACGTGCGCAGTTCGACGCACGAGTCGGACGTGGTGAAACAGGCGTGATGAAAGATTTCGGTTTCACCGGCTTTTGGAGACTGAGGTTCCGTACCAGCATTGACAAGAATCATGCTATGACTCTTCGTACACAGGAGTTTGTTATAACTATATTCACCATGTCCAACAGTGCCAACGATATCGACCGTATCATTTCGTCGCCGCCTCTTATCCACACTTCTCACGCACTACATCACCCTTGATGATAGTCTTCAGGGTCCAGAACCCATAGTGCGGTCGCAAGGTGAACTTAGACTAGTTTCGGTACCTTAGCGAAGCTCCTCCTCTACCTTGACTACCAGATCCTCGCTTCGCCATCCTGTGCTCCTCAATCATCCCGACCAGTCAGCGGTTGCGATGCTTGACTTGCACAAGGTCTGACAAGCGCTGTCAAGTATGCAGTCGGCTTGACGAGTTCTTGGTGCCGCCTAGTGCAGACTTCGTCAAGTGTCGGTTAACATTGACCTTTTCGAATGCTTCTCGATGGGTTGCGTTGTGGCTGTGATGGTTGCTTGAGAAATGCATGGACTTCCTCCGCTTCAGACAAGTTGTGTTGCGATTCTGTTTGACGCAGCCACACTTTGACTCTTCATCCCTCTTTCCCAGCAATCAGCTCCAAAAACCACGGCCGCCAAACCGTCTCGGCCCAATCCAGCAGCCAATGCAGCACAGCCACCACCTTAAGCGCATCGCACACATTCCTTGTACTCCCGATCATAATCTGCTCCCTGATGATCACTCTCTCGCTTGTCTTCGTTACCACCAGCAAATGCCACTCATGCCCCTGCGAGATGAGCACCGGTATTGCTGGCCAGTCCTCGACTAGTTGCAAGCGCAAGCTTGAGCAGTGGCTTCTGGACATCTGAATTCCACTCATCCTCGGCGCCTTCTGCACCAGTGTTCAGTGCGATTGCATCATCGACGATGTTGGCAGTATTGCGGATTGCAGGCGTTGATCAGTAATGCGCCTGGCGCGCGTCTTTCGCCCATGGACGTTGTAGCCTCATCCTGTCCAGGCCAGGGAGTTCGGCAATTGACGCATTGAACACGTCTGCATTGTCGTACTCAGTATACCGACACCTTCAGCAAGCATTTGTGCTGATGTGCGCATTGCCGCAACATCTGATTGCTCGCTGTCTGCGCCGACGCTGTTGAAGTTACAAAAGATGACCGGTCGTTCGAGATCTTTCAGCGCATGTATCTGCTTAACAGGGCTGCGCCTCCCACTTTTGTGTGAAGCAACGGATGCAGTGGACTCGCTCCTGGAGGACGGAGCTGGCGAGAAATGGAACGTGTCATCGAAGTCGCGACGGCGTTTGGCAGGGCGAGACGTCTCCTGGTCGTCATTCACGACGCCAACACCCGAGTCCGTGTCTGCTGAGCGAGGTCGCTTGGTCGGTCGCAGCACGGACGAGTCGTCGTAGTGGGGCGAGCCCTTCAGAGCAGTGTCAGCAGGGCCATGGCAACACGGCAGTTGAGGACGCACTTGGTGGGCAGAGATGCAGAGACATCATCCAGCCAGCGTCAGATAGTCGGCTCGGGCGACAATGCAGAGGGCATGGCAGCACCAAACGGTGAGGTGTAGCAACTAGTAGGTGTAGAAGCTAGTAGGCCGTAAAGCGTGTTGTCGCGTTTGTGGTTGGCCTGGCAACTGCCTCAGCGTCATCGCTGAAACACATAAAGTAGCTTTGCCGTACTGAGTTTGCTTTTTTTTCTTCCATCCCCAAAATATCGGCTTGATACACTCTGGTCAGTATGAATTACGATGTTCTGACGGACCTGAACAATTACGAAGGTCAATCCTGGTGATTGGACGCCCAGCAGTTGAAGGAAAACACATCACCTGAGACACCAGCCGGCAGCACAGTAGTCGCAACACTACTTTGTCGAGCAATCTCGACTTGCCAGAAACCTAGATCCTGTCAACTGCGAAGGTGCTGGACGTCTCCGCCGATTCGACACCAGACGCTATCCGAGAGCTGCAGGGTACTACTGCGGCGTCGTTGAATGATCGATATGACAACGGTGAGTATGTTGCCACAACAGACGATATTGTCGACCTACAGGAGACCACTGCGGCGTTTTTGACTGATCGCTTCGATGGTGAGTGCTTCTGTTTAAATGACGCTAGCCCGGGTCTGCTTCTGCCAGGCGAACAGGTTCCTCCTTCCAGTTCCAGCGGCTCTGAATGTTGTCCGGCCCAAGCCTGGATGTAACCAAAGATGTATCGATCTGATAGATGAGTATCTGTATGCTCATATGGCTTCCGAGGATGGTGCGCATCCTTGAAGACACTGTCGTTGCGACGAGAAGACTTCCTGGACGACGATGACGAGCGATATGCTCCCTTGTCGACCAGCCCTGCCACTGCAGCAGACATCGTGGATGTCATGTTCCTTATGGCATCGATCGAAAATGCCCACGACAATGGACAGCTGCAAGTACAGGAAAGCAAGGATAGTGCCGCAAACTTAGAAGAATTGTTCGCTGACGACATTTGGAACACTGAGCCAGAACTTGAGCTCGCATTTCCAGTCAACCAGACTCTAGTCGAGGAAATCGTGGACGGAACAAAGCTCGAGCTTTTCGAGGCGCTCAATGCCGTGTGTTGCAGAGTTCGGAGTTGTGGGTGATGGTATCTAGTCTAATGTTGTGAGAATATAGCTGTGAATTGATCAAGTTTGAAGATCTCCTTGTGTAGGGTGCCGGTACAGCAGCCCGTGAGCAACACTAGTCCTGGTACAGTTGCTTGACATGCGAAGCTTGCTGCTGGACTATCGAAGGTGCTTAAGGACCTCGGGCAGGATGCGAAGCGGCAGCGTATCGTCCTCGATCTTGCTTCAGCGACCTTGAGCCTGAAAAGCGTTTATTGTTTGTCGGAAGCTGCCTGCCAACAACCAAGACAACAGCAACACTTGCAGCAAATACGAGCATGCAAAATTTTGCGATTACCGCTACCGGTAGTACTTACAAAAACTAGACAACAAGGAGCGATGACGATGTTGAACCACTCCAGACCCTTTCGTATACACCAAGCCTAAAACAGTTAATATTGATAAATCTATTTCTGGACTGCAGAGGAGTGACCATGTCCATGCTGGCGCTCACCCATGAAGTGAAGCTGGGGAAAGCATGAGAAAAAGATTCTAGAAAAGTAGGCATGGTTGTCCAGACCAAACGCAACGCTGCATCGGCGGAAGTGAAGGGTGAGTGTGTTCTCACACCCTGTGTACCGCCCTCTTCTCCCAGCCACTCAATGACTGCTGCTTCAATCACTGCCGTGCATCCGTCTTTATCCTGCATGGGCTTTGGGTGGCGTTTTCTCGTGTGGTGCGCTGTTACCCCAAGTGGATCAATACTGTGACCAAGGCTTAGGCATCCTGTGTCGCGACTCTTCCTCCTGTAGCCAACATCCTACAACATGCCAGCCACGTCGCTTGCGAGTGTGTTCTGTCTCGTGAGACTGCATCTGTCCGTAACCACAGACCTGCGTTTTGGGATTTGGGCCCAATCTCGAGGAGTGGTCAGAAGGTTATTGCGAACAAGCATTGCCTCTTCGGCAAGTTTTGAGCACCGAGTGAACATGCACAGCCGAAGATCACTCGCGATCGCTATGCAACCATTCACGGGGTCTGTTTAGGCCAGCCTTCTGGTGAATGTTTTGTGGGGCGCAGATAGGAGAATCATCACTGGCCAACGAAATACGACGGAGAGCCCACAATGCGCGCTGTTATCTGCTGTATGAGCAGCAGTGGTTAGTGGCATATGGCCGGTAAGGAGCCTCAACAGCGAGTTGCGCTCATTTTTGCATATTTCCGTGTTGCTCGAGGAGTCGTAAAACGTCAAACCCCTGAGGCTGCAAGGCTGCATTGGCGAAGATGTGGCTGCTCAGCTCAGCCCGACAAATCGGAATCCCCTGGCAATCGTAGCGTAACGTTCATGTCAGCCATGCGTTGCATCGCCATAACGATGATGGTGCATTGCTTGTTTCCCGCGTAGACTTCCTGAAATAGTCAAGTCGCGATCTCGTAAAATGCAGGTCAGCATAAGTGGCGTTGACATGAACAAGAGCCAATATTTGGAAAACGAGCAGGTTGGAGCTTTTCGACCAGCAACACACCGAGGCTCCACTGCTATCATCGACCGGATTGAGGATGGACGCAGCGCAGAACGTACAAGACGGCTTTAAACGGAAGGGTCGGAGAAAGGACTGCGCCGACCAAAATTAGAGCGTTGATGGCGGCGGATCGTCAGGAACGTCCCCTCAACGGTGGTGGGTCACAGCTGCCAGCCCAAGACCGTGCAAAAACCATGACCGCAGCGGTGATGGCTCCGAAATGAAGAGCTGCTGTTGAGAACTCGGGAGTGGAGAGCCTTCGTGAGCTGTGACGGTCGGCAAAGTGAGGTGACAGTCGCCGCTGAGCGCCGATGAGTGGATTGTAAGAAGACACGTTAGGAAAGACTCAACCCATAATTAGACAGACGATCCAGCCGCCTCCTGGCCACCATCTCCCAAAGGCGATAGGGCTGTGTCGTTCCCTGCATTGCTCCTGACTACCGTACTGCTAGAGCGACCCAATTTGAGCATCAACACTATCGACTTACCGTGCTCATCGTGTTCCCGGAATGGGACCTCGTGTTCTGCTCATGGCGAGATGTCACTTCGTAAGTGACAAAGCGTTGGCTATCACGACATCAGCCATCCGGGAAGCGCGTAGAAGCTTGGGAGGTTCTCAGTATATAACTTTCTCCCATCCTCGTCCAGAGATATCTCATCACAACAACAAAAAACAGTTTCATAACTACCACCTTCGCTTTTCTTAGCCTTCTTCAGACAGACATTCGCTTGAGTCTATCTCCAGATCCCTAAAAATTAATCATCTACCCACCGAAGAAGTCAATCAAGTCAATCAGGATGCGTTACTCCTTCGTCGCCGCTGCCATCATCGGCGCCGTTGCTGCCTCTCCCGTTGCTGAGTACGGATACCCAGTGAACACACCTTCCAGCAGTGCGCCTGCGTACCCTGAGTACCCGGCTTCTTCTCCTGCTCCCAGCTCGTCGAAGCCTGCTCCTTCGAGCTCCGCTCCTGCTTATCCTGAGTACCCCGTTGGAACTCCCAGCTCTTCCAAGCCTGTTGTTCCCTCCAGCTCTGCTCCCGCCTACCCCGAGTACCCAGTTGGAACTCCCAGCTCTTCCAAGCCTGTTGTGCCTTCTAGCTCTGCTCCCGGATATCCTGAGTACCCAGCTTCCACTCCCTCGTCTTCGGCTCCCTCCTACCCGACTTCGAGCGCGCCCTCTTACCCTGAGTACCCTGTAGGCTCCAGCAGTACCTCCAAGCCTGTTGTGCCTTCTAGCTCTGCTCCCGGATATCCTGAGTACCCAGCTTCCACTCCCTCATCTTCGGCTCCCTCCTACCCGACTTCGAGCGCGCCCTCTTACCCTGAGTACCCTGTAGGCTCCAGCAGTACCTCCAAGCCTGTTGTGCCTTCTAGCTCTGCTCCCGGATATCCTGAGTACCCAGCCTCCACTCCCTCATCTTCGGCTCCCTCCTACCCGACTTCGAGCGCGCCCTCTTACCCTGAGTACCCTGTAGGCTCCAGCAGCACCTCCAAGCCTCTTGTGCCTTCCAGCTCTGCTCCTTTTTACCCTGAGTACCCAGCGAGCAGCTCCGTTCCTAGCGGCTCCAACGGCTACCCTGTTCCCAGCTCGTCTGCTGGCTACAGCTCCTCGGTCCCCTCTTACCCCACAAGTACTAAGGACTTGACTACATACACCACCACCACCGTCTGCCCTGTCACTCAGACCCACGGAACTCAGGTCGTCACTACCTTGACCACCAGCACCGTCACCATCACATCCTGCAAGGGTGGATGCCACGGCTACGAGACCACTGCTGTCCCCCCCAAGCCCACCAGCAGCCAGCCTGAGGACACGACCACCGTCGTTACTACCTACGACTGGGTTCCTTGCTCCACTGAGGTCGGTCGCAGCGGCTCTTCCACGATCTACTCGACCTACCTGACCGCTAGCTACACAACCTACACCTCCACCGTTCACGGCGGCCAGCCCCCTAAGCCCACCGCCACTGTTGGTGTTGATGTTCCTCAGTACACTCCTGTCGTTTCCAAGGACAGCAAGCCCTCGCAGCCCGCTGGCCCCAAGACCGTCACTGTTGGCGTCGATGTTCCTCAGTACACTCCCGTTCCCGGACAGGAGAACTGCCCTGCTCCCGTAACCGTGACCAAGACCGTCACTGTCGGTGTTGATGTTCCTGAGTACACTCCCGTCACCCCCAACGAGTACACCACCAAAGTTGTCACCGCCACTGAGGGAGGCAAGCCCCAGACCTACACTGTCACAGTCCCCAACGGCCCCAAGACTACTCCTTCCGGCCCCAAGACTACCTCTGCTTCCGAGGGATACCCTGAGGGCCCCAAGCCTTCTTCCGGCTCTTCCATCGTCTACTCCAGCTCTGTCCCTGCTCCCTACCCTACTCCTTCCTCCTCTGCTGGATACCCCGTTGCCTCCTCCTCTGCTGGATACCCCGTTGCCTCCTCTTCTGCTGGTTACCCCGTTACCAGCTCGTCGGTTAAGCCCTCTTCCAGCGCTCCTGCGTACGAGCCATACCCGGTTGAATCTTCAACCAAGGCCACACCCACTCCCACTGGCGGCTACGGCTCCGGCTACGGTTACTAAGCGGATCGCTTATGAGCTTCGGGCACTTCACTTCTCTAGAACATTGGATTTGGTTTGACTTGGTGGATGGTGAAATGCCTTCTCATACAAAGGCTGGCATCGTGTCAATTATTGCCTTTGCATAGCCGCGGCGTCACTTGATGGATTTAATTTTACTTTCTTACTTTCCTTTGTATATACTCTTGGGCTAGAATGATAACGCTTGGTGCGCATATGATGGAGATAGCAAAGAGCAATTTTTGTTTAAAATTTGTTCACCACTTCAATGCGCTTCATAACATTTTCCATCCCTAACTTGGATACCCAGAGCCAAATCGATCAAAGTCAAACTTCTGCCTTGCAACAAACACGCAGTCAACACCGAATCGTGACTCACGGATCTGTAGACTGCAAGAGACCACGATACGAGAATCATGGTCATATGGCGAGCAGTATTGCTGACGACGCTCTCGGCTATCATAATCAGCACCCTTACGCGCCAGGTTCGGAAGGTTACGTCAAATCTCTCGTATCAGTCAGCCGCCGTGAGGGACCGCGACCCACCTCGTATCAGCACAAATATTGATTGTGATGTAATGACTGAAGTTAGCATATTTTGCACAAAGTTCAAGCCATGCTAAGCATTGCTAGCAGAGTGTAAACATGCAGGCGTGCGATCGGACACCAGAGGCAGTTGTGGCGTTGTCTAAAGACCGCAAAGTCGTTGACGTGCGATACGGATAGACGGCAGAGATGGCTTCGTGTAGCGGCAAACTCAAGAGAACTCCACTGCGTAATTGAGAGAGAAAGAGCATAATCAAGGCAGAGATTGAAGGTAGTGTATTGCGCTATTGAGTGCAAGGTCATGTTTTCCGCCAAACCACCAAATTCACATATTAGTGTAGTGAACGGAGTTGTCGTTATTTTGAGAGAAGTTCCCATCTCAACCACATGGCTCTCCCGACTACCTGCAGAGTCCTCCTTGGGCTAAGAATTTCCGAATACGCACGTCTCACTTTAGATGATTGGTAAAAGGCCACTCCCACGTTTGAGGGCTGATTGACTGCTGTGGAATAGCCTTGAGGTCTCTGTGCATCCAACCCCCCATTGTAACTGCTCTTCTGCGCAGGATACTGCATACTACATTAGCAACTTGGTGCTGATGACTTTGGCTGCATTCCGATGCATTTGGGATGCGACTGAGCGTGGTAGATTTCTTTCTTTCCATCATTTCATTTCAGCATGACCGTCACTCCACCCTTCTCACTCCAACGACTCGGTTCAGCCTTCCTTCGAGCGCGTACATGGTATCCTGCATATCTTCCAGATCCCGTCCGATGTTGCTGACGATGCTCAGCACTTCACCAACTTCATGCGCCGTTCTCCTGACCTCGACTCGATTTAGTACTTCGCTCAAATTGATGACAGAAGCCTTCCTCCTGACCCACAACCAGCGCTCCTTGAATCCGCATTTCTTGTACTCATAGCCCAAGCGGTTAGTTGCATGCAGGTCTGACGCCCCATCCTCGGAATAGTGCGGGCTCTTCTCAGGACCATAAGGATGACTGGTGTTCGACCCCTGCGCAGAAGCCTGATTTTGATACTCTGCCTTCAAGAAAGGGTACTCGATCTGGCGAAAAGTATTGATTAGGTCGCGGATAGTGACGCGCATCACTTGGAGTGCCTCGCTCTCTCCTGTAGACCGCATGGACTGGATGTCACGATCGAAGTGCATTGTTCCTGGGCCTTTTCTTCGTCCACTATTTTGCCCTCTGCTCCTTCGCTTATAGCCATAATTGCCGTCAGGATCATCGGACCCACTTCTCGCGTCTGGGCCATGGCTTTTGTCGCGATGTATGGATTTCAATCTTTGTCGCACCCTCCGCAGATGCCGCCGCTCTTGCAGTAGCCCCTGCTTGAGGCTTGAGAGATAGTCTTGAATTTCTTGGGGTGCTGCGCCAAAAGTGCCGAGGTTCGACCAGAATACCTTGAAGAAGGTACCTAAAGTGAAAGCGAATGACACGAAACCAATGGTGGTGGACACCATGGACAGGGGCGAGAACAATGTGTGAGATATCGTGATGCCCATGATGTTCGATAGAATGATAGTTGACATTGATTGGGCTAGATTTGCAGTTTCCAGCCAATGGCCGCAATGCTACACAAATGGGTCTTCGAGATACACGTTTTGAACGCCGGTTTGGCGCAATGTTTGACAGCAGCGCATGTTGTTCTTAGCTCATCACCACCCGCTCAAAGCATAGCAACGAGGCTAAGCGTTCACCGGGTGTTCCGAACCAATCACTGCGTGGCCGGCGGCTTCCGCAAATCTGCTGCCGCATTACTCAGCATCAACATGACGCAAGAGGTATAGACTACGGCATCACGACTACGGTCGTCGCAAGATTTGGACCCAGCACGAAACAACAGCGACAATTGCCACCTTTAGAGCTACACTTCCCGATCCCTTCTCCTACGGAATGCGCGAGTCCATCAGTCTCTTCACTCGCCTCTTTCCGCAACATGCAGAATCATACGCTCGTGCCCATCGCCACCAACCAGCCTGCTGAGAACGACAGGCTGGCAATTCGCGTATGCTATGAAGTGTGTAACGAAGACCACAAGCAGTAGCAGACCAATGGCAGACCGGGCCACCAGTCCAAGTAGATGCAGCCAAAGTTTGGAATAGGCAGGCCAAGCCAGAACAGCATGCGGTACCCATACTGAAGGAGATTTTCACCATCCACTTTGAGAAAAGGGGAGACAAACAGTGTCGTTAGGACAGCAGTCCTTCTGTCGGTGGTAAGCGTGGATAACGGGACACGACAAACACCACCCACAGTTGCGTAGCTATCCCATAGACCGCTTGAAGCCACCGATATCGGTGCAGGATGACCGAAAATTGGGACAAGGAGACGATGAAAGACACAACGGATACGAAAACTATGAGCGCAAAGAACTTAGTGCGCCTTCGATAGATATCTCCAAAGCAATCATACCTCAGCAGTAGCAGGTGAGCAGCGATGTTACCATTGACTGAATATATCTAATCGACACGTGAGTATGCTAGGGTATGTATGTGGGAGTACACAAAGAAGTAACTCACAAAAGTTGTGCTTTCGAGTTTCCTGGACCAGGATGGTGGCAAAGCTCGTCGGGCCATCCAGACAAGAGATTGACACTCCTGCCAGTGCTATCTTGTTCTCGTCATACGTGCTTGTAGGGTTAGGAGAACAAGAACAAAAGATGAGTGGAAGTAGCGATGCAGCCCGACGTGGCGTCACCATGCACCGAGCTGTCGGTCACGTTTCAGCCTTGCCCTACTCAACCTTTGAGCTGATTGGAACGCAGACCATTCAGCCGTGACACAGAAACTGTTCATTGAACCTGACGACGCCAAGTCAGTTGCGACTACCTTTACTGACGTGACGATATGGCTCATCGGTTTCCATGGATCGCTGGATATCCTCTCATTCGTAGCTCTTGAGGGCCAAGAAGGTATCCGGGATTGTCCTTTATGGGTTCCAATGTGGTCGTACAAATGCGCTCATGTGCACTTGCACATGGCAACTATCGGTGGTCGCCCGAGCCATTTACATTGTATTGCGTAAACCGGAGACTGCTACATGACACAGGGTACAATGCTTATCTTAAAGAGCCTATGCTACCAGACACCAGCAAGACAAACATTTTGAAGGCAAACGGACTGGTACTCTCTAAAATTATGGCAATTTCTGAACGTTTGATTCCAACAGGAGATGAGGATACCACGCTTCGCGACGAAGCCTCTTTAAAAGAAAGTCGCTTCATCAGCTCTGCACAGACCTCATTGCTCAATACGAGGAAGGTCAACCTGAAAGAGTCTACCACACGGACACCAATTCCGCACAGACAAGCATGAAGGCTTCGTACACCACGAAAATCCAGATCATCGACGCGCTAATACTTTCCCTTGGCGAAAATAGGGACGAGGCTTGGAAGCGAGGGGATCAAAGCCCAGACCGTCGGCGCAACAGCATTGCATGGTTGACGTACGTGTTGGGCTCGCAATTTACTCATCCTTCATCGTTCCAAAAGGTTCGAGATCCTTTCGTACCAAAAGGAGAGCGACCCGCATTTCAAGCATCTGTATCACTGATTTGTGGCTGGCAGCGTTTCTTCGTCACGCGGACTGGTCACATTGGTATCGGCCAACTAAGAATACGGGAAGGAGACGTGGTTGCAGTGCTGTTCGGATCCACCATTCCCTTCGTGCTACGACGTTTTGACGATCGCCACGTGCTGCTTGGTGAGTGTTACGTCCACGGTGTAATGAACAGCAAACTGGTTCAGAGATGGAGGCAAGAAGCCGATACGCCAGCGGAGATCTTCGACATTCAGTAAGAGGTATCGCAGGACGTTCAGAGAACCCACGAGCCATATGAGTACCACCTTACTCGGGTCTGAAGGATGTCAGTGTAGTGAGAGATCTCAGCCATCTGTGCAGAGTACCTCCTGAAGGTTGACAATGGTGACGTTTGGGCCAAATTATACACTATTGCAAGACAGAACTCCTACGGTCTCATCCCTAGCTCGAGGCAAATTTTCCCTGTGGCTGCAGCTTAGCATCAAAAGTGATCCTAGTAGGCAGCCTCACCTCATTGTGCCCCTGATCGTTACTGTTGAAGCTGACAACAACTTCAGCGAATACGGGGCAACCACCGCCTTTTTTGGCAATGGCAACACTCCAGAAGCTCCCTCAGAGTAGCCGACTGTTCGCTGGCGCTTTATAGATTCCAAAACGCCCTCATTCTCCTTCATCCACATAGTCATCAGCTTGAAGTTTATATCAAGCACCCAATTGGACCACGCTCGCGGAATATCGTCGTCAAGAGAAAGAAGGGATCATCGTGCCTGTCCTCCGCCAGAATCTTGCCCCTGCGCCATAAAGATGTGCTGCTTGCCATATTCCACTTGTATGCTTTGCCCTTCCTCAGCTTCGCTTTGCATAATCCAAACCACTAGTCGTAGACTCGACGAGTATTGTCAAATCCTTTGCAGAACTTGCGCATGAGAGCGCTCTTGCCAGTCTTCAGGAACTCCTCCTTATACCACTCAAATGTACGTAGGACTTGCCGAAGTCGGAGGAAGTCAGAGCAGCGGGTAACTTCCTCTTTGTAAGAAGTAATGGTTGTCGCAGAGGGTATGGCGAATTTGTCATCATTGCTGGGGCGCGTTGCGCCGGCTGCTGAGACTTCAAAGATAGAGCGATCAACTGTACAGCGGCTGGCTTGCACTTCAGAGGACTGTGGGGCCTTGGGTTCGGCCGACTGTGCGGCTGCTGAGACTTCAGAGGCGGAGCGGTGTATTGCGATGTTGGCTTTGGCTTCGACACTGGCGTGAGCGCCAGTCTGAATATCAGTGGACTTCACAGCTTCGAACTTGACTGACCTGCAGGCTTTGAAACAACCATGATGGTCGGCCTCAACACCAGCGGGCTTGACAGCTTTGATCTTGGCAACAGGTTCGCTGACTTCGGCTCTGACAGGCTCGACTGTGACGCGCTTGGAGCAGACGACAACGATTTTATCGTCGTCATTATCCGACAGCAGGCTTATGGCTGGTGCTCGATGCTTTCGATTTGATTAATCCGAGCTCCTCCTTGATATCGTACACGCCCTCGTTCTTGACTGCTAGTTGCAGTGTAGTACAAAGTACCTAGGGAGCATCCTCAGAGAGTCTTGCGTCACAGGCCTCCTTGACATCATCTGGCTCTTCCTGGACCGCCTTTTCAATCCCTCGGGATCTTTCATTGATTCTCTTTCTATGGGAGCGCACTTCAAAGGTATTATGAATGTTGTCTTCTGTGGCAATCGCGAAGCAAACGCCACCGTCTAGAGAACGATCAGCCGAACACCCAAGCGCCTCCCGGCTGTCTGTATGATTCGCGTTGGATTCGCGTTGGATTCGCGTTGGATTCGCGTTGGATTCGCGTTCGGCAGGAGAAGTCTCCGCAGAGCCTCAATAATCAGCATGCGCTCGGTTTTTCACGTCTGCAGACGAGCTGACCCGTCGTTCTCCATGTCGCGGGATGCCGGTCGTGAAGGCAAGAGGCGACAGCGCAGAGGCAGCTGATTGGATCCGTCCCTGTCTCCGCTGACCCAGGAGATGACCTTTGAAACGAGATGAGGGGCAGCTGGGCAGTCGTTGAGTGGCAGTGGCTCTTTGTCGCTCTTTCTCGCCTCAGCGTGGTGTTGCCCTACAAAAGGGGGGTTCGATGTGTGATTGGTTCCGCAGCGAAGGCGCTAAAATCGCCGCTCTTTCCTGACGTCCACCCACAACGCTGCATCACTCTTCCCTCAGACACCGTGACCCGGCAGCTGTAATGAGCCATGGCGAGGAACGTGGACATGATAGAAATGTGTGGTCTGCTCAGATGAGGCCCATTCGGTGGCTCCGGGGCGGCGTGGAAACCTAAGAATGTTCTTTTGGCGCTCATCGTCATCTCTCCTAGCTAACATCCGCGAGGGGATCGTGCCTTCCTTTTCTCTCGCTCTTCTCCGTCGTGATGCAGCGTGCTTCCCTTGACCACTCTCCTGGGTTCAACATCAGTCTCTCTTCCTCGTGCACGGTCTTTGTATTCTTTCCGCTCATTGCCACATCTCTCGCACCGCAAACCTCGCTCTTTCGCACTTGCATTCACCTCACTGACCCTCTGTTCGACGTAACTACGAAAGCTGTGATTTTCAGCACACCGCCTCAGCCCTCTTGCCAGCCACCAAGCCGTGTCTTGCAAGTCTGGACAGATGGCGCGATGCATGAGCTAGTACCTTTCATCAGCATCTCTGTCGATCGTTCAAGTGAAAGAGGTAGACACGGGCCGTGAAGGGCATCTGTTGGGCCAGAGGATTCAGGAGCGAGTGCTTCGTCCATCTTAGCACAGTCGAGCTGCATAGTGTGGAACCTCTGGCGAATAGGAGACGACTAAGCAAACATGGCGGCCTACGATCTTTACTCGCATTCACCTCAGGTGTCTGATGTGGCTTCACTTCAACAACGAGTGCCGGGACCGATTGCGCCGATACACTCCCCGCATCACTCTGCCCACTCGTCAGCGTCTCTGCGAACGCCTCTACACACGTTATCGATCCATGAGTACCGCAAGCAGCAGAGCACGCCCTTTTCACGAATTGCGACACCTTCAGGAAAGACTCTGCGAAGAAAAGCCGCTGCGTCTGCTCTGAACGAGATCGAACGCGTTCCGTCAACAAAACCTGTCCCACGACGCGATTCACATTCCTCTTCGCGGCCTTTGCACTCATCCTGCTCGGCGCATCAACTAGCGCCGCAAAGTCAATTTTTTGGTGCCCAGCCCGTGTCTGATCAACTGCTTCGGCCTCAGTCAGCTGGACCGCGGGCACAAGCCGGCAGCATCTCGAGCGTCGCGACTACAGACTCGCAAGGGAAGACACGTCAGTTTGGCTCCAGAAAAAGGCTCCCTCGCCCGCCTGCGCCAACGGGCTCTGGTTTCCATCCCCCATCCTATGCACCTGTGAGACCGGCACGACAAATTCTCGCGACTCTTCCCACACCTCTCAGTTTCCTCACCGATGAAGCCAACCTGAGCGACGCACAAACCACGCCCACACCATCGACATTTTCACTTTCGCGTTTCCCACAGCCCCCGCACTTCGAGACGCCTCGAGAGACTCAGCGGGAGAAAACAGTCAGTTTCGCAACCACTGCGCCGGCAACCCCGCCCGCCACTCCTGCGACCATCCACTATCGCGGCGCTTCTTTCGATTTGGTCAACCCTCACGCATCGTTACAGTACCACGATATTGTTACTCCGTCGAGGGATCTTGACTCAAGCGAGCTTTTGCCTCTTCAATCTACACAAGGTTCTTTGTTGAGCCTTTCAGAGGTCGGAAATCCTATTCCAACACAAAGTCGCGCGGTACTGACCAACCCACAGATGGCACCCAAGCGCCCTTTGTATGGCGATCTCAACGCTGCACATGCAGGCATCGTGCGCCGCGCTGAAGACTCCTACGGCTCATCCATCCTTGACTTGCCCTTACCACCGACGCCAGCAGCGATCAGCCCTGGCTCCTCGACGTACACTTCTCCCATCTACAGCCCCGAATCCCACTTCGCGCCGTCTCCATTAGCCGTCAAGAAAGCCCCGAATGAGTCCCGTTTCTCCATAAAGCAGCTCACACGTACACTTACGAAGAGGCTCACGAAGCCCCTAGAGAGGGGTGAAGAGGAAGAGCTGCAGCAATTTCGAGAGAGTAATACAAGCGGGCTATTAATCAGCGTAGACGAAGAGCCTCTGCGTCGGCTCGAACAGACATTCATCCCGGCGGACAGGACGGCATACTTCCCCATCAGTCCAGTATCGCTCACCTCTCCGACCAGCCCTGCGTCCTTGCACGACTTGGGATCGGTGTCGGGCGATGATGAAGACGAGATTGAATATGCGCGAAGAAATCCCGGCCGCAACTATGACTCGCAAGGTCTGACTTCGATGATACCGGACGACCCCTCCACCCAGATCGGTCGTGTGGAGGATCCACATGCTTCTGTCCTCGCGATGGATTCAGGAGCAAGGCCTTACTACGACGATCTCGCATCCATATACGCTAGCTCTTCAATATACACCGGAGACGACCGCCGGAGATCAGCCTATCAACAAAGCCTCGCTGGAAACCGTCAAAGCAATGCCTTTCTTCGCTACAGTGGTATGGATGCGGCCGGATTGGCGAACGAGTACAGCTACAGTAACCTGGGAAGGAGCAGTCGGCCGGTTTCGAGACCACTCACCCAGGAGTTGTACCATCGTTCAGTGGCACAAGGCGACGGGAAGACAGATACCATCAGCAAGTTCATCGACCAGTATGACCCTGGCAACATAACAACGAACAGCTTGTCCACACAAGATCTGGAAAGTGCCAATACTACCAGCTTGATCGCACCCTACACCAGCGATGCCACTGAGGAAGCGTCGAAGGGCCGTCCGCAACCGGCAGCCCTCCTACCTGAACTCAGCCAGTTCGAGTTTAACTTAGGTCCTACGAGCAAATCTAAGGACACCGAGAGTACGAGCGACCCTGCGCAACCGCCGCTCACCAAAGAACGCGCGCTGAACCGCCAACCCGGTCTGCCTCCATCAGCTCCTGCCCCACTTGCTCCAGCGTTCCAGTACGATAAACCTCCTCACGCGCTTCCTCGCCCCGACTTCTCCGACATGTTCTCCAATGCATCGTACACTTCCTACGGGGATACCCGCAACCTCTTGCAGCTTCCACAATCCGAGTTAGGTGGACATAGTATGTTCATGAAAGGTCTCCAACCTTCATCTTCGTATTCACAACCCGAGACCAAAGCTCTTGAGCTGTCATCATCATACTCACAAGCCGAAGGTCGTGCGAGTCCACAGACGCCACAGGAAGCGCTGGACCATGCTGAGCTTATCTTTGACAATGCAGCCGCTGAACGCAAACCTAGTCACGAGGATATACCAGCTATGTGGGGAAGGCGAAGCTCGGTGAACCTGCTGCGCAACAAGAGACTCACTGACGGGTCGATGCGAACTGCGGATATGGAGAAAGCCGACTGGGAAACTGTGGCTGGTGACAGTCAACAAGGTCGAATGTCATTAGACAGCATTGCCGACTACAGTAGCAGCGAGGGCAGTCGTAACAGCTTAGGTTTGACCGCAGATGCGTCGCTCCCTTCCTGGACCAAGCAAGATCATGCACGTGGACCGTCGAATTACAGCCACCCCAGCCCGCTTCGAGCCCACGCCCATCCGTTCAGCTCCTCGCCACCTCATCTTACAGCTCACCCTGGTTCACAAACTGTTCCAGACATATCAATATCTAATACTCCATCGAGTCCACCAGCATCATCGACTGTGCCCGTGTTTCGCTTCTCCACACAACCCAGGCGTGCGGTTGACGAGCCTTATGCTTTCGCGCCTTGGGCAGACCCATACGCTCTGAGCGATAAGGAGACACAGGAGCTATTAGCATCTGGGCCCAACGACGATATACTCTTTGATGGTGAAGTTGGCCCTCAGTCCGGACGCGCCAGCTACAAGTTCAAAAGCCATGGAAGATTGCCCGGAAGTAGCTCACCGCGCAGCACCGACAACGATGCTGGTCTGGAACGTGAGAACACTTTCGATAAGCTTACTGTCGTTGGTCCAAAGGGCAACCTCACAGGTACTCCTCGAGGCACCGGGATGCACGATGCGGGCAGCAGTATAGCAGACACCAGCAGCCCAGGTGCCAAGCTCAGCTCGAGTGTCGGTCCTCGTAGTCCTCGGCCTGGATATGACGGGTTCTACGCCTCTCCATTCCCAGCTACGGGTAGCGTGACTCGCATACGACAGTCAGGCTCCGCTGCTGAAGACCAGCACGAGCGAACACTGTCGCAGGTGACTCTCTTCCCTAGCGCCTACAGCATGGAACCTGTGCAGGGCTCTTCACCCCTTGCTGGTCCGGATCGTCGACGGAGTCTTAGATATTCGACTACATTCACGCCCGCTCGTAGGACAAGCCGCGCCGCTGTACCAGGTCAGACCAAGCTGAGGCAGATGGTCCTTGCTCCTGACGCGCGAACCACTGTTTCAAGCCAAGACACCCATTTCTCCCGCTTTGTGAGTGTAAGTGGCAGTGGACGTCCTTCGACAAGTGACACAGCCACACCTTTGCACCCAACACATCCCAGTCTCGATACCTTCCCCACGATTCGCAGCGGGAAGGCCATCCTTGCGCACCAGCATTCACCGCACTTGCTGTGTCCAGAGCGCGAGGTCAAAGAAGAAGACGAGGTACGCCGTCGGAAACTCTCGTGGCTCATCTTTGCATGCTTCTGCATACTGCCACCTTGTATGTTCCTCTATAGGATGTGGGGAGACTCGATCATTGCGTCGGTCACAAAGGGCGACCTCGGCCACTGTACAGCGAAATCGAAGAGGGCTGCACTCATCGCTGGGGTTGCTGTCAATATCGGACTGATCACGGCGATCTTGGTCCCGATTCTTGTTGCGCAGGCACTGAAGGCTATATGATGGCACTTTGTCGGCGTAATCATTTCCTTTTTCCTCTTCGAAACGACGTCCTGTCATATTCCTTGTTCCTTTTACTCCTTTGTTTGGCATTGCATGGTTCGGCGCACAATCGGAAGGGCGTACTACTGGAACGCCTGATAATTGGCCTGGTTGCATATTGAAAGGCGTTCGACCTCAATATGATCGGGGTCATCTTGTAGTTCTATCAGTCAATAGGCGATGACGCACGTAATGTTCGACGGGAACATGATTACACTACCAAAGAGGAATAATAGCACATCATTCGCGATCTGGCTCAACATTTGCAATGGTGAAAGTGACTGCAACATGGAAGCAACCATGTAACAGAAAACAGGCTTCAGAGGAGGCCAACACTCCGTTTAATGTGTACAAAGCCGCTCGTTCCGCTCAAGCAGGAAGTCATCAACCGAGCAGGGCGTCACACGTGGACACCTCAATCGCAAGACGAACAAACAGCAAAGAAGTCCTGAAGTCAAGCGATATTGTAGTCTTCAAGTGCTTGGCCACGAGTTCGACGGGTTTTGCAGGATTCGCTGAAGCTGCCGGTATTTCCCAGAATTAAAGTCTCACTAGGGTAGCGTTTGATGGAAAGAGCATCTTCGTGCATTCATAATCACAGACTGACAGTTATCGTACACTCCTCACACCTCCTCCCTATCTTTTCTCTGCGCCTACTTCGCCGACGCGTCTACTTGGTCTTCGCAATACTAACAACATTCCTCAACGTCCCAAACGGCAACACATCCGCAATCCTCTTCTTACTCGCAAACAACATAACTAGCCTATCCAGCCCGCATCCCCAACCCCCCGTCGGCGGCATGCCCCACTCCAAAGCCTCGAGATAGCTCTCATCGATATTGACCCCCTCACCCTCAGTATCCTTGGCGTGGTACTCCTGCTGCTGCATAAACTTCCGCCGCTGCTCGAACGGCGAGTTCTCCTCCTCGTACGCATTCACGTACTCCCGGCCTGCGATAAAGAGCTCCACGCGCGCGGCTACGCGCTGTGATGTTATGGGGCAGACGAAGGACTTGCTCAGCGGCGAGAGCGCTTCCGGGTGGTGCGTTATGAGTGTAGGGTTGTGGCACAGCGGCTCGATGTATATCTCTGCCAGCGTGTCGAGGAGCCGCGGCAGCGTCGGATTCGGTGGGATGTCGAGCGCGAGCTCGTTGAATAGGGCGAGCACGTTCGACGTCGCGGTTGGCGAGGTGAGGTTGGGCAGTGTACGGCCGCTGGCGCGTTCGATGGTGGGGATGAAGGCGAGTTGGGCGAAAGGGGCGGAGAAGTCGATGTCAGACGGCGCTGCGAGGGTGGGGAAGTAGGTTGCTCGGAGAGACTCGATGGCGCTGTGGAGGCCGTGGACGAGGTGCTCCGTCCTTTCTACCAATTGTGGGAGAGTAGCGCCAACCTCGTAGAACTCACAGGTTGAGAACTCCGGATTGTGGGTGTTGTCCACGCCTTCGTTTCTAAAGGCGCGACCGATTTCGAAGATCTTGTCTTGCCCGCCGACGATTAGGCGTTTGAGGTTCAGCTCAGGGGCTATTCGGAGTCTGAGGGGCTGGTTGGACATCTCGTTTGCGATTGTCTCGAAGGGCCGTGCGATTGCTCCTCCAGCGTTGACGTCGAACATTGGGGTTTCTACTTCCAGAAACCCTGTTTGTATGAACGATGTCCTTATATAGTCGTATATCAACGCTCGAAGTCTGAGAGTATCAGCGGGCTCGTCGCTCGTGAGCGAGTGGATGTGGGGTCGTCGAGCAAGCGTTTCAGCATTGTCAACCTTGTCGGGAATGTGATGAAGGCAGGGTGCAAGAATTTGAGGGACCTTCAGGGCAAGGACGGACAGTTGACCTGACGATGTCCTAGTAGGATTGCCTTCGACAGCTTTGTGGCGTAAGCTGATGTGCAATTGCGACAGGACTGTGTGACTTACAAACCCAGTCACCTATCCTTGCTACCTTCTTCAAGCCTTTGAAAATCTCTTCAGAGTTATCCTGGTTGAGCTTCTTTCGCTCCACCATGATTTGGAGTCGCTGAGTATCGCGCTCGATGTCGAGAAACATCAGCTTGGACCCCGCTAGCCGCACTGAGCGGACCCTTCCTGAGACTGTCAGTATCGAAGCCAAGTACCGTTTGTACCAGAGCTCTTACCGAACACGGAGACATTTTCAGCCTTCGTCTCTTTGATGTCTGCGAACCTGGCATTGAACTCTCGAAGTGATAGTGCTTCAGCGCCCGCAGGGTACACCAATTGAGGATGGTATTCGCCCAGTGGTTGGACGTTCTTCAACTGATCAAGCCGCTTCTGCTTCTCAACATCGTGTGGGCCGGTGAACGCATCGGCGGCGGTCTGCTTGAACCGACGTTGTACAGACAGGTACGCTTGGGTGTGCTGCAGCTTCAGGGATTGGGTGCCTCGGTAGAGGTATGGGCGGAGGAAATGAAGTGAGGGTCTGCTCATGATGTCTTTTGTCAGTCAGCTTTCAACTACAGCGATCAATTGAAAGACGGATAGGATGATTAAAGTATCAGATATGTGCAAAGAGTTTGTGAAATCAACCGCCCGAAGACGTCATTCGCAACGGTTCTATAGTTGTTCGTCATGTAAAGAAAGCAGATGGTGTAAGTAGGCGCATACAATGTAGCTACGAAGAGCTGCCTGGAGCTTCTCGGTTGCCTGCGGCGCCCGAAACAACTTCCAGAAGAGGTATTGAACGTCTACTCCACACCATCGAGCTATGAAAAAGAAGGTACGTAGACTTACCTGACTGTCGTCACATCTCTCACCTGAACAACTCTGAGTGAAGCTGCAAATCTTCAGCAAAGCACGGCCGCGCGAGCTGTGCGGCTGGCTGAACCGCGGCAGCGCTAGTTAGTCAGCTGGCCCAAGCTCCTCTGGCTTAAATACAGCTCGCACCTCGTCCTCCCTCCTGCTTTTTCATACTTGCAAGTTTTGCCCTACTCCTCTATATCTTGACCTTTTGCTAACTGTTTTTCCAGACCTTGTTGGGATGTCCGAGATCAAGTCTTCGGTTCATCTACCTTGATCAGCTGCATTGCACAGCGCGGACTGGTTGGGGTACGGCTTTCCTTCGGGGACGCCGCCGGCGCAATTTTTGCTGGCCTTCACTCGCAAGAGTGCTTTTTTCATTGACCGCTACTGCCTTGTGCATAGCGTTGAAGAAGAAACATTGCTCTGTCTGTTGTCATCAAGCTTACTCTGATTTGCGAGAACTGCTACCGTTTGCGAGAAGCCACGGTATCCTGACCAAGTGCCCGACTGAATCACGAATGCCTTCAATTAATTGCTGCTCATCTCTACGAGCTGATCTCGAACGACTGACGCATGCAAAGCTTGCTTTGCTGTTGATGGAGGAGCTGTGAACGCGTCAAGCTTGCAATCATGACGCGAAACGGACGCGCTGACAGCTGTTTGCGCAAACAAGTCGCCAACGGAAGATTTATGCACCACCATCACCACCGGCTAACGAACGATCCTAGCATGCCACGAGTAGTTTTCACGGCCAAGGGTGGGCCTATGCAACGTTCCTCTCACATCACAGTCTCGGAGCGGGTGTCGATGTGTCGGAGAGCTCTGCCCTCGTCACAACTACAGCTTTGGGCAGCTCTGAACTGCGCCCAACCTGCAGTACGTTACCTCAACATCTCGATGAGGTCTTGTATATGCTCGATTGCGCCATCATGGTCCTCAATCCACGACATAAAGAAGCCACCTCCCTCGAACTTCAACTGCCGCCAGAGCTCAGTGTCCGTCGCTGACAAAGCTCGAGCTTCCCGCAATCAACCCCTGCCCGCGTTCAACGGTCATCTGCCCCACCATGACATCGACATGACATTACGGCAAAATTCCATCACCTGTGTAAACCTCGATATGGCCTCCCTGTACCATACGACGGATCTGTAGCCTTCTTCATCGGGTCATGACGTTGAACTAGACCGTCTGGGCGTGTCTACATGGCGAATTACATCCACCGGCTGGTCGGTAGTTGTGTAGAGGTGCGGCATTGATGCGCATGCAGTTACGATGTTACAGCTATGTCATCGTTTTGCGCGTCTGGACGCCGTAGAAAAGTAGGAGCAATCCTCTCCCTTGCAGCTTCTCCATCAAGTATACCTCCAACTTTTGTACCTCGTTTTTGAACTACTTGATACCCCACTAATCCGTTACCTAAGACACAAACAGTACAACAAGCGCCCAAGATGATGTCCCAGGCTGCTATGCAGGCCGAGAAGGCCATTGGCCACGGCGGTGAAGCTACCACGGCACAGGACGTCACAAACCCTGGCAACTCCGCAGAGTATGCCGACCCTTCAGGAGAGAAGATGAAAGCCCTGGCATGGATGGGCAAGAACAAGGTCGAGATGATCGAGTGCCCTAAGCCCAAGGTTATGGAGCCTCGCGATGTTATTGTCAAGGTTACCGGATCCACAGTTTGCGGTTCAGACCTGCACCTGCTTCATGGCACAGTCGTTGAGCTCCAGAAGGGCGACATTCTCGGACACGAGTTCTGCGGTGTCGTAGACGAGGTCGGCAGCCAAGTCACAAAGTTCAAGAAGGGGTACGTCTACCACCCATCCCTCGGAGGGCTACATTGACAGATGACACAGCCAGCGCGTAGTCGCATCTTTCCAGATTGCTTGCGGTGATTGCTTTTACTGCAAGCAGAAGCTCTCCTCACAGTGCGAGAAGACCAACGACAACACAATCGAGAACGCCATGTACGGTGGCCGCACAGCAGGCATGTTCGGCTACTCCCACTTCACTGGTGGGTTTGCTGGTGGACAGGCTGAGTACACTCGTGTTCCCTACGGCGATGTCAACCTCCTCCCTCTTCCCGATGATGTTCCTGATGAGGAGGGTCTCTTCCTTTCCGACGTCCTCTGCACATCGTGGCACGCCGTTGTCGACACAGGCGTGAAGAAGGACGACGTCGTCGCCATCTGGGGTGCTGGACCCATTGGACAGATGGCCGCAGAGTTCTCGCTATTGAACGGCGCAAAGAAGGTCATCATGATCGACCAGAACTGGCGATTGGACTTCATTAAGAAGAACTACCCCCATATCGAGACGATCGACTTCTCCAAGCTTGGCAAGGGCGAGTCGGTTACAAGCAAGCTCAAGGAGCTGGTCGACAACCGCGGTCCCGATGTCTCCATTGAGTGCGCGGCGGGCGAGTACGCAAAGGGCTGGGCGCACTACTTTGAGATGATGCTCGGTCTCGAGACCGATACATCTGAGCTCGTCAATGAGATGATCACTAGCACAAGGAACTTCGGTAGCTGCGGTATTACCGGTGTCTATGTAGGCTTCGTAAGTCATGCCCTTCCTCAATTCCTTGCCCTGAGCATCCTCTAATACACTTCCAGACAAACCACTTCAACATCGGCTCGCTCATGGAGCGCGGTATCCGCCTGATCGGTAACGGACAAGCACCCGTTCACAAGTACTGGGAGTCTCTCCTCAAGATGATTCAGGAGAAGCAGATCCACCCCTCGAAGATGGTGACCCACCGCGTCAGTCTCGATGACCTCGACAAGGTCTACTACAAGTTTGAGGAGAAGGCCGATGGCATGCAGAAGGTGTTCGTCGAGACCAAGTGGTCATTCCCTGCGTCGCAGGGCTCGCCTGCTCTTACCAGGTATTAGAGAGTACGCGCTGGTAAAAGCTTGATGTTGTGAAGAATGTAAATAGTTAATGATACTCCAACGAATGATGTCAACCAAATCCTGCTCCCTCCTTTATTTCCTTTTTCGTCGCGAGGGGCGGTGCCAGCCAGCTCGGAGCAGCCGTCACTTTTACAGCATGATGTGTACTCACAATCAGTGTACGAGAATATGCGAAGGAAAATAGTACCTACCATTGCGATCGTAAGAGTGCGATATACAAAACCGCGTATATTCAAAAAGAACGAAAGAACTCCCACCACTCGAACCTACCATCTCCGCTCTCACACTCTCTTATCTTATTACAAACACACATTCAACAAACACGCCGCATATGCGGACACTCACACACATACCCATGCTTCACGTAATGCTCTGAACGCCTTAAGCTTCGCCTTACACCTACCTTGTCAGCTTGCTTGCCAGTATTTGTAGTTCCCCGGAAAGAGGGAACTGAAGAGAGTGGCGGCGTCGGATACGGAGCCCAGCGATGGTTGACTGGCTGTTGCTTTCATGTAACCTCTGAGAATTCGTCTTCGGCGAGGAACAGTGGTGACGATATGGCGGGTGAGTGAAGTGGCTGCTATGCGAATGGTTTCTCAATTGCACTGCCTCCAGCCAGTCCCACGGAGGAGATAAATGGAGCCGAAGCAACATGGGGACTGGTGGTGAAGTGGCGGTGACTGCGTTCTTGACGTGTGGACAATCGCACACATATCCGTCTCTTACATAATGCGTGGTCCGTCGAAGACTGCGGCTGGGAATTCGTAGCTGTGGTAAGATGATGTTAGGAGCAAGTGGTAAGGAGCATTCACGGGTAAGTGTTGGCGACGCAGAAAGTGATGACCCGTCAGTCGGTGGCCCGTCAGTTGCTGGCGTGGGAACAGCTGGTATCTGTGTTGGTGCTGCATAAGTGAGCGGTATAAGCGTAAGCGGAGGACTAAATGAAGGGTTGTGCAGCAAGAGAATAGAGAGTGGGACACCTGTCTCGTCAGCGACCTGCTTTAGAGGAAGTCCTTCCTCGATGTCGATGAGGGAGTTTCGTCGCCGGCGGTCAGCAATATGTTCCAGATGAGCATGTGTAGCAGTTGATACCAAGGAAGTTTTCGAGTTGTTGGGTGATGTGAGAACGGAGAATGGTACACCTGTCTCATCAGTGATTGATTCAAGAGTGGGACCTTCTTCGATGTCGAAGAGGCAATTTCGTCGTCGGTGGTCGAAACACTCTGGTTTGTATGCTTCGTCGAAGAACAAACCTTGCTGCTTGTGATGCGTGGTGAGCGACATTGTGAGATGGTACTCTGATCTAAGCAAATCGATCTTGAAGTGGGGATCTAAGGTTCGCTGCTATCGATGCGCATGTTCACTTGCGATTGTGTGTTCCCAGCTTGGGCAGTAGGAAGGGTAGGTAGAGTGCCCGTACATATGAGCGGCGAACAACGGGGCGATGCGAGACACTGTTGAAATGCATCGTGAACTCGAACACTGTGAGGTAGGAAACTGGATTCGATATTAGACATTGAGATGCTCGTGAACTTGTTGAGCATCCCATTTCACCGGACAATAGCATTGTAGAGTCTGATCTCACATAAAGTTATGGACCAGACGTGGAGATGAATAGTGCACATATCGATGTACGGTATTTCGGTGCCTACTGATGTCGACATGATAGATCTCTTGACCTCACACGGTGCTTGCTGCTTACGGAGATGCGCTGGGACTAACGCCGATGTTCCTGCATGTAAGATGATGTGCAAACACGAGTACGAAGCTGCAGCACAGCCTCCCAGGCCCGTCCCGTGTCCCGCTCCATTCTGAACACACTGCAGCGCCCAGCCGGAACCAACTTCCGTTACTCAGCCACCAAAAACCGCATTTTCGTGGCGCCAGTCGTCCCAAGTGCACTCAAATTAGGATGTGTCTGAGTCGCATCTGCGACGTGCACACCACTGTTTGAGGATGCTCCACCGTGGCTTGGCGACATCTAGGCACTGGACCCTTTTGCCTGATATTGACAACGCATAATGAGGCACGAGTCTGATGAGGCTTTCAAGCGTACTTGTCGTGTGACGATTTGGACCGCATATCCATGGCTACTTCGTGGAAGTCATTTTCGCGTCGGGCCTTTCGCAGCTTCTTGACCTCGTCGTCGTTTAATTTGTGCCCAATGATGTCTTCCAGCTCTTTCTTACTGATCTTCTGATGCGCCTTCTCCTCTTTCGTAGCTTTATTGCGCGGCTTGAAGCGAGCCTGCATGCGTATGCGGAAAGTGGTGTTGAATGTGATGTCCTCTGCGTCTCCACGCACTTCAGTACCACTTGTGGAAGACTCGTCGATGCTCAGGTACTTCTGGCGCTGTGTTTGTAGGGAGAAAGCGCCAGGATTGTCTGGTATCGCGATTATGAGCAAGCGTTCTTCGGGTGAAATGGCGGTCGCATTTGCGCTGAGGATGCCGTACTTGTCGCAGCTGAGGTATCTTTAGAGTGGTCAGCAGATGTTCACCAAGCAGTATAGTTTAACGTACCTCCCATGGTGACCCTTCAGATTGAAGTCTTCTGTGCCAGCAACCCTGTTGGCCACAAAGACCTGTCGCACATCGTGTGGTTCCGCTGTTGTTGCGTCGCCGTCGACGATGTTCTCTAGTTCACTTGCAAAGACCTTTCCAACCGCATCGCATGCTAAGCAAGTTGCCTTCTCTGTAGGCAGAACAATGACGATGGGTCCAGTGATGTCGCTGGGCGCATCTGCGCTCACCCAGGAATCATCGCTCTCTTCTTCGGCAGGCGCGGAGGTGGTCAACGCTTTTGAAGACGATTGTTCGGCATCATCCGGGTCAGCGGCTCTCTTGCGCTTCTTCGTCTTCTTGTCACCCTTAAAGGAGAGTGGTTTGACCATATTGATAGCTTTCTGGTGGTGAGGTCAGCTTCGGAATTGGACGACTTGCGCTCGGAATTGGCCGAACGGGGCACGGGCGGTAAGAGCTCTGGAGCGGCAGAATCTGGAAATAGGCAGGTGGGATTGGGTGAAATCAGCCGAGCTCTTGAATGCTCACACTAATTTGAAGGTATTCACAATACTAAAGTGACGATAGGTGCCAGCTGTGTAACGTCTTTACCCATTCGTCATCATATCTGAAGACGTTGATCAAACATCAATATGGCCAGTGCCAACGCTGCTGTCAACCAGAACGCTGTTGCGGTGGGGTTAGAAGATCTCAAGACTGGTAAGGATTACTGTCGATGCTTCTTGATATCGTCAAGTCAGACTGATCTCCTGCTAGACAATGTTGACTTCGGACTGCTCGAGCAGGCCTTTGGCCCTGAGAGTCTTGGCATAATCGTCGTGAAAGACCTTCCTGAGAAGTTCCATGGACTGAGACATAAGCTGCTATCATACTCCTCAGCTCTCGCTAGTCTGTCACCAGAGCAACTCGGTACGTAGCAGCATCTGTAGGGTTTCGGGCTGTATCTAACTGATAGCCTGTAGAGAGGCTTGAATCACCAGCATCCAAGTGGCTCGTTGGCTGGTCCTGTGGAAAGGAGACGCTTAAGGGTGGCCAATATGATACACTCAAAGGCTCGTACTATGTCAACTGTGCCCCTGGATTCGAGGACACACAGAAGTCAGTCGCCGAGAAGTACCCATCATTCCCAGAGTACACAGCACCCAATGTCTGGCCATCAGAGGAGCTTCTGCCAGGCTTCGAAAAGACCTTCCGTGAGCTCACAACACTGGTCATCGACGTCGCAGTACTTGTTGCTCGTGCCTGTGACAGGTACGCTGAAGCCAACATTGAAGGCTACCAGAAGGGATTCCTGGAGCACGTCGTGAAGACAAGTGTGTCGACCAAGGCCCGGCTCTTGCACTACTTCCCATCCCCAGATACGAACAGTGGGGCTTCAGACACGTCCAGCGGCGATGAGGACGACTGGTGTGCTACTCACCTCGACCACGGCTGCTTGACAGGTCTTACATCAGCAATGTTTGTCGACGAGGCAGCACATACGCCGCAGACCGGCGCAGCGTTTGCACCTCTTCAGGAACTTGAGCGCTCGCCTGACCCCAAGGCTGGGCTCTACATCCATTCAAGGACCGGGGCAACTGTCAAGGTCGGGATACCGCGGGACTGTCTCGGCTTCCAGACTGGAGAGGCTCTTGAGATCATCACCAAAGGCAAGTTCAAGGCTGTTCCCCACTTCGTCAGAGGAGCTAGGCCTGGCATTGGAGGAAAAGTTGCTAGGAATACACTGGCCGTGTTTACCCAGCCTAACCTGTGGGAGAAGGTGGACGAGAGTAGAGATTTTGCCACGTTTGCGAAGGAGATTGTGGAGAAGAACCATTGAGAGGTTGGCAATGACATCATCTGTTATCTGATTCTTGACCGTAACTGCAAAAGACCTCACGCGACAGTGAAAAAGTGATGGCATTTGTTGTTTGAATCAAGGCTTGAGGGCCTGGACTGGAGCGCGACCCACTGGTACCCTGACCGCTAAGCACGGCGCCTGGGAAGTGCTGGGAAGCCACGACGGCGGATGCTGCCGACTCCAAGCCTGCAGGCAGGAGCGCAGAGCCTCAAGCCTCAGCGCCGCTGGGCACGCCAACAATAACGACAGCGCATCACGTCTTCATCAGCTCCACGACGATCAAACTACGCATCGTGGGGAAATAGCTGGATGGCTTCTTTGCGCGTCACGACGCGTCCTCCGACGCTCCGATATTGCCATCTGCGGCTCCTTCACTATCTTGGGGGATCTGACGCAGCTAGTGTAAGTGGCGCGACGTCGCTTCACAGATTTCATCCCGGGCCAATGCACTCCCTTCAGCACGCCAACCATTTTGAGCCGCCGAATCATAAGCATGCACCCTTTGACTTTTGCGCCACACCTTGAAAGCTTCCTTAGGGATTGGCAGCACCTGAACCCCTTTGAGCAGCGGTGGTGCAACGCTGGACAGAAAGATATGGCCTAACCCGCATCAGCCCCGACAACGGTCAGCGGCTGTGTCCTTCAAGCTCGTCATTCCTCACTGTGCCGATTCCCGGGTGGCTGCAATTCATTCGCGCGGGAACAAGCCAGCTCCATTAGCACACTGCCAAGCCGCTGTGGTTGTGAAACGGGTGGGGAGCACATGGACATGATTTCTCCAGCGCCCAGCATATTACGCGGCCACCCATGTACACTCGGCACGTCTTACCCGTTGCAGACTGAACGCCAATGAGACAGGTAAAACCCATCGTCTTTCGCTGCTACTCCTGACGGGCTTTATCATGACAGGCTCCATATCCGACTACCCGTCTTCGCATGGAGGAACTTGCTTGCACCCTAGCCACCAACACTTATTCTCCTGCTTGGTTCGTGGACAGCCGTTAGAGTAGCGCTATAGCTGCCACAGTCGCTCTTTTATCCCCTCTTTGTTTCCTTGTATTCGTCGCGCGTATTTATCTACCCAGAGCCTCGCCATTCCCTTGCTTCACTCGGACTTCGTACTCGCTTGCATGACTTTACTGTCCAAGGTCCCACTATCGCTCGTTCGCGCCACTATCTCCGGACTATCGTCGACCGACTCTGGGGCTCCTGCTGGCAACATGGCTTCCAATACTCGCCAGAACGTGACGTGGGTTGAGGTATGTACCTGAACTATGACGTCTACATTCCTCACTTAACATACTCAGGGTGTTCGGGGAGTTGCTTCCTTCTGGGTCGTTGTAACACACCTGTGCAGAGCATGGGATTACAGCCTCTGGTCTCCACGCAATAGCGAGGATGCCATACCTCAATTGCTTCAGCTACCGTTCCTCCGGCTACCATGGCAAGGACGAATCGGAGTTACGATGTTTGCCTTCCTCACCGGTTACGTCTGCGCTATCAAACCACTTCGACAAGCAAAGTCCGGCAACATTCCAGCCGCTTTGACCACTCTTGGAAAATCGGCTTTCCGCCGACCACCGCGGTTGATCATGCCCGCTACAATTGCTTTGGTGATTGCATGGTTATTTGCCCAACTAGGAGCATTTGAAGTTGCTTACCGTAGTGACTCCCACTGGTTGAGGCGTGCTGTTCCCCAGAACATTGGCAGCCTTGACACCGAGATCCCTCGTCTGTTCAGGAACTTCCAGGGTGCTTGGTCTGGCGCCAACAACGAGTACGATGACCACCAGTGGGCGCTGCTCCCTTTGCTCCAGGGTGCTTTCCTGATCTACGTACTCCTTTTCGCGACTGTCTTCATGAAGTTCCGCATGCGTTTGTTTACCTGCGTTGTCCTGTTTTGGTGGTACTGGATGCGAACAAGCCCCGAGAAGGGTATGTCAAACATCGCTTCCACAATGTTCTCACAATGCTAACTGAATTCAGAAACTTTCGAATGCCAGTTCCTCTACGGTGTTATGCTCTGCGACATTGGTTCCGAGAAGGGCTTCCGCGACTTCGTCAACAGCTACCCCAGAGTCCGCCGAGCTGCTCTGACAACACTTATTGTCGTTGGCTGGTACGTTGCCTGCTTCCCGGGAGAGCACTGGGAGTGGGCCAGCTGGTCCATTCAGCTCAAGAACATGGGCGACTGGATCATTCCTGAGGGCGCCGCGAGCTACCCTAAGCGCTTCACAGCTATCGGTTGGGATCTTATGGTCACTGGAATCTGGCTGTCGCCTAGCCTGCAGAGCATGTTCTCGAACAAGCTGTTCATGTGGGTCGGCCGCAACAGCTTCGCAGTCTATCTTACCCACGGAACCGTTCTGAAGGTTGGCCTCGCACGATTGATCTACGGATGGTCAACCGCACCCTACCGCGTCGAGCAGCCTGCAAACGGTGAGGGAGACGCCATCGAGCACTACATCCCTCGGTCACAGAACTGGCTGGTGTGGGCTCTTGCCATTCCCACGTTCTTCGCTGTCGAATACACGATCGCCCACCTGTGGACTACCTATGTCGACTCGCAATGCGCCAAGGCTACAAAGTGGCTCGAAGAGACCATGTTCGAGAAAGAGGAAGATGAGAAGCACGGTGTGGCAAACATGGCATAGACTCGACGAGGCGCACAACCAACACCGTCTACGAGTAGCCATAGACCTGCTGGAATCAGGAACATTGCATCTTGTTTTATGATGAACATTTCTTTTGTCACTATATCCGCGGATACCAACACATCGTTTTCGCATTTTCATGGAGTTCATTTGTGGCACCGACCTGGAATTACTAGGCGTACATTGGAAGGAAAGAATTAGAAAGCCTAGGCGAGCACTGCGATGTCTCAACAAAATGGACACATGCACAGCACAGGCGAAGCAAAGCATGTCACGATTTCATGTGTAGAGCGTGCTAATATCTAATCAACATATCCACATTTACCCACTGCGCCAATTGAACTGTTGATCGGGCACAATATGTCGAAAGCAACACAACAGCATCTTATCATCAGCGACCGACTCACCTCCACAAAACAGCACAGCCTCTTCTGCACCACCCTCCATCACCGTCGCAACGCGAGCCACCTCCCACAAACTCACGATTACGCCTTACACCCAGCCATGACGGTCCCTTGTGCCACCGCACTGACGTGCTTGTGTATGCGAGGGGCCTCAAGCGCCACTTCGCCAATATTGCCAAGCGGCGGCACAACGCAGCACGGAAAAGATGGGCGCAAAGGTGCTAGTCCCAAAATAACCGCCACAGAGAGTAGGGTGTGCCGACTTCCGGGGCTGGGAAGTGACGTACCGTGGGGGACATTGTGTCTGTGGAGGGGTTGGTATGGTAACAGTCGAGTGGTGTATGTCTCGGATGATGGGCTTGTGTTTTTGAGGCGAAGTTGGTGGTGCTGCATCGGATTTGAAACGAGGATTACTCGGGTCAGCAATCAACAAAAGGGGGAAGTACAAGATGCACCAAGGCACACAACACCACGGCCATCTTTATCTTTAGTATCTGTATCCCGTCCAGAGTACTTATGATTCCATCCTTGGTCATATCTCATCAAAAGGCATCCGGCGCGCTCCCGTTCCTTTCTTGGCAAATGGCTCGATTCAAAGAGATTCCGACTCTGGCTCAAGCTACACAAAAGCGGTCAAGACATCGGGTACAACATCAAAGTTGTCGAGTCGAGAGGACAAGAAGTAACGCCATCTTCACGAGAATCGATAGAGATGGAGCAGTTTGTGTTTGCCAGAACGACAGCGTCATCGTGTGTCTTACAGTTCTAAAGTCTTGATTGTAAGAGACGGGCGAACCATCGATCAAGGCTGTCCATGTCAAACTTTGCTCCTGAAGGTAAGCTTACTCCAAAGGACAGACGTCGCAATAAGAGCGGCGATCTATATGCCATTCCTCACACCGCGTCACACGACACCGGTGTAATCTCGTGTTGTTCCTTGGTGCCCTAACCACACGAAGTGGCCCGCTCCGCTCGTATCCAGACTTTGAGGCTGCGCGGACACGAGTGGAATCGGAGATGGCTCAGTCGGCGGAGGCAAAAGAGGCAAAGGGTAGAAGCAAATGGTTAGTGTGGCGGTTCTGTGAAGTCATATTTTGCACGCTGCTGTGGGATGTGAGAGGATGGTGCGATGGGCTACGTTGTGCTGTGCGTAGGTTGAAGATGGTGCGATCTTCCGTGTTGTGAAGTTGCGCATGTTCAGCGCTTCGAGCTGGCCATCGCTGGACATCGCGCATAATCCGAAGAGTCCAGTCCCTCATCTAAGGAGGAAACGCAGTGTGAACAAGCTTTGAAGAATCTCTTACTCTTGTCAATTGGGGTGTAGAGAAAGTTCCATGTATCCTGTTGATCCCACTCGTGCCCCATTCCCTCGTTGGATCTACGGTCGTATGCTCCCTGAAAACCCACTCACTGCCTTCACCCACAACCCTACAGTCTTGGGCATGTTCAACAGAGCGCAGTGCTCGTGCCTTCCATACTGTGCAAAACACAGGTGCATGAACTGCTTAAAGTCGGTGTCCATTCCTGGACACAATGGGCCAATGTTCGTAACCATGAGTTTTCGCATGTCCAGCCCATCACGAACATGATCAAAAGTTCGTCAGCACGAATACGATTGTTTTGGGCATGCGAAAAACACAGCAACAAGCCAGACGACACCCAAAGCATATTGTGTCAGTCAAAAAGCTCGCTGATCCACGTTTACAGCTGTAATAGTTACCGCACATTCAACCGACACCTGCTGGAGCAGTGCGACATGGCGACTTACTCAGAGCATGTACAGTATGTCACCGGCACGAGCACCGTCGGGCACCCAATCAAAGATCTGGTTAGCCTCGAAACCGAGACGGGAGTGACACTGATAGATCGGGGGCAGGTGTAAACCCAAGAACACATACATGTACGCACCAAGAGAGCGAATGAGCAGAAACGGGACCACGGCCCTGGGGAGAAACGTTTGCTCTGGATAATGGATTCCCATCACTATGTCTTGACTACGTAGCACAGCAACCCTACTCCTCAAAGCCATCAAAGCCATCATCACTCCCCGGCGATGCGTCTCTCGCTGCCTTTTCTCTCCTCTTACTCCCCTCCTTCGCACCCCTCTTATTGTTCTCAATCCTCCTCTCGAACCCACTCTTGGTCGAAATCCTCCCCTTCTTCGCCTCCTTCCCTCTGAGATTACTCCGTCTCGACTCGACACCCCTCTTCTTCAGCGTCGCTCGATCCCTCTTCGTCGGCGTCGGCAGCGCATCAAGCAACCACTGCTTCACACTCCCCTCACCCTCAGGCACACCCCTCAACTTCTCGCTCGCGCGGATCACGTTCGCAATGAGCTTGACATATGGGATATCGTCCTGCGTATAAAACGTGACCGCAACACCGCCCTCGCGGCCCGCCCGCCCCGTGCGACCGACGCGGTGCACATATGCCGCTGCGGAGGTAGGCGCGTCGAAATTCACGACGCCGTTGAGACCCCGGAAGTCGACGCCGCGCGCGAGCAGGTCGGTGGTGATGAGGACCCAGACTTCGCCGCGGCGGAAGCGGGTCATGATGCCGTCTCGCGCGCTGCTCGATAGGTCGGCGTGCAGGACGGCGATGCGGGATGAGCCGCCGGCTTCGGGCGGGATGTCGTAGAGCAGCTCTGAGTGCAGGGCGATGGCGCGGGGAATGGTTTGCGTGAAGACGAGGAACGGGGGCCTGAGGACGGGAGCCGTGGAGGTGGAGGATATAGATGTCGGGTGTAGGAGTTGGCGCAGGCCGAGGAGTTTGCCTTGTTCGGTTGCGGCGTAGGTTAGTTGGTGGTGGATGTTGGGGATTGCGGTGTCTTTGAGGCCGACGACCAGGCGGATGAGAGGCGGGCGTGGTGATAGGTCGCTGCGAGTTGCCTTGAGGGATCTCCAGCGAGAATTTAGGGTTGAGATTGCGAGGGACTCGACGGATGCGCCCATGGTGGCGGACCAGAGGCCGATGCGGAGGAGAGGACTTGTGCACGCGTTCCAGACGGCGAGGGTTTGCTCGCGGAAGAGCGGGTCGAGGAGGACGTCAGCTTCGTCGAGGATGAGGTGACGGATGCTGGGCAGCTCTGCGACCGTACCGTCTCTACGCCTGAGGGCGTTGAGGAGCGCCAGCGGTGTTGCGACAATGATGGCGGCTTTGACGAGTTCCGCGCGTTTGCGATCACGCGTCTTCTGCTGGACTTGTCCCTCTTGGTCTGATGTGTCGGACCCAGAAGCACTGCCATCGTCGCCAGCAGCCCGGCCATCGTCGCCAGAAGCATCTGCCTCGGCTTCTGCAGCGGCCTTCTCGCTATCCATGCCATCTCCGCGTTCAACGACCTCCATTCCCTTCCTCATGAGCGTAGCCTTGATCCCCGTGCCCTTGGCAATCTTCCTCGCCTCGTTGACGATCTGCGCAGCCAGCTCTCGTGTCGGCGCAACGACAATCGCTCGCGGCCCCTCTTTGCTGTCCGTCGAGCCCTCCCTGAGCAGTGCGTTGATGACCGGTATCAAGAAGGCGATCGTCTTGCCGCTTCCAGTCGGCGCAACCGTCAAGAGGTCGATGTCGCCGCCGTACTCTGCACCAGAGCTCTCCGTCTCCGCAGCGTCTGCCCTTGGGATAGCCTGCTTCTTGCCACCAAGCAGCAGCGGCAGCGCACCAAGCTGGACTTCAGTCGGCAGCTTGTAGCCCTGCTCTTGTATGTTCTCCGCAAGCCGTCTTGAGATGGCGTAGCGCGTGGTGCGCAGTTGTGCAAAGTCGGTGAGCGGCTGGGGGTAGAGTTGCTTCTTGGTGTCCTTCGTCTTATCCTTGGACTCCCCTCTCTCCTTCTCGCGCTTCTTGCTGCTCTTCTTTTCTTTCTTCTTCTCTTTGGCGTCTAGAGCTTCTTGCGCGGCAAAGTCTTCGAGGACAGCGATCTTAAGCTTGTGCGAGCGGAGGAGGCGCTTGCTCTCTGTTGCATCGTATGCTTCCACCTCTCGGCCAGCCCCAGCCTCAGCCTCGGCTTCGACGTCATCTTCTCCATTCACGCTTGCTTCGGCAGCCTGCTCTGCCCCGGCTTTCCTCTTGCGCTTCTTCTTCCCCCCGTCCTCTGCACCCTTCGGCGCCCCAAAAAAGTCCAGCCCAGCATACAGACTCGTATCCTCCTCCACTACCTCCGCCCCATCCTGACCTCTCTTCCTCTTCTTGTTCACGCCATTGAACGCCGGCCCATCGTGGCCGAAAAGTTGCGGATTCGCGGCGGCGCCGCTGGAGGGCAGTTTTTGTGTCGCGCTTGCTTTTGCGCTGGGTTTCGCGCTGGGTTTTGCGGCGCGCGAGAGTAGCTTGAAGACGTCCATGTCGGCGGGCAACCAGGACGTGGCAGAGTGGACTCCAGGAGAGAAGGAGCGAGGCGTGCTTCAGGAAAGAGCGTTGTGCGCTGCAGGAAAGAGCGGCATGTGCTGCAGGAAAGAGCGTTGTGAGCTATGCGCCATGACCATGGTGCTGAAGTTTGGTGCAAAAGTTCGAGCTCCACTCGGAAAGATTAAAGTGGGGCTCGGCCCAGCACCAGCACCAGCACCGGCACCGGCACCAGCTTGCCCCATCAGGCAAGCCACAAGAGCCGTCGGACGCGGGCGTCAAGCTCTCACTCCGACACGCTCTCGAAACGATGCGTGCTGATTGGTCAGCACATGCCCCAGTATCTTTGGCGTCTTTGGCGTCTGGAGGCACTCGAGATGGACGGGTTACCATGCGGATACGAAAGAAGTGTATTGCGAGCCGTTGCACAGTGCGGTTGTCAGGAAAAGGAAATCTAGAATCAGAGCTATGTGCAGTAGTACAGTTGTTTTTGGGCCATCAGTCCCATGTCGTGTGCACCCTCCAATTCATCTCGGAATCGTACACCCCATCCTTTGCCGCCAGTCCACATGCTTCCTCCCCCTTCAGTCATCCTCGACTCGCCGTTGGGATATTACAACGAATCACGTGCCGCCGCTGCTCCCTTATGCGTGGGCCTCGCTGTCACCACCGTGCCCCTTCTCCCTGTACCCAACGAGCTTGAAACGACCGATGATCTCGCCAATGGAGAAGAAACCAAGGATCTCGGCGGCGACGACACCAGCGCTCCAGTACTGTGCGCTCGATGCGCCGCGGACCTGGCTGAGGAGCGTGTTGGGGCTGAGCGTGTTGGCGATGGAGGCGGGGTGGCGGAGCGCGTTCAGCGCGGGCTGGAGGTAGCCCTGGATGGTCTGGATGGAACTGTGTGTCGTGTCAGCAAGTGGCTGTGGAGTGTGGGGATGCGGTGGTGGAAGGCTTGCGGGGGTGGAAGGCTTGCGGGGGTGGAAGGCTTACGGTGGTGCCATGCTGCGCTGCTGGACGATGAGCTTGCCGAGCTCGAGGGTAACGCGGCCGTAGTATGTGGCCTGGGGGATCAGTCCTGGCGTCTGTTAGCAAGCCTGCTGAACCATGCACTTCCTGTTCTCGTCCGCATGTCTTTGGGGTCGATAGCAGTCGAAGCACCACCCAACACGCGCCCAGAAAGCCGCACAGAGCCCCCCCGCCGCGCCATTGAGCCTCAACAACCTCTCCCTGCGCTCTCCTCCGCTTTCCAACCAACATGCACCCGCTTGCCCTCCAAAAAGAATCTCACTTACCCTGAACAGCCCCAACCAGCCTTCCAACCCTGCCCTGGGCCTTGCTCGCCGCGCTGTTAACCGTGCCCGCGGCGTTGCTCGCAGCATTGCTGGCAGAGCTGGCCGCAGACTCAGCCGAGGTCTTGACCTTGGTCAGGCCCTCGGACGCCTTGGACTGGACCTTGGAGGCCGCGTCGCCAGCCTTCTCCTTTGCGGCGCCGGCGGCCTCGGAGGTGGTCGAGGCATTGCGGACGCCCGCGCGGCGGACAGCGAACCGCGACTGGCGGACAAGCGCGCGAGATACAGCGAAAGACATTGTGATGGTGCGTCGGCGTGGGTGGGCGATGGAGGGTGGTGTGGACGGCCGGCTATCACTGATGTTGGCGGTGCGAGGAGCTCGAGCTTTTTTCGAGAGCTTGGCGCTACGGACGTTCTAGGAGCGGTGCCAGGACCAGCGCTCCTCAACACCATGAAACACCAAGAAACACCAAGAAACACCAAGAAACACCAAGAAACACCAAGAAACACTCATATCACCAGCGGATCATCGCTGCTTCAAATATTGGCGTAGTAGGAATTCATCTTCTTCAAGGGCCAGTCTATCCAACTTCAACACCAGCTTTGAGGTTGTCCAAGGTCTCATCTCAGCTCCATGTCCCCTCACAGCTAGCTACCAGCCGTCTCTCCATGTCCTGGGTCTCCTGCCAGACCTCGCCTCACCCAGTCGCGGCTCCTTCAAGAGAAAGTTTAGCTTTCGAATCTCTGTCCAGCGGCTCAGCGCGCCCAGCTCCAGCACGCTCATTCTGCGCATCTTCCCGCTTGGGTTGCCAATCACCACGGCTTTCCAATCGCTGCCTCTGCCCATCTTTTCGAGTTCTCCAAACTCTTCCCATGCTGCCGTGTCCCGTCGAGTGCCGAAGGTGTGGTTAGGGATGACCTGAACACTTCTGAAACGCACAAGAACGAGGGTGAGTGCGATTGTGAGGAACAACAGGATGCCTGCGGTCACGCCAGTCGATGCCTGAGCACCAAGACGCCGCGTCATGATGCCGCCCACTTCGGTGGCCACTGCTCCGCCGATGAACGCCAATGTCTGAGATGCAAAGATGCCAGCCGTGACTCGCGGGAAGGAGGAGAAGTTGGTTCGACGGCGCCGATCCTGAACAGCCATCGATTCCAGCCGATGTTTTGTGTTGACACCAGGCTGCAAGTCGCACGTGTCGAACGTCTCCATGATAAGACCGTGGCATTCGGCAATTGCGAGGATGCTGAAGAACCCCAGAGCGCCCGCGAATGCGATCGGTACCATGAACGGTTTCGGGCGTCCTGCCGAGGAGATCGTGTAGGCCAAGCCCATCAGCGGCAGCACGATCGTAAAGAGCGTACGTCGAACGAGATGCGATGACCAAGTCACCTGCTTCTGGAATGTCATGCTGTCCGTTCGAAAGGAGTTCTTCCGTTCGCGAGAGAAGATCCTAGCCTTAGTTAAAGGAAGCGCCAGGAAGGCTCCGATGGCAATCGACGTGACTCCAGCTCCTACAAAGCGCGGTTGGCACTTGTAGTTTCTCGATAGCAACGAGCCCAAAAGCACGATGACGAGCACCACCTGTGCATATATCCAGGCCAGGTACAGAGCCAACACGAAGAAACCGGGCTGGCACATCATCATGGTCATGAGTTTCATGCCAGCCCACACTTCTTCGAACCAGTACTTTGGACCTTCTGTCGAGATATGCAACTTGCACTCGCCTCGAGCGACCCGGCGAGTGATGTAGTTCTCATCGCGATCGTAGACTTCCGTTACTGACTTTCGATAGGCTGCGCGCCGCGTCTCGGGCGCAATGATGTTCAAAACGAGTGCAGCAGACAGTATGATGATGACGACGTAGAAGCCCCAGTCCGGACTCAAATGCTCGATGATCACAGCCCCAACCATGAAACCGACAGCGAGCGATGCGATCCAGCACCAGGACCATATGCCGAGCCACAAGCCCATGCCTCCACCATGTCGTCTCACATCATTCGGAACAACGTATTCTTGATGTGGATTCTTGCTTTGCAACGACGCGCCGAACAGGTCGAGCAGTACGGTGATGTAGTTTACGTTCGCAAACCCAAGAACGAGTCCAGTTGCCAAGCGAGCAACAAGGAGACCTGCTCGAAAGCTTTGTCTGGTGGGAGACCGTTTGGTGCTGAGGATCATCGCCTGGGGAAACTGCAACGGCATGGCGAGTGTCAGAGCAGCCAGTATGTACGGCTTCCGACCATGGAGCAACGGTAACGGCCAGACTATACACGTGGAGATGGCGAGGCCAACGTACAGTCTATATTGGGTCAGCAACACTCACGTCTCGTAAATCAGTCACCTACACAACGTTGCCGAGGATGGCAACATGACTTTCGTCTGCGAGGTAGTACTGGATGCGTGGTACTTCACCTGCCTTGGATATGTCAGAGAGAATCACACATCTTGCAACTCGTCGGACTACATACGTAGACTCCAATGATGATGCCGAGAAGAGCGGTATTGATGCACGCAATGATTGCGGTCAAGCGTTTCTTGCCGGTGCCCCAATTCCTTGCGATTGGTTGTCTGCGATGATGTCGCCGAAGGCTGAAGGTGTGTTGAGCCTGTTCCCGCACGCGAAGAGTCCCGCCATATTGCCGCGGTGGGAGACCTTCCTCATTGAAAGACTCTTCGGGAGGACTTGACTCAGAAGAACTTCGCCTCTTGTGTCGCGACACAGACCTCGGCCTAGCCTCTCGATCAGAGCTGCTTCGACTTCGAAGACGGCAATGACGATGAGGCTTCTGGCCGGGCACCCCCCTGTCCCTTATGATACGTCGATGTGGTCGACCGCGAGAACGATCTCGAGCCATGGGCCGAAGTACGAGGTCCACATGCTCTCTTGGTGCGGCTTGGGTAGGATCCGGGGGAAGAAGCAGGTCACTTCGAGTGCTGAGCCTCGAACGACCTCTTGCGACGCTAGTCGAACGTGACGAAGATGAAGTGATGCTTGTCGGACTTCTGTGGGGTTGGTAGGCCCAATCTACGGATGCTGACCCTTGCTGCAGGTCGATCCGCACTTGCGAGGGCACCAAGTCCACCAAATCCTCGGTCGTGTTCCTCTGGGTAGGGGGAGGTGGCAAGTGTGGTATTCTTCCTAGCCTGGGAGGCGACAAGTCTCTCGGATAGCCACCATAGTCCTCCCACTCATGAGACGAACCGGACGCCGGAAGCGGTGAGCTTGTGGCCATGAGGTGTTGTGTAGGATTATTAGAAGCTCCTTGTATTGCTTGTCTTGCACCTTCGATGATCTCGTAGATTTCCTCCACCTGGCCATGATCCGTAGTCTCATCGGCGATCTCTACGGCTTCTTGTACCATGTCTTCAAGACCTTCGATCGCGTTGCTTATTCTCCTGTCCCCCATCCGCTCGAAAGCATTACGACCTGGTCGTGGACGAGATGGTGACACTTGGACCCGGGAGATTACCACCGGCGTTGTCGTATTTGTGACCACGTCACGTTGAACAGGTAACTGGATTGACTCTGAGGTACTAGATCTCTCAAGGTGATCTGGTACTGGAGCCAGGCTATCTGCTCGTGCGCGACGCTCGTGTATAACCTCCTCTTCTATACTTGGATTGAAGGTGTCCACGAAGGAGAGTCGCTTTCTGGGCTCGTGCGATGCTGAGGATTGACGGAACGCTGTCTGTTGGGCCACAGACTCTCGTTGACTCTGTGCCATGGACTCTCGTCGATTCTGTGCCATGGACTCTCGTCGATTCTGTGCCATGGACTCTCGTCGACTCTGTGCCATGGATTCTCGTCGATTCTGTGCCATGCGATGTCTTGTGACTGGCGAAGGGCTACTCTCGAGTGGTGATCCCATCGCTAGCGTTCGATGCTCAGTTGGTGACGACACGAGCTTCTTTCGGACGACAGTTGCGGGTACAGAAGGCCGGACAGTTGAATCAGCCGTCGTGTATGCTGTTGCAGTACGTTTGGGAACGGTCAGGGTGGAAGGTTTGCGACTGGGTGGACGTGTAGTCGGCGAAGGGTAGTCCTCGGGAGGTGCCGCAGGCACTGCTTGTGAGGTTTTGCCATCGAGCCAGGGCAGCCTCTTCAGTGTTGTTCCTAGGACCAGTTTCGTTGACCGAGCCGTTGGAATGCCAGGTTTCTCCGATGTGGTCATGGTGAGACTGACGCAGCCGGCCGCGCGGACGTGATGAGGCGTGTGACTCGAAGAGATCGCAACAAGCTTCTCCTAGGACTGCAAGTGAGATAGCGCAGGCTGAGGACGATAGCTTAGAGCGCTACGGGGCTAGGTGAGACTAAGATGAAATCATATGGGAGAAAGTAAACGACCAGCCTCAAGTGTGCAAGAGGTTAGTGAAGCTGGTCGCTAGAAAGACGAGATGGAAAAGATAGACGATAAGGAAGGTATGGATGTGGTGTCGTGAGTGCGAGAGTGTGGAGTTTGCCTCGACTGGCTCTATTGTTTACCATGCGCTGGGCGTGGACGCACCTCCCTGGACTGGATGCGACATTTCGCCACACTGAAGAAGGTAGCTGCCATGTACAATGACCAACATCTATATTCACCGCATTGGCCGACTAGAGACAATGATTAATCTACTCGAATCGCGTTTCTCAGCTCCCGCATGCATGTGTACGAAGAAGATTACAGAGCTTGCAGCAGGGTCGCTGTCATAGCAAGGACCTTCTCTTCCTCGAGTCTCTTTGCGACAAGCTGTAGACTGACTGGCATTCCGTGCACAGCCTCAACGTCATAGCTGTCGTGGGCAGCTTGACAAAAGTCGCTGAGCGCCTTGTAATCGGCAACGGGTGTGTCGACAGCCTTGTCTACGGATATGCCGCTGGGGAATGAAACAGCAGAGTAGTCAACAACGTTGTATACACCGGTATAGCCGACATACTTGAAGTCGCCGTGCTTGACGGTTGCATATGGCGTCGTTGGGCCTGAATAATGTCGTTAGCGAGTGATTAGGAGACCGGCGGCATCACTTACACAGAATGGCATCAAGTCCATCGTAAGACATCCACTGCTCGAGGTATTGACGTTGTAATTCTGTGCGCTCAAGGTGCAGCTTCCACATGTCGTACGTGCCGAGCTCGGTGGCATCTTCGTACACCTTCATCTCTGGCCGCCATGGCTCACCGGTGGGCTTTAGTAGTGCTTCGACACTTTTGCCGCCATCTGCTACGAACATACGTCCCTGCCTGATAGTCAGTTCAGGAAGATTGTATTCTGAAGTGATCTTACCAGCAGTTCCAGGGCCTTGCGGTGGAGTTGCTTCGGATCCCAATCGACCAACTCATGTCCAGCAGTCTGCAGCTTCTGTACCGTCTCCTTGAGAGCTCGCGTGACAGGTGGAGTAGGCGAACATATCCCATCGTCCCACATGACAGCGATCTTGAGCTTTTGTTTCGGCTCTACAGGCTGCCAGGGTATAGGCAGCATTGTAGGATCAACTAGCCACGGCTTCGCATCGATGACCGCCTTCGAGTACAATGCAATATCTTCCAACGTCCTCGCCATCGGTCCATTCACACTCTTAACAGCTTCCTGGCCTGCAAGCCCGGACCGACATCTCTGTGTCGTAAAACGGCCATGACTTGGGCGCAGCGTGAAGATACCAGTGCACGCAGCTGGAATCCGTAGACTTCCTCCAATGTCAGTACCAACACCTAGCGGACTGCCGCCAAAAGCGATAAGTGCTGATTCTCCGCCGGATGAGCCGCCAGAAGTAAGCGCGCGGTTTAATGGGTTGACAGTTCGACCAAACGTGTTGTTGACGGATTCAGCGATCATCATGGCTGTGGGCACGTTGGTCTTGCAGTATCGCACTGCACCTAACTCTTGCAGTATGTCTACGAGCGTAGCATTGTACTCTGCAGGTTTGTCGACTAGAGATGTGAAGCCCACGGTGCTGTCTTTGCCTTCGATGTTGAAGTTGTCTTTGAGCGAAATGGGAAGGCCGTGGAGTGACCCTGCGAGCTTTCCGGTGCGCTGGAGGTGATCATCGAGAGCTGCAGCGCTCTTGATAGCCTCATCGAAGAAGACATCGGTTAAGCAGTTGGTGAGTTGATGTGCTGCTGCGGCGCGTTTGCAGAACGCCTTCATTACGTCTTGTGAACTCCATGCTTTCGATGCGATCTTTTGCAGAATGTCCGATGCAGTGCTACCAGTGATTTCCAGTTCTTTTTCTGAAAACCACCCTGATTGCTTGGGCCATGGTGTAACGTCCAGTTGTGAATCCGGTGGTAGGAGGTCCTTGGGGATGCGATACTCGGACGGAATAGATTCCGCAAGGGCCGCTTGCTTCGCTTTGGCGATCTTTTTCCAATTTTGCTCAGACATGTTCTCACAGCTCTTGGAACACCAACAATTGATAGCAGCAACAAAGTCACAATGTCAACAGAAGCTTCTTAAGGAGCTTGAACCTCGGAGGTAAGCTACTGGAACTACCAGCGTCAGGCGTTCTTGTCCGGCGCAAGCTCCCCACCTTTCAGTCCATGTATCGCTGCGGAACATGACGACGACGCCACTTTCGCTGCTCACTAGTTCGACGCAGATCGCCTGCGAACCCCGCGCGCTGTGATTGATCACTTTAAGCGTCATCCCTAGGAGTCTGGTGGAGCGGTGGCTTTGCTTAACCTCCTTCGGACGCCCTCGTTCGATGCGCTACCTTTGCATCCTTCACAACAACCACCGATAACGGTAGCTGACCTAAAGGAGGAACCCGGAGATCCGACGTTGTATCGCCAGTATTAAGATACGTGATAAGATGCTGGTGTCGCTTATCTTGAATCAGCAGTACACATTATCGCCTTTGCCATATCTCGCATCTCGCGTCTATCAGTTGATCACGGGCGGGTGAACATTACCGAATCTTGACTTGACCTTGGCGTTTGGTCGTGCCGGTCCATATAAGGAAAGACCAACCGGCAAAGATCAGAGACGACGGCAAAGAGCACAACCACTGCTCACACGAGCATCTATTCCTAAACTCGAGGATTCTTGTCTATCGAGCAACAGCAGCTGCAATGGCGAACAGCTTCATACAGTACCTGCGAGGTGATCACAATGCGCCTGGTGAGCGCAAGTTGGTTCAGAAGCTCGACTTCTTTATCCTTACTTTCTGCTGCCTCATGTACTTTTTAAACTACCTCGATCGAACGAATCTGAACAACGCGTATGTCTCCGGCATGAGAGAAGAGCTACACTTCAAAGGAAATCAGCTCAATCAGATCAATACCGTCTTTACCGTTGGCTACACGGTTGCTCAAGTCCCTTGCAACATAGCTCTATACTACATCAAGCCGAGATACTTCTTTCCGGCATGCATGGTGAGTGTTACTCCAGGACTGGAACAACTCGCGCTGACTTCGTCTAGGTGGTCTGGGCTGGCTTGACAATGGTGACAGCTGCGGCCCAAAAGCCTCAAGATATCATGGCGATTCGCTTCTTCCAGGCCATGTTCGAAGCATCGACCTTCGTTGGAACTCATTACATCCTAGGCTCGTGGTACACTGAGAAGGAGCTCGGTAAGCGCTCGGGTATCTTCACAGCATCTGGACTTGCCGGCACCATGATCGGTGGCTTCATCCAGACTGGCATCCACTCTAGTATGGACGGATTGAACGGTTTATCTGGATGGAGGTGGCTATTCGTGATTGACGGCATCATCACATTGCCCGTCGCACTCTATGGCTTTCTACTGTTCCCGGATACTCCAAGGAACACGAAAGCTCCGTATCTCAGCGCAGAAGAGAAAGCTCTTGCGATTTCGCGTGTTCCAGAGGTCTCAGAGCGTACACCTATCTCCTGGAGTTTCTTGAAGCATTGCTTCTCGAACTGGTACTGGTACTTCTTTGTCATTCTCTGGATTCTGGCTGGAGAAACCGAGTCGTTCAGTACTAATGCGCTTTTGGCTTTGTACATGAAATCGCACCCAAACAACAAGTACACTGTGTCGCAACTAAATAACTACCCGACTGGTGTTCCTGCAGTCGGTATTGTATCGACCCTGTTTTGGGCAACACTTACCGATTTCATGGGCGGCAAGCGCTACCTTGGTAAGTCATGGTTACAACTTCCTCGAGACATTGCTGACGGCCCCATAGTCGGCTACTGGATTGGCCTGACTGGTGTCATCACAAGTGCACTCATCCTAGCGTATCCCAAGAACACCACCATACATTTTGCGATGTACTACTGGGCAGGTAGCGTTTATGCGTGTCAAGCGACATTCTTTGCATGGGCAAACGATGTGCTTCGCTATGAAGAAGACAGCTTACGTGCTGTTGTCATCGCATCTATGAACATGGGTAGTAATGCTATCAACGCGTGGTGGTCGATCGTCTTCTATGGTGCAAACTTCGCACCTTACTTCACACGAGGAATGTGGGCGATGATTGCCGTTTCAATAGCAAGTAAGTTTACGTTCCAATGTAAGAGTAGGTAATGTACACATGCTAATACCTGTCAGTGGCTATCTGGACGGCGCTACTTGTATGGCAGCAGGTCCGTACCGAGAAGAGAAGGGAAAGGGAGACCATCTCAACAACACTTGCGACTAAGGAGCAGGATCTGGACCAAAATCATCACCTCGGTCACACCGTTGATGAGAAGGTTTAGAAATTACAGATCTCGTTGAGAGATTGCGCTCAATGCGTCGACTTCTGTCAGCATCAAGAGGCAGCACCCCTGTGACCGACTCGTGTTCGAACTGCCTATGACGAAATACAGAACAAACTGTTTGACATGGCCACAAAGATCTCAAAGCAGCGGGGAATACCTCCAAGCTTTGTGATTTAGGCTTTCGCTTTCAGAACCAACGACTGGGGTCGAATACTGCGACGGTTTCTCAACTGCTCATCTTGAGGTTCAGCACCGCGTCAGCAAGGCTTCATAAAGACCTTGTGGGTTGTCTTGATTGCGGTGGCAATTGAAACATACTCCATACTCCCATCGTCGAACCTGCCTCTCGGGCTCATTTACGCGTCCGCAATTTCGAGGCTGTCAGTGACTCAGCATGATGCAGCCTTTATTCGGGACTTAAGCTGCACAAGCATAAAGATTTTCTTCAGCCGCTCGAGCATTCGTGCATGTTGCATGCGACGTTCAGTGTTGTGGACTGCAACGCGTCAATTCGGATGCTTGCGGATTGTAAAGCTACAAACTGACAGGTTCGACACGTGGGTTACGTGGACACGAACGACTTGCGACCTCCACTATCGTCATTATCGACCCATTGAAAGGAGTTACTTTTCAAGTTTGATCGAGTGGCCGTTTTACTTTTGCTCGATGACAGGCACTAGAGGCTGCTCGCAACACTGTTGCAGGGATGTTCCTCATTCGTGGCACGTTGAACACCAGAACTTAGCGCTGCCTGAACCCTGGCGACCCTGGACATCACTTTGAGTACAAGCGAGGCCCTTGCACCTACACATTCAACTTCCAAGATAATCTTGCGTTTCGATCCGCCAATGCTGGCTTTTGGTCCTTGTACGATCTCGGCCCTACCCAGTCTCCTGTTTTCAAATGCAACACCTAGGTCTTGCTTGCTTCCGTTGCAGCGTGCACCTTGCGACGATACCCCATCTTTCGTCCGTATTAATCCTTCAGACCCCGAAAGACATCATTGTCATCTTCGCTTTGACCCTGATGTGTGGATTCCTGGGCAGCAATCCCCTCGGCTGCTTCGATCGACGAATCGCGTACATCAGGTGCAAGAAGAAGTCCCTGTTACGAGAATGAGCCGAAGTAGGAATGACGAGGAGGGTTGCGAGCTTATTCAGGGTCTGAGTCGCTGCTACAACCATTGGCTATATCACCTTTGCATAACACTCATGCCAGCCGTTCACAAAACATCGCAAGGTCTCCTCTCCTTACCCCCTTATTCCCAGATATTCAACGCTCCCCTCCACTCATCTTGAAGTATTCAATTAGCCAAGTTTACATCTATGCTTGGTCCCTAGTCACTACCTCTGTTTCTCTTAGTCCTGAGGGCCCATATATCCAGAAACATCGCCAGCACCGAGTCATCTCCCAGCCAACAGTACAAATTTTCTTTCCGGCTTCATGGCTGGGTCAAGCCCTCTTCCACACTACTATGGCCAACAGCTCCAAGACGGTACCATGATGGAGTCTCCTTCTGTGCCCCGTCACTACAGCTCTCACGAATCCCGGAAGCAGCTTCTTCAGCCACCACACCAGGCATATATTGAACACGGTCTTAACCCCATATCACCAGTGTCTCCTATGGACCCTACAGACGCCTTTGGACTGACAACAGTATCCGCGCCACCACGGCAAAGCACTGCTGTAAAGAAGATCCACGGCTACTCCGACCCCAATGCCTACGGCCCCCCAGGACAAGGCTACGACGAGCGCGCCGCCACAGACGAGGGCGACTACTACCGCCGCACATACGAGAAGCGCACCACACGCCGCGAAAACCGGCCAGATGTTCCCACACACAGGACGCCCTACGTGGAAGACTATTCAGATGAGGAAGACGACCCGCGCGCCTACCGTCGCCGTCCGAACCGCCAGCACCGCCGGCCACCTGCTGCGTATGAACGTTACGGCCCCGTCCCGGGTCGTGGGTCCTTGGACGCGCAACCGACAAGCCGCTTCTCCGAAGACGAGTCCCCCTCCGGAGGAAAGGGGTACGCAATGTACTACGACTCTGATCGGGACACCCCCCGGAGGAGGCTTTACGCCGCCGCAGCAGCCTCTGGTAATGGCGGACGCATGCCGCCCCGCGGCCCTCCGAGTACAACGGAAGTCATGCGGCTGCCGTGGACGATGTGGATGAACTCGAATGCGAAGAACCATTTCGTCGCTTTCATTGGCGAGTTTGTAGGCACAACTATGTTTCTGTTCTTCGCGTTTGCCGGGACGCAAGTCGCTAACATCGGATCCAACGCAAGTTCAGACTCGAACACTACGACGGGTGAAGCGACGGGCTTCAGTCCGACAGTCCTGCTGTACATTTCCGTTGTGTTTGGATTCAGCCTCATGGTCAATGTGTGGATTTTCTTCCGCATTAGCGGGGGCTTGTTTAATCCGGCTGTTACGTTTGCAATGCTGCTTTGCAGGGCAATTAGTCCGATACGAGCGACGCTGTTGTTGGTTGCGCAGTTGGCAGGGAGCATTTTTAGCAGTTTCCTGGTCAGTGTCATGTTCCCCACTGGCTTCAATGTACGGACGACATTGAGTTCCGGCACGGGAGTGGCGAGGGGCGTGTTCATAGAAGCAGTCCTCACTGCTGAACTCGTCTTCACTATCTTCATGTTGGCAAAGGAGAAACACAAAGGTCTGTCCCTCTCCACCCACCGCTCAGACCCACACTTACTCACACCACCTAGCGACCTTCATAGCACCCGTCGGCATTGGCCTCGCCCTCTTCATCGCCGAGCTTGTCGGCGTCTACTACACCGGCGGCTCGCTCAATCCCGCACGCAGTTTCGGTCCTTGCGTTGTGACCGGCGTGTTCGACGTCGAGCACTGGATTTACTGGGTGGGTCCTGGCCTGGGTGCCATCATCGCGGTGGTGTTTTACAAGTTCATCAAGATGCTGGAGTATGAGGTGGCCAACCCTGGACAAGATGATGACGACAAGGATGAGCAGGTTAAGGAAGTCAAGGAGAAGATTGGGTTGGAAGGGAATGGGATGGATAGGGTGTGATGGGTCGATGAGAGTATGAAGAGCATGATGGGATGATGCATGTGGGACGGTTATGGGTTATGGCATCTACGATACTACGGCTGGGATGTGTGTAGGATATGCGCGCTTTATTTATGATGTGTGCGGTGTGGGCTTTACGAACGACTCACGCGTTACGACTAATACACAATGACAATATTATCTTTAACTGCTTCATCATCACCGTTCAGCCATCTCAATAAACAGACAACTCAGAGGTATAAGACAGGTATTATTCGGTATACACAACGTTTCGTCCGTCCAGCGGAACATGCATATGCCCCCGAACCTTGCGTCTGAAATTAAATTGCTCCCTCATGCCATCTTCATGCGACACCATCCCCACATACTCCAGGTACCCCCCGGCACACAGCCCTAAAACAGACACATGACATCATACGGTACGTTTGCTGCGCTCGATGACTTGACCCGAAACTCCATCGCTCAAATAAGGAACCACTAGATACAGTACACAACGCTGAAACGAAACAAGTGAACGACCTATCACCGTCGGCCCATGGAGGCAGGCACTTCACCTGGTCGGATCTCGCTCATAACATAGCTTGTCCGCCACGCAGGGTGGATACCACTAGGCGCAGGCGCAGGCGCATCTGCAGGTGCCACACTCCTGGGTGCAGCATCCGTGATATAACTCACGCCGTCTTCAGACATATAGCTCGGCGGCCGTAGACCCTCAGCTGTTTCAGCGGCAGGCGCATCATGCGTGCTCGCCGCAACTACAGATTCGTTCCTGCTCCTCGGCATCGAAATAGCAGACTGCGCTCTATTCTCCTCCACGCGCTGCCAGTGCAGCAAATTCGGATCTACCCTTACACTGCTGCGCCACAGCCCGTATGCCGGGGGCGGGGGAGGCAGGACCTCCTTTTCCGGGTCGCCGGCTTCAATGTCGGCCATATCGTTGTCGGAGTCAAGCTCGTCGTCGCGGGCCAGGCGAACGGGGATGGGGACGATGGGTTGGAAGCCCTCTGGCGCAGTGAGGTTGGGGACGGGTCGGCGTTCGACTTCGCGTGGCGGGTTGAGGAGCAGCATGCATAGCCGGATAAGGGAGTGGCAGAAGAAGATTGTTATGCTGAGCAGGATGAGGATGAAGAGGATGTGGATCTCTTGGCCGATGTCTTTGTTTGTGAGGGCGATTGCGAGGTCTGGGACATGGTTAGGTTGCGGTGGATGAAGAAGTGACAAGTCAGGACTTACAGATCGTGAGAACACTAATAAGCAAGGTACCGGAGATGATACACGCAATGAGCTTTCCACGCGCTGCTGCGCCACGCACAAAGGGCATGAGCTTCCCTCTGTCGCTTCGCTTGCGCGTCCAGTGATCAGCGCGGTGCTGCCTTCTCCTCTTGCGCCTGCGGTGTCGTCGTGGTCCATGGTTAATCTCATCTGCTATTTCTTGGACTTCAGGGTCGACGAAGGGGTCTTGTCGTGGCAGTGGTACGTCTGCGGGGTGACGATTGTATGTTTGTTGTGGCGATCGGATCTGCTCTTGCGAGATCGCACCGACGTAGGATGCGGCCGAGTGTGAAGCTAGAGCTGAATTTGATCCGTTGGAGGAGTCGATGACAGTATCAAGGTCGGCTGAAGCTGGGCGGCGAGCAAAGCCCATTGAAGGCATCTTTGGTGTTTTCCATCTCGATTGCCCTGGTGACTGCGAATATACTGAAGAGCCGACTATAGTTCTCGCATTGGTAGAGAAACGTGCAAACCGGGATTGGGACTGTGGTGCAGGTGAATTCTCCACAGGTAAGTTCTCCACATCTTGCTCTGGCCGTGGAGTCCTGATACCGAAGATGGAGATCGATGATCGAAACATGTTGTTGTGTATGTTGCTGAAGTTGTGGGGTCTTCAGGTACAGTGTCCGTGGTCTGGGATGTTTGTTTGTGTGTGAGTTCCCTTATATCAGACGCGTCTCCCTGCTCGAATACGTCTGCTGTGTTTATCGTAATTGTCGCCCAATGGTAAATGAATGGTCGGTACTACTGGCCACGCAGGTACACTCGTGGAAGTGAACGGTAGCAGGGGTGAAATGTATGGCAAAGAAGGATGACTGGAGCCCGCCCAAATTCATGAAAAGCCTTGCATGTCGGGGTGTGGAACCGTTGGCTGTACCTTAACAAGTCTTTCAGTCGAAACCAAAGTCGAAGATTCGATAATCGCTGGGTATCCCAAAGGAAATAATATCGTAAAGCTATCCAGAGCCCGTGGACCAAACGAAGGTATGAAATCGAGAGAAGCGAAACAACAGCACGGCTGCCAATGACTGTAGGTTAAGAGAAAGAAAAGATAACATGTGGAGGAGGGAGAACCCAAGTCACACCGACGGGCTGCACCCTGCAGCAAGGACGCTTGAGGTCGAGGGAGCATTGAACGGCAGGCGTTTCTGCGACTGGCGGCGTATCAAAATGGTCATTTGAAACGCCTCTCCACGACAGCCGGTCTACGCTATGCCACAGACCAGTTCGCGCACATTGCTGCGCCAGAATAGCAATTTCTGACTGTGTTGTCACCAGTAGATGGACGAGAAGTGGTGATTTTCAGGCATTGAGAGGGGCGAGGTGTGCTGGTTGGCTAGCGGTGAGTGACAACGAAAAGGCCTGGGGCACCACAGCCAATCATTTTATAGGCCCTGACGAACTTCTAACTGGTGATCGCCAACGCAGTCGTGCAACATGAATCATAAAAGAGCATACATAAACAGCCTCTTGATTATGTTTGTCTTTGTATTGGTTATCTTCCTGACTGCATTGTTTTCGTTGCAGTGCACTTTAATCCGTTGCGTCCAAGGCGCGCCCTCAACGCTCGCTCTCCTTGCAGCCTCAACGAGACCGAGACTGAGATCAATCTCTTCCTCCCAGCGTCGCACCGGCGTATCCAATGTCAACGTAAACAACGCCTCCGTGACGTGCACGCGGGGCAGCTGATCCTCCGCTCGACTCACCTCGATCCTCCCCCCACGCGTTAAGCGGTGCTTCTAATTCTAAAGTCGGTAGCCAAGTGCTTCAGATTCCACACTCTCACCTTCCTAGCTCTCCAACCATAAGGGTGCGATCTGACGATGCGGAGACCACTATAGTTGCCAAGTCAGCCTCGTGCTTCGTATCGTAGCGGTCAAAAGCGTTGAAACATAGATGCAGGTAAAGACTCCTGCCGAGCGGAGTGGTCTCCACAAGATGTACGCGCTGCAAGCGCAAATTTTGAGTGACTCTGAGGAAGCTTGGGAGAAGTTGCTGGCTTGGAAGCAGGCCAGGCTCGACATATCGAGACTTTTAGGCCAACCACACCGCCAGGAGTGGCGAATAGCAGGTGCAGGAGATAGAACGCGTGGCAAGGAGAGTTTCTGAGACTTACATAGTGGTTCACCGAGCGGGTGGAAGCGTACATCGTTCACGGCGCCTCGATGACCGGGAAGCTTGTTGAGAAGCTTGCCCGTCCGCGCCTCCCAAATAGCTACACTCTGGTCTCCGCTACCAGCTGCGATCTTCTCACCCTTTGAATCCCAACTTGCTTTGAGGAGGTTGCGCTCTTGTCCGGTGGGTGCTCCGTCGAAGGTCATGATGCGGCGGTCCGCAGGTGCGAACGGTCTGACGTCCCATGTTCTGACTGTTGAGTCGTGTGCATTTGACAACAGTGTCTGGTTGTCGGGAGAGAGTTGAAGCGAGGTCACTGTGTCGGCGTGACCAATGAGTGTGTATGTGACGGCTTGCTTTCGTAGGTCCCAGACCTTGATGTCGTTGTCAATTCCTCCTGTGAAGAGCTCGTTTCCGGCTTCCGCTAAGCATATCGCTGTGATTGGGAAATCTGTGGGAATGAAAGTTACGGCGTCTTTGGTTCTTGTGTCCCAGATCTGTGCTAAGTGTTAACAGTGCCCTTTGGTCTCGTCACGAGGTTCACTTACGCCGATATAGCCGTCGTCCGAGCCACTGACAAGCATCTCCTCGCCGCGCTTGCTGACGTCCATGCAGTTGATCACTTCTTCATGTCCGGGGTGCCTTCGTATCCTCTCGCCAGTCTCTACGTCCCAGCTTGCTAGGTGCATGTCTGCTGACGCAGAGAACAGCACTTTCGAGTCTCGCGACCAGTGCAGGTCTAGTACAGCTTGCTTGTGTCCACTGAGGACACCGTAGTTTTCGCATGCGCCAGAACTTCGCCAGAGCACTGTACTGTGTCAGTAGATCTTTCTGCTACCTGTTTCGAGGATATACTGACAGATGGAACGGTCCATTGACCCTGAGGCAATGTATCGGCCGGTTGGATCAAATCGTGCTGCGAAGACCTCCCCAGAATGGCCTGTCAATTCCATGACTGGCGACTGAAGAGCGCCGTCTCGCGGTCCCTATAGCTCCTGTCAGCCCAAGTCCACGTTCAGCTAGTGCGCAATCTATTCAAGAGCCTCCAGTTGAACATACCGCTTGTATGAGCGCCCCATTTTGCCCGGTTCCACTTGATATCGCAACTGCGGTGCTGTCGAGGTTCGCGTCTGACTTTGCGCGCTTGACGAGTTGGTTCGAGCCGAACGCGTCGTTCGCAGGGCGTTTCGATTGGGACATTTCGGACGGTATGCGCTCCTTTGCGGCTCGATATGGGCTTCTGGGGGCTGTTGCGATATGATTTCGGTGTATGGACAGCTCTGCCGTAAACTGTCGTGAAGTTCGCGCCTGCCAAGGATCGACATGCGGACTTTAGCTCGCGGCGGTAGGTACGCGCTCCACCATCCCACCACCGTGACAGCCTTCGATCTAAGTTTACCTCACATTAGCTCCTCTTGCTCCCTCTCCAGACTTTAAACACCCAAGAGAACAGCAGACAGAGGCTTGAGAGTGCGAAAGACATGGCGTCATCAACGAAGGCAGCCCGTTTGGGCGAGGAGTGAGCTTGAGATATATAGCAATGGCTTGTGACATGTGCTAATGCCTTCCAGAGTCTGGAAGTAAGTCTCGCGCGATCTCTAGTCACCCCAGAGGTTCTGATTGTTGCAGGACCCGAGTAGATAAGGTCAGCGCCGAACTTGTTACCCTCACATACGGCACGATCGTCGCGCAACTATGTAAGGACTACGAATATAACTATCCTGAGGTAAACAAGCAACTGGAGAAGATGGGCTACAATATCGGGATACGGTTGATTGAGGATTTCCTGGCCAAAACGAGCGCACCAACCTGCACCAACTTCCGGGAGGTTGCCGAGATGATCTCAAAGGTAGCGCAGCTAGCATGTCATTGGAGCTTTGCCCGCAACAGCTCACACACCCACAGGTCGGCTTCAAGATCTTCTTGAACGTCACACCCACCATCACCAACTGGTCCAGCGACAACAAGCAGTTCTCCCTCGTCTTCGACGAGAACCCCCTTGCCGACTTTGTCGAGCTGCCTGACGACGGTCGCGCGCAGGATGAGCTGTGGTTCTCAAACATACTGGCCGGTGTGCTGCGTGGAGCATTGGAGATGGTACGTACCCAGTACTTGGATGACTAGCTATCATGCGCTAACGCAGGTACAGGTTCACATGCAGGTTGAGGCACATTTCATCAGTGACGTTCTTCGAGGCAACGACACCACTGAGATGCGGATATCTCTGATCCGCTACATTGACGACGAGATGCCACCTGATGACGAGTAAGGACGATGCTTTTCTAAAGGCTTTCACGTACCCAGCTAGGCGCAGGAGCCTTTTCCACAGGAGCGGCATTTGCAAGCGATTGCACACGTAGGCGAAACTGTAGACGGCAGCAAAAGAGAAGGACCAAGCGCTCTCATAGACAGCTTGTCACGACAGTACGATCGACTCCAGGAGCCCAAGTCGATAACCTCCCCAGGAAACACGTCTCCGAAAGAGCCAATCGACAATGAGCAGTATCAGCTGGGCGTGAGTGACAGCAAAAAAACAACTTGGCGTGCAGGGGTGGCAACCTCCCATCTCTGGTCTCGATCTTGAAGAGGGTCCATAGGAAAAGAAACGGCTCCTATAGCATCAGCCGTACGTACAGCTCACTCCGCACGACCGCCACCAGTCTGCATTGAAAATTTTCGAACATTTGTGCAACACTCACAGGTTCCTATGACAATTAAGTGTCGCCGGCATAGAACCAGATGCTTTGGTGTAACCCTGCTGCCATCACCTGTACATCCAAGTGCCGCTGCTAGACGCATGCGTGTATCAACAACAGTCGGGCATTCACTTTCATTCAACACTCATGGCTTCGATTATGTCTGCTGTACTCGCGAGGCTGACGGACCAACGTAGTGATCGGCTCCGCATTGTGCAGGGCTCCGTGACCCCACCAACGCCATCCAACGCCATTTCGTGACCGAGGCTCGAAGACGTCCATGGCGCATTTCGAGTATGATAGATTGGCAGTAAAGGTGCATGTTACATTCTCAGTTCACACTGGTAATCCTGCAAGTTGCAGTACTCGCGGCGTGGTCTCAATTTCAAGTGGTTGGGAAAAATCTATAAAAGGAGTCGAAAGCTTGGCAATGAAATCACGTGCTGGGGTGAAGTGAGCTCTCCTTGCGCTGCACCAGGCGGTCTCATTTGCAAACAGCGAATCTTGCCAGTCTGTCTATATTAACGCGCTCGACTGTGCAGCCTGCAACGTCGCATTCGTGGTTGTTGACTTGTGTTGCCGGCCTCCGACCAGATTGCTCGCTCGTCGTCGCAGTGCCCTCCAACGGGCTTCTCCTCTGCACTAAACCCTGCCAGCCCCAACTCGATACCGCACGACCTCCGCCCGCCGCCCATCGCAGCGCATCCTCGACACTGACCGTCCGCGGATCCTCTTGTCGCCTGCGCAGCTTCTACACGGCGCCCGTTGACCAGCACCTGGCGCTTACGCCCCCGCCGCCAGCGAGTACTCGGAGCGCCGCTTGATGCGCCCGTAGCAGCACGCCCGCTTGCAGCACCACCGGGGGATCTACGACACGACACGGCCGCGTGTATTGCTGCCGCCACCACCAGCGCGCACTTCGCCTGCTCCGTCACTGCCCGTCGACTGCGCTTGACGCAGCCGGCCCTGTCCGACCCGCGACGCGATGCAGAACCAGCAGATGCAGATGGCCATGAACGCGAACGGCGGCCCCGTCAATGGCCCCATCAACGGCACGCCCGTCATGGCCAACATGAACATACCCGGCCCGCCGCAGCGCCCGCAGATGGACCCGCGTGAGCAGCTCAACACGTACATCTACGACTACTTCCTGCGGAACAACCACAACCGCCTGGCGCGGGCCATGGTCGAGTGCGACATGAAGATGTCCACCTCTGCGCCACAGAAGACCAGCCCCAGCAGCAAGCCCAATGGCATTGATTCCATGGAGGACGACTCGGCCACCGGCCTGCCGAACCCGCTCCTGCCCAAGAACCAGATGGCGGACAACTCGTTCCTGCTCGACTGGTGGGTCCAGTTCTGGGACATCTACCAGGCGACTAAGGAACGCTCTGGACAGCCATCGAAGGGCGCGCAGTACATCAACCACACACGGGTAGGGAATCTGCCGTGTCCGTATTACAGCAGCTGCTAACAGCCTCGCAGCACATCACCCAGATGCAGAACGAGCAGCGCAACCAGCGCATGATGATGAGCAACCCCATGAACGCCCAGTACCAGAACATGGGGAATATGATACGCGGAAACATGCCCAATGGCGTTGCGCAGAACGACCTCAAGCGTGCTGCTCTGCAGAACAACCGACCGTACGTCAACTGCGCCATGCTGACCCCCCCCCGTAGTGACATACTAACACACAACAGCAATGGCAACCCTATGGCGAACATGGGTCAGATGAACAAGCCCAACATGATGGCTGCGCAAATGCAGCGAGACGGCTCGCAGATGGACATGAACGGCCAGCGCCCCCAGTCGCCCAGCTCCAACGACAATGCCCCGTCCCCAAACAAGCGGCCTCGCGTTGAGGGTAAGTCATGCACTCGTGACCATATTTGTTTACATTGGCTAAGTCATGTGCAATACAGGCGCCATGAACAACAACATGCCCAACGCTCAATTCAACGAGTTCGGACAGCAAGCCAACAATGCGCAGCAGAAGAACATCGAGGTATACGCCCAAAGCCTGGCCCAACAACACAGAGTAGCACTGAATAACACTGCCTCCCCTCAGGCTATGACCCAGGGCTCTCCCATGAACCAAGGCCTGGAAGGCCAGGAAATCATGTTCGCCGGCAACCAGCCTCGACCCGGCATGCCACCGCAACAGCCCGGCCAGCCGCAGCAGGGCAGTCATGCTCTGCAGGATTATCAGATGCAGCTCATGCTGCTAGAGCAGCAGAATAAGAAGCGGTTACTCATGGCACGGCAAGAGCAGGATAACATGTCTGGGCCCCACCAACAGGGGCAAGTGGGAGGCCAATTCCCACCGGCCATGTCGCCTTCTGGGAGCCGAGCTGGACCATCGCCAAACCCAGCGGATATGAAGGGCCGGACGCCCAAGCTGGGTCAACAAGGACTGCCTGGCTCGCCCATGCCTGAAGGTGTCATGCAACAGCAGCGCGGTTCACCTGCACCCAACATGAACTTCCCGGATCCCACCTTGGCACCTCCGGGCATGCCGCCACAGTTCTACCCGCAGATGCCCAACAACCCTATGATGCGACCGCCTAGCTCGCATCCTGGCGCAAACTTCAACGGTCAACAGCAGATGACACAGCAGCAAATGGAGGCTATGCGCAACGGTCAGATGAATGGCCAATGGCGGGGTGGACCACCGCAACCCGGCATGCCTCAGCAACCACAGATGATGGGAGGTCCAATGGCAGGTGGCCCTCAGCAGCGGGGTCAGATGCCACCTCCCCCAGCCCCTGCGAACGAGCAAAGACCGGAAGCGTCTCCAGCAATGTCGAACCAGGCACCTCCGACACCAAACCAGGCGAACAAGGCTGCTCCTAAAAAGAAGGGAACCAAAGAAAACAAGGTAAAGTTGTGCGCTCCCCTGTTTCTGAGCGCCATTGATATTGATTTTAGAAGCCCGCACCAAAGAAAGGGCCAAACGCAGGTACAACCCCAGCAGCCTCGGCAGGCGAAGAAGCTCCCACACCGACACCGTCGACGCCGATCACGCCGATGCACGCGAAGTCCTTCAACCCGAACGGCCAGCCTCAACATGCCCCACAACAGCCTCCCCAGGCGCAACCTCCTGCTCAACAACAGCAGCCTATGGCCGACGCTCCGTTCGGCGACATCTCAGACAGCAATTTCGACATTGGTCTCAACTTCGGCGACGGCGACGCAGCGCTCGATAATTTCGATTTCGATTCCTTCCTCCACACCAGCGGAGAAAACGACGGCTTTGGAAGCGCACTCGGCTTCGATGACAATGTGTTCGGTGTTGAAGCCGGTGATGGTATATAGTGTGTCGATCCATCAAACTCGAACCAGCAACTTAGCCCGCCACGTCCGCCGTCGCCAACCCCTACGGACTACGCTGGAGCTGAGACGCAGACCGTCCAGTCGAATGGGATCAAGGACTGGGGTTGGTTGGACACCCCCAGAGCACCCTTGTAGTGCTGTACGGCGGCCAAGGCTTGCACACACCGCTGCCGTTTTTGACGTGCGCGTGGAAGCTTGCTCAAGGCCAAAGATACAGTATACATGTTGTGGCAATGTGTTGGGGCATCATCATCACTAAAAACAAAACCCTCTTATACCCTTCTTTTTCGATCTTGAACGGTTTACAGTTCGGAGCATTACGGCTTTGGGAGGATTTGGACTCGGTCCACTTCATTGCTTCTCGATTGGATATCTGAGAGCAGGCGTTCATCTGTTTCTTTATTTCGCCACCCGCGAGGCACATACACGACATACCGCTCTCGACTCTGTTCTGGCCTTGGTCAGACTCATCTCTTTGTAACATTCGCTACCATGCCTACGCCATCTCTCTTGCGCTGGGATGGAGTTCTTTTGTATCTGTCGCTTGTCGAATTTCTAGGGAAGAGTTCGCTGTTTATGACGTGGAGGGTTTCGGAGCAAGTGCAATCTGCTTATACCATATTTTTATACTTGTTTTTGTTTGTCGCAGCCGCAAGACCGATAAGATAACGTTCAGACGGATAATTTGAGGAGTTTCTTCACTATATTGTGGTTTGGGTAGCGGTGTGCCGTACGTACTTTGTTTGCTCGACTTTGTTTAGTACAGGCGTTTACCAAATGACAATTCATTTACTTCAGCTGGAGACTACAATCAGCAGTGAGGGCGCGTGTCCAGCCAAGACTCTTGGGGAGCATACCAAGTCGCGCTTCGCTCGGCTCAGACAAAAGTTTCCAACACCGTCTCCTACCTACGCCCAGCACGAAGCAAAGTGTAACACAGCCACAATGAGATACATGACGATCTTCAACAACCACCATGTTCGCAGCTGCTCCTGACCTCACTAACTCTCCCAACTCCCTTTGTTCTCAAGATTGTGGCTCGCAACTGCAAACATCAATGCTTACAGGCGAAAGTGTCTTTCAATCGGTGAGGCTGGCCCAATACGCCAATGCCATACGGCGGGCTTGGTGGACGTCATGTACATTATCGACGTTTCTTGGAGACCAACCACCCAAAGCAACCAAGAAGCCAGGCAAACAGTACACAATAAGCGTCAATTCCCACTCAGGTTGTGATCTCTCAGTCCAACAACACCAAAATGCTGTTCAGAACACTGCTCGTCGCCGTCGCCCTTGCTGGCTTCACATACGCACAAGCAAAAGACATACCAGACAGCGAGCGCCTCGATGTAGTATTTGGCCCACGGCCGATCCACGCACCAGGCGCGCTGATGCACCCTGGCCGTACGTCTACATACCTTTATGCTACACACCGATCCACCAGCGAATTGACACCCTCTAGACATGTCCAATATCCCCGATATCAGCACACCAGCCTGGGATCCCTCAACCCCCAGCGCGCTCCTGTTCATGGTTGACCTCGACTGGCCGCTCGACAACCAGCGCGTGTCAAGACTGCACTGGCTCGTCACAGGCCTGACCTTGTCCAGCACCACGCCCCCCTCCGGACGGGAACAATACCGCTCTTTTGAATATCCCCGACCCGCCGGTGGTGCAGTACATGCAGCCTGCGCCTCCTGTCGGCGACGTCGCGCACAGCTACAGGTTCTACCTCTTCGCCACGCCTCCCTCCCTCCTTCACCCTGCCCCCTCCATACCAAGGTCTTGGAAATGGGGACTCTTTCGACGACGACGACGGGACGCTGGTTGCGGCCGAGACCAGGGCTCCGTTCGTTGTGAGCCAGTTCTTGCTGGACTGTGGGCTGGATGAGGCGCATGTGTTGGCAAGGAACCATGTCAGGGTCAGGAATCTCGCGGGGCATCCGACAACCACTTTTCCGCCGGCGAGACAGGCGACGGGGACGCTGGAGGATGCTGTGTCTGAGGAGAGTGCGGGGTCCAGACAGCTGGCGGCGACGACGACGACGGGGGGTGCGGGTTCGTTGGGTTATGCGCGAGGGACGGCGTTTTGGGCAATCGTGATGATTAGTGTGAGTGTGGTATTTGCTGCTATCATTTTGTAAATGGGGCGAGCAGGTGGGCAGAGTGCGAGGTGGATTGGTGAAATAATACGACCAACGACACATGAGTATGTACGAATACCAAACAACCTATAATAACTTTAGCACTGTGTACACGATACACATATTCTACTCGACTCGATACCTCGCCATCGCATCACTCGTATTGCAACCCATCCAATTCGAACCGCATCGTCAGTCTTCCTAAACGGTCAAAGCCTTCCCTGCCTCCTCCTGCATCTTGCTCTTCGCAGTCTCCCTCCTCGCCGCACTCTCAGGACCCGGATCCCTCCTCACCCCCTGCACACCAGGAAAGAACTCCACAAACCCGCCCTCCTTCCAGCCCACACCGTGCACAGCAGGATCGTCAGCCGACTTCCCACCCTCCCACACCCGCTGCCGTCCCCAACGGCAGTACACCCATGCATCCGTCAGCCGTCGAGCGCGTACACCCTTTCCCTTACCGACCCCTTCAAACTGGGGGTTTGAGGCAGCGGAGGACGGTGTCTCCCATCCGCCGAGCCTATACGCAGTTATCCCAGGGAGGAGGGTGATTTGTATGAGTCCCTCATCGCGCTTCATGCGCGCTAGTTCGGTGTCAGAGAGCGTGACGCAGCGGGCTTGTTCGAATTTGGAAATGAGGTTCAAGTCGCCTGAGCCCTTGGGGTGTGTGGCGATCATGGCAGAATGGTTGAAACACTCTGTTTCTGAGTGCGTGAAGGGCTGGTCTTTGAACACGGGCGTGAAGTGGTATGCTGTGTGTGGGTCGAGGCGCATTTGGAGGGATAGAAGGGCGGCGAGGGTTGTTAGGGAGTGCAGGCGGGGGATGATGGAGTGGCTGTTGGTGGAGAGGGGGGTGGCGGTGGTGGTGCGGGAGAGATGGAGTAGAGGCTTGAGGTGCGTGTAAAGGGCGGCGACGGTGTTGTTGACGTGGGTGTTGAAGTTGGCGGGAAGGTGCAGGGTGGATACGGGACGGCCGATGGATGCTTTGCCCTTCTTGCTGGTGGAGGTGAGGAAGGAGCGGCTTTTCGTCGCGTAGAGGGCGTTGCGGTCGAAACCTGTGAGTGTTAGCGAACATGTGGGCGTGTGTGGGTTGTGTAGTGCACTGTCTTTGTATGGGTGTTGGCACTGTAGTCCGGCGATTTCTTGGATCTGGGCTGCTGTGCCTCCGAAGAAAATGTGCTGGAAGACTTTGTCAACAAGTACGTTGCCGATGATCGCGCAGACGAGTGCCTGGCGCTTGTCGTTCACGAGGAAGAGGTCTTCCCAACCGCTCGCCCCTGCAGGACCGCCAGATACAACACATCCGATGATCTCCACGGTCTCTTCTTGCATGCTCTCCAGAGCTGACCGCAAGCGTTGCTCGTTGTCAACCTTGAAGCCGAAGTGTGCGTAGGCAAAGTCCTCGATCTGGTCCGTCAACTTCCAGACTCCATCACGGATCTCGGCGTCCCGGCAGGCGTATGCCGGCTCTTGGAGATCTTCGAGCAGTGCTGTAGCGTCGTGGCCATGCTCTTCGAGGAACTGTCTTGTTCGGAGGTTTGGCTTGGTGGACCATTGCTCCTTGGATGTTAGGACCTCCCATGGATGCATGGCGAGTGGTGTTCCGAGGTCAGAGGTCGTGGGACCAGAAGGCTTGGGTGATGGCTCTGGCTTTGAGGTGCCCGTGGTTTGCCCAGGACCATTGGACGCAGCCACAAGACCTTTCTTAGGGTTCGCAGCAGGTGTTTGCGCTTTTTTCTGGTGCGCAAGCAACCTCTTTCGATCATCGCCTTCCTGGCGTAGCTGGCGATCTAACTCATCCTGAAGTTCTTGGCTGTCGGACTGGGCTACCCGAGTAGCGTCACCCTTGCCCATGGCTACCTGTGCCTTTCGCATGACCTCATTCGCTCTTTGCATCATGACACCCGTCCGGCTGGTCGAGGCTGTAGGCTTGGATCTGATATCGGCCGGCGTAGTCTTGGATCTGGTGTCGGCCGGCGTAGGCTTCCGAATGCGCTTTTGCGGTGGTTGTGGGTATGGGCAGGCGTAACAATGGTCGTCGTCCTCATCCGGGGTAGAACTGCCGTCTCGGTCTCCATGTCCCTGCTCCTGGAACGGCTCCATGTCTTCGTCTCCGTCCGCTTTGCGTTTGCCTAGTGCGCTGGCAAGGGGTAGAGAGGAGAAGAAGCGGCCGATATTGCGGACGCTGTTACCGAGGTGCTCCATTGCGGTGGCCTTGGTCAAATCTCAGGAGAGAGGGGAGATGGTTCAACTCAGAAGGGCACGCTCGCGAGGGGCTTGAAGTAACCCAGAATGAAGGAGCAAGAAGATTTGAAAAGACAGTGACATAATGGTACGAGTGCTGCTTTGTTTGCCGGCACACCAGACACGGAGGCCTCGTCTTTGTTCTGCATCAGCTATTGCGGCGCCATGGACGATCGCGGTCCGGAAAGGGTGTGGTGTCTGAAGAGCAAGGGCATCTGAGGCGCTGTGTAGAGAGAGAGCCAAGCCTGGAACATCCCTGACGATGTGAAGAAAGGACGGCGTCGCTCGGGTCCCAACGACGGCCCAACATTCAGCATCAAGCATTGTCTTCGCGCGCCCTGAGGACCTCCTGAGCCCCAATGCGTCCGAGTTGAGCACAAGGTCGATAAGGTCGATAAGGTCGATGAGGTCGATGAGGTCGACAAGGTTAATAAGGTTAATAAGGTCAACAAGGTCAACAGGTCAACAGGTCAACAGGTCGACAGGTCAACAAGGCCAATAGCATAGCATAGCACCCTCGCCCATCATGTCTGGCGTCATGGCTGTCTCTGTCCTCTGAGAGTGACAGAGTGGTGTTGAAGGGAGGAGGAAGGCCAGGCTGCTCTGGTTGAAGTAGTTCGCACGAGTCATGTTGGGTCCCTGACATGCCGTCAGCCCTCCGCCCTCGACCTCGGAGCTATGGAGCCCTCCAAGACAGTCGAGATGACGATGACGGCGCAACAACTAGCCCGTTCCTTTATGGCCCGCTGTACACATCTGCTCGGTTTCTCGACATACCGGTGATCCCTCACAACATGCGACACCTTCCCGACGAGCTCATCCTCCAGATCATTGCCTGTGCGCCCATGCTACCGATAGCCTCCCCCACACTCTGCTAACAGACCCCAGTCCTCGAGCCCTCGGAGCTCGTAAACCTCCAACGCGTCTCGCGCCAATTCCTCAACCTCAGCCGAGACAACAGGCTCTGGAGGCAACTATGCTTCTCGCACTCCTACACCGAGCGACGCCGGCGCCGGCTCGAGATCTCCGTCACCGCGCCGCCAGCTGAGACGGACCCGCGCCTGGCGGAGCTGATCGAGGCTGCGAACAGTCTTGCCGGTACGTTCGATGCCCGCGTACGCAACCCGCAAGCGCCAGGCGCAGAGGCGCGGTTGGCCAGGAACAAGGGGAAGAGGAGGGCCGCGCTGCTGAACAGCTGGGACCCCAGTGGGATGGAAGAGAAGGCGAACTGGTACCAGGAGTTCGTCCAGCGCCATGCCCCGCAGCACGTCAGCTGGTTCCAGGACGCCGGGCACGACGACGGGGACGGGGACGGGGACGAGATTAGGAGAGAGGCCACGGGCGCAGGCATACTGTACGATGCAGATGGCCTGGCCTCAAAGCTCGTTGCGCCACTGGACGATGGGAGCATACGCGTCTGGGACGCGGGGGCACACAGCTGCAGCATCGGGAAGCTCATCGCCCAGAGCGAAGTAGGCCTCCTCCCAAACAGAGGCCCCGATCTCGATCACGACACGCGCCTCACGCAAAGCCAGGCCATCATGACCGAGACCGGCGCCGTAGAATGCGTCAGCATCGACAGCGCCCAGCTCAGAGCCTTCTTCGCTGTCCAAAACACGCTCAACGAAGTCGACCTCCACACGCTCCAAGTCGTGTCCCGCACACCGTATCCCTTCCCCATCACCGCACTGAGCGAAGCACTCCACCCCGCCCCGCTGACAGTCGGCACGAACTGGACACTGCACTTGCACGACACGCGAAAACCCGCACCTTCGTCCTCACGCGTCGAGCTCCTCAATACCTCGACCTCCTTTTCGCGCCTCGACACCGGCGACTTCGGCGGCCACGTCTCCCTCAGCCAACCGGGCGCTCTCTCCATCGCGCACCTACCCAGCTCCCTCGGCGACGGGAACGGCGACATCTGGGTGAGCGGACGCTTCACCTCGTTGCTGAACTTCGACCGCCGCTTCTTCCCGCGCCTGCGCGGCACCGTGCACTCTGGGGCGCGAATCTCCAGTCTCTCGCTGATCCCGACGCCGTTCATACCGAACAGCTTACGCCTAGGCGCGCCGTGCTCGTCGCCGCGGATGTTGCGGGAGGCGCGGGAAACGGGGGGTGTGACGCTGGTGACGGCGGGTGAGTACAAAGGCAAAGGCAGTCTCGAGCTGTACTCGCTCTCGCCCTCGCCGACCTACGCGATCAACAGCTCCGACTCGCGCACAACGCGCAACACAAGCGCGTGCTACCAAAACCGACAAACCGCGTCGTCTTCCAAACTGCTGAGCGTGGCGAGCCATGGTACGAGAATAGTCGTTAGCGATGGAGACGGGAACATGAAATGGGTGGAGCGCGACGGCAGCACGCCCGTGCGGCAATTCAACATCAACGACTCCTCCAAGAGGCCCGATACGTCGACGCAAGTCCAGATCAACCCGGGCAGAGAGAGCGGGTACGGGGACATCGTGCAGCGCATTATGCCCACCTCGTCGCCTTCGTTGCTGTCCCCGCGTTCTAGTGCTTCGACGCATGAGCTTGGGACGGAGAACCTGGCCATCTGGACGGGCGATGGAAAGTTGGGCATGGTGAGCTTCGGGAGGGACGAGGTTTTTGACGTGGATACGTTTGAAGACGCGCTTGAGCGGCAAGTCGACGGCGAACAAGCGGATGCGAGGTCGATGGAGAAGGAGTACAGTCTTGAGATGAGACGGGCGCTGGAACAGCAGGCTAGGGAGGTGCGGTGGTTGAGGGGATATGGCTTGTAGACTTGTGTCGATAGATATACTAGAAGGTGTGTGCACAGCGACAGCCAAACAATCTTGGCCTAGCATCGAACATGCGTCACGTCAATATGGGGAAAAGTAGTTTTGATACTGGTGTCGTTGCAGTCATCTTCGACGAAGTTTGATACTGTTGTCGTTGCAGTCATCGTCTACTAAGCAGGCGCACGTATGTCCTGGACCGGAACACCATAGCCGCCTTGAAATCATCTTGCCCTTCTCAAAACATCCTTGAACGCCCGTTACCATCGTGACCCTGCCATCATGAGCGCCCGAGTGGGCACTCCCGTGATCCGTGTAGATCGGGTATCAAGATGCGAGAATATGGTGAGCCGCAAATGTGAACGCCAAGCGTGTGAAAAAGCAAAGTGTGGTTAGTGAGATGATTGGCCAGCGAAACGTGTCGTTGCGTAAAGACCATCCTTGCTGCGACCAAAAGCAGCGCAGTGGTCCATTTCTTTAAGGGACCGTGATCCCTAGAAGGGTTGAAAGTCATCACAAATCCCAGTAGATCCAACATAAGCGGTTCTCCGGTAAGCGTGTTCGTCTAACGGCCCATGCCAAAGAGGAACCTGAGTTCACGAGCGTCGAGACGGGTGAGGTTCTTGCTACTTCTCTCGTCCAGAGCGGTGTCGATTATTTCGCGTTTCTTGTCTTGAATCTCGCAAATGCGATCTTCCACGGTCTCAGGGACCAAAACACGATGAACGGTAACCTCCCTATTCTGAGGCATGCGGTGAGCGCGATCAATAGCCTGCTCTTCGACGTATGGGTTCCAGAAAGGATCTAAGAGAATGACTTGAGAGGCCTTAGCAAGGTTGAGGCCAGCGTTACCTGCCTTGAGCGATAAGAGCATGATCCTTTCATCGGGACTGTCCATGAACTTCTCAACGGCATCGGCTCGGTCACCCATCGACATGCTACCGTCGTAGCGCTGATACTTCAGCTTCCTCTCGTACATCGGCACTTCGAGAAGGTCGAGAAGTGAAGTGAACTGGCTGAAGATGAGCATCTTCTCGGTCGGATCCTTCGCAGCAATGTCGCTCACAAGCTCCATCGTCTTCTCAATCTTGGCGGACGTGATCCAGCTCTTCCGCAAGCGACGCAGGTACTTCTGTTTGGCAGCCTTGTTGCGGAGGGACTCTTTCTTGAGCTGCGCCAGAGTGACCTTAGGCTTAGCTTTGGCTTTACCCTTGCCCTTGCCGCGCTTCTTCTTCTTCTTGGACTTAGCGGAGGGACCAGGCTCCGAGACCTCGTCATCATCTGCATGATCGGATTCGTATTCAGACTCTTCCTCGTCGGGGACAACGAAGTCAGCAAGATTGCCATTCTGGTCAACGTCATCATCCTCTTCTTCAGCTGAGTCTGAGTCAGATTCAGAGTCAGAGTCGTCGTCCACAAGCTCCTCTGAAGCGGCCCGCTCGGCCGGGTCCAGCTTCTCCGGAGCGTGAACCTTGCAGAAGTGTTTATAGTCAGTGATCATGGAGGCCTTCAGCTCCCCGCGGCAGTGCGGACACTTTGCTGCGCCGGCGTTCTCACGACCATCTCTAATGCCACGATTTGGATCGACGAGCTTCTGCACGCACTCTCCGCAGACGGTGTGACCACAGGGCACGATGATTGTTGGGTTGAGATCTGCCTCCAGACAGATTGGACACTCGAATCCCTCCGCGATCTGCAATCTCATGATCACGTCTGGAGCTAGAGCCTGAGCTCGGCTCAAGAGGTCGTCTTCTGCGATGTTCTCGGTGGCAGGCTGACTAAGATCTTTGATGAGGTGCGGGTGGCAGCAGGCTTGGCGGAGACGCAGGAGTAGGACGAGAACGTTTGCGTAGTTGGCTGTAAATTACAGATCAGATAAGCTCACCCCTGGAGGTAGTCGGTGCATTCATTCGCACTTACCTGACAGTGTACCTTTCTCGAGATACTTGTTGAGTTGGATCTGGGACTTGGTCTCGAGAGCTTTGTAAATCTCCATCTCCTCATCGCTGAACTCAACAGTTTCTTTCGAGAGGTGCTTCGGCGGAAGCTTGCAGACGATCTTGCCATCGATGATGGAGTCCTTCTGGCGTCGAAGCATCAGTGACTTCAGCAGGACTTGCACGCGCTGCATTGCGCGCTTTCGAGTTTCGGGATGAGTACTTCGTAGCGGCTTGCCAAATTCCTTATTGAACCTATAGTCATTAGCAAAAGACACGAGGACACGTACCCGATGTGCTTACCTGGACCAATCGTTGCTGGTGATCGTTAGCATGTTGTCTGTATCGCATATGACTGGCGTATGTACTATGGAGGGATTCTAAGGAACCGAATGAGCGGGAATAGCTCATCAATTGTGTTCATCATTGGTGTTCCCGTCATGACCAGACGGTGTATCGCCATCAGATCGTGAGCAGCCTTCGAGCCAATCGTCTGCCTGTTCTTGATGCATTGTGCTTCGTCGATAATGACGCGGTACCTGCAACATTCAGCCGGGAAAAGAGAACAAGACCTTGGAGGCACTCACCACATGCATTCATGGCCAAGCAGAGCCAATTTCTCCTTAGCCTTGCGGCGAACACCGGTCCGCTGCTCCTCCAGATGCCTCATAGACTCCTTCCGTGTCTCCTTCTGTTTAAATTCGGATGCCAGGATGCCAAAGGTTGTGAGAACTACATCATACTGGCGGAGCTTGGCGAAGTCTGCATTCTTGCCACTGCCGTGATAGATGTACACCTTGAGTCGAGACCTCGGGTGAACGTGGCGTTCTATCTCTTTCTCCCACTGCCGCATGAGGGCAACAGGTGCGATGATGAGGGTGGTCTTGCGGATTAGATCATCAGACGGTCGAGCACAGATGAGGGAGATCGCTTGCACAGTCTTTCCCAAACCCATGCCGTCCGCTAGAATACCGCCTTTGCTGGTGCCAGTCTCCATCTGCATGTAGTGTTAGCTGGTGACCATGCCACAGCCTGGAGTCGTTCAGTACCTTGATGAGCCAAGTGAGCCCAATCTTCTGATATTCTTTGAGCTCAGAGCACATGGTGCGAGGCGTCTGTTCACGGCGCTCAGGTGCGTCTTCGGCATCATGCGCTGAAACGTTACCGAGGAGGTTCTCAACAGCCTGAGCTTCGTCGGTCGTGAGAGGAATCGCGTACTCGTCCTCGTTGTCACTCGGCGCCCATGGCTTGTCGGCGTTGCCAATGTAGAGGGGCACTTCCGGCGCTACGTAAGCTCCATAAGCTGAACCAGTTACGGATTGCTGAATAGGTGGCGGTTGTTGAAAAGCATAGCTTGTACCAGCTGGAGTAGGAGCTAACAGGAACTGCGCAAGCTCTTGCTCAGGCATGAACTCCAGCCTGAAGGCGTCGACCGGCTGGGAAACACCTGCCTGGAAAGCATTGTCAAGCTCTGGGAATGGATCTGGCGTGGGAGGATTCGATTGCGTCAGGTCAATCACATTCGATTGTGTTGGACGACTCAGTGCATAAGGAAGTGTCTGCTGGCGACTCGACCCTGCCATGGCTTGCCGGTAACCTGGTGGATCAGAGTTGACCGAGTTGGGCGTGTTAGGCGTAATAGGGTTGAGGTTCACACTCGGCCGCTTCGAGTCAGGGTAGGTAGCATTATGCCCGATGCTTCGCTTTCGTGAAGCGCCTGACGAGGATGTAGGCGACGCTGGCTGGGCAGGACGAGCAGGACTGAGGTTTACATAGCTGTCGAGCAATCGCGTTGTTGTGGCAGCCTGTCCAAGCTGGACATTGCTCAGCTCTTCGTACTGCTCGTTGAGCATTTGCTCGTAGAATGGCCGGTCAGGGTAACCAGGTCCGTTTTGCTGAAGAAGGTCTTCAATGAGATTGATGTTCTCCTGCAGCTGCTGAGTCGAAACCCAGTTGGCCGCCATGGTTGCGGCTGGAGAGCTCTCAGCTCGAGTCGTGGTGGGGTAAGTTTGGTCAGTAGTTGAGGATTGCCCAAAGGACGGGAGGTTTGCGCGTTTGTCGGCGGGTCTGGTGACGCAGCAAGGATAGTGGTCGCGCAGACGTATTAAAGCCGGGGTGAATGGAGATATGAGAATGATGAAACGTGCGGGGAGGGTGACTTTTAGCGCGTTTGCAAGTCTAGGCTGCGGCGCCGTCTAGGGAGGGAGCGTGAAGGGTAAGGAAAGAACCCTGGAAGTGGTTACGATCACCAGATGGCAAAGGCTTGGTGCGCAAGGCTCCGAACCAAGGAGCGAAGGTTTTGAGTACAGAGATCGTGAATGGATGCCTGGTAGACAGGGCGTTCCTCTATCCAGAAGGCATTGTGTCTAGCCTTGTGACGATGCGCCGTTGGAGTGTTGAGAATGAAGCCGTACGCGACATGGGATCGATAGGGCAACAACGGTAGGCTGAGCTAAGAATATTGCATCATCAACCAATAAACGGCTGTTTACACAGGCTGAGACCTTCCAAGCGGTCAGGGGCTAGCTGAAAAGCTTGAAGTGCGTGCACAAGGAGCTGATGAGTTGTTCATGAGGCTGAGTCCTTCGCCTTTTGTTCCGGTGAGTAACGCGACACAAGCAAACGATCTACCACATGACGGAGCCTGTATGGAGTAAGCGGGGAACGCGGAATCACGTGTATTTTATTTTTGACCTGACACTACGACTCACTGTAGACGTCGTTTGCCTTCTCAGTCGTATGATGTAGGCGTGGCTCTTATCTCAAGATGGATGCTGACTTTTGGCAGCAAGTTGCAAGCGGCCAAAATGTGTAAAAGCAATGGTTTGGCAGGCACAAAATTCCCATCATCTATTCGCATCTCCAATATATACACGTTCCTCGCAATCGAACAAAGATGAAATAGGAAATCTTTCTTTATCAGATTCAGCTAAGTGTACACAAAATACAGTTGCCGCCTAACGCTCAACCAACTTTCTCTCCTCTTCTCCATGTCTATGCACATCTCCAGCTTACGACAGCATCCTGCTCATGTCGCCACGGATACGGTTGTAGTCGAGGAGACCCTCGATCTGACCAACAGCAGAGACAGCAATGTCACGGTCCCAGAGCTTCTTCTGGGCGAAAGCCATGACGTCCTTCTCAGTGATGCGGCCAACGACGCGCTCGACCTCCTCAGGCGATAACCTGCGGCCAGTGGTGATGATCTGACGACCAATGTCCTCGGCGACGGCGGTTGTGCCGTCAAGGGCGAGAAGGAGGGAAGCCTTGAGCTGGGACTTGGCGCGCTCGACTTCGGCGGAGGAAACGTTCATCGACAGACGAGACCACTCGCGGAGGGTGAAGTGGACAAGATCATCGAGCTGGGTGACGTTGTTGGAGGTTAGGTAGATACCCCACAGACTGAAAACTGTTAGCAATTGCAAGTGCGTAGACATGCTGGCATCTAAGCTTACCCAGTGTCCGAGTACGATGTGGAGAAAGACATGAAGCTGTTGGCGAGGTTGTTCTGCGAGACGAAAGCGCTGAGCTTGCTGCCGAGGTATGCGGAGTTGCCCATGGAGCGGTCCCAGTTGCCGACAATGGCCTGGGTGACGAGGGCAGTGAAGTAGTCGGGGTCGCTCCAGCTGACACCCTCGACGGCGATGGCGATGTTGGCGCTGCCCATGGTGTCGTCACGGAGCCTGACCTCAGAGCCGATGAACTCGGGCTTCTGCTTCTGCTCTTGAGCGACGACCTTGTTGGAGTAGTCCTGAGGCTCGGCGGGCAGGTTGGCGAAGTGCTTCTCGGCAAGCTCGACGAGCTGCTGGTGGGGGATACCGCCAGCACCAACGAGGACCATGCGGTCAGCGGTGTAGTTGGTCTTGATGTAGGTCTCGAGGTCGGAGCGCTGGATGCTCTCGATGTTCTCCTTGGGTCCGAGGATGGTGCGTCCGAGAGGCTGGCCCTGGAAGGCGGTGGCGTGCAGGTGGTCAAAGACGACCTCCTCAAGCTGCTTGTCGACCTCCTCCTGCTCGCGGAGGATGACGTCGCGCTCGCGCTCGATCGCGGAGTTCTCGAGCTTGGAGTTCTGGAGGATATCGGAGAGGATGTCGACAGCGGCGGGGACGTCGTTGTTGAAGGCCTTGGCGTAGTAGACGGTATTCTCGCGCTGCAGATCCATCAGTATCCGTCCCAAATTTGGCCCAAAAGTTTTCAGCACATACAGAAGTGTAGGCGTTCAGGTGACCGCCCATGTTCTCAATCTCGAGCTCCAGCTGCTGCTGGGTGCGCTTCTCGGTGCCCTATCCCAACAATTAGCATCCCCCTCCATCCAGCGCCGACAGTATCTCCGTACCTTGAAAGCAAGGTGCTCGAGGAAGTGCGCGGTTCCGTTCGTCTTGTCGGTCTCTGCGCGGGAACCGGCATCGATCCACACACCAACGGTCGATGTCTGGGCCCATGGGGAGTGCTCGGTAGCGATCTGCGCGGAAGGGTCAATTGCAATCCTGGTATCTCCTAGAGCGCCGTCCATACCGTGAAGCCGTTGCTGAGGGTGGTGCTCTCGGTCTTGGAGCCGTAAGAGACGGGTGTCGCAAGGCCTCTTGTCAAGGGTGACGCCTTTGCGGACTTGACACTGTTGATGGCGGCGCGAGAGCGCAAACTCCGCTGGAAGTTCAGTGCGAGCTGCCTGGAAGCCATTGCGTCGGCTCGCTGTGGGAGGGGATGGCGGACGTAGGGGGTTGGTTGGATGATGATCCAAAGCTTCAAATCGTCAAGATTGAAGTTCAGCGGCGGAAGAGAAAAATCACGTGATGCTTCGACGACCTTCGCGCCTGTCAGCAGCAAGCCAATTAAGCTGCTCTGATTGGTTGTATTCTCCTCGGTATCACCTACGACATTGCCCGGCACATCAAGACCGCGACGGCTTCTTCTTCATTGCACGACACAACGACAGCAATGGCATCCCTCATGCGTCCCACCGTCTTCCGTCAGGCGCCCACCGCCTCCCAGCGCATGATGTCCGCCTTCGTGCGCCCCAGCACCGCCATGGGCCAGTTCAAGCCCGCCTTCCAGAAGTCCACACGAGTCGCCGCTTTCCACGCAACCCAGAGGAACCAGATTCTCCCCCCGCTTCCCCAGAAGATCATTGGAACTGCCAACGAGCCCGTACCTGTCCCGAATCCAGATTACACCCAGTAAGACGGAAATGGAAAGGAAGAATGGAATCGCCAGCTAACGCTAATACAGCGGATCCTACCACTGGAGCTTTGAGAGGTAGGTGATATTTCCTCAATCTACATGGGACACAAGAGATGGCAATTCTGCCGCAACGGAGCAACACAACAGCAAACCTGGGGTTGAAGTCATAGCCGGAGTTGTTTTCCGGCTATATGGCAACCCAGAAGCCACTGAACGACAAGAACACCAAACCACAAAGTCCAAGCTGACATTTCTCCAGAATTGTCTCCGCCGGCCTGATCCCCCTCACAATCGCGCCCTTCGCCGCCGGCTCGCTAAACCCGGTCACCGATTCGATCCTCTGCGCCCTGCTCGTCGTCCACTCGCACATCGGCTTCGAGTCCTGCGTCATCGACTACTTTCCCAAGAAGCGCGTGCCCTTTGTCCGCAACGCGGCTATGTGGGCGCTCCGCGCAGGAACAGTCCTGTTGGGCGTTGCGCTGTACTCGTTTGAGACGAACGATGTTGGTGTTACTGAGGCCGTCAGGAGGCTTTGGACCGCGTAGGGGGGTTCATGAGGGGAGGATGTTTTAGATCGTGGGAGGGCGCTTGTGAGGAATACATGTGTTACTAGGAACAAATGGATGCGCGAAGTACTAAGTCATTAGGGTGCTCGTCGTGCGCGGTACCGGTGTCTGACGGATTTGAGAAGTGACCTGTCTACAACGCCCATGATCTAGGTTGCACGCGGAAGTTTTGAATGGTCGGCCAATTGTACGCATGTTTCACTCCTTACACTCTGCCACAGATGCCGCAGCTCTTCCTTAGACTAGCAGTTGGTCTCCACCCTCCACTGCTCCCACGGATCGTTCTGTACCGGCAGGATCACCGGCAGGACCACCGGGAAGGCCATTAAACACACCAGTGGGCAAAATGGCGCCTGATTCACTTCCAGTTGAGATGGTATTGACGGTGGGCTTTGCAGCACTCTCGCGGTCAGTGACTGTTGGGTCTTTCGGATGCTCTGTGATCTTGTTAGCTTTGACAAGAGCTCATGGCAGCCGTAAACATACTGCTCCTATCTCCCTTCTCCGCCTCGCCCTCGATCAAATTTGGTGGATGTTGCATGTCTATATTGGTATCCGCACGTAGCTCGCAGGCTGATCGAATCCGCACCCTACCCTGCAAAGTCATTGCGCGGACGTGACGGATCGATGGAGCTGAGCCGTTGCGAATAAAGTGTGGTGGAGTTCGTGGAGCTGTTGTAAACATTGTAGAAGTAGGGTGACCTCAGCGCCTGAAGAGACGAACTAACGCCTCGTAGCTTTCACTCCAGCGTAAAGCCTGCGAACATTGGGGTGCAGTCACGTCTCCGATGGGGCGATAAGACACATGAAAGGTCGCAACTTTCCTCTTGAAAGGTCCCGTTGGGTAGCAAAGCGAGAGATACTGAACCGTAGCACGAGAGAGGAGTGAAGAAGCCCTTGTGAAGTCTACATATTATTAGAGATCTTTTTTGGTAACAACCGAAGGATTGTAGGAAACTGGACATCTAGCTTTCGTGCACTAAGACACGCCGCCACCTGCGCAGAGGAAATCAAGCCATAAACTCATCAGACATAACAGTCAAGGGAAAAGCCCCATACAATGTACCAAAGGGCTGTACAAACTTGTAAGGAGGAGCGGAGACCGATGAGGTGTAAGATGTGATGACATGATGAAGATTTGGGGATCTAACGAAGAGCAAAAGCTCCTAGTGCCATATGACACCTTCCATGCCATTAGCGACGATGAACCAGACATCGTTGCCCATACCAAAATGCACCACGAATTCGGCTTTTTACTTCATGTTGGTTTGGCCATAATCTATGCCTTGGTCTCGGCAGGTGCCTCGGCGCTGGCCTCGGCCTTAGGTGCCTCAGAAGCAGGCTCAGCAGCGGGCGCATCGGCGGTAGGCTCGGCCTCAGAGGAGGTCCAGAGGGTCTGCAATCAATTAGCGATGCACACAGCCAAAAGGCGCTTTGTTCGACTCACCAAGTTGTCCCTCAGGAGCTGCATGATCAAAGTAGAGTCCTTGTAGCTCTCCTCAGACAGGGTGTCGAGCTCTGCCGCATGTTAGTGCCGTACAAACATCATTCAAAGCTTCTACTTACCAGCAATGGCGTCATCGAAAGCCTGCTTGGCCAGCTGGCAAGCCTGGTCGGGCGAGTTGAGGATCTCGTAGTAGAAAACGGAGAAGTTCAGGGCAAGACCAAGGCGGATGGGGTGAGTGGGAGCAAGGTTCTGGGCAGCGACCTCGGTAGCGGCCTTGTAAGCCTCAAGTGACTTGTCGGCGGAGGTCTTGCGCTTGTCACCAACGGCGAACTCGGCGAGGTAGCGGTGGTAGTCACCCTTCCTATAGTGCGAATGTGATTAGCGAGGAAACGAAGCAGGCACACAGAATCCATACATCTTGTGGTAGAAGACCTTAGACTCGCCACTCTCGGCAGAGGGGATGAGGTGGCCGTCAAGGCACTCAAGGATGTCCTCGCAGATCTTGGCAAGCTCGGCCTCGATCTTCTGGCGGTAGTCCTTGATGAGGGCGACCTGGGTCTCGTTGCCCTTGGACTCCTCCTTCTGCTCGATCGAGGTGACGATTCTCCATGAGGCACGGCGGGCACCAATGACGTTCTTGTAGGCGACGGACAGAAGGTTGCGCTCCTCAACGCTCAACTCTTGGTCAGCGCTGGCAACAGCCTTCATGTTCTCGACCATCTCTGAATATGTCGATTAGCCTGCATATTCGCAGCATCTCTGGGATGAGCTTACCCTCATAGCGCTCGGCCTGCTCGGCCAGCTTGGCCAGGTAGACGGAATCCTCGTAACCCATTGTGAAGTGAAGATCTGCAGGTTTCGGTGGTTAGCAGAATTGAGCGGATGCGCAGCGCGCAAGTTTCGCAGCAAAAGACGGTCGCAGATGCCCAGCCAGCCGTTTAGCCCCTCAGTGTGCGCTGCAGTGCGAGTTTGCTGGCTTCAAATATCGAAATCGTCCAAAGAATGCCGAGTGTGCTGACTGTGAGCGAGATTCCGGCACAACGCATGTCGCGGCGTCAATTGCGTGCGCTGACGTCGGGCTCAGACATGGCGGTGGAGGGCGAAAGGAGGGGTGGCTTGTGCGGTGCAATCCGCTGCCACCACGAATGCTGTTCACATTGCAATGCTGGCAACGACTGCGACGACGACGTTCGAAGCGATGATACTCGAGGCGGACACTGTTCTGATGGCGCTGGCTGGCTGGCTGGCTGGCTGGCTGTTGTTGGGATCGTCCAGGGCGCAGCTCGCTTCTCCGATAGTGGGCGCTGGAGGAGACGACGGAAGGCGGGCAGGTACTTACGAAGGACGGTGAAGTTCGAGTGGTAAAGTGTGTGGGGAGAAGGTGGCGGTGGGTGAGACGGTGGTGTTGATTCGTGGTGGATGCTTCGAGTGACTGGAGTGTTTATCACTGATCGGGGCTGAGGGGGTGGAAAGAACCGCCCAACGACGCTAACCCCGTGTGACGATCATGCCTGCTTTACTCGGTTTCACCCAGCCCAGAACCTGACAGGTGCCAATGCCTGTCAGCTCTGCAAAGCCCAAAGTATTCAGTTGTTCCTAGAACTAGATGAAACTGTGCGTGGCCATCTTATTTGCTGTTTTGCACATCGTGGTCTCGTACCTCTGCCCCGCATTACCTTCGACGATGACCGCCACAAGCTCCGAACGATGTGCAACAGTTGTTGGGCACCGCATTGCTGCTTTTGAGCTTATCTTTGCCATCGTCTCAGATTGGATGAGAAGCCCTTGCAGTAAGGGGTTGCATAGAGCAGTTGCATAGCATAGTATATAGGAGTGGCTGCACCTTCCACATACCCTTGCAAGAAGTAGTACCACTGTCCACTACAGTACCTTTCCGATATCATCGCCTTCAGGACAATCACAAAATTCATATCGTGAGAGCAGATCGAGCCTTTAGTTCACTACGTACACCTGTTGATTCGCTACTTGAGAGGCCTACAAAGGTCCAGTTACTCTGCATCAAGACTCGTAGACATCTGCGAACAGTAAACCTTTGCATCAACATAAATTTGAATTCGATAGAATCGAGCTCGATAGCACGCCATATTGAATCTCACTCTCAGATTCGATCGCACTAGCCTGGTGGGCTGCAGTTCAGACCTGATATCACGTGCAGCTCAGCTCGATCTGCGATGACGACGATAGGATAGGTTGGTTGACAGCTCGGGCCAAGCAGAGCTGCCAAACTGACCGTGCCATCACTCCACCTTCCATCATAGGCAACCAAACAACTTCACATCCTCCAATTTACCCCAAAACTACACTCAAAATGTTCCGCACATCCATCATCAAGAGCGCGCGCGCCGTCGCTGCTCCCCGCTACTTCTCTGCCTCCGCTCTGCGTATGGCCGAGGGTGCTACCGGCTCCGCCGCTTCCAGGGCGACCGGCTCTGCTGGAGGGTCAGTCCACTATACGACCATCAATTGGGCACACTGAAGGGTATGGAAGCTAATAAATCTATAGTGACGCCTTCACCAAGCGTGAGACCGCCGCCGAGGAGCTCTACATCCGCCAGGAAGAGAAGGCCAAGTACGAATGAACCTTCATCGCCAACGAACTTTCCTACACCCCATACGCAATGGAGGACTCAATTGGCAAGCACAGGGCACAGCTAACGCTCACGCAGGCTCCTGGCCATCAAGGAGAAGCTCAAGCAACAGAGACAGCACATCGAAGACCTTGACAAGCACATGTCAGTACACGCATCTCGCTCTGAGCAGCATTTTGGCTTGGAATGGTACTGACAACACAACAGCGACGATGTCATCAAGGAGGGCGAGGCTTCCGGCCAGGGCGAGCAGAAGTAAGCACTCAGTGCGATCTTTTTGTCTCCGTTCCAATGTTATATATATACTGTAGAATGCGTCGGGCTGACCGAACGGTCTCGAACAGTTATTGAATAAACACCATATCGAACAAGACAAATACTCCACAATCCTTCAGCTGCTAAACACCTTTCGATCCGCAAGCCTGCATCTGCAGTATCCACACCCACGCGTCATGACCTCCGTATACTGTTTGCATGATTCCATACTTGATTTGGACTTTCGTTTCTAGCTTCTTTCCATTCCTTTGAGCGTGTACATAAAGGCAGGTATGATGCAGTCAACGAAATAAGTAAGCATTTGGTTTCACATGCAAAATTATTCGGATTCTCCGACTATTGCATGCCTACGCAGTCTTCAACACATCAACCCAAACCTCAGGCCTCAACTTCCCACCCACATATCCCTCATGCAGCCACTTCTCACCATCAAACCCAAACTCAATCAACGCATCCTCACTACCCCACTCACCCTGTCCACTCAGCCCAATAGGCACCTTTCCCTTCCCTTTACCCTTAACACCATCCAGATACCCAACTGGGAACTGGATGCAAGGAATGCCTGTGAAGTTCGCCAGCCACACATACTCCATGTTCTTGAGCTGCATATTCGCATTCGTCATACCGTGAGCCAGGTCAGCTTCTTCGATAGGCCAGCCTGCGTTGGGAGTCGTAGGCGTGACGATGATAAGGCCTGGGTATTTCTTGAAGAGGTAGGCAAGGTGCTCCATGATGATATTGCGGACGCGTTGAGCGAGCAGAAAGTCGGTGGCGGGCGTCTGGCGAGCCACGCTCATAAGGATCCTGTTGGCGGGCGTGAGCTCGTAGATCGATGTCTTGTGGCCGGCTGCGCCTTCTGCGAGGATGGTCATGGCATGGGCTAGTTGGCCTTGGGGCAGGAGTGGGATAGTGATGTCGATTATATGGTAGCCGAGCTCGGACTGGAGGTATTGCAGGGCTGAGTGACACGCTTCCTGGACTGGAGGATCGGCGCGGTCGAACCACGGCTTGTAGATCCCGAGGACTTTGTTGCGAGACCCTGTCAGTGCTCGAGGTGGGCTGAACTCAGAAGATGGGTAGTTGGAAGGATCTGGCTGCGCGAAGACACGGTAGGAGACCTCAAGGTCTGCCATGCTGCTTGCCAGAGGACCTCGCACCGTGACTGACTTTCCAGCATTTGGCATTGGAGCCGTCGACACGCGGTTGTGAGAGGTCTTGAGACCATAGAGACCGCAGTAGTTCGACGGGATTCGGACTGAACCTCCACCATCTGAACCTATAGCGAAAGGGACAAGACCAGCTGCAACAGCAGATGCCGCACCCCCAGATGACCCTCCAGTATAGTATCGCTCATGGTAAGGGTTCAGCGGTGTGCCCCATATAGGGTTATTATTGGTGGTGTCCATACCCAGCTCGTGCATGTTCAGCTTTCCAACAAGGACAGCTCCTTGCTCTTCGACCTTCTTCACACACCAGCTCGTCTCTACCTCATGCTCTCTACCGTTGGTATAGTCATGGCTGGTACCAATGTATCTCTTATAGCCCTTGACCTCAAGATCGTCCTTAACGGCGAACGGAACACCGTCCAATATGCTCAACGGCTTTCCAGCCTTCCACCTTCTAGTCGAAGCCTCTGCCGCCTGCCGAACAAGCTCAACCTGGCTAGGCATGAATGAAGTAGAATGACGCGAGCGCTGCTTGACATCTCTTCTTATGAGCGGCAGCAGAGTCTCTATGACATCGGTCGGTGTGTGCGTGCCGTTTCTGTAGGCATTATGGAAGTCGGCAACCGTGTAGAAGCGATTATTTGCGTCTGCGGGCGTGACTCGCAGCTCGTTCACGTTATCGAGTAAGCTAGGCGCTCCATCGCCAGACGCTGATACTGGAATCACTGTCGGGTCGTATCGAGGGTCTATGCCATCAAGTTCCTTGCAGTTGCGGAGGGAGCTGAAGCCTGCGTTGCTCCATAGCAGGTAAGGTAGTCCAGGTATGGCGGCAACACTGTGCCTGTCAGTCGATGTCTCACACGAACATAAACAAGACTTACAGGCTTCCAAGGTAGTTCAGAGGTGTGCCTTTAATAACTGGGTTCTTGGCTGGCGGTGGGGATGTGTAGGGAGCTTCGTGGGCCTTTGGCGTGGGGTAGCTCAGGAACCGTGCAGCAGTATCGTTGTTCGACATTATTAAAGCAATGCTCAGGTGCAGCTCAGCTCGATATGTGAAGGGATTGGAGTTCCTGAGCTTCCGAAGCTTCCAAATCCTCACGTTGGTGTCAATGTGTGCTTAGAGAGCTGCGCTGGAGCTAAGAAGATGAACCTAGGCAAGACAACACATGTGACAGCGGGATGATCGTAGACAAGCATGTCACGAACAGAATAAGCTTTCAGACCGCGAATGTCAAGAATGTGATTTTGCTTTAAACGCTAGCTCAATGCTCGAAATGTATCGTACTACAGCACGATAAAAGCAAAATGATACAATCACAAGCGTGTGCCAACACGCTCTGCTCATGCTCCACGCATAAGTTTCCCCAAATCCTGGTCTGCGTACAGACATTTTTCCAAGGTGTTCTGAGAGCAAAGACACCGGAGGCCGAAGCCGCGCGGAATGAGCCGCGTCAGCAATGCCTGCGACGGTATTTGACATAGCTGCTCAGTAATCCACCGGCCATCTACTGCTTGCCAGAAACCTGGTCGCCCATGCGGTTGTACTCCTTCTGCATGTTCTCAACCTGCTTCTTCAGGTTCTCCATGTCGCGGTCCTTGGCGGCGAGCTCGTTCTTGAGCTTGCCAACCTCACCGGCACCGCCCTGGACATCCTTGAGAGAAGAACCCTTCTTAGTGCCAGTCTCGCCCCTGTAGGTCTTGAGCTCCTCCTCGAGACGGAGGACATCGAGGATCATAACGTAGGTGCGGTTGAGGATGAGGGAGAGGAACAGGGTGAAACCGCAAAGGTACATGTTGCGCTGGGAGTAGAACTTGCGGGCCTGTACTTCCATGCGCTCAATACCACCAAGGCTGGCTTGTCTGGAGAACTTGTTAGCTTGATGCTGATGGTGTGCACTGTATGATGACTTGCCCTCCCTGCTGGGGGTTTCCGCCGAAACTGGAGAGCTCGACCTGGACGCGGTAGACACGGTTGACGCTGTCTACGAAGAGGATAAGGATGAAGATGAACGTGATCTGGAGTTGGATTAGAAACGTTCCCTGCGGTGTATGATGGAATGAACATACCTTCATGCCATATTGGAGCTTGGCAACTATAGGGCTCTCAGAGATGAACGTGAAGAGCTTGCGGCGCCAGGTGAACGGCAGCGGGACGATGAGAGCGCAGAAGATGAGCATCTCCGTCACCAAAAGGAGGAAGACCTGGAAGAAGAGCAGAAGTAAGCACGTGGGCCACATTGTGTTTCCAGCGAGGGGTAGTGGAGAGGACACGCGAGCGCAGCACCATGGGGGTTCACCATTGAAGCGTGCCTCCACAGCACCTGCTGCTTTTTGAGCGTCTCTGTAGGACGCAGCAACTTACAAGACTGTAGTAGAGAGTCATATTTGCAACGTAGCTCTGTTATCGCAGGGGCTGAGGTTGTTTATGTATTGTCCGGGTTTTGTGCAACGGTATAGTACAGAAGGTAGGTAAAAGGCGTTCGATGACTTCCCTGAGGGAGATCGATGCTTGTTTATAGTTGGTGATGTTGTGGGTCGAGGGGAAGAAGGAGGAACAGGAACGCGACGCAAGATTGTATCCTGTGTGTGCCTAGCTTGTGAATGTGACGTAGCAGCGACGATGGGTCCGGGCGGCGGGCGCAGGCGCGGCCCTAGGTGCCACAGTGGCTTATGAGTCTAGACTGCTTCTAGCAAGGTCCAAATTCACTTTTATCAAATTATCTTAGCCAGAATCAAGAGTACGATCACCAACCTCGTTTGTGAGGTCAGCGTGCAGCAATATTTCACTAACCTCAGCTGCGATGGATGGTGAAAAGGTCGAGAGCTTGTCTGGTCAGCCATTGCCTGATGCGACCATTCCATTGGACTCCAATGGCGCACACAGTGGCGACAGCGAAGTGAAGAAACGAGCGAGAAGTAACAGCCCCAATAGGGAAGCTGCCGAAGGTGCTGCGAAGCGTCAGAAGGGTGTTGCGCCCATCAAAGCAGAGTCAGTCGCGTTGCTGGGAATCCTATCACTGGTTGCTAACTTTGATAGATACCTCATTCACCGCACTGATGCCAAGGTTGAGACAAAGGACGCAATCGTTGATGATGATGCAGCTGAAGCCGCAGACGACCGCTATCACAAGGGTGATGCGCGCGACGGTGGAGGTAAGGGGAAGAAAGACAAGAAAAACAACAAGAAGCAAAAAGGTGGACAGAACACCAGCCGGACATTCGGCAGCTCTCGCGATAAACTTCCACTCTGCGGAACGCGGATGCTCAGCAACGAATTCTCTCCAAAAGAATGCAGCTTTGGCGATAAGTGCAGGTTTGAACACGATCTCCGCAGGTACCTAAAGGAAGGCCGCCGTGAGGATCTTACCACTTTCAACGGCAAGTGCCCGATTCACGAGGTCAAGGGATACTGCCATCTCGGTTGGAAGTGTCGATTTGTTGGCAGCCACTCCAAAGAGCGTGACGCTGAAGACGGAAGGAAGGAGCTGGTTCTGATCGAAGATTCTGAACGTACGTCAACAATGGTGAACCTTGAGGACGAGGTCGATGTTACGAACGTTGTGTCCAAAGACGTCAAGATTGGCCTTGCAAAACGAAAGATCGAAACTCCGCGCTCGGACCAGTACATGAAGTGGATTGATTCGAACAAAGACAACGAGCGTGCTATGTTCGATTCGGCAGCAGGCGACAACAAAGCATTGAAAGAAGAGAAAGAAGCCCGGAGAGCAGAATTTATCGAAGCACCCTTCCGACCATCTGAGAAGCGGAGGTTATACTATGGACCGGAAACACCAAGTTTGGCACCTCTCACTACTCAAGGGAATATGCCATACCGCAGGCTCTGCGTGGATCTTGGGTGCCAGATAACATGGAGTGAGATGGCTATGGGTATGCCTTTGATTCAAGGCGAAAGAGGCGAGTGGGCGCTCATGAAGGCACATGAGTCCGAAATCAGCCCACCAAAGTTCCTTCAGAAGAACACAGTCGTCCAAGGCTACGACAACGCCAGTGACATGAAGTTCGGCGCTCAGATTGCGGCAAACAAACCATGGCTAGCCGCGAAGACTGTAGAAGTCTTGACCGACCATTGCCCTAAGCTCCGAGCTATCGACTTGAACTGCGGATGTCCCATCAACCTTGTCTGCGAGAAGGGCGCCGGTTCTGCTTTGCTCGATCAAGACTCCAAGCTTGAGAGCATCCTGCGCGGTATGACATACGTGTCAAAGGAGACACCCATTACCGTCAAGATCCGCATGGGCACGAAGGATAACAACCCCACTGCCACAAAGCTGATCAGACGTCTTGTCCTCGGTGGCTATGAGGCCGTCCAGTCCGGCAAAGGCACCTCTGGTATTGCGGCCATCACACTTCATGGCAGGAGTAAGCAGCAGCGCTACTCCAGAAGCGCAGATTGGTCGTACATTGCTGAATGTGCATCGCTCATCAAGCGACTTAAAAGCGAGAAAGATGCACGAACAGACACAACTGCAGAAGCTGATCCTCGTGATCTTGCCAACGGTGGCCATGTGTACTTTGTTGGCAACGGCGACTGCTACTCCCACGAAGACTACTACAACAACATTAACAACTCCGGTGTCGACTCTGTCTTGATCGGCCGCGGGGCCCTGATCAAGCCTTGGATCTTCGAGGAGATTGAGAAGGGCCAGTACCTCGACAAGTCCGCCACCGAACGCCTGACCTACATCGAGAAATTCGCCAAGTACGGTCTGCAAACCTGGGGTTCCGATGAGATGGGCATTGGTACGACACGTCGTTTCTTGCTCGAATGGCTCAGTTTTGCTCATCGATACGTCCCTGTGGGCTTGTTGGAGCACCTACCGCCAAACATTCAGGATCGACCACCGAGGTTTAAGGGCAGGGATGACTTGGAGACACTGATGGCCAGTGAGAACTACAAGGACTGGATCAAGCTCAGCGAGATGTTCCTTGGTCCCGCCCATCCGAACTTCAAGTTCGAGCCTAAGCACAAGTCCAATGCTTACGAGATCGAGGCAGAAGGCTGAGCGAGGAGATGTTTACTATAACGGTTGCGCTCTCATTGATTTCGTGTACCTTACCTATGTACGTGCCGCCGGCATCATTCGGATCGATTATCAACAATTAAACGAAGATTTATTCGAACGTCCTCTTCTTACATTCGCCATGACCCTCCCTGCCGGGTTTTGATATCACACATTCTCGCACTTGCAATCTACTGCTCAATTAGAAAGGCTGCCATTACTTTGCCTTGCACAGAAACAAAGGCCGGTTCTTGTAGGTAGTGAAAGTCATCGTTTGTATGGTGGACTTGAGTATTCATTGTTTGGGCTTGACAAGGATACAATTCCGTCATGCGTGACAAGCAGATTCATCACAACAATTTTTCGTGCATCCATTTCCTGCGTGAGTAATTTCGTTGTTCTGCTCAGACGCTTCCAGCCTCATATTTTTGCGATGTCGTCACTGCCGTATTTAGCGCTAGCGTAACCAAAACCTTGTACGCGTCGAAAAGCTACATAGCGTCGCAGAGCTGCGTTAGAGTCCGCTGTTCAAGTGGAACAACATCTACATAGTGAGAGGCGTGTGAGATACCTCTCGACACTGTCATTTCCGTACTTGCGCAGGCTTTGGAACTCGAAAACACAGTCATGCACGGACTACTTGAGCTGTCCCTGCAGCTTCTCAACTTCAGGTACGAGCCCTGTCTAAGACATCCGTGTCACGATGTCTCATTCTAGAGTTTACTAACCCATGTCGAAAGGGGCCCTTTTAATCCGCAAAAGCCTATGCTTGGTGAACATGCTGTTGTGAAGCGTGAGTACTATGATTGTCCATCATCTGAACGATAGCTGAGCCACACCAGCCACATCAACAACCAAATCATCTGGTCTCCCTGACTACTTCATCACAGACGATGGTCACTTCGCAGGTAAGTCCTTATAAAGCATTACGTTGAGCGAAATCTGACAATGCACAAAGGCCCTACACAAACTGGCGATGCACCATACCTTGCTCAGACCAACATCGCTCCCTTCATTGGAGTCTCTTATATCCCGAACGCGCCTCTGGAGACCCAGGTACCTATTGCCAATGCAGAGGGGCGAAACATCTTCCAAAGTCTGGCCAACATCAGTCCTTACTTCCCTAACCCGCGCGGCTTTGGTGTCGACGAGTATGCAATCCCACCCGGATCCAATGTTACCTGGTTGAACATGGTACACCGCCACGGTAGTCGGTACCCTGAGTTCAGCGGTGATGCAGCTGAGATTACACTTGGAAGGAAACTCACAGCCGCCGCTGGAAAGTTCACAGGTCATGGCGCATTGGATTTCCTCAACTACTGGAGATGGCAACTTGGCGGCGAGATCCTGGTCCCCATGGGCAAGCAGGAGCTCTTCAACTCCGGCACTCTGCACTACTACCAGTATGGTCATCTCTACCCCAACAATGGCAGCAAGATCATAGTCAGAAGTACCACGCAGCGCCGTATGTACGAGTCTGCGGAGTACTTCATGGCGGGCTTCTTTGGACTGGGTTGGGCACAGAATGCGACTTTGGAGCTGGCGATTGAATATCCGGGCTACAACAACACTCTCGCTGGATACAAGCAGTGCAACCATTCCAGCTGGATCATGGCTCGAGACGCACTCATGGATTGGGTCAACGTGTATCTTGTTGATGCACACAAGCGCTTCACAGACAATATCACTGGTGACCTCGACTGGACCATTGCCGACACCTACAATGCGCAAGCACTCTGCGCCTACGAGACCGTTGGTCTCGGGTTCTCCCACTGGTGCAGTCTATTCACATACGAAGAGTGGGAGGGCTATGAGTACGCACTAGACATTGCCTTCACGGCAGGAACCGCCTTCGCCTCACCAGTCGGTCGAGCTATCGGCGTCGGCTACGTCCAGGAAGTGCTTGCACGCATGCAACACCACGCCATCGTCAACCAGAGTGCTCAGATCAATATCACCCTTGACAACAACACATCCACCTTCCCCGTCGATCAGAACTTGAACCTCGACTTCAGCCACGACGCAAACATCATCAGCATCCTCGTCGCCTTCGGTCTGACCCAGTTCGCCGAACACCTTCCCACCGACGCGATCAAGAAGGACCGCGAGTTCATACTGAGCTATATCGAGCCCTTCGCCGGCCGACTCGACATCGAAGTCATCAAAGCACCCGCGCCCGTTAACCCTGACCGACACTCCAAAGACATCTACCTCGATGGCGAGCCGACCAGCTACGTGCACTTCATTCTCAATCAACGCACGATCCCTCTGGGTAGGAGCTTGAAGGCTTGTGGCGATAGAGATGATGGGTGGTGCGAGATGGAGACTTTCTTGAAGGAGCAGAAGGAGCAGATTAAGTTGGCGGATTACGATTATGCGTGCTTTGGGAAGTATGAGAATCCCAAGTATGGGGATGTGACGGATGGAAGGCCGGTTAAGAAGTAGTAGGTCGATACCATTGGTATGCTTGCAAGCTGATTAAATGTGATTGGGGGCCACTTGGACGATGTGCAGGTGTAATGGAAGATTATAGAGTAGAGGTATCAAGATGTTAAGAATCTTGGAATAGTGATTGAACACAAGGCCGTTCTCTCCTCTTGTCATCCTCATCTCCACCAATGCCTTATGTCCCGCCTTCTGTGACTCTTCACTTCTTGTCGCTTTCTTGACTGACATCACCTCCCCTCCTCATCCCCTTGTCGGCCTCACTTCGCTTTCTCCATCCCCACGATCTCTTTATACCAAGACATACGGTAATACCTATGTGGGCTGCCGACTTCGCTTCACTCACACATTACACCTACACATGGCACTTGCCGCCCCTGTCACCCAAATTCGGACACATCTTATCCGGCCGTACAATGCGTGGATAATGGTAGGCTACTTGACTCGCAAAATACTTCTTTGTGAAATGTTGCAGGCTCAGCCCTAGTCGTGTTCGGCCCGATGTCATGACCTTCCTAGGTTAGCTGGGCTGCGGATACCGCCCGGTATCAGGTACCCTCGTCAGGTACGCCCGGTGAAGATAACGAGAAGCGCCGAAACACCACGTTCGCTGTGTGCAAAGGGTAGGAAGGTGTGGAGAGACGCGTAAGGTGGACGTCATTGCAGGGTACGTGGAAGCTGAAGGCCCGTGAGGAGTGCTTCTACGTTGTGGGGAAAGTATTGGATGCGTGGATTTGTATATTTCAAATAGGACCGCAGTGACCCTTTTGGGGCAGTGTAAGGTGGGAATGGGGTGATTATCGTGTATTGTTTGACTCGATGGCATTGCTTCCATCAGGCCGTTATGAGCATGCGCAGAACATGCGTTCGTTGTAGTTTCATGCTAGTTCTATCGCAGTGGCACACCATAAGAAGGACCTTGGAGTGGGATGAAGAGAGATGAGTTGGCGGTTCTCATGTCGAACAGATTGCCTTATTGAGACTGCACGTGGCAGATGTGACCGCTTTGGTAGATGCAATGTCTGATCATACGGCAGCTACTTGTATACGCAGCGATCAGCATTTCACCTATCACCCAATATGTACATCTTGTCGAAACGCAGTCGACTTCAGCGAAACACTGTTGCAGCTCGGTCCACAAGTAAAAAAGGTTCGAGCATTTTGCAGACATACAGACGATGCGATTGTGGAGGTAGCAGGCTACAACGTCGTAAAGAGTTGTTCTTCTGTCTGTGAAGGTTCCCCCGACCATCCAGCAATCGGTCACATTCCCGAGTATTCGTCTACCGCCCGACGATATTTCGGAGTTGTTCCATACGAAAGATGTTCCACTGTCCAGGGCGGTAAAGTTGTAATCCGCAGCAAGCATCCAGTTGGCGGGAATTGCCTTGGACGCACGTCCATATGCATGTCGCAGCTCTCTCGCGCTTACCGTCCGGCTCACAAGTGCGGAGAAGGTTGTCCACGAATGATGCATGTCGTCGATATTCGTCCCAAATACATGGTCAGCTGCCTACCGGATGTCCATTTCGGGCCGGTTTGAGATATGCGTGAAACGTGAACCCAGGTCTTTCCCTAACATTAGTTCAAATGAAACCCAAGACGGCAAGGCTGCTATGCCCATCCTCGTGCAAAACCCCATCTTTCGTAAGATCGCCATTGAGCAGAAAGGCGGTGACCTCGCTCGGACCTTAATGCACGGCCTTACCTGTGCAAGGAATTATCGAAGACGGGATGATCTCAAGTTCCGCATCAAGGTTCCGGTGTCAGGCCGTCGTCAAGTAAGACATGGAAGACAAACTTTCCGGCGTGTAACGTCACTAACGTGATGATCACCGTTGCTCAGAGAAAAGAAAAAGAGAGGTGTGCGGCGGTGAATTGCGACATATCTTCCATAGGCAGGGGAATCGGGAGACATTCCTTCCAGTGGCATAGTCTGCTCACTCTACGAGTTTGCAGGTCTTGGCTCGGCGACAAGGGCTTGTGAATGGACGGGACGATGGACGGTTGTAGGCGTTCTCAGGTTACACGGTGATCAAACACGAGGTTTCGTCATTGGCTGTTGGATCGTACGAAGACGGTGGTGGAGGCCGTTAGAACATGTCGAAACAGCGAGTGAGAGAGGCTGGTGAATACAGAAACGTTGCCGCATTCACCGGATAGAGGAGTAACAAAGATGTCTTCTGTAACGATTGACCCAGGAGTGGTGAGTTGAGTTACAAGGAGTGCCGCAGGGTCCAACTCATGTGACGATCTTATACAAATTTCGACGAAAGAGAGAAACTCGGCGGCGATGATCTGCGCTCACGGCCAACGACGACAATACGGCTGAGGTGAGGGGCGCGTGGACACTGTGACCCATATTTTTGGCAGTCAACGGACGATGCAAAATAAAATTTCTCGTGTGGTAGCGAGGATAGTGTTCTGGGAATATAATATTCCCAGCGCCGGCAGTGTGGGATGTTGCCCTATCTACGGAGAGTTCTCGCGTAGCAGAGGAGTTGGTGCTCTGGTGAATGCTTGGTGGTGAACGTCGTCCCAAGGAGGAAAGAGAGCGTTCAAGAACGCCCCTGCCCGCCGAGCATCGTCATCTAACGGAATTCGTCTCGAAAGAATGCTGATTGGCGCCACAGCGCGAGGCCGTCCCGGGCTTCTGTACACCAACGGCAACGATATGCAGGTGAGCTGCTGCCCGGCAAGAACGGCATGATGTCAAGTCGTCGCCTGGTGCAACAGATGTGGTTGCGGCGCCGCTGTGGAGACCAGGGCAAGGTTGGGTGAGTGCGGCCATCTTGCATTGTTTGCGGCTAGCAGCGCAATCCCTTAGACGTCATCGCCGCTCAGCCTTCACAATTGCGGTTGCAAGCACTGGTGATCAGGACGCGCTCAGCGGCTGCTCTCTTGCGGGCAGGAACAGCACTCGGCGCAGCAGAGGCCGCCCAGCTGTAACAGTCGTCAGACGTCCCATTCCGCGGCAGCTGTGATGCCAGCGCCGCTGTTGACTCGACACTAGTTTGCCGCTGGTCGTCCTTCAGCCCCTCTGGGTGGGCTTCTGCGCTTGGTGCTGAGGGCGATCGACATGCTCAAACCTTGGAGTTGCAGTGCCGGCGAGTGGTTGCTCGTGTATGACCGACTGGTGAGGCAGAGCCTGACCGCGCAAATATTTGTTCTTTTCTGCGTCTTCTCGTGAACCTCGTCTCCTTCCACCGCCTTATGCAGCCAAAGCTTCTCCTGTCACCCTCTGTGCCCCCATCACTGGCCTAACCCAGCACTCCTGCAGCCACCACGAGGACGCCAGGCTCGGCAGCGCAACGTCATCGCATTCCTCAGCCAGTCTACCCACATTCCACCCAGCGCCCGAGGCTCCGACAGCACCGCAGCAGGGGTCGACATCCGATTTTCTGCCAGCAGAGGACCCTTGATATTGCAAGTGACATAGCGCTCCCAGCGGGGCTTCCTAACAAGCCCTCATCCCTCGACATCACCCACTTTCCTACCTTGGCGCCTGTCCACTTGATCTAACGGCGCCGTTCCTGCCGAATCTTGCACACCTCTTCAACTTACTAGAGCCGCACCGCAGCACTGTTCCTGAGATGTCGGAGCAGTTTTCCTCTGTTCCCTACCCGACTGTCGCAGTCTTCGACGTTGACCGCCGGTCGTCGTATCCAGACGACATGAGCACCACCTCCAGCACCGGATCGGTCAGCGACCAGGACCAGCCCAAGGCCGGCGACCCCACGCTGCGACCGCGCCTGGGGAGCAGGAAGTCCAGCGGCACCATCATAATACCGCGCGACAGCCCCCACGTCGAGCTCAAGGAGGAAGAGTACGACGACGGAGACGCCAGGACTATGAGCCCTCGACGAAGCAGCGAGGAGATTGAGAAGATGGGCCAGGACGCCAGGCAGGCTTTGATAGAGTAAGTGACCACCGAGGCACCACCACTGTTCGGCAATTCCATGCAGCGCAAGAACAACACCAGCAGCATTCAGCGACTATCATGCTCGTGTTGTACACCGCCTGTTGTATTGCAGCGCCCTGCCTACCACCAATCTTGACTTGATGACTAACATCTTTTCCCCAGACAAGCTAAGCAACTCCAAGCAAGCCTCATGGAAATTGTCGACCGTGTAGAGGTCGTCAAGTCAGAACACGAGAAGCTTGAAGGCGGCAACAAGTTCCTGCAATCGTATGTATCATCCTATGAGAACCTTGGGGTCCTATCTAACATGCCGTAGATACATTGGCGAGCTCATGCAGACCAGCAAGCTCACATCGTCTGGCGCTGGAAAAGCCACCAAAATCAAGGGCAAAGGACGAATCATCAAATAACAACCAGCGTTCCCAGCCCCTGCGTTAATCGCCTACCACGATGGCTGGGGTCGCGGAGCATACCATGTCGGCATTCCACCAGGACCTCATCGCATCATCGACGCGACACGCCTCACCAATCCCCACTACACGAGCATCATGATCATCTACTGCCTCACACATTAACAACACCGCATACATCCGACTCACCAACTGATTGCGTTTACGAGCGTTGCATAACGGCATGGGTTCCGTCGGCGTTATTCACTTCGATTCAGCACAACTGCTACTGTGTTACCACTTACCAACACGTAACTTCTATTTCGACAATCCCTACGGGATCTGGCTTTGCCGAGCCATTGTTTCACTACCCGCTCAAACAATTATACCACGGCACTTTGAGTGCTACCGCGTTTGCTTTACATCATGGCGACATTGGCGTTCCGGAGTTTGAACGTTTTGAGCGTCATTATTGATGAACCTGGTTATGGAAAGTTGGGAAGAAGACGTTTAGCGTCAAGCCTATAGCAAAGCGAGTGCGACAAGCGCTCGTTGACTATGTAAGGCTGTTGGAATGCTGAAATCGCTTCCATTTGGCAGGAGGAAGTTACTAACCTTGAAATGTGTCAGTAGACAACTTAGAGGTCCGCATTACATAGTTCAATCGATTGCACTGTCCACACGTAATTTCACTGCGCATTCACCGCCTCCCATTTTCTCGCACCAACGCCAACGTCTATTGTTTCAGTCTCACGATGCACGAACAGCCGACGTTAACTTTCGCGTTCGGCGCCTTACCGAATGATTTTCATCGAACCCGTTTCGAGCGCCCAGGAAATAGTGATAGGCGTTGAGACACAACGATCGCAATCTCTGTACAGTCAATCAAAACACCATATCGAGCCAGCACCGCAAAAGCAGCCGCAAAAGCCCATGCCAGGACCCTGCGTCGCTTCAACTCTCCGAAGCGCAATCTCAAGGGATTCGTGCTCGTATCGCGGCCATATCGAGATAGTCCCGAGCGAAGCAGGAGTTGGCACAGCAGCGGTGGGTCAGGGACGAATATTGGAAGCGCTGACCCACACGCACCTGCGCCTGCCAACAAAGTGTTTCCGTTGTTTCGATGCAGCGGAAAAGCGCAGCGAGGAGATAGTGGGTGGGTGATGCTTCCGTCCCGCTGTGCGTTCCGCTTTTGAGTTGGCGTGTAAGGATGAACGCTTCGATGTAGAAGCGTGCCTGAAAGCTTGCACGCAGCTACACTTCATTCGCTCACAACCATTCTTTCCAACTCATACTGGGGCTTGGTCGGTTTTCTCCCGTTCCCACCCCTCCACCCCTCCACCCCTCCACCGCACCTCCCTAAACCTCTTGTTTGAAACTCTGCACGTGTAGATGTTGTGCTTGAGATCAGGCCTCACCGCCACCCACCTTCCTTGCATTGATGCTGTTGTGCAAAAGACTGAAGGAAGCACTGTGCCCTTGTTTCCACTCTGCAGCATGCTAGCTTGTTTTCTGCTAGCGCCTCGCGCAGGGTCACGATGCCGAACGCACTTCGGATGCACCTTCTGCAGCCGGTGCCACGTGCTCGGGGGGCGATATGCATGGCGAGTCAAAATACACTTCCAAGGTGATTCTTTGTTCGGCGCAGAACTGCTCAGAGCGCAAGGATTCGCTGTTTCAAATGTAAAATCCAATCATCAAGGAAAAGTTCGATGTTGTTAGACCCCTAGCGGATTCTCAAGAGATACTGCAGGTTTCGTGGTGATCCTTCTTCTCTCGTCACAATTGCGAATCCGATGTCGCAATTTTTTACCACACCTTACTCGGAAAAACTGGAGAAAATACCTCTTCCTTGGCAGCCCTAACATACCGCCTACTCACAATGGGGATTCTGCTCGGTACTCGGTAGAGCTACCGTAGCTAGCCTTGGCTTACTCGTGTAGGCGTGTGATTGGTGCAGGACCTGTAAAGATTCAGCTATTTTTTTTTTCGGCGAGGTTTGAGCCGGTCAATACGGTCGTATGGTTCTAAGGTTTTGGCACCTGGGAACATGGTACCTGAGAACAAGGCGAGAGACGGTTTGCAACTTGTGAGGATGGAGGCCCGGACAAGTCGGCGAACGAGAAGTCGAAGGATTTGAACGATGTAACTCTCTGCAGCTGTTGCTCGAATTTGTTCATGTCGATTGCGTGTACTACCTGCATCTCAGCCAAGCTGTCCATGTGCAGCACATGGGCATGCAAGACAGGCACAGAAGCACTACAATCGTTAAATTGGTGGAAAATGCTCGTGATGGTTATGCTGGAAAGGATTGACAACAATATACTGCGGACGATGGCCACTGAAACGAAGCATCAAGATATCTGGGCTTCGACAAGGCACCTCAGCGTAGCCATTCATTAACGACAAACCGAAGTCTTTGTTGGCAGCTTCGTTATTCCCACATCAACTTCAGATGTACATGTTTGTCTTCATTGCTGAAATTTGACGATGGACATTGAAAAAGTCGCAGTAGGAAGGAGGTTGTCATAGCGATCGAATAAACAATAGAGTAAGACATGGTACCAGCACTCGCGCAAGCAGGAACGAAAACTCCACGCGATATGCAGTACAAACCAGGTCAATAGGAATTGCACCCTCCCGCACCCCAAGCGTTTAATGCCGCACAACAAGAACGCCGCATCTCGCCAAAAGACATCCAACGCAGGAAGAGACAGCCCACCAGGCCGCTCAACCAATCCGACCTGATCCACCTCGATCCAAAACAGAATATCCACACACCGACCACCTGCAGAGCTTCCATACCCGGGGGTATCCTGCTGCACATTTACAACTTCCGTCTTCTCCCACGATAAGAGGAAGAACCACTACCCCAACTCCTCGACCCTAGTCCTCTTAGTCTCAGGGCCCTCCTCCCCATCATCCCCCTTCCCCCTCTTCCTCTTGTCCGAAGATAGTCAGCTACTATGACTTCTCAGAAGCGACTGCGCCATCATCAGCCTCGTTCAGTTCATGTCAGACATGGATCTCAACAGTACCCCTTGCACAGAATCATCTGTTTGGTCGGCCGCGAGCAGCTTCGGCGACTCGACAGCTGCGGGCCCGCGCTCTGTGAAGCCGCGGGCTTCGAGCTGGGGGCGTTTCGACGGCGTTGCGCGGGGTGTGGCGTTGGGAGAGGTGTCGGGGTGGCCGAGCGTGGGAGCCGAGAGGTTGTCTTTGGAGTGTGAGGCGTCGTAGAGACCGCCACCCATTGTTGCGCATCGGAGGATAGTCTGGATGAGCTGATTCTGGCGGAGGGGTTTGGAAAGGTAGTCCTGTTGCTGTTAATATGTAACAAGATAGTGGGACATTAAAGAAACTTACGTCCATCTGCGCCGCGAGGCACTTCTCGCGGTCGCCGACCATGGCGTGGGCAGTGAGGGCGATAACTGCTGTTGACGGGATGCCGTTCTCGCGCTCCCACTCACGAATTTTTGCTGTAGCTTCGAAACCACCCTACAAGCCCGTTAGTCACAAATATGATAGTAGCACCCAGATTAACTAACCATTACAGGCATCTGCACATCCATAAGAACGCAGTCGTAGCGCTTCTTCTGGATGTGCTCGAATGCTTCCAGACCGTTGTTGGCCACAGTGACCCTGTGATGGTACTTCTCCAGAATGCGAACGGCAAGCTTCTGGTTGACAGCATTGTCTTCAGCAAGCAGGATGTTGAAGGACTTCGAGTGATCAGAGACCAAAGGTGCAGCACGTCCATCCAATGCTGGAATGAGCGCGTTACCCAGATCGATCGGCAGGCAAGGTGTCGTCATGTAACTCGAAATACCGTTCTCAAGAGCAGACCTCAGGCTTATCGCCACTCTGGGTGTGAGCATGACAAGCGGAATGTACTTGAAGCGATCTGCGCCCCTCAGCTCTCGTGCTGTAGCGTCGTTGTCAACAATGACGCAATCGTAAGCAATGTTAGTTCTCTTGTCCGATGCTGGCACTTCTTCGACTGAGCTGACGACCATAGGAACGAGTTTGAGGGTCTTGAGGTGATTGACCACTTCTTCGGAGAAGTTGGTGTGGCCTTGATCGATGAAGATGACAGTGTGACCGTTGTACGCCCTGAGGTTGGGCTGGATAGCGCTGATGTCGGGGTTTCCGAGACGAACTCTGCAGGTAAAGTAGAACACACTGCCCTTGCCAAAGTCAGACTCGACCCACATGCGGCCACCCATGAGGGTTACAAGACGCTTCGAGATAGACAATCCAAGACCAGTACCACCGAACTTCCTTGTTGTCGAACCATCGGCTTGCTGGAACGTGTCGAAGATCAAGTTGAGCTTGTCACCACGGATACCTATGCCCGTATCGGAGACAGCGAATTGGAAGACGTACTGATCCGGACCACAGTCCTGCTCTTGCGCCATACTTATGGCAACCTTGACTTCTCCGCGCTCAGTAAACTTGATAGCGTTTCCAACAAGGTTCAAGATAATCTGTCTTAATCTGAAAGAGTCACCGATAACATAATCTGGTACTCTGAAGGAAACATCATAGGCCAAGTTCAGCTTGCGCTCGTTGGCCCTTGAAGCTAACGACTTCAGCGCGTTGAAGATCGTGCCACGAATCGAGAATGGTATCTCCTCCATGACCATGCGGTTCGCTTCGATCTTGGAAATATCGAGAATGTCGTCGATGATGGTCAAGAGCTGACCAGCCAGGTTGTGTACAATCGTCAACATCTCTCGCTGAGCATGTGTAAGATCGGTATCGAGCGTGAGCTGTGTCATACCAATGATACCGTTCATAGGTGTTCGGATCTCGTGGGACATGTTGGCCAGGAACTCGGATTTGGTCTTGTTGGCCAACTCGGCAGCCTCCCTGGCGGCCGTGTTCCTCTGGATGGACTCTCGTAAACTGGAGACCATCTGGTTGATCTTCCTCTTCAGCTCGTCCATCTCACCGGACGCCTCGACTGTGATCTGCGTGAACTTGCCCTCCATGGCCGCGTTTGTGATGTCGCCGAAAGCGCGCACTTGCGAAGTCAAGTTCTGGGCCATCGTGTTGACGTCGGTTGTGATCTCCTTCCAGCGTCCGTCGATGTCCCGGATATCTGCCTGACCACCCATCTTTCCGTCGACACCGACATCGCGAGCCACACGCTTTACAGCAAGCGACCACTCGTCGAGTCTCATGACCATGTCGTTGATAGTGTCCTTCAGCAGACGAATTTCTCCCTCGGCATCCACGTGTACTCTCCTGCTCATGTCTCCCTTGGCAATGGCCTGTGTGACTTCCGAGATACTTCGTACTTGTAATGTCAGGTTTTGCGCCATGGTGTTGACGTTATTTGTAAGGTCCTTCCATTTTCCTTCCACGTTGTCGACCTGTGCTTGTCCACCCAGGATACCGTCGGTTCCGACTTCACGGGCAACCTTGCTCACTTCCTGGGCAAAGGTGTTGAGGCGGTCCACCATGGTGTTGATGGTAATCTTCAGGGACAGAATCTCACCCTGGACTTCGGCCTTGACCTTTCGACTGAGATCTCCTCTTGCTACAGCTGTGGTGACTTCGGCGATCTCTCGTACTTGTGTCGTTAAATTCATGGCCATACCGTTCACATTCTCAGTCAGGTCCTTCCAGGTTCCCTCGACTCCATGGACTGTAGCCTGGCCACCCAGTCTACCTTCAGATCCGACTTCTCTCGCAATCTTCGTGACTTCGTGTGCGAATTGTTGTAGTTGGTCAACCATGCGGTTGATCGTGTTCTTGAGTTCCAAAATCTCGCCCTTGCACTCAGCCTCAACCTTCCGAGTGAGGTTACCTTGTGCGACAGCCGTTGTTACTTGAGCGATATCTCGCACCTGGGTTGTGAGATTTTGCGCCATAGCGTTCACATTGACGGTCAGCTCGTTCCACATGCCCTTAACACCAGCGATCTCGGCCTGACCACCAAGCTTGCCTTCAGTACCGACATCTCTGGCCACTTTCGTGACCTCGGTCGCAAACGATTGCAGTTGGTCCACCATGGTGTTAATAGTCTGTTGCAGCTGGAGAATTTCTCCCCTTGCAGGACGCTCAATCTTTCTGCTCAAGTCGCCGTGGGCGACAGCGGTTGTAACAACGGCGATTTCTCGCACCTGCTCGGTAAGGTTCTTAGCCATGTCGTTGACTGTTCGAGGGTGATTAGCAGACCGGCCGGATTGGCGACTACAACAAACATCTTACCAGAGTCGGTCAGTTCAGCCCAAATACCATCAACACCTGGGAGATTTGCCTGCCCACCGAGTCTGCCCTCAGTACCGACTTCTCGGGCCAAAAAGGTAACTTGACTGGCAAACTCCTGCAGCTGGTCCACCATGGTATTGATCGTGCGCTTGAACAGTGTGATTTCAGGGTCCATTTCCTTAGCGTGGATCAAAACCTTCTTGCTCAGATCGCCCATAGCGACGGCTGTGACAATGGCACCAATCTCGCGCAGAGCCTTCTGGAAAGCCAAGTTGGCCTGCTGATGCTTGCCGAGCTCACGCTTCAGGGCGCCGATGTCTTCAATACCATGCTCAAATACCATGTTCTGGTTGTTCAGCTGCTTATTTACCTCGGCGCTCAAGTTGTCAATGTGCTCGCGCTGGTTCTTTATCTGGTCGGCCTGCTTGTTCAGGTGGTCGCGCAGGTAGTTGAGCTGCTCTTCCGTAAGGGCAGCCGCAGGCTCCTGGGCATGGTCGCCATTGGACTCCTTTGCTGCGAGCCAGTTGCTGACCCAGAGCGCTCGCTGCTCCCTGGTAGAACCGCGGCGGTCGAAGGGTGCGCTAGGCTTGCTGAAGGGTCCAGCTGATGTGTAGACCAGACCCTCTTCAGCAGGCTCGCCCGCGGGTGTGATGGGCAATGCGTCCGGGTAAACAACAGCATTGCTTTTCTGCTCAAGGAAGCCTATCCGCGCGCAGAGAGCGGCAATCTCCTTCTGCAGCTCGGCCTTCTCTGCGCAGTCGGGGCCGGGCAGTTGGATAGCATTGGCGGTGAAGTTTGCGCTGTTGGCGGCTATCTGGGCCTTGAAGGAGGCATCGCGGGATGGATCGTGGGCTCTTGCGAGGTTCTTGATATAGTCGGCGAGCCCGGAGTATGTTTCAGCAGCCATGGCTGCGGGCAGGAAGCGGGTGTCGGCGTTCTATGTGTGTAGCATTGAGGACGGGCAGAGACAGGCGCGTGCAGCCTCGGGGGTCGCTATGAGGAGTGCAGGAGGCGAAGGAGGCGAAGGATGCTGCTCGTCTTTGGGAGACCGCGGAGAAATTATCGCGAGACGGCGAGTCGGTGCACTGGCGGTCGACGAGGAGGTCCCCGCTGAGAAGGGTGCTGGCGGCGATGGGAGGGATGTCCAAAGAGGCCTGGCGTGACTACTGACAATGCCCGCGGCGAGTACTTAAGCGGAAATGCGGCGTGCGGAGGAGTGCAGCAGGACAAACTATGGTCGATGCCGCGCGGGAACAGACAGCAACAGCACGAGAAGGAGCGAAGATGGAGACAGAGCACCCGTGAGCAAGACCGACAAGACAAAAGCCTTCACAGTCAATCAGACGGTGTTCAGTGATAAAAGATCGCCAATATGCTTCTAGCTGGACGACGGACGGAGCACAAAGACCACCTGCCCTCGCTACGGTCTACTAGCTTTCAAATGACAGGCGTTAGGGAGCGCACCCTTGTCTGCACCACTTGCTCAGCCATCCATGCTGCTGTTGTCCGGCACCCTGCAATCCAAGTCAAGCCGCCGGCGCGCGTGGAAGACTCGGCGTGACGTTGGCAGCGCTGCAGCAGCATTGCAAAGCTGAAGCCCATCTGCTGCCACCGGTTCCAAACAATGGCTTCTTTGATTCTTTGCCATCCACTGTTCGAGGTTGCCATCGCCGCGGAGGCTACTGTGAAACGTCATGTGGCTGCACGCGCGAATTCCACGCAGCATGGTAGGATGAGTGTCACTTCAGAGCGTTCAAGCGTGCTGGCATTTACCCTCCTCCGCCAGCGCAGCGAGCACCTGCACTTGCACTTGCTTGGGCCATCCACGCCGCGAAACCGTTTCTGCAAACGAGGAACATCCCGTGACAACCGATTACAACGCTCCGTCCCCCCCGGTCCCAGGCGTCGAATAGGGGTAATTCGTCGCCACAGAACGCAGCTTCGGTGGATGCTGATGTTTCCAACACACCAAAGCTTCGTATCAGGGTCTCCATCTCCATGCTCTGTTTTGCTGGATTCGGCGAACATTACCGCGGTAGCCAGGCCTAACACTCTCTAGCGTATGTGCTCTCGTAACCGCACGTTTCGGACGGCATCGAATTTCCACACACCTCGATTTACTTAGCTTTGCACCTGCTGCCGCTCTCTCTCAGGATCACAGGAGCGGAACCTCATTTTAATCGATAGCCGCTGACGATGTGCATCGTCTCTCCTGTTTGATCGTCCCTTGCACAGCGTATTGTCGTATCGCCGCAGCGTATCGGACCGCAGGCCTTGTCTTCCGCCTGCACCGCTGCTTTGTGATCTGTCGCGGGGCTTCCAACGCGCTCACTTCTTGTGCCTCTGTGGCCAATGGGCGGGCTTCGGCGCTCGATTGAACAGATGACAGCCCCACCAAGATCTTCAATCACATCCTCACTCTTGACCGTTATTTTGGGCTCACGCTCGATATTCCGGCCGCTTTGATGTTTTCAACATGTTTGAATGGGAGTGGAACGCGTGTTTGAGCGATTTGAGTTCCACTGAACTTGCTCGATCTTGACCCCAAGACTTCGATGTGGATTCGTGGAAGGCTGAAGTGCTGATGTAGTGGGGTGGTGAGCATGCACAGCGGGCTTGTACCGCAGAAGCGTCTTCTTGAGCCCACTCTTCTAGTATAATCAGGGTCCAATAGCTCGTTTCATAAGGTCGACACGGGCATCTCATCGGTTGCTCGCTTTCGTGTGGAGAGCAAGGAGCGCATGAATGGTTCCTGGGACGCCTGAACTCACTTCGAGGCTGTACGTTGTTGTGCTCTGTAGCTTGAGATCGATGTTGATATGGGTATTATGCATTACTATGTGCTCATGTCTGTGTGGACACCCGGGTCGTTTAGCTACCTCAGCTTCTTCGCGTGTGCTACTAAGCTCTCGATGACCTGCTCGAAAGCATCTTTGTCGCCCAAAGCACTCTCCAGCTGCTTCTGCCAGTACTCAAATACCTGCTCTGCTCTCTGATGCAGACCCTTCAGATGATCGACGTGTATCTTCAATTCATCGTCGGTGAAATTGAGTAACGCTGCTTCAGTCGTTGCGCAAAGCATCGAGGTGGCACTGAGATCCAAGAACGGCGGCAGAGGAGGCCCTTTCCGTGGCCTTTCCGTCTTTGACTTCGATGAGTCGACAGACGTGTTCGATGCATTATCCTTCTTCACGCGGTCAAGTGCGTTGCTGCGGCCATCTGATGATGGACGTGGGGACTTGTCGCCAGGGATGTTGATAGAAGGAAGGACAAGCTTCTTCTGCTTTGACGCTGGTAAGATCTCATCGAGATCGACAGGAACCCCAAGCGAGACAAGGAACAGCCGCCGTATCCTGGACCGGACCCAGTCAGGCGGTTGTAGCGGTGGCGGTGCCACTAGTTGTGTCCATAGCGAGTGACTCCGCTCAGAGTGGAAGATCGACCGAGTGTCTTCGCCGGTTGATATGCTCGGTAGGTCTTGTGGAGTTGGGTATATTTCATCGACGTAGGGCTGTGTTGCTCCGATGATGGCTTCCAGCGAAGTAAGTTCGGCAAAATGGAGGACAGGCTGCATCGTTGGAAGTTAGTTGAGACATCACCACATTATGCTTCAGCAGAACGATGGACTGGCTTGGGCTAGATCTGGTGCACTTACGGGGCCTGGTGGTGCTTGTGGAGGGGCGGGTACGGGAGTTTGATTTTGAGGGCTGCCAAATGTAGTCTCTGCCTGTTCCTCGCCTTGCTGAAACCCATCGTCGAAGTCCCCAAAGTCGTCGTCGTCGCCTTCCCCACCCTCTTCGAATTCGTCAAAATCGCCGAACCCATCGTCCTCTTCGGCCTCGCCGCCTTCGGAAGCATCGTTCGTTTGGTCTTGTGTATCTTCCGGAAAGTCGTCTGCTTCGAGCGGTGCGGTGTCGTCGGCGCTGTCGGTGTCGTCGTCTATTGGAGACCTATCAATGGAGGCAGTTGGCGACCCTTCTTCCGTCAACGGCACGCAGGGAGGCACCCAAGGAATGCCTTACGTACCTAGGTTGTCACGCTTTGGAGGCTCGGGCGCCTTCACAATGACATCCGGCGCAGCGTCGGCAAGGCGTTGCTGGTGCGCGAGTGTTCCAGGCACGTCACCATGACCAGGCTGGTCCGGATCGATCTTCTCTACGACTGTCTTTGGGATGGGTGTGCCGCCAGGTGTAAGTGGTCGGTCACTTGCGCTCACTCGCGAGGTACTGCGGCTGCGTTGACCATCCGGTACAATCTCGACCTCGTCCGGAACGGCATCTTGTGTTCGCATCTTGTAGGCAGCCGTTCCAGGAACCTCGCCATGGGCAGGCTCATCGTCTACACGCTCGACTCGAGTGATGGGGATTGGTGATGTTGCTTCGGCCCTGCTCTGCTCGAGACCCTTGTCCAGGCCCTTTTCGTGCACCCTGCCTTCTGATGCATCTGAGAAGTGCTCGTTCTCTGAGTCTACTACGCCTGTGGTCAGAAGCGAAGTGGGCTGGGTTATAGACAGTGACGTACCGAGCTCCTTTGCACCAGGATCTTCAAGCTCTACGCTCTTACGAGGCGGTGCAAGCTCGTTAGCCATACTCCAGTTGGTGTCGTAGCCTTGTAGCACGTGACGAATCCGGGCGACAGGGAATAGTGCTAATGTGTAGTGTCTGCACTTTTAGGAGGTTGACAGGGAAGGGCGGAAGTCAAGGGCGATAAGCAAAAAGTACAGAGTGCTGCGCCTCGCTCTTGTGCATGTAACAAGTCGTCGTCGTTGAGTTTCAGGCACGCGGGGGATTGATTGGAGCGCTCCAGATTCCAGACCCGCTGCAGCTCAAGCTGGATCAACGTATCACCGGGAAGGAGCAGCGCGTGGCCCATGCAGCTGTCTGCCCAACTTTTGGCGTTGCGACACCGACGCGCCTGTGAAAGACGCGGAGCACTTGCGCAAGCCTTCACTGCGTTCTCTAGACTGTGCGTGCTCTGGTTCCGTGTAGTTTTCTTTGTCGCGACGCAGTCACCGCATCAATTGCGCACCCTGCACGAGTTTCCACCAAAGTAAACATCTACCTACAACACCCAGCATCCCAAGACACACCCCCGGCTTACACCCTGTGCAGTCAACACTCTCGGCGCAACCATGTCTGGGTTCACATTCGGACAGCCAGCCGGCAACAACGCCGGCTCAGGCGCAGCTAAGCCCGCCGGTGGACTGTTTGGCGGCGCAAGCAACACAACTGGCAGCTCGTCCCCATCCCTCTTCGGCACCGCAAATACCGGATCGAGCACACCGAGTACGGGACTGTTTGGCAGCGGTGGAGCAAGTTCGGGAGGCGCAGGTCTCTTCGGTGGTGGAGCGTCCAGCACACCGGCTGCGAGCAAGCCTACTGGGAACCTCTTCGGTGGTGGAGGAGCTACATCAGGCGCGTCCTCAACGCCAAGCTTTGGAGGTTTCGGTACAGCAGCAAAGACTGGCGGTGATGCGCCCAAGCCGTCTATGTTTGGAGGTGCTTCAACTGGAGCTACGCCAGCTGCTTCCTCAGCGTCTACCCTGTCGTTCGGTGGGTTCGGTGGAACAACTGGCACGTACCTATTGTTGTGTACACAGAGGCATCTACTAACAGCGTACAACAGGCTCGTCAACACCCGCTGCAACGCCCGCCCCCAGCAAGACATTCTCCCTCCCCTCAACTACACCCGCCGGACCTCCTCCAGGATCAGGCCTGTTCGGACAGACTCCTGCTGCTTCATCTGGGACAAGCTTATTCGGAGGAACCGCATCGAAGCCTGCGGCGGCACCAGCATCCAGCACATCATCCAGCTTGTTCGGTGCCAAACCTGCAGGCGCATCCACCCCTACAACAGGTCTATTCGGAGGCGTAACTAGCTCGAACGTTGCGAACAAGAGCGCAACCCCGCCGACCCCAGCTGGGCTATTTGGTGGAGCAGCCCCTGCAGCCGCCTCCGGCTCGCAAGAGACACCCAAGCCAGCAGCAGGACTGTTCGGTGGAGGTGGTCTCTCTAGCACAACACCCGCAAGCAAGCCCCCTACATTCAGCCTTGGAGGATCTACACCTGCAGCGCAGCCTGCTGCCTCACAGCCAGCAGCGACTCCTTCGCTGGGAGGCTTCAGCCTAGGTGGAGGCGACAAAGACAAGGCTGCGACTTCTTCAGCAGCACCAACACCCGGTCTTTTTGGCGCTGCAGGATCATCTGCACCGAGTGCCCCTGCAGCAGGTGGTAGTTCTGCATTCGGCATGTTCAAGAAGCCTGATACGCCTGCCAGCTCGACACCTGCAAGTGGAGCCACAACAACTGCAACTAGCGGTGCTACAGCCACTGCTACCAGCTCAGCTCCGTCGCTGTTTGGCGGTGCTGGAGGTGCGAGCTCCGCAACCCCAGCCTCTTCCGCTGCCGCACCAACATCAGGAGCAACAGGAGGCCTATTTGGTGGTCTGGGTGGCGCAAGCTCGAAGCCCACATCAACCACAGCACCAGCTTCGACTCCTGCTCAGCCTGCACCTACACTTGGAGCTACACCTGCAGCCTCAGGTGACGCAGCCAAGAGCGGACTTGCAAACTCGACTGCTGGCCCAGCACCATCCGCTCAGTCACGTCTCAAGAACAAGTCTATGGACGAGATCATCACACGATGGGCCGCCGACCTATCCAAGTATCAGAAGGAGTTCCAATCGCAAGCCGAGACAGTTGCACAGTGGGACCGAGCACTAGTCGAGAACTCCGACAAGGTCCGCCAGCTGTACTCCAAGACCTTCCAAGCCGAGCGCGATGCTGCGGAAGTCGAGAGGCAACTGACGATGATGGAGGAGAACCAGCAGGAGCTCGACTCGTACCTCGACCGATACGAGAAAGAGATCGAGAACTTGATGAAAGTGCATGGTGTCTCTGGCAGATCTGATGGTCTGCGTGGCCCTGATCAGGAGCGTGAGAGGACGTAAGTAACCCACTGCCGTTTACATCGCCAATGTGAGCATAGGCTAACAGATAGTAGATACAAACTCGCCGAGAAATTGCAAGACCGCCTTAACGAGCTTAACAAGGATCTCACAGAGATGATCGAGGAAATCAACAGCACCTCGCAAACACTCAGCAAGACCGGCAAGCCTGACGATCCTGTATGTCCCCTTCTTCCGACGTCTGTTCGTGCTTACATACTAACGTTAAACAGCTCACAAAGGTCGTCCGCGTCCTAAACACCCAGCTCTCGCAGCTTCAGCTCATCGACTCCGGCGCCTCGCAACTGCAGGAGAAGATCAACAAGGCACAGAAGGAGAGCCGAGCTGTCGGCGCCAACGGCTGGAACGGCCTAGGTACAGATCCGGCAGACGACTTCTACAGGAGCTTCCGAGGAAACAGGGTGGAGCGTTATGGCGGTCACGCGTAGGTCTGTCGATGTATGGTACGATATGGATCGGGTTGAATGGAATGCATGATTGGGCGTTCTTTGGCGTCACTTCGGCTGACGGCTGCAAAGAGCAGGAGCACTACGTAGCAAAATATTTGAGCATCACAAAGGTCACCTCTTTCGCACGAAGCTGAAAGGGTCTTCAATTCTGTTGACTCGAGCTTGCATTTCTGCCTCCTCGGAACACATCAATGTCACGCTTAGGTAGCGCTTTCCCTGCGTTATTGCGCGTGTGCGCGACTTCCTCTCGTAACTGCCTTCACATCACCGTCTCGCTTGGCTAGCTGCGCCTTTGTTTACTACTACTCGCCACCAGTGCCGCAGATTAGATCGCCTCATCCTGCGCCTGCGGCAGCCGCCCCACCTACAATGCTATTTCGCTTCATGGACCTTGCGCCGGAGCTACGAGTTCAAGCGTACGAAGAGCTCGTCGTGGTGGACAAGGTATTCCATACGCCAGATCAATTCGAGATACGGGAAAGCTGCCTATTTGGAGACTACGATCGATATCGCGAAAGCCACACTTGTCAATCTTGTGAACGTCGAGAGTCATCCACACAGAAGCTGAGATGTGTATCTGAGCATGAACACTTTCGTTCTGCCCCTCAAATGGCAGTTTTTGTCACCTTTCCGCGAGCTGTCGCCGTACTGCAAGCATCTTGTCTCAACGAGCCGCATGATCGTCTCTCGGGCGGCTTTGCAGAAAGTCAAACACATCAACGTAATGCTACGTGCCCGTTCGAACACCATAGATTTTGCGATGAACCGGTCGGATTGGACGGGTTCGGAGTTTGACCATGTTTTCCCTGCCGGGAGACTGGATATGGCTCATGAACGGGCTATCGAGTGGGGCTGTGGTGATCGAAATGCTTTGTCGATGGCTGTCTCCAGTCACGAGAACCTTCAGTCGGTCGACTTTGACGTCACAAACGATTATTGTCCGCTTGGGTGCTGCCGAGAACTCAGCCTCTACTTTGATCTGGCTATGCAGTGTGTCGAGAAAGTTCGGTTCTTTGATCTCAGGAATGACGAGGAGAAGGGAACGATTCTGAAAACCTGTATGCAGGACATGTATCTGACCCCAGAGAAACTATGTGAGCGGTTCCACATCGAGTTCGAAGCCGACAGCTCATGAGCCAAGAGGAATGAGCAGATTACTGATTTCAAGGCGTCTTCTCCGATCATTCGTAGCATATATCAATTAACGAGAAACTAATTAATGAAATGCAAGAAAAAAACGTTGACACTGTTCAGTCCACTCTGCTGGATGATCTAGAATGGTCAAAAGCGCCTTCCCCGATGTAGTTAGCACTCATGACGCGCTAGTTGAAGCTCAAGCTCTGGGCTGCGACTGAAGATGCACAAGCAAAGCAAGCAACAAGTTCTGTACAACACATACTTCCTCCACTCTTTTGAAGCTTCGTGTACGCGACATGGCAAGCATAGATGACCTTTTCAAAAGCCACAATGGCACGAAGCGCAAATTTGAGAACCCAATCGAAGCCGACCCGTCGCAAGCGTACAAATCCGCGAAACTGCAGGGAGACAGCGACGTCAAGCGCACGGCGCAAGTAGAGGACGAGGAGGACGATGATGAGGCAGGGCCTGCATTACCACCGGACTTCGAAGAAGAGGAGCCTGGCGACGACGAGGAAGGGAGATTCTTTGGCGGCGGCCTGGACGAGAATGCGAAAGATGCCATGGACTTCCTGGACGCACAAGATGAAGAAGACGCGATACGGGAAGAAAAGTACGACGCGGCGTGGGTGCGCAAATTGGCGCGCGAGTTTGAGAAGAAGGTCAACAAGAACGCTTCGTTGCGCGCAAAGTACGAGAGCGATCCCACAAAGTTCATGGACTCGGAAGGAGACCTAGACGACGGGATAAAGGACCTCAGCATATTGTCGGAGCATGCAGAGCTATACGAAGAGTTCGCGAAGAGCACAGCGGCTGCGAAGCTGGTCGAGCTGCTTGCGCACGAGAACACAGACATTGCGATTGGCGCAATAGAGATCATATCAGAGCTCACAGACGAACATGTGGCGGCTGAGCAGGAGCAATGGGACGCGCTGGTCGCAGCATTTCTGGAAGCCGATCTGCTCAGCCTGCTGATCTCCAACTTCACGCGCTTCGACGAAACCGATGCCACCGATGCCTCTGGCGTATACCACTCCCTCAGCGTCCTCGAGAACCTACTGTCGCAACCCTTGAATACCGATATGATAGCGAAGGAGAAGGCGCTTATCACATGGCTCCTCGAACGCATTCAAAAGCCCGAGAAACCGACGACTCAAAACAAACAATACGCCTCCGAAATCCTCTCCATCCTCACACAATCCTCGCGAACAAACCGGACGCTCATCGCCGAAGCAAACGGCGTGGAGATCTTCCTTACAAACCTCGCGCCCTATCGAAGAGACGACCCCGACAAAGACAGCGACGAGGAGGAATACATGGAAAACCTATTCAACTGCCTGACCTCCGTGGTCGAAGAACCCACCGGCAAGACAAAGTTTCTCGAAGCCGAGGGCACGGAACTATGTCTCCTGCTCGTGCGCGACGGGAAGACAAGCAAGAGCAGAGCGCTCAAGGTGCTAGATCACGCGTGCGGTTACGCAGAAGCGTCCACGTCGAATGGCTCCAGCGCCGATGATATGTCTACACCCCCACATATCGCCGTATGCGAGAAGTTCGTCGAAGCCCGCGGCCTCAAACCGCTGTTCAGCACATTCATAAAGACCAAACGTCCCGACCCAAGCCAGACAGAACACATCCTCGGTCTCTTCTCCTCACTGCTCCGCTCGTTACCGGGCAACAGCGATTCCCGCTTCCGACTCCTCGCCAAATTCCTCGAAAGCGACTTCGCCAAGATCAGCAAACTCATCACTCTGCGCCGCGAGTACGTTACCCGTCTCTCCACCTTCGACAAAGGCCTCGAAGGCAGGAAGAAAGGGCTGAGCAAAGACGAGCGGGAGGAGCTGGAAGTAGAAAACATTCCGCTGAGGCTATCTGAGGGGCTGTACGCACTGCAGAGGATCGACGCTACGCTTGCGTGGCTGGTTGCGGAGGACGATGGGGCCAAGAAGGCTATTGTCAAGGGGTTGGCGGAGACGGATGAGACATTGGTAGATGTCAAGAGAACGCTGCAGGCGCAGCTTGATGGAGTGCTGGAGGTTGAGGCTGCAGAGAGAGAGGTGTTGGAGGCGCTGGTGGGGTTCTTGGATTGAGTGTCGTAGGACTCTTGGTTTTTGATGAAGTGGGATACACAACGAACACTCAAATGTGTATTTCCATGCACCATACGACACAGACTAGGCATTCGCTATCTGCGTGTCATCATGATGTGATGCTGAGAAGAGGAGGAAGAAGGGAAGGGAGAAGGAGGGGCTCAGTGGGACGACGAAGGCGCATGGTGATGGAGAAGGAGCGCGCGATATCACCAGCAAGAGAAGAGCAGGAACAGAACAACGCCAAAATTGAGCAGACTTCTATCCCCTACATAACTCACAGTCAGCGGCCAAGGCAGCTCATAGGATAGCTGGGGCCACACCTTGATTCATCCACGACCTAACAAATCTATATACCGACGACCACGAGATTTTGCACACCGTCTGATGGAATTTCTCTCCAAGGAAGTCGACATTTTCACCGTGAGCATGTATGAGCAACTTCGCAACACTACTAAACAGATTCAGATTCATACAAGGTGTTGCGGTATTGATTGGTCCGTACAAGGTCTGACTGTACCCCTGACAGACTACCCTGTTCTAGTGTGTGACAGGTCACTGGCCTGAGGTCAGGTATATAGTCGTCATCTCCCAGCTAGATAGCAATTCAGCGCAGTATTCCAACGGCCCGATAGCCCTACGTTATCGTTTACCGTAGCTATCAGTATTCTACAGCGGCCCACGCCGCCACACAAGGCAAGAGTTCGTACAGTCTTGCCGAGCTTGGTGTGTATGGTTGTGATTGTACAAGTTCGTCCGTCAACACTGTACAAGTCCGGAGCACGCGTATGTTTCTTCAAGCTCGATCGTCGAAGTCTAAGCCACGAAGCGTCCGAGCCAAGGTACCGAGACACCTAGAAGACAGGCACCCATACCAGATGGCATGTTGTGTCGGACCGGATCGCGGCGGGCGTCTAAGTAGCAACTTGGGAAGTGGAGGTAGACGCGTATAAATGTACTCTGCTTTGGCTATCATGAATCAATCAACTTGAACACTGCTGTCCCATCTCTCACTATCTTGTCTGCTCTATCATTCGCCCTCCTATTCACCCGGTTCCTCGTCACAACCCAATTCCTCCCCAATACCACCTGGCCCAACGCCTTCCCAACGCCTTCCCTAAGCAATGCTGAGGTTCTGGCTGTGCGATGGCAGCGGTGCTGTGACGAGGTTTAGAAGGGCGCAGCGTGGGCTTGTTGGGAGGAATGAGACGTTGGGGATTAGGATAGATGAGAGTTTTGTGGTGTTCTCGAGGGCGGTATAGGGGATGGGATTTGATGAGGAGAGAGCGGAGGAGGCGGCGAAGGGAAATGCGTGTCGGGATGAGACGGTTGGGCCGTCTGAGTAGGAGGAGTGAGGATGCGAGAGAATTGAAAGGTGGTATGTTTCGATAAAAGTTTCTGTTAACATTCTCTCCAGTACTGGAAGAGCAGGCTGGAGGTCGTCGAACTACTGGCATCACGTTCGATGTTTGAACACGAACATGATACTTGTAAAAGCGCGTTTACTAGAGAAAGTCGCTCTGCGCAGAGCACAATATATGACAAGAACTGAACAGTATCATCCTTTGTCTCCTTCTCCAACAGTCCACCTTGACTCTCGTACAATACGAAAGCCTGAAGGTATACAAAAATCTTTTCATCCTTTCAAACATAGATCTCCTCATCTAGAACTTGACCAACTTCCAGCCAACGTGCATACCACGGCTCCACATGAAGAGGCCCGACGAGATAACGTAGCAAATGATAGTCCAAATGACCACACCCCAGTAAGCACCGCCAGGAGTCTGCCCAAGGATACTACCAGCGATCGGAATACCAGTAAGCGTACTGAAAGATACAACAGTGTAACAGGTCGCATAGTAGCGACCATATTGGCTCGTGTCGCAAAGCTGTCCAACGCACACCGGCGTCAGAGAGATATTGGATCCAGACGCGAAGCCAAAGATCACGGCGTACACGATTGAGAGTACCTTGATGGTCGATGCAGTGTCGGATGTGGCAGGTGTGAGTATCGCAGCCGGAAGCCAGAAGGTCAATGATGTTGCTCCGCAGATAGCAAGAGCTCCGATCATGCAGTTGAAGCGGCCCAGTTTGTCCGCTAGGAGACCTGGGACCCATCGTCCGAGGCAACTTCCTGCGTTGAAGATGGCGATGAGCTGGTATGAGAACGCCTCGGTCATGGCTCCGCTCGAGGACGCGAAAGTTGTGAGGTACGTGATAGGTACAAAGAGCGCCCACTCCATTAGGAAGATGGCAATTGTGAGCAAGAAGTACGACTTGTCGCGGAAGATGCGGAAGTCGGGTAGGACAGACTGTCCGGGTTTGGGAGGCAGTCGAGACTTGATGAGAAGGCAAGCGATGATGCAGCAGAAAACATCGATGAACGCAATGATGCGCGTAGCCCATTCGAAGCCGACTTTGGGGAACAGTTGTTGCAGAGCCAATGGGAAGATGACACCTCCAAGAGATCCTCCAGCAGCGGCGATACCTGTCGCGTTGCCTCTCTTTACAAGGAAGAAGTGACTGGCAGCCGCAAACGCAGGAGTGAAGATCAGACTCGTACCGAGACCCCCAAGGACTCCAAAGACTAGAAAGAAATGCCAGTACTGTGTGCAGATACCAAGAAGGAACATGGACAAACACAGCAAGACGCTTCCAGCAAGCACTAGCAGTCTTGGGCCGTGTGCATCAAAGATGGGTCCGATCTGGAGTCCGCAGAAGAACGAAAGGAAGATGTACATGGAGAAGATCCAAGAGATCGTGCTTTCGCTGTAGCCTTGGAGCTGATGCTCGGCAAGGTAGCTGTGGAAAACTCCGACTGAGTTCATCATACCCAGGGCTGCAACAAGGCCCATGAAGGAGCCCAGGATGCAAAGCCAGGCTTCCCAACCACCTTCAGGGTAGGTGACTTCATCCTCAGAGGTTACGGATTGATTCTCTTCGTCTAAAGAGGCGGCAGGATGACCTTCATTCTGCTTCAACTTCTCCTGTACCGGGGCATCGACAGAGCGAGTTCGGGCACTGCGGCATTTTGGGAGTGTGTCGGCTGATGGGATAGTAAAATCAGCGGCTGGGTAAGAGTTGACAGATTCGAGTTGGTGATTGTCTGAAATTGGTCCTGGCGTGCTGCCTTTGCGTTCTCCGCTCATTCAGAGTGGTTGAGGCGTAGTTGCAAGAACAAAAATTGACGGATTGAAGAAGTTCGCCTTTTTGAGAAAAAGTGGTTGATATCGGTGACGATGTTTGCTGCGAATCTGTCGCAATTTGCTGCGCGCTCGTTCGGATCCTTATATCCTTGAACGTCCTCCCCGAGAGGTATGGTATCCCAATCGCTGTAGTCCCCGAGGGGTTTTGTGTTGCAGGACGCAGAAGATAGGGAGGGGGGTGTGGGTTAAATATGACCAACGCTTTCAGCCGTGCCGCTCGAGGTTCCCACTAGAGGGAATACGCGATCAAGCTGTCAGCCTGCAGAGGTTTTCCGCATATAAAAGCTGACGACCAACAGGACTTATGCAGTCACAAGCTTCCCTACAAAGTACGAAGGGCGTAAAACCGCGGAGTTGCCCTCTTCGAGTGCACCAAGCGACGGAAAAGTGTTGCAATGCGGTATCGGCCGCTACCGAACCACTTTTTCTCGACAACACCCTTTCCGAAGGCGCATGTGATTGGTAGATGTAGCCGAATACCCAAAGACGTCGTTACATAAATTCGAACGTACAAAGCCGAGAACAAGATCGCAATAAATGGTGTAAGATGGTGTAGAAAGTCGTCAATCGTTTGTGAAAGCGTAGGGCCTAGTTGGCGATGCGTTGGTGCTGCAGATGCAGAAAAGCATCAGAATCGTCATGTATGATGTCAACGGTCGTCAACAAAGCGCATTGTACTCCGGGAAGAGCATACGGCCAAGCGCGTTTCGGAGTTCGGTACCTTCGTCGCCAGAAAGCCGCTTCGTGGGATCGCCTACTACTTTAAGAATCGCAGTAGCATCCTTCTCTGGCCTAACGTGACCGAGGAGGTATTCAGCAGCCTGAACGGTCTTCGTTCGGTCTGTAGCTCCTGCAAAGACAGTATACAAGAAGAGGGCAGGCGAAGGGAGTGCAGATGAGTTCGTAGCTACATGGCACTGTGCGTGCTCGAGGGCAGTGAAACTGAACGCAGATTCGCGGCGCATGGGGTCTTCGTTGCTCTTCGTATACGGCATTGTAGGCACCTGGCTGACTCGAGAGTATGAGGATCGAGGGGTTTTGAGAGGCTGTATTCTTTAACAAGATTTAACAGCGGTTATTTGATATCAAGTGTGGACTCACGGGGCATTTCAAGGAGCAGAGGGGCTTCACTTGTCCTTAAAGATTCACCTCTGAGGATTTCGTAGCTCGGATTCGAAGCGTAATACTGTGTCGCTATGTTGAGAAGAAGCCAGGCACCTCGAAACACCCATCTCTCATTGAGTGGCAGGTCGCGCTCTCTGGAGGTATACAGCTCTTTGAGCTTGTTGCGGAGGAGCCCATACGATGTGTTGGAGGCCTACAGGCTCATCTCTGTGACCTCTGTAGGCGCAGTTGGGTCATTATCAATGGCTGAAAAGCTGGAGGAGGAGCTTTCAGAGCTCGTGGATGCGGCATCGTGGGGGTCCTCAGTGGCTCGATCTCGACTTGAACATGAGAGGTGGATGCAGACGCGTCTGCAGCAGCACTCGAGAAGAAGCTTTGGAATTTGTTGGTGTAGCCGGCAGCGAGACCTCTGAGGCTGCGGCAAATGAGCTTGAACGTCCAGCGGACGCCATATGGAGAAAGCACCATAGTCGCGTCAATTGCGTGAGGAAGGCGGGGCTGGAGGATGTCAGTGTGTCGCGCAAGGTTAGTACACGTCGTGACTGCTGCGCTGCTATGCTGCCTTGTCACGAAAATGTTGATGTGCGAACGCGGGAAGACGGGGGAAAGATTGCGAAAGCTAAATGGAGATCACTACGAACGGTGAAGTACGGACCCTGGCACATGGATACACCGCTGAGGGCTGTACAATACCGACCCCTTCACTTCACTTGATCGAAGCCGATATCCCAAAACCCGCTGAAGTCTGTAAATTCGCTCAGAGCAGCGCAATTCTTAGTACGCTAGATCAAATGAGGTATAAAGGAAGATAATATGGAATGTGGGTTCTTTATACACTTACAGTTTCCACTCCAGCGGCTCCTCAATCTCCAACACCGCATCCTCCATCCACCCACCAAAACTCCACGGTTTCAACCCTTTCGGCCAATACCTCTCCTCCTCGTCTGTCACCCCCGTCTTAAAAACCTCAACCCAGCATCCCCTCGCCCTCTGCACCCTACCATTGATATCAAACGCACACCAGCTATCCGTACCCGCAGCAACCGCAACCTCATTCTTCGAACTAACATCGTACGGATCAATAACTAATCCTCTCTCTCGATCCTCTAGCTCCGCAGCGACAGCCCTCTTATGCCCTGCCGACTCCGGGATAGGAGGCTGTACATGCATCATACTAATCGGGACCCATCCCATGTTGACCGGCACGGGCGGCACCCATCGCCAGGGCGTGAGCTTGCATGCGAAGAACGGCTTTACGCCATCGCCATCTTGCGTGCCTGGAGGGAAGACCTTGACAGTGAGGTCCTGGGGTGGCGAGGTGCCGTGGGGTGTGACGGGTGCAGAGAAGGAGAAGCGGGCGAGATGCTTAGGGATGTTCCAATTGAGGCGCCCATTGTAGGTTGTGGTGCGTTGGGAGACGTATATGCGTGCGATTCGAAGCGCTTTTTTGGGGATCTTGAGGGGAGTGGAGGGGGGTTGGGGGACGTTGAAATTGCCCGGGATGAGCATGAGTTCGTCGTATGGACCTGGAGGGTTTAGCACAACGACTCAACATATCATCCAGTATAAGAGCATGCTACAGATGAAAATGCGAGAACCTTTGAGATGACTGGACTGGAGAAGTTGAGTGGTTGAGACACCTGAGATCGCGAAGGCATCCACCGATATGTGAAGTGCTATGGCCTTCTGTACATTACCCTCATCTGATTGTGCAATGCATCACCAGGACACTGTAGCAAGCACAACACATCGAGAGCATCTTGCCTTATCATTCCAGGCTTCGACGGATGTGTGTCATTTGTCTTTTTCAAGGGTCTTGTTGAAGCACCATCATCTTTGCGAATGAAGTTCAGAATGGAATGAGAGTGCTTCGAGACATTGAGACATCCAAATACGAATGTTCACTGAACTTAGAAAGACCAAATATATCCATACCACGGAAAGAACAGTCGCATCACAAGAAACGAAAAATGACCTACCAACAGGCGTATCCATATACCTAACAACCATGCACGCACCCAACCCTCCCTCAAACACTCCCAACCCCTCATCCTCCCATTCTCCTTCAAGCTGGTCATACAAACCTCTTGGCAAATCCTTCATTTTTAGAAACAGCATATAGCTCTCAGCCTTCAGCGTCCAGGGCGCCGGAGCACGCTGCACGAGATGTACTCTGTTCTCCATATTGGGCATAGTGAAGTGTCACGACTTCCCAGTGGTACAAAGGAGAGAAGTGGCGCTAGAAATGTTCTAGAAAACGAGGATGGCAGGAACTAGGGTGTGGACCTCGATACAGGCAGCGACGCACGTGTGGCTGAGTTCGAATTGACAAATGGACACCTTGTGGGGAACGAGACTTATTGGGTGACGTTCACGTGGTTGTTGGATGTTTGGACGGAATAGAGAGGCACGGATTGTGGCGATGTTGAGGCTCAGCGGCTGTCTGCGGGATGCGCGTGGGCTCGCTGAACTGCTGGATCGAACGGCAGATGGGTTGGGAGGTTGTACGAAGAACGTGGAAGAAACGTGGTGTAATGGGAGGTGGCTTGGAGCGGAGTATTGTTGAGAGGAACAGAGCGTACGAGATGTGAAATGTGATGTCAGATTGACATGAGGGGCACGGCTAGTAAGCAGCCACAAGGGGAAAGTACCGAAGGAGTATGTGCGAATGCTTGTTGTGAGCTAGCATCAAATACCTTGATGTTGCAACAGCAAGTAATACGCTGAGATTGTGTATGCAGGGGATGTACACGACGCACAAGATCATGTTGAAGGAGTTGAGAACAAAGGAGGTCTCGAGCGAACTTGCGCCTTTGCAGCTGGCAGCCTAAGGCATCCAATCAACATGCAACGCAGAGCACTTCCGCCCACAGAGTTCTATGCCGCCCCAAAGAACGCAAATCTCAACACTCACATGGAGAATCCCGTAGCTCCATGCCTGAATGCGCATGATCTCCTTCCCAATTGGACCTGAGTCGTATCCATGACTGTTCGCATTTATGATCACAAAAAGGCATTCAGTCACGGCAGTCCACCAACACACCGCCTGTGATCTTCTGTGCATGCTTCCATTTACCCTACCGAAGTCTTCCATAATGCCAAGCGCCATTCATCCGTTCGAACCCATCCCAGCAAGACGCTTGTTCTACAAGGCATACGACCTTGGCTTCCAGATTGGTGGAAGTGGCAGTCTTGAAGCGCCGCACTTTGATTACCGAGCCCACCCGAGTCTTTTGCGTTCCCGTCGTGCTAACCTCTCTTGACCTGCTGCCGCTGTGATCCACGGTTTGGTGCCAAGAATGCGGCTCTGCCAACCACCTCGCAGCCACCCGTGAAGATGCCTAGGTATCGTGAGTGTGCCAAGTAAACGGTAGTTGTGGTTTACATGTGCATCGTGAGCGCCCAACCGTGCGCTCGGGCAAACACGGCAAAAGCAGCGCTACTATAGTGCTACTACCCCGGTTTCGATGTGGTAAGTGAAGCGCTTGGTTGGATGCGATAGCCTGCAAGGGACACGCGACCACAAACCGTGCTCCAGCCCGCTGCACGACACGCAGCACGAAACGCGGCTCACAGATGCAGGAGCATGGTTCTGGCAGGTGCGGGTCCAACACGTGGGCACGGCCTGTAGAGACCCTGAACAATTAACGAGTGAGGCGCAACGTGGCGAAGTTGTAGGAGCGATGGTTCCGGAATCGTGGTTGATGTACGGGAGGGATTGAGACCTTGTGGTCAGTGGTGGTTGGTAACGCAATCATGTGTGGGGTGGCCTGTCGAACATTGAAGGTTCCATGTGAGCATCGAACCTCGTGATCGTTGAGGGGACGTTGGTGTTGCCCAGGCAATTCCATGGAGGGAAATTGTCAGAGTGATGCATCGGACTAGTAGCGCTACTCACAGGAAGCTGTACTCGTGTGCTGTATCGCAGGTCATGTGCTGTCTTTCGGGAAATGAACTTCTCGGGCACGTCTCTAAGTCCGTCCATGGTGTAGTCTCACCAAGTTGAGGTCCTTCCCGCTTTGGTAATGGCAGTGCAGGTCGAGATTGGAGATCGCGCCCGCGGTAGGAAGGAGGTTCGAGGTTGCCAAGTGCTGAGCGGTGAGCGTGTTCGTAGTGAGTTGTGCAAGGCGAAGAATGATTAATACGTAGAGTGTAGTATTAGGAAGCCGACCGTCTCCTGAGACAGGAGACCGGGAGAAGACTTTGAGATTTATAGACTATCCTGCCAAAGCCAAACGAAACAGGTGTATCTCATGGAGCAGCATACAGGCGTAGCCCCGTTTCAGAACTTTTGTTGTAGAATCCATTAAACGCCGTGTGAACCAAATCTAATAATCGCCCATTGAAACCCAAGACAATTGGATATTCCGCAAAAACAAAGAAAGACGGGGCCGACAGAACACCATTCTAATGCACATCAAGTCGTCATACCAACACTAGGTTGGCTGAAGGAGATGAAGCTCGAACCAGATGTACTGGGATCGAAATGCGGTATACAGGACGTGACAACGTATCCAAGGATTCCAGGCTACATTTGCGGATGCAAGGATGCGAGGCTGCAGACCGCTCGTAGCTTTTGTGTGGTCGAAAAGTGCCACTGCTCCGGTGACGTAAATGACAAATCTATGCGTGAAAGGCGCTTCGTGCGTCGCAATCGGGTATTAGGAAGTAAAGGTGCAAAGCGTCTGCACGAAGGAACAAGCGAAGGTGAACAACCGAGAGAAGACGCATGCGCTCTAGAACATGGACGGGTCGATACCACCCATTCCAGCTCCTGCAACGTTGGCATTCTGCAAGTTCTGAAGACTCTGCATGTTAGGAGCGAGTCCAAGCTTTTGCAGTGCAAGCTCAGGGTTGCAGTGAGGAGCGTGTGAACGGTGGTACTTTAGACCGTTGAGGTTCTTATATCGCTTGCCACATACTTCGCAGCGGTATGGCTTCTCCTTCTCCATGCCAACAGTACCGGGGTACGGGATGGAAGTGAGAGGGTCGACGATTGAGAAGGTACCGTCATCATTCTCCTTGAGCTGCTGATTCTGGTGACCGTGCTGCTTATGGTACTTGAGACCGTTCTGGTTCTTGTAGGCCTTCTCGCAGCCAATGACTGGACATCTAAAGGGCTTGACTTCCTCAGGGAAGGGGAATTGAGGAATGCTTGCGCCGTTGAGCATTTGCTGCTCGCGAATTCTCCGTGCAAGCTCGCTCTGGTCGTTGCCACCAAGCTGGTAGTTCTTGAGCGCCGCTTGCAGCTGAGCCTGGTTCAGGCCGCCACCTTGCTTGCTGAAGAGTCGCTTGCCAGGCTGGTCGATGGTGCCGTTGTTATCGAAGGCAGACATGCCAAAGTTGCCGCTGCCGAAATTCATGTTCATACCGTTCATGCCGTTCATGCCCATATCCATGCCCATCATGTGGTTGAAGTTGTTGAAGTCCATGTCCAGCTCAGCTGGCGTACCAGGGTGCGACGACTCGGGCGAGGTCAGGTTGTGATTTTGCATAGGCACCGTGCCAAGTGTGGGCGTATTTACAGATGAAACTGTAGGGTTGTTGTTGAAGTTGAACTGCTGGGACGCTGATGGTGTTGAAGGTGTCGATGTCCTCAGACCCTGGTGATTCTGCATCGTGTTGGCAAGGTTGACATTGAGCTGTGGTAGCTGATTTTGTTGCTGGCCGAACTGGGGCTGCTGAACTGGGAACTGTAATGGTGCCTCCTCAATAGGAGCCAGGCTGTCAAAACCGTCCATGTCCATGTCCATGTCGTCCAAAGAGTCCATGTCCTGAACAGTTGAGAGGTTGGAGCGGCTGATGGAGTTCAAACGCTGGCGTTGCCCTCCCATCGAACCTGAGCGTGGGTGGAAGCCCATCTGTGTGTTCATCGCAGGCTCGCCCTGTGTCTGCCCAGGAGCGATTGAAGGTGCAGGCGCGCCAGATGCTTGTGGTAGCCCGTTCTGAGCAGGCTGCGAATTGCGAGCAGCGGGGGCGTTGGCGTGTGTCTCCTCGAAGTGCTGGAGCAGGTCGTGCAATGAAGCCAATGTGAGCCCACAGCAGGTAAAGTCCTTCATGAAAGCTGCCTCCATCTTAGGGAGATACGAGGAGGAGTGGAAGGACGGCGACTGGCCCATGTTCATGGGTGCGGGTGAGGTGCCTGCCATCATGATGCTGTTGCAAGGTTCGTTAGCACGATCGTCTTTTGTGGAGTGGTGGGCTGCTGGGTTGCTAGGGTTGTAGCGAAGATTGGTGATACTTACTCATCGCGAATCCAAGAACCAACTGAAACGCCGCCCCAGCTCATGCCACCGTTGAAGCTGCCCATGTTGGTGCTCTCGCGGCGCCCGCGATCCCTCATGGAGATGGGACGAGCACCGCTGCCGTAGAACGAGGTACCGAGCATGTTGCTGATGGAGCCGTGGCGCTCAGACATGCTGGGGCGGCCATCGCGGAACTGGAAGCCATTTGGGTCGAGCTGGTTGGGCGTCTGGCTGAAGTCGCGGTTGGCCTCAGCTTCTCGCAGCGCCGACGTCAAATTCGAGGTCTGATTCTGCGGCGAGTTGGAGCCATAACGCGGGGGCGTCTGGATGTCGATGGGTGTGGCGGTCTGTGCCATGTTGCCCAAGACGCTGCTGTGCTGCGCTGGACTTGCGGGGAACAACGGAAAGCTGCAGTCGCCCGAGTCTTCGAAAAGAAGGTCGAATTCGGGCTCACGGCTGGGCACAAGCTCGTGCGGCTTGCGCTGCCAGGCGTAGGAGAGAGAGGGAGAGTTCTTGGTAGCACGGCCAAAATGTGGCGAGACGGTGTGCTGGGTGGGAGTGGTGACGGGCGTGCTCGCTGCGGTGGATTCGCGCGGCGAGTGGGAGAGGGGTGGCGGTGATGTCTCGTGGGAATCCAGCTTCACGGTGAGTCGGAGGAAATAATGGAAAGTTAAGTTAGGTTTCAGGCGGGCGGGCTGTCTGCAACCGTTTGGCGCGGCTCCAGATGACTGTGCAGAGGGCTGCAGCGAGCGTGTGAGCAGCAAAGGTGCCTGTATGCTGGTAGAATATTGTGCAGTGGTGATGCTCAATACGAGACCAGTAGCAATACACGCAGCAGGCTCGCGGGGCGGTTGGGGGCTATATGGCCGCTCTAACACTGCGATTGAGTTGCGGTGACGACTGTCGAGTTATTGGGCCTGCGGGCTGCTTCGCTACTTCGCTGGGCGCGGTCCTTCAAAGATCCTTGGGGCGCGCTGGTGCTGGGGGCTGGCGCGGCCAATGGGGCAGGCGCGCTAAGGTTGGCTCTTGCGTCGGCGGTCGAAAGGTGCAACTCTGACGAAGATGATCAATGACGGTTATGGCGAGACGGATATTGGGCGCGTGGTAGAATGCAGGAAACCGAGAAGCTGCTGGCACCGGCTGGAAACGTCTTGCCTTTATTAAAAGAACGGCTCTCTGTATTATTGAGATTTGGCACGGAGCCACCGGCCGAGGCAACAAACGGAGCATGGAGCACGTCCGTCGTCGCTGCCACAAATTTGGGCACGAACCAGGCATGTACTGTGACTACTGTCACGCCGCGGGCTGCTACTGTGCTACCCACAGCGGTACCATTCACTCTAGCATCCCCCGGCTCTGCATCGCCGTCTGTTTACAGCCAAAGCGCACGAGCAAGCTCTCCTCCACGTCTTCCAGAAGGCCAGGCGCAGCATGGTGCTTTGTGCTCTCAACGTGGCGCTGAATTTCGATGTGATCGTGATGACGAACTCATAGTATTGCATGTTCGCTCCCCATACTCTGTATGTTCGACACCGTACGTCAGAAGCCGGAGAAGGACCGCTGTGGCACATCACCCACTGCATTCGGGTCGTCGCATACGAGTCCACCCACGTCCGCTGCGATTCACTCCAACGACGGTTGACGAACGCTCTACCTTGACGTACCGCCACAGGCGCACCAGCAGCGAAGTGATCGATGTTCGTACAGTAGTCTAATTGCACTCCCAGCCCGTTGCCTTTACGCAATGCATCTTGCAGCTGCTGGTCAAGTCCTCGGTTGCGCGCACAACTTGATCAAGTTGAACACCCTTCATCCCTACTCGCGCCCACTGTGACGACCGACTGCCTCGTCAACCGCCCTCAACCAGCCTCTTGTCTCGCGATGTCTCCGTTTCGAGCCACGCCCGTTGCCTCGAGCTTTCGGGCAACTCGGCAGGATGCGTCGACAAGGATCCCTCTGATTGGCTTTGGCTTCTACTCGGCTGTTTAGCCTTCTTCGGCCGTTCTTTGTGGAGCTTTACATATGCAGGCAACTAACCACCAGCCGCTGCTATTAGTAGTTTGTACAAGCGGTACTACATGTACTCGAAGGCACTGTACAAACAGTCCAGACCGACAACATACTCTGGTTCAACACATTGCAAGAGGTCTATCTTTGCTACGTGTCACAAGGGCTCCTACCGAACAGCTTACCGTCTGGTCGATGTGGGGACAAGCACACACCACCATTGTCGCAGCAACGACCAAGTCAGATGGCCCTCGCTGTGCAGCCCGCTGTCAGTTGTTCTGGGGTAGAAGGTATGCACTACACTAATATGCCTAGTGTCGAATCAAAAGATGCTGTGCTCTCACACAACATGCTCCTCGGTAGTGGCCCGGACTGATGCACCACTGCATAGCTACCACTGCAATACCAAACACCACAATCCCACGTCTGCCTGCAGCCTCGTTGACTCATTCATGCACATCGAGTACCTCCAGCCTCACGTCGTTTTCGAAACGACACTCACCGCCCTCGTGACATGTTACAACGCGCCGGAATATTGCAATGCATGAAGTCCGTCCAATTGACAACCAGCAACCCCTGCCCTCTTACGGTAGATGTGTCTCATTTCCTCCTCAAACAGCCGTTTATTGGACCCTGCAGCTGCTCTTTCCTATGCTCGGATCAAAACAAATGTGTGTTTGTAGCACGACGTGGAATTCACAAACGTCCCACCATTCATCTAGCCGTCACATAGCCAGAAACTCCTTTATAGCCACACCAATCTCAAGACAAAGTCGACGTTTACCATACACTAAATGGAAGTTGCTCAGCCTCCGGTAGAATGCGGCCAGTGCAACGTGGAACATATGCGATGGCACCTCGTCATCCTGATTTTGAAATTCGGCCGCCGAGAGGTGAGCGGAACTTTGAGCGTGCTAGGCGGCGGAATAGCTCGCGCCTTACTCAGCGGACGCCAAGCTGTCGGAAAGCGCCAACTACCAGCCCAGATCCGAGCGGTCGAGGTTCGGTGGCGTAGAATTCGCAATTCAATCTGGTTTCTTGGTGCGCTGCTTCAACGTCCAGCAACTGTCGATACGCGAGATCTGTCCACGATGTCAAGATGCATACTTCGACTAGACCCGTCTCGCGGTCGTCAAGTTCACTGCAAGGCGCCTGTCGACAGGGATGTTCAAAGCAGGTGAGGCGAGCATTTACCAAGCACTTTCACTGATCAACAGATTCAGGGCCGCATTGGGATCGCGCTGCCGCTTACAGCTAGGGCTGCCGACCGCCGTCACCCTCCATGCATCGCTTATGTAATAGCGACATCTTTTACCTCGTAGCCCTGCCGGTAAATGCCGGATTCGAACTGTTTGCATTGGGAAGTTTAAGCTCATCACTAACCCTGCCGTTCGGCAACAGCTTTACCTGTTTACGGCAGTCTGGCAACGCACTCAGGGTCTAGCACAGACGTCTTGGTGTTAAACTACAGGTGCGACTCTCGACGTCTCGTGTCTGGGAAGTGAGCAAGCGGTGAAGGGTAAGTTTGCATCCGGGCTCAGGTCAGGTCTCTCCACTGAAACGATGTTGGACCATTGATCGACCTTCTCCTTCTCCACAGCAATGCGCCCCCTAGTCTGACCCTGGACCCATTCACGATCGGCTCATTGGAAAGACTCTTACGCTGGCTGACACAACATGTGCAGGATTCGTCGTTGCTCAGACTGTCGGATGTCCTTCACCACGTTGCAGCCGCACTTTCCCTCCAGCTTGCTCGTGCAACGTGTTCCTGCAATGGCGCTGTTGAGGCACCTCGCATGCAAGCGAACAATTGGACCCAACTACTTTAGCTACCGCAGTGGAGCACGATAGCTTCAAGCTTCATCAGCTGGCGCATCTAGTCTTTCGATCCACGGACTCAAACAGAGTCCATGATGTGCCCACCGTCGCTTCTTCTCCATCTGTTTCGTTCTCGTCAACTCAATGAGCGGGGATGTGGTCCATATGGTCCACATGAGATATCTCGCAGCTTCTGGAGCTCAATCTGATGCGGATCATGCCCACTCAGCATCGTGACTTTTCGCCTCCGGCACTTTCGAGCCGATACCATTACTTCGCAGACCCTTTGCTCCACCCATAGCCCGGCAATGTCCATCTTTCTCTTCACATTCTAGCGACCTTCTAGCAGACCCCCAGTCGGACCGACCAATATCTCAACATCTTCCATCGGTCCGGTACCTCACCGTTTTGCGGGCATTATGCGGGAGTAACCGACAGGAGGTTTTCACGATGGTTCACAGACCGTCGGTATGCCTTATGGAGAATTCCGACTCTTGTCATGGCTTGTCCTGGGAAGGATTCGAATGCTGGAACGGCGTTGGTCAACATGTACATTATCGGGCCTATTGATATGGCATCGAGGATTGAATCGAATATTAGCCGGCTGACGTCAAAGCACCCTGCATCGAAGATGGTATCGCAGCTGCAAACAATCGTGAGATCATGGAAGCGACAAGTATGCTACCTGCTGACGAGCGCCCAGGACCATATACAAGATTTGGTGCAATGCCAACTGATTGATCGTGTATGTCTTCCTGCATATTCATGATCGCAACACTCAGTCGTTATCACGATAACATCTCGGTCGATAGGAGCCTGCAGCGTATGACATTGCTGGTTGTTGAAAGCTTGTAAGCTGCTGGAGTACATCATGAATCGGTAGATCACCTCCAGGTGACTGGACGATGATATCTGAACATCAACCCAATAGTCCGTCACAGTAGACCAAGACACCAAGCTGTATCAGCTATACCGAAATTTCGACACTTCGAGCATGCGCGACGACCATCTGGTCAAAGTCATCCTACCATTATGCCGGAGACTACATTCTGAATGACTGGACGTCACGGTGAACAAGTGCTTTTAAATTGGCACAAAACATCATGTTCCTTCTAGCTTAGAGGTATCCAGAGATTCGCCAATGTCAGCGCTATCACAAACAACACGCGAGACCTTACGCTCTGTCTGTCTCTTGTCAAGTGATTTTTGATCTTTTCACGCCAAGAAACGTTGTAGTCCTGCAGTCATCAGTGGGTTGACGGTATATTTAGTACCGTTGCAGTCCTCACATGAAACAAGGTGTCCCAGAAGTATCAATGATTCTCAATTGTTGGACTCACCCACAGCTTTAAGGTCAAATGGTAAGCCGATTTTCATGCGTCTTATTTCTCCAACTTGTTAAAGTCTCTCTCACGTCTATGTCTACATCCAAAGGGGTGTTATCGCATTTAAACAATTTTCTGTCTTCATCTCGTTTCTACTGTGTCTCTTCTGTCCAATGTGTTGGCGCATAGCCTTTAGCTGTAGCATTCAGCATCATCCTCATTGCTCAGCAAGGATACCCAGAAGCTCAATGTAAGCGCCAACAATCGGCACGATACCCTCTCAAGTTGCAGGAAAAGCCGGACGCAACCGTCCTAAGCATCAGAATCTTGGGAGGCAGCCAGGGAGGCATTGTCCATCTTCAAATAGCTGATAAGGATACACAGGACTACAGATGATCCTGCCTCTAACATACTGCTATCTCATTACAACTGCAGACCTCCAGGCTTCATGATAAGATCAAGCGTTCGTGGCTGCTGCGTCCGAGCTTTTCCACAACATGAGAGGATGCCCTCACTACCTTGTTCGGCCTCAATTTCTTGATACTCTCAAGCTCAGACAGCTCTTCGGCCTTGCAACAAGACAAACGGAAAGTACCAACGCATTCGCCTGGAGGTGAACGCTTTCGGTCTCGCATCCAAGTCCGAACAGGTGTTCATGTACCAGTACATCAGCCTCCAACGTCACTTTCACGTGTTATTGGACCTACCGAAGCCAACCGACGTATCCCATGGATGACGGGAAATATTCCCTGCCTTCTCAGCCAATTGACTGCTCTTTCCTTGCAGAGAGGCTTTCGTCCAATCAATCGTGATAAGGTTTGGATATTACGCCACGACACAGTGTGGCTGTAACCTCTTGAGGAAGCCGTTGACGAGACATGGTTGATTACCTAATCACGACTCTGCGTGGAGATCATGAAAGAAACACAACATCTCAGAGTTGGAGTCATTGACAGGAAAGAGCAGGGATGAGACCCGGGGGCAGCTGCAAAGCTGCGAGAAGGAAGGGTGACCTTCAGACCTGACCACAGACATTTTGATAGTCATCAACCGTGATCAAATCGATACCGCCAATCCACATTTGCGTCCATACAGCTCTTTGTGCAACGCCAAATCGACCACAACACACGCTGCCTACACACACATTCAAACAATGCACAAGCCAGCACCGCATCGTCACTCCTTCCACTCGTGATCCCTCCCAAGCCAAGTAACCTAGTGTGGAAGAGTTGAGATGATTTATTGATCTTGAGAGCTATTGGCTGGAATCGATCGAGACTATATAGTAGAAGGGGATAGCAGTGATGGCGACACAACAATCATAATCTACGGCTACACACCCAACTTCGCCCTCTGCATTCTCACTCTAGCCCTGTTCCTCGTCCTCGGTCTCGCGCATGGCTGGCAGCTGTTCAAGTACCGGACTTAGTACTTTGGTACCATGATGGTGGGAACTTCATTGATACGTTCACATTTATCACATTTACCAGCCCTCATCTTTTCGCAAATGACATCAATTTTCAAACGCCCAATCACCGCCTGCACACCAACAACACCCAGGAAATCATTGGCTACATCTCCTACACTCTCAGTGCAAAGCATAACCCCTGCCGCATCTCCTACTTTGTAATCCAATGGTTTTTCATCGTCTTCGTGCCCGTCTTCTTCACAGCGGCAATCTACACCGTGCTCTCCATCCTCATCCGCGCCACTCCAAACGGCACATCGCATGCTCCGCTCAAACCCAAACTGATTCTCTGGATATTCATCAGGTGCGATGTCGTCGCGGCGGTGGTGCAGGTTGTTGGTGCGGCACTGATTGGCGTTGCGTATCCGAATCGTAGGGATCCGACGAATCCGAACCATATATTACTGGCTGAACTTGTGTTTTAGGCCTTTACCCTCCTCGTCTTATCATTCTACTCGGGCTCTCCATCTTGCGAGCAAGACGAGTAGCGTTTCAAGCAACAAGCAAAGCTTTCTACACTTCGTTCTGGGTAGCAGTGCTGTTCATTTATCTCTGTATCTGCTTCAGGCTGGCAGAAACGGCGCTGGGTCTTGAGGGTGAGTTGCAGTCACATGAGGTGTAGTTTTGGACATTGGAGTTTATACCTGTCATCATCGCACTAAGCTTGCTGGCTGTGTGGTATTCGGGGGGGGGTATTCAAAGGGTAGTACTGAGAGTAATAGGAATAGAAAATATCATCGAGAAGCAGTAGGGGTGCAGGAATTGCCTTAACATGGCTTACTAGGCGATGTCCGGGTTGCACGGGGAACGGCAGGTGTGAGCGTGTGTACAAGCTCACGTCGGAAGGGAATACTTACCATCTAATTTTGATACGTAATTACAATTGACGGCCAAACTGGATGGGCTACGAGGCTTAGAGACTCATATCACAGCGCGAAACAGTTTCAGTGCATGTGGATGGACCGGACTGACTAAACTAAAGGAATATTTCCACATTACCACATCGTATACGCCAACGTACATGCTTTCTTTCACATGAGGTCAGAAGAGAAGATCTGATGTGGACGTAAGTTCAGAAGTCACTTCAGCCGCGTCGTCAAGTGCTGTTGGTGAGGCCAAGAGCCACCCGTTTGCTCGACCTTTTTCAAGGAACGTACCGTCAGATCGATAGCTAGTAGAGTGATCACTAGCGGTACGTGTCTTTAGCTGTTTGTTTTCTTCTCGTTCTAATCAGTCTTACTATAGAGGACGGCGCTCTTTGCTTTTCTTTATTTCTGCTGGTGTCTTGCTCAGACAGTCTGTAGCTGCGTGTGCAGTGTCGTTCCAGAGGCTGTGGTCACTGATTGTATTGCTATCTGTTGTTGTTTTGGTGATGTTCTTGTACAGGAGCTCTCTGCTCAGAGGTAAGTGCACTTGCCCACCGGGCAGTGCCTTCTACAATAGGATTTCATGTGACCTAACCCACGTAGTTACACAGTCCATGGGTGGGTAGCAGTCAGGTGTGGTAACATTTAAGTTTGCCAAATGTGGCCTGTAAGACTGAATCTCCATGATTTCTGTTCTCAGTTCTGTTAGCTCGTTGACATGAGTATGGAGTGAAGTGATGGTCTTCATTATCGCTAAGCCGTTCTTGCAGCCAGACAGTCGTGTCAGTGCGTCGAGGTGATCGTGATGGTGCGTCTGGTTAGTGGTGGTAGATATAAAACGTGCACGATGATGCTGAGTCTATTCATCTACCTGGACGCCGAAAGCGACGTGGAGCCTAGAATGAGAGGAAAGATCGGGATCGAGATGGGTGCAGCTTCTGCGTTGGCAGTCGGCCTACATTTGGCTCCATGACTTCATCCACGACAAAGCGACAATCTCCATTCGTTGCAAGATGCATATTTTTGAACTCCTGTCGTTCCAACTACCGTGTCTCTGCGGTGTTTACTTGACCTATATGGGGATCGCGATATCGAAACCCCTGAGCAAGCTCAGCCAATCAAGCCACAGAATGAACGGATCTTTGCGCTAGCCACCGGGACCTTCTCCACCTAACACTCTCCATCATTCATGTCGAACAGAGCATCAAAATGGCATGACAGCTGTCAATTGCCGCGCTTGGAACGTGGCCGATCCATGCGAGGCACACGCTGTGGTGACGACTGCGGACGGCAGCGAGCCGCCTTTGGACAGCAGCTGAGTCGAAAAGGGGAATCAGTTGATCAAAAGAGCCTGGCAATTGGATGCGTATAAGCTTTGGCGGCCTGAGATTGATGATATGGCGTGACGATGGATCTTGTTTCTTGAGTGCGTCCACGTCTTGACCATTTTTAGCGAGAGTGCAGCGGTATTGGCGTCCTGTCATTTCCCCATCTTGATATTCGAACTAAAGACCCGTAGGCTTGCAGCCTGAGAAACCTTCGCAATTCGTTCATTCCATTGCCTCACTTCAGTCGCTCATTCTGCGTTTGTTTTTTGCCTTTACGTACATCATGAAGTCCTGTACATGCGTCTCGCCGGACAGCCCAGTCGAAGCACCAAGGCTATCACTTCACGCCTGTGATGAACCGAACAAAGGCTTCCTTGCTCCCAGGCGTTCGGTCAGCAGGCCATCGAAACTGCAAACCATCGTGGAGGTGACAAGGTGCAGAATGGGGAATACAGGTCGTCAAGCTGCTCCGATCGGGTACGAAGACTTTATTCCTCAGAAGGACTGAACACCAATCTTCCACGCCGTATATCACAATCGCGAAGCGGCTCTCTACAACTTCTTACAGACTGGCGTGCCGCCGAATCTTACGGAAGGCGCAGGTGTACCGCTACTGTGTATTGCTGCAGCATGCGGGCACTTCGAGATCGCCAAAATTCTTCTGGAGGCTGGTGCACTTGTTAATGCAGCCTCAAAGGATAAAGGAGAGACAGCTCTGCATGTCGCTATCAAAGGCAATCATCACGACATCATCGACCTACTGCTTGTGCATCGAGTCGACCTGGAAGTAAGAACCATCCACACTGGCGAGACTGCGCTTCATTACGCTGCAGCAGGCTCCGGCTTACTCGCGCTGGTCATGAAGTTGCTCAAGTTTGGAGCAAAGTATGACGGCCGGAACTTGAAGGCCAGACGCCGGCAGCGGTCGCACTACAAGCTCACAACCTTCACGCTGCGGTAGCGATCATCAACATGGCGCGTAGGAGGCCTAAAACGCTAGCAAAAGAGAAAGACATGCTACTTCAGCATGTAGAGAAGACGAAAGATCGATCTTCGATGACCAACGATCTCATCGCCAATGTATTCGCTGCTACGTGCGACCCAGACTCGACTGTCTTGGTCGAGGCAATCAAGAATAATGATGCAAGGCTGGTCGAGATGTTCTTGGAAAAGGGCGCAGACCCTCACCGAGCGACTGCGAACGGGCTGCTACCAATATTCGTGGCTGTCAAGTTTGCTGACTTGGGCATCATCAAGATGCTAGCTCAACACAGCGCAGATGTTACAATCAGAGGTCTAGGAAATCTTAATGTGCTACAAGTAATTTTCAAGACATACTCGACACGCGACGAAGAGTCCGTTGTCGCTATCGTTGACTATCTGCTCGCCAAGGGTGCTGACGGTTTAGCTCAGTATCCGGACGGCAAAACGCTTCTTCATCGCGCGGTCAGTGCAGATGTTGACAGCGCCAAAGTAGTGAAGCTACTGATCAATAACGGAGTTGAAGTCAACGTGCACGACAACGACAGAAATACTGCACTACATCTTGCAGCATCCCACGGCCTCATTAACTCAACAACAGTCTTGCTCGACGCGTACGCCGATACCAAGATTGTGAACTCTAAGAAACGCACACCGCTTTTTAGCGCTGTTCAATACCAGCAGTGGCCCGTCATTCCACTGTTGGCGGTTCCTCCTGCCATCACTTCGTGGGACGCCGAAGGTTCGACTGCTTTGCACCATATTGCTCGAAGCATACCCGAAGACCATGCTACCTGGCAGGACGTTGCCGCCGCTGCGAGACTGCTCTGTGAGCGAGGCATTTGCAGGAGCATGCGAGATTGGTCAGGTGCAACACCGCTCATACAAGCAGTCAGAGTACTGCCCGAGGAGGGCTTGCTTGTAGTCGAAACCCTGCTCACGGAAGGTGGCAAGAACAGGAACTGTGTTGGTCATGAGGACCATAAGAGACGCGATGCTCTTTACTACGCTGCAACCCTAGGCAAGCCTATCTCTGTAGAAGCACTGCTTGAGCACGGCGCCCCGTTTGTTTTGGAGGGCTGGACCGATGGAGAGAGGCAGTTCGAATTGCTGGCAGCCTCCAAGGACCGGATTCTGAACCTCATCATCGAAAATGATTGTTCACGGAAAGCGGCAAAATCCCAGGGACGACACGACCTGATCCAAGAGACGCGTATCGAGATTATCAAGACCGAAATGAGAACGAGCTCAGCATTGTCAGGATACCATGCGGAATGTGAGTGAGAGCGAAAGCCGAAGCCAAACCGCCACAACGTAAGGAAGGTTTCGTCAATGCAGCATCTTCAGGCCCCAGTTCGCCAACAAAAGCCAGCAGTTCCGTCACCCACCTTCCCAATTCGCACTTCCAGCAGACAGCACCGATCAAAAGAAACCACTGCTCAGTATCCTTCGTCCGTACTTCAACCATGCATCACCGTATCTACATTACCAGTCAGCGGCAGGGCGAGCTAGACTGTGCTTACGAGTTCAAGAACGGATCGTTTCAAGCCACACGATGAACAGCCAACGAGGGCTACTGGCAGGATCTCCTCAAGCCAACGACCATGGGAAACCGCTTCAGCTTTCCCACCACGTGCCTCAAGCAGGCAACAGACGGCAGCGCTACTGACAGCAGTCACGTCTCTACTAGAATCGAAAGTGCTCGTCACCGAAACCCCCATGTCCAAGAGGGAATTCGTTGCTGTTACAACTCCGCCTAGCAAAGACTCTCCAGCGATTGGGAAACTCGATGCGCCTGTCGAAGCAACACGAGTATCTCCACAAGTTCTCAATGCACCGATACAACCCACACCAACAGCCACGCTAGTGCCTATCGTCGATCACTCCAAGCCTACCACTCCTCCTAAACCCTCTGCGACGATCTCCACAACATCAACCAAGAAGGCCTCGCTTGCTCCCGCCACCCCTGTCAGTCCTGCTACTTCCCCTCAGCCATCCTCGGCCGCATCGGCTCTTTCAGCAACTACCAAGCCAGTGCAGCCAGCTCGGGTAGATAGTGGCGTGAGTCTGACACCGAGCGACAGTACAGCAGAAGTTTACCCACACTGGATCGGTCAAAGCCCACTCTCGATGGTAGTATCCAAAAAGCAAAAAGACAAATTGGCGATGAACCCGCCAGCTGGTTGGCGATCAGTAACATGCTGGACAGGCTGTAGTCTTGTTTGTTTCGGCTTCCTTCCACTCATATGTAGATCTTTTATCAGCCGTGTACACGTTTTTTTGGCGCCCTTCTCAGTATATGATACCCCGTTTCGTTCTTGTAGGTAACGCCAGCTTGCACAGCAATATAGCAAGCGTCGTATGTTTGCGCACAAATAGTACATAGTCTGTTATTGTAACATTCAAGTTCCCCCACGGCGGTTGAACATATTGCGTATGCCATAGGCTTGTAACCTGGTGCGCACCTGCCTCGACTGGTCAAGATATCTTCACTTATTTCATGTCGCTGCCTTACCAATGCCACGCTAGACTGTCTCGGTAACCTGCGAGTATTCAACTTAGTGTCTTCCTTCACTTTCCCGCGCAGCCACAGTTGTTCTGCTATCTCAGACGTTCGCTTATTGTTACCACCACCGTCAACAACTGGTCTGGACTTACAACATGCCTACCCGCTCAGTTCGACGAGAGTGCCGCCGCGCAGATCGTCGCAATGTCAAACAACTTACCTTTCCACCGTCGCGCACAGCAGCCAACACAGCAACCGCCGATATCTGTCCCCTGTCGCCAGCCGCTTTTATGAACGCTGTCCCCATCGTCCGAACAATCGTGCGCTTCATCCTCATCCAAAAAAATTTCACCAAAAGCCAAGTCTTCGGTCTCGACATGTGGAGGGAAACACTAGAGCTAGAGAAGCCACCACCGTCCGCCCCCGACTATGACCAGAACGAGTACCACATCGCGTGCTTCAAAGCAATCGTCAAACTGCACAACATGCATCTGCGGGACCTCGGAGCGTTACAGCTACGCAAGGCAAGTCATCATGTGGGGGTTTGAGTGCAGTAAGGCGGAGGAGAAAAGGGATCCAAAGTTCATTGCACGGAGGAAGCTGGAGCTTGCGCAGCTCAACCGGATGACGCAGAAGCTGGTTATGACATTTGAGGAGAAGTTGCAAGGGTTGCTAAGAATGAGCATCTATTGGCGTCGCAGCACGAACGAACGTACGTTCTTGGTGCGCTGGAGATATTTCGAGATAACTTCGCAAAAGGTGTAGAGCTTGCAGATGAAGAGACGGTATCAGCCTTAAAGAGGCTAGGAGTGTAGCTTGCTGGGTAGCGAGTTGCTAATGCCATACGTTCGTTCGAGTGATATCAGTTGTGTAAGGGTATCATTACTTTGAGAGTATATCAGCGTGAAAGGTTATGTACTCCATAGTAAACTACTCTCCAGACTCAGCTCCATGCCCAAGATTGCCGGTTTCCCTCGCTAACAGATGCTATGCAAAGCGCTGATGTGAAACGAAATTCATAAGCACTACAACGGTCCCCTTTCCAGGTCGCCCAGAGTGTCGCCATCGCTGGATCTCTCGGTCGCTTTGTCTTCCACTACGGACTTTGGTGTAGGCGTCAATGGGACAGGTGGTGTAGGTGGGATTTGCGCTACCCAAAATTTCGGGTACTGTCGTTGAAGGTTGTTGACCAGACAGGCGCTCGCGAGAACAATGATGGACGACAGCAGGAGGACCGGCAGATAGTACCATCGCAAAGCCCAGATATGGGGATCAACGCAGGGGATCAAGGCTGTTGCGCCAGCTGGAGGATGAGTCGTCTTGGTAAGGTGCATAACCACCAGAGCGAAAGCGGTGGCCAGGCTTGCTGCGAGCCATTGTAGTCGTGGGTAAGGGTCTTCGTGCAAGTTGAACTGGAAGATAGTCGCTATAATAACACCGATAAGTCCGCTGAAGAAGTGGCCAAAGATCAGAGAACGTGGTTGCGCTAAAGGTACATCGATGGCACCATAACAAAGGATTGCAGAAGCACCCTGTCGTTGCGTTACTAACATGCTATTTTATATGTTCAAGGTACACTTACGAATGAGGCAACGATGGGTGGGACAAGATGTATGTTGTGGAAGTAGCTTGTGTGGCCAAACACGGCGATGATTGAAGCAACACCTCCCCAGGCACCGACGAAGCCCCAAAGACAGACAGTCCAGGTACGAGAAGGAGGTACAGATGTTCCTCGGTATCCGAGCCAGCGGCTAATCCATGTAGGTAGGTGAGCAAGTCCTCTCTGGATGACGCGCTCAGCAGGGACGAGGGGATCCCAGATCGGCATTGTGACCGAGGAAATCCAGCGACAGTGATTTCTGAGGTTGCCTGGTGATAGACTTGACGTCCACGGTAAAGAGAAGGGCGACTCAAGCCTGCGAAGAGGAGGCGAGAGGCCAAAAGAAAAGATTTGTGAAGCTTAAGTTGAAGGTAAACCCGGACACTAGGAAAGGAAGGCACAATGCCCAGACGTCACCAGCCCGGATCGAGACTAAGCATTATGCACCCCGGATTAACGGGTGTACCGGATGACAATTAGTAGCCTGCCGCGGACGCATAAACACTGTTGTCAAATAACAGCTGCAGAATGTTGTGGCAGCTCACCTTTACCCGCAGTGGTGAACAGCGAAACCGTCAACGCGATTCTCATCATCAACACCCTGAAACCAAAGGGCCATGTTCGTTAGCATGAATTCTACGAATAACGTGTTTTACAAGCGAGTCGTCAATACAAGCGAGCCGGCAGCCCCACCAACTTTGATCAACCACTTCAAGTCTTTGTACAATGCCTCAACGCTACGCTCCTCAAGTACCTCAAATGAAGCTGATATCCAACTTGCTATTAGTTCTATTAAGACAAAGCAAATTCAGTCTGAAAACTGCGCTGGGAAGCCTGCCCGATGTAATTGCCAGTCCAACTCAAAGAAGCTCACCCAGCTAGAGGAGGAGGTGATTATACGTTATATACTGGATCTGGATTCTTGTGGATTTGTGCCTACATATGCAGCTGTATGTGATATGGCTGATAAGCTGCTTGCTGCGCCCAGTGCAGGCTGTGTTGGCGTCCACTGGCCGTGCAACTTTGTTAAGCGTACAGACAGCCTTACAACACGTTTTAATCAAGCGTACGACAGGCAGAGAGCTTTATGTAGAGCAGACAAAGGCCAAGTATGACATCTGCAATGAGGATGTCTACAACTTTGACGAGGCTGGCTTTATGATGGGCAAGATTACAACTCAGCTTGTTGTAACAGGGTCAGAGAGGAGAGGAGGCCAAAGGCTGTCCAGCCTGGCAATCTCGAGTGGGCAACAGTAATCCAAGGAATCAAAGCTGGTGGGGCTGACAACTCGCTTGTATTGACGACTCGCTTGTAAAACACGTTAACGTTTGCCGCTTGACAGCTTCCGTGATAGGTATAGAAATAATTGTCAAAGGATGCGGAGGTATGACGCTATTAGGTAAGAGAAAGTATTTAAATCCGAAGTTCGCACGAGTGACCCATGACGAACGAGCAAAATCCGAATAACCTCAGCTTCAACCTCATCTTTGAGAGCTTCACCATGTACGAATCAATATAGTTGCGGTTCAACCTTTTATGGAATCACTTTTTTCTCTAACTAGCACCAGGAAATGCACTGACGACAAACTCACGGCGACAGCAGGTGATCACACAACGATAGGAGGAAGGTCCATTGGACTACACCGCGCTTTGCCTCCCTAAGCATCATATCCTTCTGTCTTCAATCAGCAGCCCCTTCTCTCTTTTCTTTTACTACATTTCACATCCAAAATTTCGTGGCATCGGACAACGAGAGAAGTGAAGAACAAGATTACATTATGGCGCTGTGAAGGGTCGAGGAAGCATACGTGCCCGCCGTTAACATCAAGTCATATCGTACAGCAACATCAATCATCCTGAGATTCCACCGATCAAACCGCTCGCGACGCGTTGTCGACCTGGCCTTGCCCTGCCACATTGTGCGTTGATCTTCCTCGCGTGACCTCCCCATGCTCGACCACGACGCTCCCTTTACCACTCACGCCATAGCCGCTATCCTCCCGCTGATCGCCAATACTTGGTAGACTCATGGCATTTACGAAACTCGGCGTGGTCAGGTCGTGCTCTTTCAAGATGCCCAGCTTCTTCAGGACCTTGTCGACTGTGCTCTTCAAACATGCGAGGGAGCATGCGATAATTCCCACGATCTCTTCCAATCTGGCCAGCATGGACGGTTTGATTGTGGCTTGCATAACGTCACCTTTACCGAAGTCGTTAAATGTGGTCATCTTGACGCATGCAACTGCAGTGGCGAGCAGACCAAGAGACATGAGAACGCAAATCAGGACTTTCTCGGTCGTGCTGCGATGAAGAGTTCGGATGAGACGTACAGGCATGAGTGAGAGGGTAAGGTCCATGACTATGTATACGGCTAATAAGGTCGATTAGCAACAACGCTTGTTAATGGTTATCAAGTCGGATAATCTTACCTGCGATAGCCCATCCATAGTTCACAATTGGCGTAGTGTTCCAGCACTTGACATCCGGAACAGTCTCCCAGTTGGCGCTTATCGGCGTGCATTGTCCGAACTGGATCACGATGTACGACGACGAGATCAGGACTTGCAGCCCAATAATGAGGTACAACGAAATGCGCCAAAACCTGCCAGTACCGAATCGTAGCAACGAGCAAGCTACCGACACACGAACGAGGCACAGCCCAATGATCCAGACTACTTGCAAAGCGAACTGGAGTCTGAGCGTCTCTTTGAGTGCCTCGGGTGTGAACATGTAGCTCGGTTTACCCCAGCCATGCGTGGCCGCTGCGATGGCAATTGCTGTGTCGGTCACAGAGAGCACCTATACTAATCATCAGCAGACAGACATCTAAAGCCACATTTGAATGTACCTGAGCAGCGACGATCAGCCAGTCGTCAAGGTACAATTTCCCCGTCCTTCTCAGACGTGTGTATATGCGCGCAACGACCAGCGCTAGCGCGACAGTACCAAGTGTGCACACTGGAATCAGATATAAGCCAGCTTTGTTCGAGGAATACCCCGGAACATTGACGGCATCGGCCATGCTGTCGTCAAGCAAATGCTAAACTTAAGAGATCTACTAAGATCCCTTGAGCGTACCGTCACAGTTGGCGAACGTGTGGAGAAGACAGGAAAGCGAATATTTGAAGTGAACGAACTGGATCAGAGCAGAAGTTTGGTACGCTATATTGAACGGACCGACCCTTGTCTCACGCCCTGGTCAGCTCCAACAACAACGGAGGAAGAGCGACCGAAGGCTTCGGTACCAACTCCTGAACGATACAAATAACACATATAGAGCCTCTGGCCCAAAGCTTATTATGCAGCATCCAATGCGAAATGAACACGGCGCCTCAGTACGATGTCGACACGCGCACGGCTTTAAGTTGAGATTTGCATGCCCTGCACGTTCAAATACCGGCCCGCACATCCCCCGGAACGCTGACATTCATTGGGTTTGGTGTTGTTCATTTATGGCCCAATAACGGTTAGGTGGACTGTAAAGTCACTTTATGATTCAGGATGCTTGGACGCCTGGAACACCAACGGCTGTACCCTTGTCCCGCGTGGATCCCCCTGACAGGCCATCACGACACCGTTGCTTGTGATGCGTTCAACTCCGTCATCCACGTTCTGAGTAAGCCAGAGGGTGTGATATCATACAATATGCTCCGAGCAGATACTTTGATCACAAGGTCAATGATTTGTTTATCGTTGGAAAGAAGCTCAGAGCTGTTGCTACGCGACATCGACTGTTACTCTTGTCCTGAACGAACGTCCACAGTTGGGCTCTATCTTATAGTCATCTTTCAAGTCTACACCAAGACTCCTCAAACTCATGGCTCGGTGACCCATATAATGGAATAGCTGAAGCCCTGCGATGCCTGCCCATCCACCTCGCTAGGAATCACGGGCGGTACACCGACCCAAGGCGACTCCACCGGTGACCGCACTTTCAAGAACGCTGCCTTGCCATACGTTGCTTCAGACAGCAGCTGTTGCGTCCTGCGTGATGTTGCATATCGCGGTTCCCTTAAATATTGGAGTAGGGTTGAGATCCTGAAGGATCAAGCTACATGACAGCAACGCTAGTACCAATTAGGTAATGGATACCGGCAGAAGCCTCCAACAATAAACAAGTCGATCAGCCGATTCCTCGGTGAACTTCGACTACGGTGCTGGCGCAAGATCAAACTCCTCGAGGTACTCATAGAGCAGCCATGCAGGCTCAAGCGGAAGACGTTCCATCGTGCGGCTTTTTCCACAATCGTGGTTCAGGTAAAAGGAGACGGAAGGAGACGAGGTGTAGTTGTGCGGTTGACTAGCGTGTTTTTGTAGCTAATCACAGTGTCGATAGGGAGGTACGGAGGTTGGTTGAACGCGACAATTCGCAGCAGTATCCATCGATCTTCAAGCTCGAACAGTCTACTCTATGAAAGGAAGCCAAGTGCTTAGTACCAGCTGCCAAATCCTTGGGGTCTCCAACAAGCTTCATGACAAGCTTGCACGCCAAAAACGTCAACTCGGCTCTGGCATTGATGACGGTGGCAGTGATGTCTAGAATTGAGTGACGACGTGATGGTACTGGTAAGCTCCCGAAAATCTCATGGTGTCTACCGTTAGTTCGCGTAAATTGAATGCAGTCCTGGCCGAAGACATAACTGCAAGGCAGAGTGCGCGCCGCTGGGTGCTCGTTGTTGTATGAATCCCAGCACCACATGCATTTGTCGTTCATGAACTTGTCATCTTCGTAGGCAGGGACGACATGCTTGCTGAAGACGCTGCGTGAGATTCCGAGAGACTGTTCTAACATGGCGTGGACTTGCTATGTCAATGACAGGCTAGCTCCTGGTTGATGGTGGGTCGAAAGAGATTGAATGCAAATAGCTGTGGTCAACTTTTAGTGGAGACAAAAGCAATGCTTATCTGTCAGAGCGCCCACAGCTGGAGACCTCGGGAATGTGCAGTGAAAGGGAACGATCTTTACCTATCCAAGAAGGAGGAAACACGGAAGTGCCGTTGTGACGGGTTGTATGGAAGTTCTGCAAATGCAATTACACTTTATGATCACTGTGAATACCAGTAAACGTGAAAGCGCGACGCTAAGACGCACGTGAACTTTACCGAGGGAAGATGAATACCTTGTCTTTTGCGCCTCACAGGACTCCTAACATTATACGCATCGAATCGTCAATACGGAAATGCCTATACCCTTCAAGAAAGAATTTCCCTTGCGCTCCTCAGATGAGATCGTCATGGAGACCTACTCGAGGACCAATACTTGTTATCTGAGTAAGTTTCCTCCACAATCGTAAGTACTTTTGTTTTGTGCTCGTTCCACTCAAAGAAAGGTGTCCTTACTACCTTCTGGATCTGCTTTCGATGAACTGGTGCAAGTCGTCGTTGGCGTGACCGATCCCAGGACTTTCTCAGTGCACAAGGATCTCCTAACACACTACTCAGAGCACTTCACTTGTGGGTTTGGAAGCCCACACTGGCTAGAGTCGGATGGGACTGTCCATCTCAATGAAGACGATCCGGAGATCTTCTGACTCTTCTACAATTTCATCTACACTAGGCATGTCGCCAATAATACGCGCTTGACACCTCACATCAACTACGAACCCAACTACAGAGTCGCTAGACCTGTCCGAATTATACCAGAGGAGAAAGAAACGGACGATGTTACGGAGTCGCGCGACGATGCGGTTCCGCTGTCATTTGGGCAGCTCGTCCAGCTCGCAGCCTTTGCGGATATGTGAGTGGTACTGCTACTGACGGCGACGGTCGGTGCTCTTATCGCGCAGAAGATTCTGTCGGAGTCATACATCCCCATTACATTCATAGAGGACATCATTGAGTTGTTGCCGAACCAGAAAAACCTAGCATTCTTCGTTGAGAGCCACATGTATAACAGGAAGGACTTTCGGTACTGCCGAAACTCTCTACCGCCATCCTTCGTTGCGGACGTGGCATTCCGTCAGACGGGTATCTACAAAAGCTTCCAGGATCCTACCACCAGGCCTATAATAAAGCTTCATACCTGCGTGGTACATAAGGGGTTTTGCGAGCCTGAGGGTGGATAAGCTCTTGCTCATAACGGGCGAGGAGGAGAGGCTGGTCTGAGCCTTGTTGTGGGTGCTGTCAAGTTTTCATTCATAGCTGCTACGTAGCTCATCCGGCAAGACCACTTATGCGTCTTGTCGAACATAGTAAGGAGAAGTATCCCTTATAATGTAGATCTGCCCGACCAGCACTGTAAGACCAACCACCATCGTGATGGCAATTATGGGCAGATTGACCCTTGCAAATTCAAGTCCACCAACACGAATATGCTTTCTGCCCAGAATGTCGCGCCATAGCATACCAGCAAGCGACGCACTGAACGCCAAGCTGAAAGCGCCGTAGTTCACGCCGATGGCCATGCTGTACACTGTGCCCCAGAAGGTTCTGTTGGATATATCTGTGCCATTCCGCATGTGTATCACCTGCCAGGACTGGATAACGCGGGAGAGCAGGATCGTGGTGCCGATGTTTGTGCCGGCAAACTAGGGTTTGTCAATCTTGACTCCTCGAGGATTGTGTTTGACTTACGTTGCAGAGAATGACAGACAGGAAACCCATGCCGCCAACGGCCCCCACCGTACCGGTCTTGTTCACCCAAGTATCCCAGCCATGCGCGAATACTGGAACCCATCCTTTCGTGACGAGTGCTTGCACCAGGACGAACATGCAGAATGCGAAGGGTAGAAGAGCTAGTGGTAGGTGGTTGAAAACGGTCATGGTTGTGGGGAATGTTTCCCGAGCCCACTGGTGTCTTTCCTTGATCAACGATTCGAGCGTCGTACGCTTCTTCTGGGTCGAATTCTTTAGGCGGCCCTCTTCGTTGACTCCTTGCTCTTTGTCTGTTGTGATCTGCAGCCGCTCGTTCGACGTCTGTGTAGATGTCGCCGCAGTCGGTGCCTGAGTTTTCTCATCGATGCTGCTGCTCGTATTGAAGGACTCGCCGTTTTGGAGCATGCTGGGCTCTTCCCGCACGATAGACCTTCTCCTTTTTGCCCTTTCGGCGTGGACGGTCTCCGCTCTCTGTCGACCCTCTTGGGCAATTCTGCGTGTCTCTTTCCTGTTTGTCCAGCCAAGTCCGAGATCGAAGATGAACAGCACGAATGCCGCCGGTAGTGTAACATAAAACACCGGCCATTCATGGGTGCCTTGAGCGACGGCATTAATCACGAGTACTGCGACCAAAGTCACGGCCATAAGTCCCGCACCGAAAATCGCGCCTTTTTTGTCGAGGAACGGGTTCAAGATCTCTTCAAGAGAGAGTTGCTTTTGTTCGTTGTCGCTGGCAGGATCGACGTCTTCGTCTTCCGGCTCACCTTTGGCGAAAGGAATGTTGGGGTTGACCGGCGGCTTGTTCTTGATCTCATCAGGGAGGTCTTCCATCTTGATCGAAGATGGGATGAGAGACTCATCGTGGAAGATGATGTAAAGAAGGAAAGGGAACAGTACGATGCCAGTGACGACTACTGGTACGACCATGTTGGCCGTGTATTTGATGAACTTGATACCGAAAGCTCCTGCCAGAACCAGATTTGTAGGATTGGAAGATACCAAAATGGCAGAAGCGATATTAGCGCAGGCGAATTGGGTGTAGATCCAGGCGCGAGGGTGCTTGATATTGCTCGATACGCGCGTCATGTACGAAAGGAAGGCAGTACCAGACAAGATAATAGGGTCGTTTCCGATGAAGGCTGTAAGCGCGAAGAAGAAGACGTAGAGGTAGAAGTAAAGCCTGTGGCCGACTTTACCGCCCTTTTGTAGAACCTTAAAGGCCAGCCATCTGATTAGCCCCGAGGCATCGACCGAGATAGCGATGTATGCCAACGACAGGAAGAATAGCATAATGTCGTACGGTACAATACTGTTGGCACCGATAGTCCCACCATAGACTTCTTCTCTACCAATGGCGGTAATGGCAAGTAGGAACAGATCAGCTATGAGCGGTGATGTGACAAAGTTCATGGGGAAGTTGAACCGTACAAGTGCGCCAGGTCCGGCACGTCTTGAAAAGACGTCATTCTGTGGTGGTGATATGATGCGCAATGCGCTTAGGGTCTTAAGCCAACCGGTCCACAAGATCCGAGGGGCGTATAGTGGTATGTGAAAACTGAAGAGAACATTGATGTCTGGAGTGAATTTAGCAATGCAGATCATCGAAAGGCAGCTGTGCGACTAGCGACTTACTGGTGAGAACGAAGACGATGAGGGTTATGATTGACCGCCATTCTCTGATCTTGCCGGTGGAGATGTCGATACCTTCGAGAGAGCCCGAGCTGCTCGCTCGCTCGTAGAGCATGTTCGTGGCTACTGGGACCCTTGAGGGCCAGTCAACTTGCGTCTGCCGACGACCGGTTCGCTACTTCCTTCTTTTTCTTTCAAGTACTGATTTGGAGTTCGCAATCGTTTCAGCACTGAGTTCATGCTCTTTAACTTGGCGTAAGCTTGTGGTCGCACATCAACCTCAGTTTTGTAGGCACGCGACACGTAATAGGCCAGGAAGAGGGTCGGTCAACGTTACAAACTGCAGGGCTTCACAAAATTATAACGCGACGCAAGCCCGGCAATATCTAAAGGTCGCACGAAAGATTTGCTAAGATCTGCTGAGGGCGGTGTTTGCGCCGCGGGCGCAGGCCAAGATCTGACAAGAAAGAGCGGCCAGAGGAGGGTGCACGGGCCCACAGATGACAACTTAGGCCGCCTCTCACTCGCCAGCTTCAGTCAGGCGTCAAGACTCAGCCTCCCTCCCTGCAGTTATGGACGACGAAAGTTCTCACCGGCGACGATGATGCAAAATCAATTGGCGCGTTGCCTAGGAGCCTCATTCTACTCAACCCCCATATTATTCCCACGAGGCTCACTCCTTCCGTTTCTACGTCTTAGCGATGCGAATCTCTCTTGTAGTGGCATCCCAGCTTCCCTTTCTGGTAGCGTAGCGCGCCCGCAGTCATGCCGGCTACTCCAGCGCTGTACGGTGTTTTCTCTCGAAGCATCGCAAATGCTACATCAACAAGCTCAGTCGTCAACGGTACTAGGCAAACACTAGACGTCGTGTGTGCTTGGCCAGTCTCCTCACAATACGGCGCTGGATCGCGGTTCTTGTACGTTCAATAACGACCACCATCTCTTTGCCTATAGACAGCTCACGTGTGCCCCACAGATACTACGTCCTGGTAGCCACCTGCGTGTTTCTACGAAAACATGAATGGCTAAGAAATGCTTGTCTTGCGGCTGCATTGGTGGTGCCCTCGATTAGTGCGCTTCATGGCATCGTGCTCACGTCCTACCATGTGAATGGTCGGTTTGACTCCTACCCCAAGAGAACCTACTGGTTTTCACAACAACGCTAACAACATCATTTCTAGGCGCAGTGGATCTAGACATCTACGGAGCCTGGCAGATCTGCTCAATCGCTGTGATCGCAGTGCCATTCACACTTCGAAGATCACGAACGTACTTCTACGATGCTGGACGAAACATCATCTTTCTGTGGACCATGCTCTTGATCGCCGGCCTTATAGCTTTGTGCGTGGAGTTTTCAAGAGTAACAGTCACCGACTGCAGCCACAAGGCGGCTGATGTTCCGTTACTGACTGTAGCCAACTTCTCTTATGGAGACACGACGTGTGGTTTGACATGCTCGGAAGACGAAGGCCCCTTCTCACCTATGCGAGGGGGGGCTGCGAAGAATATCTATGTCATCCCAGTGCCTAGCAAATTGAGCTTCAACGCTGCTATGCTCATTGCTGCGGGTGTTTGCATCCCAGCCATCCTGAGTTTGATCTTCACTTGGGATAAGATTCTCGAGATCAACTGGAAGAACCGACGAGAACCTGAACAACCAGATGAACAAATCGAAGGTGTGAACATCACTCGCGGTGAGATCAAAGGTATCAACAACAAGGTCAGGCTTTTCTTGAGCGTGATCGAGATGCCATTGTTCGGTGGAGCAGTAGTCGCCATCCTCATTGGCGGTGAACTTAACTTCTTCAGTAAGCAACTGATGTATCAGACCGAACCCATGGCTTCGATTGGTTCGTATTTCTACTCCACATGCATTACTTCGACTGACCTTCATGACAGGGCAATGGTCGCCCATTGCAGGTACTGTGATGGCGGCACTAGGCTCCTTATACATCGTGTGGGCCACAGATGGGGACATCATCATCTATGACAAGCCGAAAGTTCCAAGATCAACGTCTTCGCAATCCGACCATAGTGGACGGCCCCCGCTTCCACGAGGGCGTTCTTCAACCGCTCAGTATTCGCCCACGAGGACAGAGCAGTTTTTGCGCCATTCGAGCGACCCAAATGCCCTTCAGACAATACCAACGATCACTGAGCCAGGTCGTGGATCCAGTCCGGACGAACATATCGAGCGTGTTCCCGTTCGCGCCGATACAGCCAAGTCCGAGTCCAACGCAGGGCGAGGTAAAGTACGAAAATGGTTTGAAAAAGCCGGCGTCTACATGAGTGACGCTGCACACCGAGAACTAGATGTCTCTGACTACCGCGACGAGAAGGCACGCAGATACCCCTGGATTCCAGGCGAGGAACTCAAGAACAAGGACATCCATCGTACGAGTACCAACTACGACAAGAACAGAGCAGCCAGTTACGCATCTAGCATCAGATCTGCGCGCGAAGCTGAAGGCCGTTCCACTCCACCAGCAGAGACATCGCCGCAACCAGACGCAAGTCCAGACGCCATCAGCGTAGCCCCACGACGTTGGTCCACGCTTGAGGTTCCACCTCTTGTACACCATAGCCCTAAAGTCCCACAACGTGAGTGGAGTGGAAGTGGTTAAAGAGTACATTTAACGTTTGTGGAAATTGTTACAGAACTGCATCAAATAGAGCTTCGGACCTCAACTTTACTGATGTTCACCTATCGTACAGGCGTGTTTCCAAGGTGCACGTGCACGTGCCGCTTGATATTGAAGTTCGACGAGCAACATCCACCATGACTCCTTTCACAACAACATACAACAACAAAATCTTGTCCATCATGGAGGCCAACACCATATCACAAATATCATGCGTATCCCTTGGCATGCTCATTATGGACGAGATCCGAATGCCCAACAAATCACCCCTCCTCAACGTCATCGGTGGCTCGTCTACATTCGTCACTTTAGGCCTACGTCTCTTCGCTGGCTGCCCATCATCAGTGGGCTGTCTCATCCTCGCGGGCTCAGACCTCCCTCCAGAGGTCGAGAACGAGGTGCGAAGCTGGGGTACAACACTCGTCCTGAAGAAGGATGCTACAAAGCCAAGCTCGAGAGGCTTGTTGGTGTATGAGGACGACACTTTCGGACCCAAGACCTTCGAGTACGTAACACCACCTATACGAGCAAGTCCGAAAGGCCTGGAAGGGACGCCGTTACTAAATGCGACGGCATTCCATTTCTTCGGCCGCCCGGAAGAAATCATAGAGCAGGTACCGCAGCTGCTCTACCTACGAGAGGAGCAGAGCCCCGAGCTGCCTCGACCGTTTATTGTCTGGGAACCACTCCCGTCATCATGCACGCCCACCGCTATCCCTGATTTCCATGCAGCCTGCAAACTTGTTGACGTCATCTCGCCAAACCATCTCGAGTTCGCAGCGCTATTCTTTTGGGATCGAGGACATCAGTCCGATGGCGCTGGCACATTAGAGCGCCTCAAAAACCTAGGCAAAGTGTTTGTCGACAGCGGTATCGGTCCAGATGGCACCGGGACGATGGTGATCCGCGCCGGTGCTGACGGCGCTTTGGCACTGCGTCGCAATGAGCCAGCTGTCCACGTTCCGGCGTACTATGAGCACGGCGACGAGAAGGTGGTTGATCCAACAGGCGCTGGGAATGCATTTCTGGGCGGATATATTGCGGGGTGGCTACGCGAGGGCGATGTCAGGGAGGCTCTGTGCTATGGTGCTGTGGCTGCGAGTCTTGCGCTGGAGCAGATTGGGTTGCCGAGGAGGGGGGATGTGAATGCGGGGTTGGGTGAGGAGAGGTTGGAGGAGTTTAGGGCGCGGATGGAGAATGCGGAATGGACAGATGATGCATAGCCTGTAGATGATGAGAGAGAGGATGAAGAGACAGATGGACATGATAGATGAAATACAAGACAGCCGGTGATAGACACATGAATCCAATAAATGAGAGAATAGTACATAGTACATGCCTAGTGTATAGAAGCCCTATGTATGTATCCGAATCCTTAACGCCATCGCTATGTCTGAGAAGATGAGGAGAGCCACTCCTCTGTAAAGAGACGAGAAGGACTGCTGGCTCCACATGTGCACGCTCTACGCAAAAAATCCCTTGACAGCACCGGCCACCCACACCAATGATCTTGCCAGAAGAAGGCTGGGACCTGCGTATCCAACTTTGTTCATCCCATGCAATCCACCCAGACTGCTGGGCCGCTCCATACCCATCATCTCAATACCCCCATCCACGCCTCCAACGCCCGGCACGCCCTCAACAGGCGCCATCCCCTTCCTGCTATTCAGAATTGCAAACCTGAGAATGACCTCGAGACACGTAACGCAAATGCTGACCACGATCAAGAAAATAATAATCCAGGTGATGCGGGTCATCTTCTTGTCGCTGATGCTGTCGGACAAGATCTCGCCGAGGTCGAGGAAGACCTGGCACCGCTCGTTGAGGACCTGGATGCGCGGTTTGATCTCGAGGTATTCGCGGACGGCGGTGTAGAGCGGGTGCAGCGTGGGCTCGGAGTCCCAGAAGAATGCTGGGTCGTCTAGGAGGTTGGATGCTGCGGAGAAAACGATTAGCAAGTACCAAGGTAAGAGGGGAGGGGAAGGCGTACAGAGATTGACGTCTACGCGGGAGGTGAAGAGTTGCCCGATCATCTTGACGACGTCTGTTCGCCGCATGCCCAAGTTGCCCGTGAGCGCGAGGCGCTTGGGCACGTATTGTGCTGCCAGCATCGTGCGGTTCATGCCCTCTTCGAACAGACTCAGTTTCGTGCTCTGCGCGATCGCATGGCTCATGGCGAGTTTGATCATATGATCCCCGCTCTTCAGCGTGATCATATCGTTGTACACTCGCGGCCGCGGTATCTCAGGGTTGTACTCGAAGTGGAACTCCTCTGTTTCGAAATCGCTTTCTGTGAGCGGCCGGGTTGCAATCTGGATGCCGGTGTGGTTGAAGCTGAAGGTCAGGTCGGCGAGGATGTCTTTTTCCTGCTTCTCGGTGAAGTTCCAGAACACGACGACGCCGTAGCTGAAGACGAACATCTCGCCGAAGCTAAGCGCGTTTGGTGGGACGCGTGTGGGCTGCGAATCTGAGTCGCGGCGCTCGCGGTTGCTGTTGGTGTGGGAGAGGAAGTTGGGGGACTCATCGGAGGCTTGGTCGTCGTCGCGCACGTAGTACGTTTCTTCGTCGCCGAAGTAGCCTTCGTGGTGGTGCCGGGCTTCGTTGCGCTCAATCTCCTCGTCGAGGACAGTCTTTCCGCCGGGCGACTTGAGGGCGGGACTGCTGCGCACGCGGTAGCCTTCGCTAGCAGGGAGGAGCGGGAGGTGATAGACGCAGTACAGGCAGTCGTCGTAGAGCTTTGTGCGGGCATTGTGCGTGTCCTTGACGAAGGCGGAGGTGCTCTTCATTTTGTAGGCCTGGGCGGTGCAGTAGGCCGTGACGCGAGAGAGCTTGTCTGTTCGGCGGGCTTTGGGCAGCCGCTCTGCATAGCTCTTGTCTGTAGGGCCTACCTTGCGGCGGCCGAGCTGGACATCGGTGGGCGGTCCAGCGCCGTCGTCCTCGTCGAATTCGCCCTTCTCGTCTTCTTCGGCCTCGTCGGTCTCTGGCAGCAATACGAGCTTCTCGCTGAGCTTGCTGGAGCGCGTCGGCATGTGCGCGGGAATCAGGCGTCCGGACAGCTTGGGGTCGAGCGGATGGCGGCCGCTGGGGGTGCGATTGTGGTTGGCAGGGCGTGGAAGAGGAGGGCCACGACGCTGCTGCGAAGGGATGTCTGAGGCATACTGCAGTATATTATCCACACTGATGAGCCTTGCGCCCGTCGCTTGTCGTTGAAGAGCAGAAGATGGCCGCTGCTGCTGTCGAGGAGGCGAGTCTCGCGAGTCGGTCATGAGCACCGTAGGCCCGCGCTTGCTCTTAGCAGTAGGTGCGCTCATCGTGGGCGGTCGTCGATAATTGGCGTGCAGTCGTCGTCGTCGTCGTCGTCGTCGTCGTTGAGCTGCAGTTCGACATGTAAAGTTCGGCCGCGGCACGTCATTACCAAGTGCATGGGCCCCCTCCTCCACTTCATGCAGCCCTGCTTGAGCTCCACACGTCAACGGCTCGCCACGCGATTGCATGTCCAGATCACTCAGTTGGCTCAAATGTGGCTATAGGCAAGTGGATAGCATCGAAGACTATTGCATTGATACGCTCTGCGCAGACTGTCTAGTGACCGACCTGAACGCCATGCTCAGGACGAACGGCCTTGCCGAGACCAGAAACCCAATCCAACTAGACAAAAGAAACAGCTTCGTCCCAGCAGGGACTCAAGACTCTTCGCTCATAAACCCTCCCCTCCTCTTTTGGTGGCCCGCTGAACCGATTAGAAAGTAGTACGCCAGGTATTAAGAAAGATGCATTAAACATTGCGTGGAAAACGACTGTGCTCATAGCCGCTTCCCAGGGACGAAGATAAACAGACAGCACACTGCCGTCAATACGATGATGAACAGCACCAGCACCGTGATGGCTCGCCGAGTGAGCGTCTTCTGCACAAACGTTTCCCTAATCTTGTTGAAGTCGAAGAGCGTGTACTCGCTGTACCCGGCCAGTGCGATGAGTGGGTCGAGCATGTACTGGTGTGTGATGATGAGATAGATGGCGATGAAGAAAGGAAGGATGAGCTGTGACATGTTAGCTGTTGCACCAGTTTTCCACAGCGTGCAATGAAACGTACCCAACACCTCGTTGCTCGTGACATGTCAAGGAAGATGAGGACGAACGCCGTCCACACGGCAGCAAAGAAGCTGACTAGCCCTACTATGAGCCGAATCATCATGCTCTGCGGCACCAGGTTTCCGAGACCCTTGTTCTGCAGAAATCCAGGATACGCATCTCGCTCCATGGCTTGGAAGACGTAGTCCTTAGCTTGGTCAAACAGCTCCGGGTCTGATCGCTGATCTGGTCCTTCGATCGCGTTCTGCACGTCGTTGAGGATGCTCTGCGGGATGATAATCTCCCTCTCGGACCCGGGCAGTAGGTATGTGTAGAGGATCTTTTCAGCTGATGCACGCAGGTCCTCCCTGCGTGGCTGCGTGTTGTCTTGGGAAGACATCTGCCCTGGCGAGCTGGAGTCTCCTGGTGTCATCGCAAAACTACGATGCGGCGGGTCATGGCTGTGGTTGCTTCCCTGGCTGTTCTGGGGCGAGTGGTTTCTACTCGGTCGGTCCGACCTAAGGAACGCGGAGAGGCGCTGGTCGTCCATGTCCTTCTCGTTCGAGGGTCCTTCTCCAGCGTCATCGAAGGTTTGCATGTAAGACGAGCGCTTAGACGCCTTCTCAAGCTCCGGTGTGTCTTCAACCAAGCTCCTATGTAGGCGTCTGACATACAGACGGCATAGCTGAAGGTGTTGGGAGACATCGAGCCTGGTGTTTGTTAGCGACCGCCTCTTCTCTCGTATTGTGTTCCTACCAGAAGTCCAGATAATCGACCGAGCGCTGCTGGTCGCGCATGTAGATGTAGAAGGAGAAAAGATCGAGCGGTGCAACCGTCTTGCGGCTCAACACTTCGAACAAGGTCGGGAAGCGTTTTCGGTGGACATCCTGCCCATGGTCGACAGGTCGTGTGAGCTCGTCAGACATGGCTGCGACGTTTTCGAGAAGTTACGGTAGCGAAAGGCGCGCGATCGTGTCGCAGGAGGTCGAAGAATAGAGGGTATCGATAGACGCGGCGTTGGGCGGAGAAGGGCGTGGAGCCCGCAGCAACTGCGTGCGGACAGCGGTGGGTGAGCGAGTGGCGAGACAGCGAAAGGCCGAGAGGGGATTTGTTCAGGTGTTGAGCGAGCGGCGTGGGGTGGTTGGCGTGTTTGCGCGCCCCAATCGACGTGGGAATCGATGGTGAAGCCGGGAAATTAGACCAGACGTTGCGCAGTGACTTGGCGCAACGACAGGGATGCGTCGATGTCAGCCACCCGTCGATCGTTCCACCGGAGGGAGAGCCACAGCGTGACGCGATAGGAGAATCTCATAGACGCGAGTGCAACTAGTGGAATGGACGTTCGCGCGACAGTCGTGCGCTTGACTCGTGGGTAAAGCTGTCAAGTGATGATGTAAAGTGGACGTTCTGTGGAAGAAGAAGTGGAGAGCCTGAAACACAGACAATGCAAGGGAAGACAGAACTTTGTTCCTGCAGTAGCTCCTACCGCTTTATCAACGCTCTACACCACCACTGCAAGAATCCTACGGTAGGGATGCAATCGTATGAGTGCAGGCTGCTTTCTCACCCCGCCTGGACGCCTCCAAATATGCGTAGTCAACATGGAGTTACACCAGTGGCTCCAACTTCTCACTTAGTGCTCAGCCCTACTCAGGCAGCAGCTTTCACAGCCCAGTGGCTCAAACATATAAGGCGCTGAAAGGATGTAATCTGCCGAATGCATGTTGCGTGTTGGCACAACTTGTTTGGTCTTCCAACCCAGACATTGTTTTATTGGTCGTCCTATTTGTAGACTAAGAGCCGCAGCCATGGCTCCATCAATCCTACCCGAGGGCTTTCTTTCAGGCCCAGCGCCCAACCTGACCCGTACAGACATCGACCTGAAGAAAAGCGGCATCCTCACTGCGTACGAAAACCTCTGGGCTGTGGTCCTCGACGGGGTACTGTCAGAAGAAGAGTGTGATGTGCTCATTGCTGCAGCCGAGTCAACGACCGATGGCAAGTGGGAGCGTGCGCTAGTCAACATTGGAGGTGGTATGCAGGCCATGTACGAAGACACAAGGAAATGCGGACGCATCATATGGGACGACCGAGATGTAGTGGCGCAGCTTTGGGCAAGGATCGAGGGTGCAGTGCCCGAGATTCATGAGCTGAAGAACTGGCCGAGTGTCACAGGCAATGGGCCTGCAAAGAGGAATGAGTCGTGGAAGCTGACAAGGCTGAATGAGCGTATGAGGTTTTTGAAGTACGTGGGCGGAGAGTACTTTAAAGGTGGGCATCCTGTCTGTTACAGTTGTGTGGATGCTGACATTCGCAGCGCACTGTGACGGTACGTACGAGACGCCAGATGGCAAGGAGCGGTCGTACTTCACGCTACATCTGTATCTCAGCGACACAGACGACAGCAGAGGCCAGGAGCCGCTCAAAGGTGGCGCCACCACATTCCACTCGTATGATATGCAGAAGCGTGTCGATGTCCTACCCAAGTATGGCCGCGTGCTCTTGTTCCAGCACCGCTTCCTCCTCCACTCCGGCGACGACGTTATCAACGGGACGAAGTACACCATGCGAACGGATATAATGTTCGCAAAGGAAGCGGCGGAGGAAGCGGACTTTAAGCACCACCGTGACGACTTGTGAGACACAGAGTCGAAGGCCTGTCGTAAGACTTCATTTAGGCACTGGGCATAAGGCAATGGAGTATGTGTCTTTCGTTAGTAGTATCCCGGGAACAGCGGGAGGGGGGGGGGGGACGCAGTGCGCACTTACGTATGGAAAAAGAAAGTGAACGGCCTGCCTCGCCAGAGTAATCAGAATCGAATGATACTCTCCCTCTTTCGCCGAAGCTACTCGAAGTCAAGCACGCTGCGTATTGTACTACAGTGTCACTCCATTACAGAGCACACAATCTTCGCACCGACTCCCATAGGGACACCATATCCACCACACACAGTTTCCCATGCACAGCTTCTTGGGCCCTGAGCTTTCTGATGCCGAGTACAGACGTGAGTCACGCCAGGCCCTTACGGGCAGTAGTGCCGAAGCACAAAAGGTGAAGATTACTCCGAATTTCTCATCTGCAGGGTAGGACGACTGCAAGCAGTGTCTGTGTGGGTGCAGAGAAACGCAGCGTTGGTGAGGCAGGCCGTTGAGGGAAGAAAAGTTGGGCGGGGCGCCGTGGGGTTTTGTAGCTGCTGCCAGCCTCGCCGGAGGAGTCGGGCCGCGCTCGTGAGTCTACAACTACGACTTACCCAGACTACGAACGTCGACACACATCGTTTGAAGTCAATCTTGTTTGAACACCGTATTCAAGTGTTGATCAGCGGCCATTCTGCGAACTGATTTTCAAGGACAGTCATTCAAAATCTGAGCATGTACCAGGCTTTGTGCAGACGAACTTGCACTTTTGCGTGCTTTACTGACTTTAGAGACACCACACTCTTCGCTATGCCGCCAGAGCTTCGCACTCCTGCTAACGTTTCCTTGCCTACGAGGCCTTTCATCAGTAACATCAAGCACGCTTTTCCGTTACAGAAGCCACTTCCGACACGGTATCTTTTCATCTACAACATTCCCTACTATCCACTCCACTTACAACTCCCATCCAGTTTACTTTCAATCTCCAATATGAGTCTTCGCCACATCATCAATACCTTGGTCGACAAGTTTACCGGTCTGCCCTCCAAAAACACCTTTTGGAAGGATCACGTCCTGCCTGCCAAAGAGGATGCCCAGTTCAACAACAACAAGGACGTTCAGTGTTGGGCGAGTACACTGACGAGCATCCTGGCGTCAAGATGTCGTCCTGTGGCCATGTCTTCGGTTGTGACTGCCTACGCGAGACAGTCAACGGCCCTACCGGTGACTTGTGCCCCTACTGTAGGGTCAAGCTGTTCCGGCGAGACCTTACCACCGAGGTCATTCTTTTGCCACTCCTCACCATGTTTGTGGAGGCCATCATAGCCTATTGAGGATCTGTTAAGCAAGTGAACATGACCCTGCACCGTACATTTCAAACGCAGCATCCATGGCTGTAGCTACCTATCAAGCTTATTCTCGACGGGCCAAAACCCTGGGCTGAGGCCTTCGTGCGCTACTGTACTGATATATGCTTTCGCGACCCCAGGATTATTGTAGACGAACTCTTCGTGAGCTCGATTGTGATGACGCAGTTGCTCTACGTTGGTCTTTGGTTTGCTTTACCCTGCATCTAACGTGACTCTGGTTTGATTCGCGGCTAAATGGTATGTTGGATGTCAGCATCTGGATCTCGCACGGTGGTATATTGTACCGCAGTTCTGCCCTCTGGATCGCGGCGCCAACGTTGCCAACGCAGCAGTTTTCGTCAATTTTACGTTTGCAGCCTTGATGTTGGTCATCATCCTTTTCATCATTATCGCGAGATTCCTGATAGCTGGAAGCCTTTGGCGTGACTGGTCTGGTTTCTGGACGGTGTGGATATGGCAATTTATTATCGGCCTTTGCTTTCATCGCAATAGTGCAACAGTACTGGTTGAATCCTTCGTCTCTGAATCGCGATCTAACTTTTCTTGATTATACTTTTCTTTGCTCGTGGAGTGTAGCAGCTCTTCTCAAAGTGTTCCTTCATACCTCTCTTTGGCTGATGGCCTTCACTGCTCTATGGTGTGGAAGTTTTGACATTTCGGGTTCAGCCGCTTCGCGCGATGCTCTCTTTTCTCTCGAAAAAACTAAAGAATGAGCTTTGTACCTCATCAAATTCGTTTCCTATGTCCATAATATGTATGCCGAGACAATACCTCGATCTCGCTTTTTCGTACATAGCCTATCAATTGTTCTGGAGTATCAGGTATGGATAGGAGGTTCTCAACACTATCTTGTCATGGATTGTTTCAAAACTATTATTGCCATTCATACGCACTGTTTGCTCTATTACTGGTCGCATCTCTTGGTGTACCAGATTGAGCCTATGGCAGAGCTTTCATGAATGTGCCCATAATTCTAGCGTCTATGCACAAACCCAGCAAGTTCTCAAGCACCATGCGCCAGAAGACAGGCATCAATCTCAATTCCCACGTCCTCATTATAGCTAGATCTTCACCAACGAATGCATCGAAGAGTTGGCGCTGTGCGAAGAACAGTTGCCGAGCGAAAGTAGCTGGGATATCATCTAGAAGATACTGGATGAGATCGGTATCCGCCATAAACGTGATCAGAAACGTCAGAGTAGCCACAAGGTGCGACTCCAACGGATCGGGCGTGTGATTCATGAGGATATGTAATGGTTGAAGAGGGAGGCGCGCTTGAGTCAAAATCTTCTGCATGACGAGCGAATTGACAACATCTGTCAGTATGGGAACAACGCGCATGTTAGCGAAAATGGCTAGGTCGAACAACTATGTGAAGGACATTGCCACATCATCTTCCCGATCTAGAATGGAGTCCTGTTTCTCTTTGTTCAGAACAAGCTTCAGTGGCTGTGTGCTCGCTTTAGCGTAGAAGATATACCCTTTATGAGGTGTCACCTTCACATTTTCCTGCAGACGGCCGGTATACATGAAGGTGTAAAAGAACTGGAAAGTGTCTAGGTCATCTTCGTCAAGACTTACGAGCAGGTCTTGAGCTTCGGTCCACTGCTGATTGCCGAGTGCGCGGTTGAAGTATTCAGAGAAGTGCATCAAAAGACCTATGGAACTTAAAAGTGCGGGAGTTCTCAGAATTCCCTACTACAACCTGTACGATGACAACGTAGGCGGCGGCAGGTGGCAGTGCACGGTTGCTCAGAAAGCTCGGCTTTTTATGTGGGTACGTTTCAATGGCGTCCGGCTTGGGGTTGTCTGACTACGACAAGGTATTTTGTGATGCGCTCATGGTTGGAGTCGTCTAATAGTGGCCTGTTGAATATAGAATTAGTGGTGGGAAATGTGTTGCCGGAGGTAGGAAGCTTTGGAAAGAGAATCATATAAGCTGATGTCTATGCGACAGACAGTCTCTCACTGCCACCGGTGACTTGCAAAGGGTGGAAGGCATGGCTTGTGTCGCAGCACAAGGCAGCGAATGTCTTGACTGAATCGCCACTGTACCGCCAGACTAAAGGCGAACACAGATCTAAAGATTGTCTGTTTCCGAATCAACATACGTGTCGCAGTTGATCGTTACTTCTTCATTGGTTAATATTTGTGGCTTCAGTCCAGTGCCTTCTTGCTTTTCTTGCTTTTCTTGGGTTTGGAAGTCGAGCCGGACACATGGCAAGCACATACCATATCAGGGACTGTCATCCAAGCAATAATGGTTACTTCGTATTGTAGGCTATTTGCATGTTATTTGTATCTCACTCTTCTGGCGGGTAGACGACAATGCGATCGATATCAGCACCCTTGTAGGTCTGGTTATTAAACAACCCTCCAATCTCGATGGTGTTGTTCCTGCCCTTGTCAAGGTGCAACTGCAGCGGTGTGCTCAGGATAATGCCCTTGTGTGTATCCCTCTGATACAAGCTCTCGATCTGCTCGATCTTGCCGTTCACAATGACACTTGCGATACGGCGCAGCTGCCATGTACCACCAATACGGTCGGGACTACCTCCAGGCTGGTCACCGAAGCCCATGTCGTCGGTATTCTGGTAGTAGAAGGACACCCATTGGGGCTTGCCCTGACCTTCGATGCCAGAGAAGGTGACCTTGCTGTCGTTGCCGACGATGCCGGTGAGGATGATTTCGTGGCTGCCGAAAGCGGCCTCTTGCTTGAAGGCGCCGCCGGTTACGGTGGCGTCTTTGCCGTAGTAGGTCTTGCCCTTGATGGCCTTGACTTCACCAGTCTTGACGTTCAGGTCGTAGATATCGTGCCACTTGACCTCGAGTGACTTCTTGGCCTCATCGATCTCGATGGGGAGCCAGATGTAGCGCGACTCCCAGAGGCTGATCGAGTCCCACTGGTCACCAAGGTAGAGGTAGGTAGTCTTTTTTGTGCCGTTGATGCGAAGGGAGAAACCAGACTGCGAGTTGTAGGTGCGGGTATTGAGAGGAGCAACGATGAATGGCTGCGACCAAGGTCCCTCAAGCTTGTCGGCACGGAACGCGACGACATTATTGGGCCTGTAACCAGTCTTGTGGCTCATCAACGCAAAGTAGCTCTTGTCGGTCTGGATGATAGTGGGTGCCTCAAGGTCGTATTTGTCCCATCGGTGAACGACCTTATCAAGAGCAGTGATGTTATCGTTGTAGGATGTGAGGTATACATCGCGTGCATCACGACGGTCGCCGTTAGAGTACAGAGCGTAGGCCCTGCCGTCCTTTCGATCGACAAAGAGACCGTAGTCCTGAGACCAGTTGCCGAGCGGGAGCGTGGCATCGACGAACGAGTATGGTCCGGTGATGTTGTCGGCTTGAGCAAAGCCTTGAAGAAGCCAGCCGTAAGTGGAGTTATCGGCGTGCCAAAACATGTGGTATTTCCCAGTTTGCTCTGAGAAAGTAACTTTAGGCCTCTGGATGATGTGCTCGGTTGAGATGTAAGGGTGGCCCTCAATTGGTGCTGCCGGACATGTCAGTCAGCCGTCAAAACCTGTGAGGTCAAACCAACTTACACAAAGCCATGCCCTCTGGCGTCCATGTTGCCAAATCGTCCGAGCTGTACACGCTAACACCTCCACCCTCAACTTGACCCTCGATCTTGTACTCTCCGAACAAGAAGAACTTGCCCGTCTCCTTATCAACTGTCACAGCACCAGCGTGAGCGTTGACGAGAGTACCATCAGTAGCCCTCCATCGTGCACCAGGAACGATCCATTTGGCAGAAACGGACGCGGCAGCCAGCAGCAGCTGGCAAGAGACTGTACCGAAACCCATGATGGCTCACAAAGATCTCAAAGTGAGGTACCAAACATTCCCACAACCCGGAAACATTATTATATATCATCTGCAAAGTTCCAGGATGTTTACAGGCTGTTTACCCACAGCCAAGGCCAATCCGGGGCATTGCTCGCCGAACCGCCAGGCACAGCCAGGGCTGATCTGGGATGCGGGGCTCCGCACGCTCATTACGGGTAAGATCAGCACATTATTCCGGGGGTTTTGACGATGTTGTTCCCTCTTTGCGGTGCATTCGCTTCGCCCTCACGGAGAAACCAAGACCTTCATCGGTGAGGAGATGCGCGATCACGCACCCATTTGCGCGAGTGCTACTTCATTAAGAAGGTGATCCGGACCATGCCGAGAGGATTGGGTGACGTGACGATGGACCAAGGATGGCTGAGGATCTGTGCGATGGATGAAAGGAAGGCTTGTACTGTAAAGTTTTGGAGGTTGGAGCTCGCTCAGGATGGCAACGGTGACGACACCACCACCGAGCTCTTCTTCGAGCGCGTTGCGTCCCCAACCTCGCACAATGCATCCTCGTCTGGACACCAAACATCGCTGAAATCCATCCTCTCGCCGAAATGATCCCGTTGATGCGATCAAAGGCTAAGAAGTACTAACATGGTAAATTTGTGGCCATTAAAGAGCGTGGCCAACGATCTCTACACCAGGCGGATCTTTCATCTTCTGAAGCCGAATGAGTTAACTTCGCTATTCTCTTGAGAGTCCCTGTCAGCATATACACTCTCCTGGCTCTCTCTCAACCCTTGCAACAGATACAGGTGACCGTATTCAATATAGAAATGTCCTACTCTTCACACTTCACTTCACGTGTGTTGTCGCGGTCCTCTTATGCTGTAGACTTGGCTCGATGTACGATCAAACACTCGACATACCACCTACCTTTGTATATCGCCTCCTGTGCCCGTATAGGAATACATTGTACTGAGCGTGTTCCCGGCCTGGGAGGAGAGCGGTCAAGGTGTGCTGTCACCAACGCTTGAGAGGAGGCTGAAGGCAACAGAAGGCGATACCACCGGAAGTCACTGGGGTCAATATACTCGTCTTTACTAAGAAACACTGTGATACCGACGCAGACAGTCATAGAAATGGATTGAGTTGCTGTTAAGCAGTCAACATCCGCTAAGATGCTGTCGAGTTCTGTGGTAGGTACGGAAGATGCTGGAGCACTGTTTGCAACGGAGCCGCTGCTGTAAGCGACTCCCTGATTGCAGCTGGACCACGACCATAAAGGCACAGTTATCAAGCCGTCACAGATCCTATCGTCATTGCTGACATCTCTGCACCTTGGGGCATACCAAACGAGGTCGTGACGGAGATTAAAACGCCAGAGTCCATAAAAATATCTCGCCATAAAATCACTACCGCTAGGCAGTTTGACTGAGTGTTGAGAAGCTGCCAAGCGTCAGGCAATGCCTTCAATGGTCACAAGTCTATCCTTTTTGGGGTATCTGAGATTTAGTTCTGAAAATTGGCACACCAATTTGTGCCACACTATAGGGTTTCCCTGGAGAGATGCGAGGGACGAATGAAAGAGACCGTCCTTCTCGCCCTCGAATCCAGGTATACTACCTTAAAAGCTTTCAGATGCGCGCAGCTCCTCACGTTCCCAAAAACTTGGCTTTGCCCGAAATGGAGTTTCGAGTGAGGTATCAGAGGATTGGGGTGGGGTAGTTGCCTAGTGAAACACCGTGACAACTAAATAGCAACGAGTAGTACAGAGTAGACTGTGTAGTTTGAAAGCTGGGTTGAGATATCAATAACAAAGTTGATTGACAAGGTTGAACACGATGCCATAAGGGCAGTGCTCCTACTTGCTATATACTTGAATGAATGTGTTTGTTGTGCATGATGCTCTGTTGCTCTCTCTGATCCCTAGAGATCAAGAGAGCGGGAGATCAAATGTTGTGCGCTCTCTCTGCTTACTTGTTTAGGGAGAGCAACTCTGGTTGTCCCAAAGTCATAGTGGGGCTAGGCTGCAGCGGATCGTAACTGATGAGAGAGGAGATTCCTTCATCTCTGGAAGCGGCGCATCCCGCACCAGAGTCCTGCTTGGCGTCCTGCGTAGTAGCATTCTCCTCGCGTTCAGGCTCGAGATGTGCTGATGTGACTGGCTGATTATCACTGCCGTTGTGCACGCAGCAGTGCAGTGTGGGCGTGGCCAGTGGCTCTGTTACATCGGTGCAAGATAAGGAAACCTTCTGAAAAGCAGGAGTCCTGTGGTGATCTGTGATAACGGCATGGCTTTCTAGCATGGAGGTAGCACAATATAGTGCAAGGCCAGCGGCCGTCAGACCTAACTTGAAGGACCGGAAAGAGCCCATGGAAGTCGCAGCCGTCTGGCTCGATGTGTCCGTGCCGGAGATGGAGAACGGCCAGATGTCTGTTCTACAAGCTCTTGAAGTTATTGAAGGTACCCATATTGACGTCGCCTCTGGCGCTGGTTGGTTGGTATTGCAGTAAATGCAATAAGTGAAGGTGTAACCGCGCAGGGCAGTAAGTCAGGGGTAACCGCGCGAAGCAGTAAAATCAGTATATTCTGTTGCGTTGTTGTTCAGTGTTCTGTCTCTCACTCGACCCCCAGCGGGGTCTGTTTACATGACGTATCTGTCGTTCAGACAGAAAGTGCTATTGGAACAGGCAAGAGCACTGCACCAGCACACGTGGCAGACATGACCGCTTTACTCCATAAACCGTCACAGTTGGTGTATGGGAGGGAAGGTGCAGGAGCGGTGTAGGGAAGGCGAGCTGCAGAGGGGAGCAAGCGTGGTAGAGGTGGACCGTTTGCTTTGTGAGACTAGTCATGCTTGACGCGCTGCGATTGGAACCGTTGCTTTCACTGTTGATTTACTAGTGTATTGTTGTGGCTTCCAGCAGCAGCTTGGCCGTTGGTGCGTATTGAGATATGTTGTAGTTGATGTATTTTTGTTGATTGGCGACACCCAGCGCTGTACAAGTCGGGCTGCTTTCTGAACACGATGTTTCTGTGGCAATTAGCGTTATCATCGTAGTAATGTGAGAACGATGATTGAAAGTGGTCTGGGTCCTTGTCTTTATTGGTAAACTGAGGCATCTGAGGAGCATGTGTGAAGTGAATTGATTGAAGTATCGAACAGAAGCTGCGAATAAGTACTATATAAACCCAGCCACCTGTAGTCACATGACCAGATTCCAACATTTATGATCCTGTTCTAGCGTTGACTATATCAACGAGTGCGCTCATGATCAACGAAAAGAAGGATGCATGAAACATGTTGCCAACGCCTAGTGGTTTCAGCGTAGTGAACAGATAACGATATGCTCCAAAGATGCGACGCATTGGCACCAGTGCCAAATTGAGGTGGTGATAGAATGGAGTTGTGTCGCGTCGCGTTCCGCCCCAAACCTCGGCCACACAACGCTTAGTCAAAACTATCATGTGACTATGTCTTAGGAACGTCTCAATTCATCGTGCTCATTAGGGTATCATTGCCTATTATCGTCCCTTTCACAGAAATCAAGAGCATTCATGCTGTCGACTACAGGGCACTAGGCGCACCACTCCCTGCGCCAGAGCTCTCGCCGGCAGTATCCCTCCCCTGCAGTCTCCTCTGCCTATGTTCCTCTTCCAACAGACTCTGCTTCTTGATGTACTCCATAACAATCTCATCCTCGCTCTTCTCCTTGCTCGCATTTGCCTGCCTCTCCCTCTCCGCCTTCTCACTCTCCTCTAGCGCCTTCCTCAACTCTTCATCCTCTGCATTAGCATCAACCGGACCACTTGTGGCAGCCGCAACACCGCTCTTCTGCCCACCAGTAGCCTTCTGGTAGTCCTGAGGATAATGCTGCTGAAGATGAGCAAGGTCCTTGCTCTCAGCCATAATGCGCTGGAAATCTGCATCATCTTCCGTATCACTACTATCCCACTCCGAATCACTTCCATGCTGTCTGCGTCTACTCGTATCAAGAAGGCTCTTGCGCAATGTCTCCTCCAGTAACCTCTGCTCCTCCTCTGTCGCGCCGCTACGACCAGCTTCTTCAATGCTAGCCTGCATTGCGCGCTTGAGCGCCTCTTCCTCGTCCTGCTGAGTAGCATCAGCTGGCGCGCGCTCCAGCTCGGCAACGGAAGCGCGGATAGCGCGTGCCATGAGCTGGTCTTCCTCTGCGTTGCCGTGGGAGTTTTCGGCAACGGAGGCGGCGATGGCGGCTTCGAGTTCGCGGTGCTCGGCTTCTTCTTCGGCGATGAGTTGGGCTTCGAGGTCTATGGCCGATTGCTGGGATTGCTGGGACTGTGCGGTTGTTACTCGGGACATGCGTTCTTGTTCTTGGATCTTCCAGGCGGGAAGGGCGCTAGAGTTTGATCGAGAAGCAGGCTCGGTGCTGGCTTGGCTGTAGCTACTGTGGTTGCTCATGGCGGGTGGGAGTGTTGGACGGGCTTCCGGCTTCTTGAAGTGCGGATTGACCCTGTTCAACCGATCTTCCTTCCTCTTCCTCTTATCGGATACGAGTGAGTGCAGTGAGTCCATTGTTTCCCCTCCTGGGTTCTTCTTCCTCTTCATGTTGACTTTGACGATCTTCCACTTGCTGACAATGTCCGCTCTCTCTTGAGCGGAGATTGTGATGGACTCGTCGTAGCCCTGTGAGATGCGTGCAGCGATGATGTAGTCCTGCATGCCGCTACCCTTGCTCTTGATCATTTCTTGGTACAGACCCTTCATAGCGTAGCCTGGAACAGCCCAAGCGCCGCCCATGACACGGAACGGTACACTGAAGATACCGCGGCCTACGCCTTTGACGAAGCCGACGCTACCTTCCTTCTTAGCGCCCTTGTAGGGGTCGGTGACGATACCAGTGATGCCATCGTAAAGGCCGAATCCGAATTGCTGCGGTGCTATTAGCAAATGCGAGATGAGCCTGTCAATGTAGTACTTCCCTTGGCCGCTGTTGTAAGTCCACTCTTGAAGTCAGTCACATTGTCAACCTTCCTGACCTCGCCACCGTACAGCTTAGGTACGTTGTGGAAGCCTTTTGCGACATTGAGTGAGAAGTCCATAGGAGACTTGAAGCCCGCGCCAACGATACGTGCAAGGCCTTTGCCAGTGTCAACGGCAGAGTCGACCTGCATGTTTTTCAGGTTCTCTGTGAACTTCGATGACGAACCAGTCTCCGAACGAGACACACCTGAGCTGGAAGCAGAGTTCTTCCGCTTAGGCCCACAGGCATCTGGGGACAGAAGCCGACCACGTTCACGAGACGGAGATCGTGAACCCTGCGCAGAAGCCGAGAACGCCTCGGCCATGAACGTAGACCTGTGTGACGGGGATCCAGGCGCGCCTGGACTTGTCACAACACCAGACATGGCTGGTTTACTGTCACCAGGTCCAGGAGACAAGATCGCGGGCAGGGTGCTTTCGCCACTCATCAATGAGTCTGCGCCTGTGGCCGTTCTCGGAGTCGTTGGGCGGCCAGCGCGGCTTGACTCTCCTGTGGTTGACGTATCTTCAGATCCCTGTGCTTTCTCCTTGCCTTTCTTGGATGCCGCCCTTGTATCAGGGTGGATGTTAAGCAGCTTCAAAGTCTGGATAGGCATATCCGCAACGCCCATCATCATGGATGTCGCCGTCCCGGTCAGCGCGCTTGCTGCTCCAGAGATCGGATCCCAGGGGCCTTCATCTATATGATACTCGCGGGCACGGGCTCTGCATAATGTTATCAATACCGTACATGGTCGTGATATCCTCAGTCCACTTACAGCTTCAGCTCTTTAAAATCAATTTCGCCCTCTTGAGCAAGCACAGTTGCGGCCTTAGCACTGAGCTTGACCTGTGTTCGCTTCACTCGCCAGACAGCCGGCCGATTGGGAATCACACCACATCGCAGATCGTCGTAGTTTAGCATCTGATGGAAGGACTGCGCTCCGCTTTGACTTCCGTTCTCTTGCTTGATCTTGTTGCAAAGCTCCTGCGCTCGCTCCAGCGACTGAGGCTCTAGCGCTTTGTTGATCGATTCAGCCAACTTCTCAGCCGTCAAGTCTTTGTATGGAACGGGATCGGGACCTGCGCCAGCCCTGGCTACCATGGCACCCCAGAAAGGCTGGTCGCCGAAGAAGGGAACGACGACTGTTGGTCTTCCCGCAGCAATACCGGCGGCTGTTGTACCAGCACCACCATGATGTACGACAGCTGAGACACGCTGAAACAACCAGTCGTGAGGGCAGTTCCCAAGCATGAACACGCTTTCGGGTATTTCAAGCTCGTCTGCTCCGAGGCCACCCCAACCCTTCGACACCAGCGCTCGTCGCCCAGTGATCTTAATTGCGTCCATGATCATCTTAGTCATGGCATTTGGGTCATCGACAACGATCGAACCGAAGCCAATGTAGACAGGCGGCTCTCCTGCGTCGAGGAAAGCTGCGAGGGCGGGTTCAGGTGTGTAGTTCTGTGCCAAGTCGAGGAAGTAGAAACCTGCGATGGAGATGTGGTGAGACCAGTCGGTTGGTTTTGGGATCAAAGCAGGGGACCAGCAGTATGTGAACGGAACCTTCATCCGAGCCAACATGGCTGGTGCCCATATCATGCTGATGGGGTCTAATGACAGACTCTCCTTACGAAATCTGTTAATGATATCTCCCAGTCCTTGCCATGTCAGCAAGTCAACCATAATATATGACATATAGTTTGTGATTGTAGGATCGGCGTTTGACGATTGGATGTTTGCAAGTGGGTGAGGGAACTGTTGTGTAGGCGACCACGGCATGCTGTTCTTGCGTTAGCTGTTGCTGCCTGCTTCCAAGTCGTAGTACTTACGTGAACATCATATGTAGTGGTATACCCAGCTTCTCTGCACAATGAACATGACCAAAAGCCGGAGGATTTGCAATGATAGCATCAGCCACAAACGGCTTCTTGAGCTGCTCAGGCAGATGCTCCTCCATGTCCATCCACTCTTCCACGGTCTGCTTGAGCGGATCTATCCCCAGGCCATTGCCGGTCTCTATACACGATCTCCACGTCCCGCGCAAGATCTCTGCAATACCCTTCCTTCGCTTGCCCACATCACCACTCCAGAGAGTGTTCATGCCAGGCATCAGCCCAGGATTCTTGACCATGAAGGCCATGAGTTCGGCAGGATCACCGCCGATGCTGAAGAACTCCAAGCCATTCTCAACGACAAAGTCCTTAAACGTTGGGTGTGTGGCTAGTCGTACTCGGTGACCATATGTGCCCTTCAGCACCTTGCCCAACGCAACGAATGGTTGCACATCGCCTCTCGAACCCACAACTTGTATGACAATGTTTAGAGGTGGAGGTGGGCTCTGTCCCGGAGCGCCACCAAGGGACTCTGGAACATACGGTGGAGGCGGTTCTGGGTCTTCTTGAACTTGGGTGAGCTGGCGTTGGATTTGTGGTACGATCAGCTGCGATAGAGCCCGGCTCTTTTGGTTGATGCGAATGTTCACTCGACCGTCATCGGCGACTGTTGCGTTCGTATCGAGCTCGTCATTGACGCTCTGAAGCGTGCCAGGAACCTCGCTGTATGCTGGCGGAGGGAAGCCGGTGGGTGTCGCGTGCTGGTCGTCGACATGGCTCAGGTCATGATGTGTTTCTGCTGTAGTTCTGTGCATTGCGTTAGTAAAGGATCGTCCTCTACGTGGTATAGCTAGACTGACGTAGCTGAGAGTCGCATAGCATCAGAAGGTCGATAGGAGCCAGCATATAACGATGCCTCAGGCTTCGACTCTGGTGGAGGTGACGCATCGCGCTGGTGTGCGGGAGGTGTCCGTAACGAGTTGTGAGGCGCATATTCTGGGGGGTCTGCTGCACCTTGTTCTGAGTACTGAGGTGGTTGTGTTGGTTGTGTTGGTTGTGGTGGGGCACTATGGCGCGCGTTCGCGTCAGAGGGGTTGTTGGAGCTCGACATCGAGACTCGAGAGACAGAAAGAGGGGTATCAAACAAGCATGCCAGCAGAAAGGAGAGCTATCAGGAGGATATCAAAAAGTGCCAGGAAGAGATCTGGGAGCCTGATCAACAGGTAACGGGAGCATGCGCTAATGATGCGGAGTTGCGGGGGTGTCATTGGCTGTGACCAGCATCCATTAACGAAACTCGTCATCGGTGGCTGTGACACTCAAGCATTACCGCCTGACAAACGGCGTGTGTCTGCAAGGTCACCTCCTGTATACCTTCTCGACTACGCTCTGTTTGCCGGCGATACAACTTCACCAATACATTCCACGAATCTAAATTTCATGATCCCGCCTTACCTGCAAGCAGATGCCGCGGGTTCATTATCCAATCATGCTTCATCAAACTTGAAACACTATTTGGCTAGTGTGTAACGCGTGTCAAGGCAGACTCTTGATGTCTTTGCTTCAAGCTCGTATTATCTCGTACAGCGTATAGCGTGCATTTGAACAATTTTGGTAAAGACTCTCGAACGCTGAAAGTTGAAGCCTTAACAACTTCAAACTTCTCTTAGCCTGAACATACTACATTGACCTCTTTGATTTCGAGAGCGTTGGTCTGTATCGCTCTTCTAACGTCCGAGTCCCTCTCCTCACGAACGAGTCATTTAGGTGACCGCTCCATAAGTTCATTCTCTAGCTAAATAGCGCAAGATGGAAGTCAGTAAGAGTACAAGTACAGACTCGATATGCCTACCTTCACCAGAGGTGCGGCCATATGGTAACGACTTCTCCCGGCTGGACGTTACTGATGTTCTTGTGCGCCTGGCTTTGAGTCGAGAAGCTCTCTGCAGCTTGGTCGCCTTTCTTAATCCTCTTTGCTACACTCTTGGAGCTATCTGCTAGGCAGATACGTGTGTCGCTATGGTGCGTCTTCGAAGGACGTATGATGGCAGCATTGAGCGTGGTGGAGGCTGCACTATCTTGGATAGGTCGTTGCTTGCTGGCAGCGGCACCAGTCGATATTGAGGATGCTCTGGAGAACCTGGCTCGCGGTGGACCTTTGTAATGAGGCATTGACTGGAGGACAAGTCGATGATTGAGGCGCATCATGGCAGATCTGAAGCTTGAACTACTGGAGAGTACCGATAGGGAAGTCTGAAAGGCTTGGTTATAGAACGGGCAACAGAAGAATTTGCGAGTGCTGCAGGTGAGGTATCGAGCCAATCACTACAGTCGCGTTTGATGAGGTCGGTTTGCTGACTTCTTCCACGATCGATCTTCCGGTGAGAAAACCAGCTCTTGCCTACCGCTGAGATCGATGCAGCTGCGAGATTTGGACGAAAGAAAACAAGCAAAAAATCAGACATGTTCAAGGCACCTAAATCGAAAACATCGAATATTTTGTTCAAAGTTCATGCCCCGCTCTCATAAGCTCGTCCATGGTTGAAGTCTACGCTAGTGGTGGTAGTTGCATGAAGACATGGAGTGGGCGTGACATCAAAGCTCACGAGAGGTAAAACTTCGATGCGTGCACGTAGGAGTTCGCGATGCCTATAGTTCGGAGGACTGTTCAAGGGCAGGTGATGGAGGGAGCATCCTTTCGAGAGCGGATGTTTACGTTTCGCCCTGTTTGGGTTAGCCTGCTGGACCCTGAAGTTCACGCGGGCAAGCGCGTCATAGCTCAGCTGCCTTTCACCAACCTCGAGCAGCAACATCGACGCGTCTTTGTCGGAGTCATCGTCATACTTCAGCATAGCGAACTCCAATTCGATTCTCCTCTTCTGAATCCAAATGTATCACATGCCACCTTCCCTGACGCTTCCACACATTCAAGCACTACATCAACGCCTTTCAGATCTACTCACAGCAAGAATAGTCCTCACAACCAGGCTTCTTCTATACTCGAGACATCATGATCTCTACAAAGGCTCTGCTAGCTGCCGCCACTTGGCTAGGTAGGATAGCAGCCTGGAATACAGATGGTAAGCATGCAGCGACCCAGGCTACCAGGTTTACAGCTGACAATGAGAAGTACACAATCAGATTGGCTTCATGGCCGAAGCCTTCCTCTACCCTGAAACAACTTTGGTCCTCACCGAAATCCTCGAACCGCAGTACAACGGCTCTATAGGCCGCGCAGCTGCATGGGCAGATGGCTACGCGCACACGACCGAAGGACGCTTTTCGTACCAATGGCACTGGATAGACACATACGACCATCCGCCGCAGCAATGTAGCCTCAATTACACGAGCGATTGCGTTGAGGGAGGCTGCATTGTCAGCGCCATTGCTAACCAGACTGGGATACTGAAGGGCTGTATCGGCGATGTGAGGGCCGGCCTCTTGAATGGAGGCAGCAATCTGACGTGCTCATATGCACTCAAGTGGGTGTCACATTTCCTCGGTGACATTGCTCAACCGCTACATGCGTCTGGACGTGCTGCAGGAGGGAACTTTTACAGGGTCAAGTTTGCCAACGTTTCGACCGAGCTGCACGCTGTGAGTACGACGCGCCAATCTTTGTGGATTGATGTCTAATAGGACAGGTCTGGGACGGATTTATCCCTTACTACGCCGCCAAGGTCGACAAGCCTTTCTCGAACCACTCGATCGATCCCTTCTTCGAGAACCTAGTTTCTAGAATTCGCAGAGATGGCTTCTATGAAGCTCCATACATGTGGGCAGCTTGCAGCGAGCCATCCACACCCGTGAAGTGCGCAGCAACTTGGGCTACGGAAAGCAATAAGTGGACGTGCGACTATGTCTATCGACGTCTTCATGGGGACGAAGATCTTGGCTACAACGGCTATGCAGACGGAGCGGTCCCAATTGTCGAGTTGCAAATCAGCAAGGCTGCTTACAGGCTTGCTACATGGCTAAACAAGTTAGTTGGCGCCCAAGGACCAGATTCTGAGGGCCAGGAAGTCTCTGAACTATAAGCGCGGAACGTACCAATATCTCAGGAAGGATTCAGCTATCTCGGTTGCTTCTGCGGAGTAAATATTGAGGTCCAGCGTCGCCATGGACCAGACTACAATTAGCGGATACCTTGTTTGTTGGGAAAGTCTAAAACTCCTATCCAGATCCACCAAATCGCGAACTCCACAAAATCCCAACTATATAATGCGAGTCGAAGTCCTAACATGTCTCCATCTTTCGAATTTACAAAGGTGCTCATTCACTCGACCTCGTTCTTCCCATCACTCAAATGTTACGTATTCCTTTCGAAAACTCCACGAACAGGTCGACTTCACACACCGTTGTGGGCTTCTTCACATTACCAAGGGAACTTCGGGATCAAATCAATGTCGACGTATTCACTGAAGATGACAGCCGCAATCTCGTTTTTAGTCTGGCAGAAACTCAGAAACCAGCACGGAGGTCCACCTCCGTTACCGGCTTCGCCAGAGATAGGGAACGGGTTCCAGGGCCGAGGCTTCTGTCGCTCTTAGCCAGCAAAGTTTTCTACGAAGACTATGCACTACGCGGAGGCAAGGAAGAAGTCATAGGTTACAAAGTTTGACTCCTTTCAGTCAGTAAGGCTTTCTACCGGGAGTCTGTGGAAACCATTGTGCGCCTCCGATTGTGCTTGATAAGCGACGAGAAGCCAGCACGAGATTTACTACAGCGTGTTGGCCTGCATGACAGAGACATTGTACATTCCGCGCTTTACCCTTCTTGGTCTTATGAACTCTCCTTTACGGACTCATGAAACGCACAGCGACTTCTGGAGGTCATATCGAGGGTCTTTGTCGACTTATACGTAAGAATTGCCGCGCCAAATGACAGGTTTCTTTGAGCAAGACCTCGTGCGACAAAAGTTCACGGAGATCTTGAAGCAACAATACTTTATGCGCTTACTACAAGCACCTCCGCACGATCGAACTAGGCATGGACGCGTTGGAGTTCCTGCCTTGTGATCCCCGTGACCCGACAACCATCTTCCAATTATTGCAGCATGGTCGCGATTTCCTGCGAGGAAGCCGCTCTTACGATGTTCGCGAAAACCTCAAGGCTCTGAATGGTGATCCTCTTGTGCGCAGAACTCGTGACCCTCACAGGATCTGCAACACCCGCGTACGCATTGTTCGGAAACCCTCTCTAGAGCAGCTGTCGAAGGAACAAGAGGACTCTAGGATCTTCAATTACTCATACGACACACTTTCAAGCTCGGTGTACATGAGTGTGGTTCGCGATCGCCTCGAGCAGCAGCCTTTGTCTATTCCGCGGAAATGCTCACGACACTTCGCAGAGCATTTGTGGCTGCATGTCGATACTTTAACACGAACTCCAGCTCAGCCTTCTTCAACAACATCCTGGTGAGGCTTTCGAAGATATCACTATGCATTTTGCAAGATCATCGGTAGCATCGCTGTTTATCGTCCCGTCACTTCACTATGTCTGATATCCCTAATTCGGGGGTCGCAGCAGTGTACACCTGCTTCTGGATTAATCACGGAGGCGGTTACTTCCTCACGCTCACAGACTGAGATGCCGCTCCACTTCTCTCATTCCTCGCGATTGCAATTACCTTCGCAGGAAATCATAGCTGGAAGATTCTGGAGGTATTATAGAATCCCCGAAAGACGGTGAAGACAGAGGAGTGACTCTTACCCTCATCTGGATACCTGAAGGCTTCGTCAGCACGATCAACAGCCCTTGGCTTCATCTTTTTTGTTGCGGTATAGGTTGGTCCGTACAGTGTCTGACTATACCCCTGATCGACTACCCTGGACTAGTGTGTTACAGGTCAGGTATATAGTCGTCTCCTCCTAGATAGATGTCAATACAGCGCAGTATCCCATCGACCCGATAGTCCTATGTTATCGTTTACCGTAGCTATCAGTATTCTACAGCGGTCCACACCGCTACATTTTTTGCACACCTGATTGGCTTTCTGGTAGCGGGTGTCCTCAAATCACGTATCCTTGTCGGAAGGATCGTTGTTTCAAGACCAATTAGCACTTGTGGACAGTGACAGTGGCAAGCCAATAAAATCACGGCCCATAACACACCTGCATATTCACCATCAGCGATGTTGACCTGGCAGTCACGCATGCTCAACAACACGTACGATGTTGGGAACTATGTCCATAACTGCTATCAATTGAGGGTCTCTCGTAGCATCTTGAGTTGCGAGAAGATGTTCAGTCGCCGCCTGCCGTACCGCCTCGAACATGACGTAACTTGCCCATACGAAGGCGAGCTGTGAGGTAGAAGGCCGCACGGGGCCTTCGCCATGAACAGCGGTTCTGTCACCTTTGATGTGTTGGGTATCAATTCGGGATGGGCTTAGGATTTGTCAGTACAAAAGCGCAGTATCTGCTCAATCATACCAGATGAGCCTTTTCTCGAAGAAGACGATACGTACACGTGTTCTATCAATTTTTCTACTATCGGATAGAGGAACTCCCAGCATTGTGGTACAGGAAGGACAACATCAGTGGCATCTACCATCTACAGGGTTATCGCATTCCGTTCGAACCGGCCAACATTACCGAACTGTTGGGCCCGGAAGTTCTCGGTCACAGTTTCAGTATCATACTTCTGCGCTCGAACGGCGTGCAGTCTTTTCAAACTTTCGATGACCCTTGGTTTTGGTTTTTGGTACGCGCACCTCGCGAATACGATAACTCGACTGGACTCGTCTCGACGTGATACGTACGCTACCAGGCCGACAACTTCCTCAACATCATCGCTTGCAAAGAGAGCAGCCGCTTTTGCCGCAGTTTGACCGGCAGCTGATCTTCATGGGACGGTCTGGTCCATACAAACGTTACAAGGTTTTGGTGAACTTCGCTCATTTGGTCGGTCCAGATCTCCGGAATGATACCGCTGATTATACGGAAATTTTCAATTTCGTCCAATTCGTCTCGTTGTCGCTTCAGTGAGCCTCAATACCCGACAGCATCGGCGAACGACCTGCATCTTCCGCTCTCCAAGCAGCTCGCTATCTCTATGGCGATGCCCAGGGACACCTCGAACCCGAGCAGTGGAAGCTGGAACCTGAACACTGGTTCGCTATGGCCCCCGCACGCCTACTACTCGATATACAACACCATCGAAATCGCCTAAACACACAACTTTGAGCACGGTAGGAATCGCCGTTGGCGTGGTCATAGTGGCACTGCTTACGCTGGGGAGTGTTGTGGAGGTGGTGCTTGGCTGGGTACCATTGACATGGGCGAAGAAGCTGGTCAAAGACTGGGATCGTCTGGAGAACTTGAAGTTGTTGGAGGATGTTGAGAAGCACTGGGCTGAGAATGGCCACACTGGCGATGATGCCAGGGGTGATAGCTAAGGGCATGAACGATTAGATGCGTTCATGACGATGGTGAAGCACGAGTGAAGAATATTCTGAAGTTCTGTCATTGGTTTTCAATACAGTGTTTTCCTTCGACACCGTCCTGCCCCATCCTCGTGCATCTCGTCTGTCATCATAGACAGGTTCGTCAGCCATGTGTCCACTCAACACCAGAACGCTCCCTGGAGGTACACCAACATCGAATCTAAACAGCTAATGGCCTCGAGCGAGTATAGCGAAAGCAAGAAGAGACGCTGTGTCGTCGTGGGTATCAATTCTGTCGATGAACGAGCGACCGCCCGGAAGTAAATTAAGAGCGTCGATGACACGTGCGACAAACTGTCAGGGCTTCGAGCCAAAATCTAGCCTCGCCAATGGATACAAATAGGACGCTGCTGTGGTGCTGCGGACGTAGATAGGAGAGATGGAAAGGTACTCTGGCGTTGCGAATTATCAACGCCAATTCAGAAGACACTGCCTGAATGCGTCCAACACGCTGACATCCATTCTGTGTTCACATCTCCGACCAATGTGCATCCTCCAAGCGATCAAATTCTTGCGCCGGCTTGTCCTTCTTCTCTTTCTTCTTCTCGCTCGTGTTTCGCCTCAACAACGATTTCATCCTCGTCGCAAGCTTGCCGAGGGGAGCTGTGTCTGTCTTTGGACTCGGCTCGGGCTGCGACTTCTCGGTCGCTTCTGGTGACTTTGCTGCTTCTTCCTCTCCGACAAGCTTTCGCGCTTGTGCTTCCGCTTCCCTCCGGAGCGCATCTTCCTTGCTGGTGGTGCTGGCTAGCTTGGAGACATCTGTGGTAGTAGCCCTGGTTGGTGCGGCCTGCTTGGTTTTCTTTACTGGCTTAGAGAGTGCGAGTGGAGTTGATGTCGCAGTCGGGAGCTTCGGCCTGACTAGAGTGCAGCCCTCTAGTGCTGGGACGGGGTTGGCTGGCTGCTTCACGGGGGCCATCATTTCCCATGCTGGCTCCGTGGGGCTTGACGGTAGTGACGAAGAGGACATGGGGCGCAGTATCGTTATTTGCGAGTGTCCCCATTCTTCGCCCATTTGTCTTGGCGAATAGGCTGGTGTGGGAGGTGCTGAGTCGATGAATGTGCCAAAGGACTTAGCTGACATAGGCGGTGACATTGGTCCTGGGGATAGAGGAGTTTTTGGCAATGACTCTGCTGGTGAATTGGGTAGAATGATGGCTGAGAATCTGTGAGGCTGTTCTGGTGACAAAGCGCGGGGTGCCTTGGGCATGCCGTGACTGGATAATGGCATATGGGAGCTACGCCTGTCGGTGAGGGTAGATGTAGGGACCGGCGTTGGTGCAGGAACACGAAGAGACGCCATGGTAAGGACTACGTTACTCAATGCACAGTAAGCGCCTGTTGTGACTTGTGTTGTTTCCAAAGCAAATCGATGTATACTGCGAGTGCGTGCGTGTACGTGCACTCGCGGAACGAATCGAGGGAAAAGACAGGTGAGTATCAGCCTTGAGATAGAGGGTGGTAACGACTTCGATAGTGCGCAGGCAGCAAATCCAACAAGCGGGGTCTCATTAGAAGAGGGGAAAGACAGTAACTGCGCCCCGAAGGAAAAGAACCGACAACAGGAAGGCAGAAAGCAGCGCCGCCTGAGACCTGCAGGCTACATGTTCGTTATATGAATGCACCACACGCGCGTACTCCACGCCGCAAACATGCGTAAATCTTACAGGGATGCGCTTCCACGATCAACAGTGCCAGATGTTGTGGTGGCGACGTGGAGTTAGAGCGCTAGAGTAAACGCCGCATCACAAACTCAAGCAGCTTGAGAAAATGCTTGTAGGCTCGAAATGGCCCCATTTTTTTAGTGTAAGACGGACAGTTGAAGGACGTTGTAAACCTGGCAGAGGTGGTGATTGGCGCCTCCAACAAGAAGCGGCGCTAAGGTCGCGTGCTCATTGGTGTGTATCAGCAGCCTGCATGGCGACTACGCCACAAGTCAACAGTGGAAGACGCAGACGTGAACGGGTTTGGCAGTTGAGTGCTGAACCAGTGTCATTTCTTCCCTAACTGGCGGATCCATCTGCATCCTTCGGTTTGTTGGAGGTTCGAACCTGACGAATCCAATTGGCTGTGGGCTGTAGCCAATGAGCTTATCGGTATACCATCTTACGCTCGATGGCAGCGGAATCGTTCACACTCTTCTGGAAAGGGCTCAATAGAAAGGAAGATCAAGGCTTTGGGTTCTATCGTAGATCAGGAGAGGGAGGCTTTATGGTACGTGGTTCGGTATCAACGAACGACTCGCGTCTTCGGTCAAGCTTCGAGCTTGGGTCATATGTTCATGAACTACGATCTGTAACCAGTTGGTGTCGTTAGTAGGAATTCAGTCGCACGAACTGAGTTGCAGGTCATGGTCCAGCTGATACGAGTCTCTAGCTGACTTCGGTAGAGTTTTCGTCATGCAATGTCGTGCGACGTACATTCCACGCTTTGCACAGGTGGAGACGGGTAAATTGATTCGGTCCGAGGCAATTTGGAGGTCGCTTTCACAGAAACCGGTCAACATAGGGTAGGCTGAGTATCTTTCGCTGAGTGATTCACCTTGACGCGTTCGAAGATCCATTAGTTGGGAGAGGCTTCCTAGAGCAGGCAGTCGCTGGAGTGCTGAGAATCCAGAGATCACAACGAAAAGCGTAGCAGGTCGCGTCGATGCGCCGAGGCAGCGCGTCGCTCTGCATGAAGGATGCATATTGCATGTGGAGGACGAAGAAGGCGAAGCTTCAGGATGCACCACAGCCAACCACGCTAAAAGCTCGGCGGAATACCTTCCGAATCTGGCGCCAGCTCGAAAGGGGGAAGGCGTTGTTGATTAGTCTTGGCGTGTGAGCTCAAACCAGCCTCTATCATCCTATCTTCATGACCTCGATCCTACTCGGCCGTCGTTTGGGCGGGGTGATCAGGGAGACAGGGGCCCCTTGATGCGTCTATCTGCAACACAATGGCTCTGGGACTGCCTTGGAGTCCGGGCGTTGGAATGGCGCCGAGAAAAAAGATCTCTACTTTGAGTGTCAACATTCCGTTGATGCATCCGCCTGGTATCCCTTACTGTCGCTGTATGATCACTGTGATGGGCTCTGTCAGTCTGTCGACAGCTCCGTAGGACGGTCCTCACTGAACAAGAGCTGGGAGCTTTGAGGCGTTTAGACTCTCCTGTCTTGAATCAGCACATAGAGTGGAAGAGAGCGCTTTGTGCTATCTTCAGTCTCCATTGTGGATGCTGAGACAGAAATGACATTCCGACGGCCTCCACTGCCGTGAGGCGCATCACGGCTCAACTTCGCCAAGTTCCTGCGGGAGCCATCATGTGCTACAATACATTCCTTTGCTTCACCACCTTTGTCGCTCGTAAACAAGATCAACCTCTGTTCCGCTCACCGTAAGTAGGACGAATCCTGATAAGAGGAGTCTCATAACGACCATCAACTTCATCTACCACGTTCATTCCCGACACTCCTTCCCATTCGCTTATTTCAAGATGAAGGCTAACTTCCTGGCACTCGGTCTCTTCGGCCTGGCTGGCACCTCGGCCGTCCTTCCTCATGACTACCCCAAGGAGTACAAGGATTACCCAGCTACTACGAAGGAGTATAAGCCATACCCCACGAAGTCTTATGAGCCTGAGCCCTACCCTGCTAAGGACGACTACAAGATCTGCATCAATCAAAGAAGAATTACATACAGTATACAGCTGTGTGTCGTCATCGACGAAAGGGTCGCACCACTTATTGTAAGGAATGGCAATGAAGATGCCGCCCTTTAGCCTGATGGCGTAGTCGTTAAAGGGGCAGTCGGCGGGAGCCTCGACAACATCACCGGTTACGTCGCACTTCTCATCGACGCGGAGGTTGAAGAGCTTAGGGCTCTTCGACTTGGGCTTCCAGGAGCTGTTACCACCCTTGGTCTTTCTGTAGGAGTAACCATCTTCTTAATCATGCTCGTCGGGTGATGTGTAGTAGTCATCGTCCCTTGAGGGGTACTTCTGGTATCCTTGGTAGGGTACTAACACGTTTTGCAGGTCAGCAAGGACCCTCCTCAGGTTTACATTGATGGAATCACCGGTGCTCCCAGGTACACCAAGATTGGCTGGCTCCAATCTAACGCCATTGCCATCAACTTCTACCACACCGGTAACAACCCTCTTGGTCTCGTTGACCCTAGCCCATCCTACCTCAGCTGGCCTAGCACTCAGGGCTCCAGCTTCTTCGGTAGCCCCTGGGTTCTCTGCCCTCTCGGAACACCCAGCAGTACCAGGTCTTCATCAACAGCGAGAACTTCGGTATTGGCGGCGTAGGTATTCCTCCAGTCAAGTCAAGCATGGATTATGCTAACGCTACTGCTTTCAGCCCGCTGGTATTGTCAAGGACCCTGGCTCTTGCGTCTCCCGCAACCTTGCCGCTGTCAACGCCAATCCCTGGAAGCAGGAGAGCCCTGCTCCCTCCTATCCTCTTGCCCCTGGTGGCTACCCTGGCTACTCTGGCGTCTCCGCTGGGGATTACTACTCGAGGTCAAGCAGCATTGTTCAAGGAGTTTCATGCTTGCAGTTTACTTTCTTACATTATCTCCGTAATTGCCCCCTACAGATCCTACATGTTTTCCAAGTTGTATTTTAGGTCAAATTGAATGTGAGTGCGGTTCTATAGACAGCCAATCTGAGTTCTGCTGCGTTAGGCAGGTCCCTGTGCATCTCACTACCTCACCTTCACCTTCACTTCGCGCCTGCCAGGATATTGTTTTCCATCGCGTCACGTTCCATTTGCGAGGCAACAGCGCGCGGCCCCGCGCCTTCCTGTGCTGCTTCACCTGGCCCACACCACGACCTGCGCCCTCATGTACCCCTCCCACGCACCTTCCTCTCGCTACCTTCGAATACAAAAATCGTTTCGACATGTTTGGAATCGGACCTATGCTACCGGTCATAACGGCCGCAGAAAACGTCGAGCGCTCCGCAAAGAAGGTACGAAAGCGCAAGAATAAGCACGGCCCAGGCGCAGGAAGCCACGAGCTCACCGTAATGAGACGACCCTCAACAATCAAGACAGAGAGTACTCTCATCGAAAGCAGCGATGAGTATGCAGTCAAAGAACCTGGTATTGCAGCACATCATCAGCGTGACCTGTCCCTCATTGTCGACTTTGACTTCGAGCGTGCGGCAAGGCAGCTCAAGGATGGAGCGATCTCAGATCTTGACCTTGCTCTTTTCGCATTCTGGATCAAGGCGAAGAATGAGAACTACCTTCTGGCTAAGGAGCTGGTTCGAGAGTTAGCACTCGATCAGGTAAAACACTCTGCTCACCTTGTGAACTTGACTTTGCGACTGACCATTCTAGGGATACAACATCGACAAAATCACCAACCTGGGTGTGCGCAAACTGCTTCAGGAAGTACATGATGTTCGTCCAAGGTTTGTAGCCGAAAATAGTCCTTCACCCAAATTGGCTGCGACAGATAGCTCACGTTACGACCGACAAAAGAGCCTTACAAATGTTCTGACGCCGGTCACGACGCGTGGTAAAGTCTGGTTTGCGGCAATTGGCGGAACTGCGAAGATAAGGTCTAACAAATTGAACCCCAGGGATCCACGACATGCCTCAACATGGGAAAGTCCATTCCACAACCAGACACGGACTTCAGATATGGGAACGAGCGGCAGTAGGCGAGCAGTTACTTCACCACTGACTGCTCGGATCGATACTCTTCCTCCTTCACTACGGCTCAAGCGAGAACTTGCTGTACAAGAGGCCTCTAGACCTACTATGGCTTCAAGCGATACTGCGGACTATCCGCCGAACAGTGAGTATGTTCGAACAAAGAACGAGAAGCAGGGACTGATCCTCATAGCACCGGACCGTCCAGCGCCACTCAGTGTGAAGTTGCGCGGCTCCCAAATCAGCAACGCTACGCCTATGCCTAACACCATTCTGCGCTCAGTATCCACGCCTATTCGTATCCAACTCAAGGGAGATTTGGCACCGCTCCCTCAAGTGACCGCCAGTGTCATGGCTAGAGACACCGATACTCTGTCTCTTCTCTCTTCATCTACCACTAAGAATTTGCACAGAAGCACGGGCGACGTTTTTGGCGCTGTACAGGACAAGAACCAAGATTGCAGCAACCCCTTCACTGACAGACTGAACAACAGCGAAGACAAACGCCACGGTACCAATGAACGGTACATGCATAACGATGCTGGTGCTCATCATCTTCTAGGCCCCTACCAGCTCGACGCTTCTGATATTGCATCAGAGTCCAGCTACGGAACTTTCGGAAGCCTTGTGCGGAAGGGCAAGGGCCGGGCAAGCACATGCGTATCTTACAACGGCGGTATCATGGGGGATGATTCTTTTGATGCCCTCGAGTCTTACATCGGCACCGAAGGCGAGGACGACTGCTCACTACTCGAGTCAGCTTCAACCATCAGTGAGCAGGAAGCACAGACGCAGTATCAGTTCGCCGTTCAGGCTCCTCCTTCGCAACCTATCATCACCGGACCAGTGCCCACATCTTCAGAACGCTGTGCCACTGCTCAGGCTCGTCGCAAGTCTCAAGTCCCCAACCCTGTCTCTCCAGCGATCAACTTCCACCGACCACTACCCTTGCGAAGCTACGAAAGTGAAGCAACCATGTTCCCTACCGTTGGTGCTCAGGCAAACTCAGGTCGCAACCGAGCGAAGTCCGTGACCAGCATCATCGCAAGCAAACGGCCCGCGATGGAGACTATGCCACTTCCACCTTTACCAAGGTCAAGCCAGGCATACGACAGCCCTGGTCACAGAGGCCAGGAGAACTACAAGAGGGATGACTCACATACCAAGATCTCAGAACAGGTGGACCAGTACGTGGCCTCAGTCTCACAGCGTTCCTCAAATGCATCGACACTGGCAGCATTCCCAATCCCACCGATGGGCAACCCAGTGGGCGAGCTCCCCATGCTCGTCTCTCGCGCTACCTCATCACCTCAGGCTCTACACACCACACCATCGCAGCACCCCGCAGCAGCAGCTTCGCTCGAGGGCACCTACCGTGCCATTACCAAAGTGAACATGATCGCTGTGCTCCAGCGTACTCGAGCCCGAGGCGAGCAACTTCAGGTCATTGAGTGGGACAAGCTTACCAGCTTTGAGCGAGCCTGGCGCGAGATGAACGAGGTCTTGCTGGTGACTATTTACGGAAAGAAAGACATTCTCCTGGACGATACTGATGTGGCCTATATAGATTGTGTGGCAAGGGAGCTTCGCAATGACTCGACAGATTTCGTGTTCATGGATTGGGTTCGTCGTATCTTCGAGAACGGCATCTAGCAAGATCCAACAAGGGTGTACAGTGTTAGCCCATCAGAATAGATGTGTTGTCACCACGGTCTGTCTGTGGTATGAACGCGGCACGGGGAGATGTACCGAGGGTAATATCATTGTAACACACAAATGGAGTTGACCTCATGGGACGGATGTGTCTAAAAGACTCACAGCTATACGTACAGTATACGTAGCTCTCAGCTCAAAATCAAATGAAGAGTTATAAATAGACATGCCGAAGAATGTGACAAGAACCTCTGAAAAATCTGACAATCAAATTAGCCCTAGAAGTCTTCAGTGCAGTTCAACGATGTCACCTACGGTGGTGATCAAAGATCGGAAACAAGGCGGCTCGTTCCCGTAATATAAAAGACCGACACTGGCACAAAAGTTTTATCATTCCTGGTTTTCCCTTTTGGTACATCGAGATCAAGGTGTGGCAGAGGTCACCCGCTTGCTCATCTGCAATTTCATACATTCAAATACGCTCGATTGTGTCCCACAAGTTCACACTGTCCTTGGCCGAACTCTCGAAGCTAATCTCGAAGCGGCCGACAAAAAACTCAGAGTTCCATGTTGTTGCAGTACTAGTCGGTCCATACGAGACCCTATTACCCTTACTTAGACTGTTCTGGATTAGCACGTTCCAGAGTCAGTATATAGTCGTCTTCTTCTCACTAGATAGCAACTCAGCGCAGTATTCCATCGACCCGATAGTCCTACATTATCGTTTACCGTAGCTATCAGTATTCTACAGCGGCCCACGCCGCTACACATGTCGATTAACGAATGTCCTCCATCACTGGGGTCAACCAGTGTCCAGAAGCCTAGCGATCGTCAGTTACTAAGTATCTTCGTTCACTACAATGTACAACGGGACTTATAAGCTCGATCATCTTTGTCAACGTTGGCGCCGTCACGAATCGCTAGAAGATAGTGCGCGTAGCAGGACGTCGAGCCGTCGTATGGCCGTTCGCGCCTCGGAGTGATCCGGATCGCAAGAGGAAGCCGCCAGAGTTTTGAAACTGTTATTCAATTGGACGTCCAAAGCCGTCGATGAAGATATCGGGACAAAGTCTGTTGTTTCGCTTGGGGTGTCTGGACATGATGGTGCAGATAGTCTTTGCAGCTGCGATGCGTAGGTCGTGCAGCGAGAGCTCGAACATGGTTCGCTTGTCCGCTGGGCTGCCCACAAATGCGCCATGGGGATTGGTGGCGGTAGCATCAGATTTTTGCCGCCTGGAGGCCCTCTAGATACGATAATTCGGATGAAGACCTTGTGATTTGAGTCCGCACCTACATGTGCAGTCACGCGTATGAGGTCCATAATGCTGATCCAGAGATCGCGTAGCTTTGGTGAGTTCACATGAAGGTCGATACGCTGAATTCGAGGTCTTGTAGCCCTCATACCGCGGAAGGGCAAGTATTGAACCTTCCCTTCATAGGTGGCTCGGTGAGCTAGTGCCTTCAGACGTCCACTTCATCCAGTTCAGCAGTGGCTCAAAATTCTGGAATGAGTTTCTCCTTCTCAGTGAAAGCGAGCTTCAACACGAATCCATTGTTCCAGATTCGGAAATATTGTTTTAGGGTCTCGGAGTTGACGCAAAGTAGCGCTGCACCAGCATCGAATCACCTCTTTCGGTTGCCGCCATCAGTCAGGTCGAATTCCAAGACCTGATACTCAGCGATTACTATAGAGTAAATCCTCTGTTTGATTCTTGGCGGCAAGCTTGAACAGGACGATATAGGTCTATCGGTAAACGCGACACTTCGTTCGATATCGGTGATTGGCAAAATGTACGGACCACCCAGCCCACGGTACTACATTTGCCTTTTGATCAAGTTGCCAGGTATACAGGCACTCTAAGTTGCCAGAGTACCCATAAAGGGTGGTGAGGGAAGAAGTAGTACATATACATGCCTTTAGAGCCTGACCCATATCTTTATAGCCCCTAAACCAGACATTCATATCCTCTCACAGAGGCCACAGATAGATGATAATGTCACATATATTACTATAGATCTAAATCTGCAGACATACTAGGGATAAACAGCCTTTCTTCCCCCTAATCACCCTTTTACTGACACCTGGCAGCTGTCGGCGACGAGCGTCTCTGTATCCCGGCGCTTAGTGTACCAGGTATGAGGTGGTCCGCACATTTTGTTAACCATTGCACTGTAGAATTAGCGTTATTCGGCAGCATAACTCAAGTGTATCAGGTAGTCCTTGCAGCAATTGGCCTCTGAAACTTCTGTATCAGGAGGCCCGTTGTAGTCGACAGAACCATCAGAGCCATCAATGCAGTTAATTAAGACCGCTCCGAGTAGATGGCCGTATCTCTTGGTGTTTAGGCCGTCCTCCAGCAAAGCCTCGAAGATACCGTTGATCCCAGCCAGTTGATATAAAAGACGTCTATTTGACCAATCTCAGCTACATAGTGGCTGTCATGATGGTGCGCAAACTCGATCCATGGGCGAGGTTCGCAACGCCAACGAACTTCTAGAAGTGGAAGGACATTGAGCCAACTTCCTGAGGTCTCACGATCGCAGAGTGAGAGTACGTCCAGATTCAGGAAGACCACTGTGAGAAACGTGAGTTGGGAATCAAGCTGCGCGAACCACTCAGCACTGCCCATAACGAGTTGATCATATGACTCTTGCATATTGATGAGATTTCTTCCGCCACGTGGAAATTGGATCAGTGTAATTGTGTTATTCGCGAAGCAGTAAGACGCCGAGCCGCACTGAAGACCTCCTGGTTGGAAGAGTCGCAACTTCATCCCGGATTGTTGTGATAAGCTGTGTGTTGAAAGAGTTCCACCGAGTTGACAGCATCCATAGCACTCAAACAGCGTGTTGCCGCTGCCGTGACTTACGATAACGCATATAGACGTCTGCACATCTGCGTCATCAATGTAATTGTTCGATCCAAAGCAAATTACAGCCATCTTGGTGGTATGCATTGAAGTCGATGCAGCCTCATGTGAACAACATAATTGACTTGGCCGCAGTAGCAGTCTCTGGATGCAACGACCACGATCTCTGCGGAGGACGGAACGCCACCAAACTTCTCGATCGTGGTATCCTCATTGCAGCTTTTCAGGCCTATTCAGTACACCGCCCAAGTTCTTTTTCAACACCGCCCAAGTTCTTTTTCAACACCGCCCACACGGTCTCCATTCACCGCACTTCTAGCAACCATCACAACAAGCATCATCCCTCCACCCTCCACACCTTCATCGCCACCTCTCACACCCCCCTATCAGCCTTCTTGCGCGTAAAGTGCATCACACTTCACCCTGCATGTCTTGTACGACGCATGACCACCCTCGTGTAATCCTCTATCAGGCATCGCCCAGGATTGAGCCGATGTCACCCCTGGACCTGCGCTTCGTACCCTTTTAAATCCCTGCAGGTACCTTGCGAGGACCTTGTGAGGACCCTGCGGCACAGTCTAGACTGGGAAAAAGATGCTCGGGGGTGAGAGTGTCAGATCCAGGAAAGGGAGGTTGCTGCATCGTGCATGGACGTGCATGAGATGAAACGAGCATCTATTGACTGCTTTTGGGGCAGTGTGCGTATTTGGTGAGGAGCTTTACGACAGAAGAAAGGGGACGGGGTGGGCGGTGAATGAGAGTAAGAAGGCAGGCGCGACGGTGTGTACTTGCCTCAAGCGCGGTGAGAAGGATGCAACACGTTTTGAGCAATTGTTGCAAGTAGCGTCTAAACATCGTGTAGCACTTACAGATATTCGTCGTCCTGCAAATTTACGATAAGCCCTTCGATGCTATTAGTGAGCTGCATTGTAGAAGTTACAGTACATGATGCCAATAATTTTTGGATATTAGGCAGCGCATGCGCATGCGCATGCTAATTGTGTTCCATGATCCAAACCATTACGATGCGATAAAACAACAGCACAAATGAGTGGCCCTGACGTGTGTCTGCAATCCGTGAAGGGAAGTGACGATGATAACAGTAAAAGTCGTGATGTGTTACAGAACCAAAGCCTGTGCGCCGCCAACCTGAAAATGCACAATCGTGATGACAACAGAAGAGATGGATATAATGCTGGAAGCAATGCGAGAAGACATGAAAGAGATTTAAAGGCTTCGTTCGGTGAAACCGTGATGCAATAAGCAGTTTGCGCATGCGCAAGACATTTTGCGACGCCGATGGATGCGAAGTGCTTGAAGCCTTCGGTGGTGGAAAGGTGAACGTCCAAGTGATGTGAAAATGTCGTAGAGGTGAGGTCGCCCGGTATGAACCGAAGAGACATGCCGTAAGGAGATACGAAAACATCAGCGCAGTAGTGCGATGCGTGAAAGGGCTGCGAAGACCAGGTGTAGAGTTGAGTGATCCGTTACAATATGCTCAGAAGCTGCTGTTGAGGTCCGAAGTCAAGGCGCGATGCAGTGGAATGTTTCGCGTCTCGAACGACTCTCTCGTGAGGTTCTCCATGTTTGGTGTATCAGTTGGCTGGCTTAGAGGCGTATACCGGTGACCGCTGACAAGGTTGCCCGAGGGGCCGTCACCAGCGAAGGAAGGCCGCCTCGAAGCGCCGTCAAAGGTATACAGGCTCGATGAGGAATTGTTGCGAGAAATCGGAGTCGTTGTTGATGCTGATAGGTCGCGAGACTCTCTGAAGTTGGAGTACGCAGGCGGGGTCGGTGCAGTCATGGTCGATGGATCGAGAAGCGGTAACGTGCCGAAGTTGAGCTCGTTCGATGGTGCAGTGTCTGTTGTGCTGGAGATAACATCGGCTGATGTGCCTGTAGGAAAGAAGGCCGGCGAGGTATCTGTAGCGTTCGTTGGCGCTGGAACGGTCACTGGTGGTGCCATGGCTCCGGTGGTCGATTCATTGACAGCATTCATCAAGTTCTCATTGGAAGCTGACCAAGGCATGAGTGGTTTGGCGAATGATTCCGTATTGGTGTAAGACTGCGTTACGTTGCTGAATGACGGTGTGGCGATTGTTTGAGATGAGCGCAGGCGCTGACCTTGCTGTTGATCAAGCGCATGGTGCAGACCGTGATTTGGGTTCGGTTGTGGGGCTGGAAGTCGTCTGCGTGGTGTTAGAGGAACCTCTGTAGGCTGTAGCTGTCGCTGACGAGGCCTTTCTGGTAGTGTAAGTTGCAGAGAAGACATGTTGAGGGGCGAGATTGGTTCAGTTGCAGCAGATGGTGACATGTCGGTCTGCAAGTACGGCAAGCTGTTTGAAATGTAAGAATGACCGTAGTCAGAATAGTAACTGGTTGTAGGTTGTCTGCTTCGTGTAGGAGTGTGCGTCCAGCGATACGAAGGTCCGCACATGTTCGAGCCTGCCGGCGTTGTGGGTCCTGGCAGGTACGTCGGGGACTGGTCGAAAGAGTAGGTGTCGATGGGCGATGTGTCCTCTCCATAGGGTCCGGTCCACTCAGAAGTATAGGCCGGCTTTGTGTCGAGCCGAGGGTATGCATATTTCGTGTCTAGCTGGGGGTATGGGTGGCTTTGCATACTGCGATTGTATGGTCCGTTGCCGCCAGCGGAATACAGTGGCATCATGTCGTGGGCTGATGCCATGTCGGCAAGGCTTTGGACCATGTTGAAGTTGTCCATGACCTTGTGGACATGGTCAGATCCGACCTGCCGCTGTTAGCACAGTCTAAGAGGGGGAATAATGGCTTGCTACTCACTCGATGGAACTGGCACTGACTTGCCTCAACGCCAGCCTGCCTGCAGCTCTGACAGCCCTGACCATCACCTTTGTCTCCACTGCAGCGGATCTTTCTCTTCCGACAGCGCGCGCACTACGGGTCTTGTTAGCTCTGAGCCGTGATACCGTGTGCAGAACGATGTCGGAGTTTGTCACGGTTTGAAGCTTGATCTTGAGTGAGTGTTGGGACAGATTGACGTACGGCTACTGCGATGCGACGTCTCGAGCCTCCCTGCTCTCGCTGGAACTCGTCTCGATCCACATGATTTCGAGTTCGTAGTCCGCTGACGGGCCCTCCCATAGGACAAGCATAAGGGTCGGCTCGAGGGTAGTCCAGAGGTGCATGGCGTTCGTTGTAGTATGTCTCCGGGAATGTACGAGCAGAAGTAGGACGCGAGAAACGGCGCGGGCCGTCGTAATTCAGGACTGACATGACGGTGTCCTGGTTCAAAAATTAGACACCTTGATGTTGAGGTGCACGGCTAGGGTGCGTACCAATGATGTAGGCAAAAGCCTCCTTGGCTGATCTCCGAATGGTCGGCTGGCTGTCAAAGCTTGCTTTGCAATTTAATCCTGCACGATCAGGCGTAATGTGTGCAGAGGCCAAGCGATCCTCAAGAAAAAGGGAGCACTCAGGCTGGTCGGAATCGTTAGTTGACAAAAGACGGATGAAGCAGCCGTCGGACGGGCAAGAGTTTATAGCCGAGAATGTGAAGGGTACAAGAGAGAGACGAGCCTCCAGTCGTCGGTCGACAACAACTGTTTGCTATTAGAGGGTCTAGTCAACGTGGCCGCTGTGAGATGAAGTAAGGAGCGGTTAGAGTGGTACCTATGAAATCGCAAGGCTGGCGAAGAGCCTTAGGTGTTTGTATGCATACCATTCTGAAGGTTACAGTGCCGATCAGACCCTGGTTACATGCATATCGACTGCACACGTCCAAATCTTGGAACAGGCGATTTGAAGGAGCGGGGTGGAACATAGCACGGAGTGAAGTTACCCTGTGACGAGTCAACGGGCAGGTCTTCGAATGGTCTCAAGAGTACGAAAGGCGAGTCATTTGAGTGCGCATATCTCCGATCGATAACCTCAGCCAAGGGATCGTAAGGCTAACGCATCAATCTTGATCTCAATTTTGCGGCCTACACCTCCGTATCTTGACGTAGTCCTCGAATGAATAGCACACGCCTGTAAGCAAAAGACGTTTGCTCTTGAACTGCAAGGTTCCACCGGGGAAGCGGAAGACCTGTCAACTTGTCATCCCTTGCTCGCCAGCTCGCAATTTGAGTATCAAGCACGTCCCCGGAGAGGGCATGAACCCCAGCTGGCACTGGTACGAAGGCAATATCACTGAAGCGCTGACAAAGCATATTCAACATCACCGTAGAGGCATTTGCTGCCTGATCAAATATTTTGAAAGCTCGTAGAAACAGTTCTCAGCGGCTTGCAAGATACGAACAGGCGATTCGAGATGCGTTTGAACAGTCGTTACTGATTGACGTTTCGGGTATCTGCCTGCGACACTCCTCCGAGCCAGAGATCTGCACATACCTACAGTAAAGGCAACTGCTCTGATTGGGTGTTTTGTTAAGAGAATAGTGGATCGCGTAAGAAGGATGTTGATCTGATCCATGATCCTTTGCAGGGATGACCCAGTCGGAACAGGCCCGGGCAAGGTTCAGTACGACTTTTGTTCACGGCTATCTCCATGCAGCTCTGGGTTAACCTGCATGCGTATAGCTGCCGTGAGTACATCGACTGACATCGGGAGACTGGAGTAGTAAAGTGAAGACGGTGTATGCGGGGAGGTCTGGGGAAGACTTCCGACGGCATCTGTGCAAATCTGTACAAGGCTCGAATTGAGGCTGATGCTAGGGTTCCTGGCATGGAAGAGACGGCCGTGCCACTCATGAGCATCAGAGTGAACTCAAACTGTCGCAATAGGCGGTTACACATTCTGCAGCCGAGCAAACAATAGCTTGACATGCCAAGTCGGCAAGGAATTGTACTCCGCGGACGTCATCCTTCAGCACCATGATGAATCGAGTAACGCTGATGCGAAATCGTACGTGCGTATGAACCTCTTGCCAGAGCAAGGATCATCCGGCCATCTTTGCCGAGAGGATGTAGCAAACTTCATTGTGTGCACAAGCGAGTCACCGCGGCTGCAGACGTGGGTATCGTTGGAGGAGTGCCAAGTTCAAACTTCTTCATCGAACAAATTTGCACTTTTACGTTTCACTGCGTGCTCCAGTGCATTTGAGCGTAACAACGTTTCCACTGTGGTTGACAGGAAGGCTCGTGAATCGACCCTTACAATCAGTACTGCCATCGTGTGCGTTGCCACCCTGGCATGCTGGCATGAGACAAATGAGCAAACGTTAATCTTTCCAGTTCCTGAAGGGCGGTCACACGCATGTGAGATGGACTGCTCATGCTGTGCGCATAGTTTGACGACTCCAATATAGAGACCGCCGTGCGTTGACGGTATGCCGGGCAGAGCACATATGAAGTCAAAGGCGCGCTCCCACTAAGCATTCCAGTGATCAGACGACAAGACAGCGTCGCGGAACGAAGGTCGAAGTGACAGGTATCTGCGTGTCTCTCAGAAAAGGCAAATAAACAAACTATGGATTGCGGCTTGCAGCTTGCAGCTTGCAGCTTGCAGATATCGGTGAGGGGATCGGTTGGATACAGCGACCTGGATTGAAGCAGCACTTCACTGGTTCGGCTACCCGAGCATCTTCGAAAGCGGAGGATTCGGATCGAGATGTGGAAGAAGGCGATCCAGGGGGATGCAGGGGTCAGTGCGTGCCGCAATCGAACGACGGGTGCTCTCGACAACGGCCCGCACGACATGGATTCCAAGCTCCTCCTACACAAGTAGAACTCCTTGCATATGGCGCACTCGATTCTCTGTTTCGTAACTAAAATCTGCTATTAGGTTCAAGTAACCTTAACTGAGGCGTGATATTCGTGTCACTAGCGCGCGTCGACATGCTTGTTCATCTTCAGCACTTCACTCGCCCAGTCAGTGTGCTGAACGATATGAGAAATGCTGGAAAACGTTGTACAGGAGTATTGACAGCGGCTTGTGAGACGTTGAGGAGAGAGTGTACAACTTCGTGCGGACTGAGAGAGGAAGCTACGGCCGCATCACTGCTGACTAACAATCTTAGCGCGCTCAGCTATCAAAGCTGTCGCGACTTCACTCTTGCGACAACCACGTCTGCGCGCGCAAACCATGTCCGTGCTTCTTGAAACGTCACTCGGTGACATTACCATTGATCTCTTGGTGGATGACGCGCCGAGATGCTCTGAAAAGTAAGTCAATCCAATCCCTACGCGCCCATACTTTTCATGTCGTTTGTGTCATTCTTCCCGCTATCACTGCATCTGCATGCCTTATTCCGCTGTCTTTTGACGCACGCTGAGCACACGACAGCCACTGACAGCTTGTCACCTCTAGCTTTCTCAAGCTATGCAAATTAAAGTACTACAACTTCTCGCCCGTGCATAGCGTCCAACCCAACTTCTCCTTCCAGACCGGCGATCCTATTGGCCCTGGATCCCAGGACAGCGATGGCGGCCGCTCAATATGGGGCTTGCTCGACCCCGCAAATCCAGGGAAGAAGAACTTTGTGCCAGAGTTGAAGCACAACCTGAAGCATGCGGAGATGGGCACCGTCAGCATGGCCACAGCGCCAAACCCAGACAACCCAGACGAACGATTTGCAGGCAGCCAATTCATCATCACACTCGGCCCAAACATCGATTTCCTGGACGGCAAGGCTGCTATATTCGGCACGGTTGTCGAGGGCTTCGACGCGCTCGAGAAGATCAACACAGCATACGTCAACGACAAGGGCCAGCCACTCAAAGACATCCGCATACTGCACACCGTTGTGCTCGACGACCCCTACGATGATCCTGCTGGCCTCGTAGAACCACCAGAGAGCCCGGTCCCCTCCGCCGCACAGCTTGCAACAGTACGTGTTGCCTACGATGAGAACCTCGAGGAGGAGAACGACCCAGAAGCGCTTGAGAAGATTCGAAGGGAACGTGAAGCGCGCGCACAAGCTCTGACTCTCGAGATGGTCGGTGACCTGCCCTTTGCTGAAGTTGCACCACCTGAGAACGTACTATTCGTCTGCAAGCTCAACCCCGTCACACAGGACGAAGACTTGGAGCTCATCTTCTCACGTTTCGGCAAGATCATAAGCTGCGAAGTTATAAGGGATAAGCGCACTGGCGACAGCCTACAATACGCCTTCATCGAGTATTCGAACCAGAAGGAGTGCGAACAGGCCTACTTCAAGATGGACGGCGTTTTGATCGACGACCACCGCATTCATGTCGACTTCTCCCAGAGTGTTTCAAAAATTGCAGACGATTGGCGCGACCTCACCAACAAGAAACGGAGAAGGGCAGCGGGTGGCTTCGGCGGCATCGATAACCTGGAGAAGAAGACACAATATCGTGGCAAAAGAGGACGCGAGATCGTCTCGGACTCCGTCGTCAACAACCTGGTAGTCGACCGCGATCCAGCACCAGAGTCGAAGCCACGGGATGACAGAGACAAGAGACGAGACGGTGCACAGCGGCGGGAGCGAAGAGAAGAGTACCACGACGACCGGTACAAGCGGGATCGCAGTCGCAGTCCACGTCGCGACCGTCGAGACCGTGATGATGGACGATATGGACCCAAACGACAAGAACGCAGCCGCAGCCCACGGCGTCGCGATGATCGAAAGGATCGCAGTCGAGACAGGCACAGGAGGGACGACAGAGACAGGAGGCGTTAGGCCATGGAAACTAGCATTGTACCATACACCACCTCTTTTGTACAAGAATGATACCACAGTCGCCGCCAACGGTGACACAAGCACACCTCTGTTTTCCACCTAACCCTACTTGAAGTCGTATGCAGCCACCACCATCCCTCGTGCAGACACCGTTACATTGGGACAGTCTAATGTCTAGCGGCTGCTTATTTGCACTTCAGCCACAAGGATGCGCATGTTCCGGTAGTTTTGTGTGGGAATACCAAAGTTGAGAGCAATCGGTCCTCCTACATATCTACAAGGTACGTTCGGTCCCTCACCACATGCATGTATCGAGCTGCGAACGTGTAGGACAAACAACTTCGTCGACGTAGATTGAGCAGGTTTATCATCGGTTCCTCACCGGGCTCACACAGCAGGAAGCGAGCTGCAAGCCACACCGACGCGCGAGGAGGGGATGCAGGATCTTGCACACGGTAGGCAAGATTCACATCTTCGACGTGCAATGTGAGCACCATGTTGATGGGTTGTAGCCTGCTGATTATTCTACGGTTAAAGTGCAGGCTTGGAGCATGTGCGACTTGTTGCGTTGTGGCCCTTTTTCGACTCGACTCGACAATGCGCATGCAAACGCGGAAAGTGATGACTACCGCATCGCGTTACATACGACGCTCGGATTTGGACCGGTCGACTGTCGACGATCCGGAGTAAGCACACCCCAGGGGCCTTTCGAAGATGTTTTCCGATGGTGGCTGGGTTGTTGCCCTCAACGACAAGACCGCACGAAACAACGTGCAGCAGAAACTGTGTAAGCCCCACGTCACATGCAGACAGCGTCATGCGAGCAGTTCAGAGCAAGAGTGTGATGTGCAGACGATTATTCAGTCTCTATGTTTTGATATAAGTACACAAAAGGACTTTCCTGGTCTTCGTCCCTGTAGCAATGCAAAAAAATTCACAATCAGCGTCGTCCATAACCTTCTGGACTCCAAAACTCCATGCCATGCAATCATCCAACCCATCAAACAGGTTTTTTTGCAGTGTCATTCGATGCATTGCGATAGTCTCCACCGCCTGACGGTGTGAGCTGTCATTGCACACGTATTCCTTACGATGAAGATTCCCTGTTGTCGAAACTTTGCTCTGCAGGGCAGTAGTGGCCAATGATTTCGCCAGGCGCCTAGTCGCGGACGCTGAGGCCGGAGCGGGTCGTGAACATGCGGGTGGCGATGTTCATGGCGAGGAGTTCCTGGAAGAGGAGTTTGGCGGCGTAGGGGATTTGAATTTGGGAGATGCGGGTCTTGTTGTGGCACGGGCGGCATTCGTATTTGCCTTGCTTGAGTTGACTGTACCGATATTAGTTTTTGTTGCCAAGTACAATGTGGAAGAGGAGAGAACTTACGCAATAGGGGTCATCAGGCCACAGATGTCGCAAACGTGAACCGTGTACGCATCCGAGACCGTGAAGAGACGCTCCTTGAGGAAAGCAGCAGCACCGTGGGCAATCATACAATCACGTTCCATTTCTCCGAAACGCAGACCACCATCCCTAGCACGACCCTCGACAGGCTGGCGGGTAAGGATCTGGAGAGGACCACGGGCACGGGCGTGAATCTTGTCATCGACCATATGCCTCAGACGCTGGTAGTATGTAGGGCCCAAAAAGATCTGTGTGCGCATCTTTTTGCCAGTGTGTCCGTTGTACATGATCTCGAAACCACGCTTCTGGTACCCGGCCTCTTCGAGCAGCTCGGAGATCTGATCGACGGTGACGTCGGTGAAGGGTGTGGCATCGCCTTCTCGTCCGGTGATGGCACCGACCTTTGAGAGCAAACACTCGACCAAATGGGCAATTGTCATACGCGATGGAATGGCGTGTGGGTTGATGACGAGATCGGGGGTAACGCCATCCCTTGTGAAGGGCATGTCTTCGTGCCTGTATGTGATACCGATGGTTCCCTTCTGTCCGTGACGAGACGCGAACTTGTCACCGATCTGGGGTACCTTGGTCGTTCGTGTGCGGACCTTGACGAATCGCAGACCCTCGGTGTTCGTGGTGAAGAGAACTTGATCGACGATACCGTTCTCTGTGCTACGAAGAGGAGTCGACACATCACGCTTGGTGTGCAGTGATGTCTTCTGACCCATCTCCTGAGCATCAGCCGCGATAGGTGCTGTCTTACCGATGATGATGTCGTCACCAGAGACACGCACACCAGGCGCAACGACACCATCGTCATCGAGCTTGTCGTATGTTCCACCCTTCAGCCTCAATGTGTCGGCGCGGGTCGGCTTCTCGAATTGCTCCAAGACGTTGACACCAATGCGCTTCTCCTGCTCGGTGTATGCTCGGTAAAACAGCGATCTGAAAAGCCCACGATCGATACTGCTCTGGTTCATAATGACGGAATCTTCCTGGTTGTAACCGGAGTAACAGGCGATGGCGACAATGGCGTTCTGTCCAGCAGGCAGTTCGCGGAACTTGAGGTACTCCATGGATCGAGTTGTGGCGAGTGGCTTCTGGGGGTAGTAGAGGACGTTCATCATGGTCTCCATGCGCAGGGCGTAGTTTGTCAGAGCGACACCCATGGCTTGCTTACCCATAGCAGATTGGTATGTGTTACGAGGCGACTGATTGTGGTCAGGGAAAGGAATGATACTCGCACAGATACCAAGAATCATAGCAGGATGAATCTCGCAATGTGTGTAGGCGTGAATGCGAGGATCCGGCTTGGGCTTGATGCGCGCAAGACGGTCCTTTCCTTGTGGGTTGCGAGCATCTTGCGGGATGCCCATCTTCATGTCGCGCCACTCACCGAGATCCTCCGGCGACATGACAATCATGGCAGTCTCCTCTTCCTCTGCGTCGAGGTACTCGATGACACCATCTTGAATGAGACCCTTCCAGCCGTATGTGAGCTCGGTCTTCTCTTCTTCACCGACACCAGCGGCAGTCATTGCCTGCTGCTCTGCGATCAGCTTGTTGTAGTGTTCCTGGCTGAAGACGAGGTGGTTGCGGTTCGGCTTGCGGGCGTCGCTCTCCACGACGAACAGGGGCCTCATGACACGTCCAGCATCTGTGAAGATCTTGAACTCTCGGTCACGAATGTCACGAATCAAACTCATCTCGTAAGAGAGAGTTCCGTTTCGACGCAGCTCCTGCACAGTCGATACGAGCTGCTGTGCGTTGGAGTGCACACCCACCCATACACCGTTGACGAAGACCTTGGTGGCATCAGGGTTCTGGTTCTGGTCGTACTCCTCGAGAAGCTGCATGTTCCTCTGGCTCATGAAGTCGGAGATGGGCCCAGCATCGCTACCAACACTGACGTAGCACATGAGAGACAGGTTCTTGACCAGACCACAGGCTTGCCCTTCAGGTGTTTCGGCAGGGCAAACGAGGCCCCAATGACTGTTGTGCAACTGACGGGGCTTTGCGAGCTTGCCATCACGGCCAACGGGTGTGTTCGTTCGACGCAAATGGGATAATGTAGAGGCGTAAGTGTATCGGTTCAACACCTGTGAGACACCAGCCTTGGCAGAAGCGGCTTTCTTCTGGTCACCCCAGTTTCCCGTAGCGAGAGAGTACTTGAGACCGTTGGTGATGATGCTGGCCTTGACAGCCATCTGCACGTTGAAGTCTGTATTGTTCTCAACGCACCTCTGAAGGTACTTGTAGACATCCTTGGTCAACTTCAAGAAGAGAATGCGGAACAAGTTCGCAATCAGCGGGCCGGCAAGATCGAGACGCTTCTTGCCGAAGTGATCACGATCGTCCTCGTCTCGTCGGCCCAGAACACACTGCAGCATGCGGTGGATCATGTAGCCAAAGAAGTAGGCCTTGCGAGTGTCCTGGCCCTCCCTCTGCGAGATGTGGGGAAGGAACTCGCGCTGCATGATGTCTCGTGCGAACTTGAGACGCCTGTCCTTTGTACCCTGTGTTGCTCCACGCCTGGCGATGAAGTCAAGCGCGGACTCGCGGTCCTGTACCACGGAACCCTCCTCGACACTAGGCTTGAGCAGCTCCAGCATCTGGGTGTCTGTGCGATCGTACACGATGTGTCCAAGGATCTCCTCGTCCGAGACGATGCCGAGCGCGCGGAAGACGATGGCCATGGGCACATCAGCCTTGATGTATGGGAGTGTGGCGTAGGCGAACGGTCCAGGCATGCGCTTCCCGCTAGCGAGTGAGTTCTCAGCCCACTTGATGTTGAATGAGGAGATGAGGCGCGTGCCCTTCTCAACAGCACTTCGGATCTCGGCGATCCAGGGGATGGGGCCCTGCTTCTTCCGGAAGACCTGGACAATGTTCGCAGCGCTGCGCTCCTGTGCGATCAACACCTTCTCACTACCGTTGATGACGAAGTAGCCACCCTGGTCGTAGGGACACTCGTTGAGCCCAAAGAGCGCTTCGTCGTTCTGCCCCCGCAAGTGGCAGAGTTCTGACCGCAGCATGACGGGCAGCTTTCCGATGAAGACACGCGCAGACTCGTCGCTGTCCATCGGGATGTCCTCGCGGTCCCAGCGAATCTGGGTGACACCGCCTCCCTGTCCCTCCATCTCGTCGTCGTCGTCTTCGGCGGGCGCTGTGGTCTCGCGGGCGACCATGATCCGGTTCTCGATGTCTGCCAGCATGGCACCGGAGTAGGTGAGGTTGCGCAGACGTGCCTCGTGCGGGTAGAGCTGCACCGTTGTGCCATCGCCCTCGGTGTGTGTGGGGCGCGCCAGGTACACGCGTCCGAACTTGATCTCGTAGCGGCGCTTGATGATGGGATCCACGTCCTCGTCGGGGTTGTAGGGCGTGTTCTGCTCGAGGATCACGCTGCCGTTCTCCTTCACTATGTCTTGTATTGTGTTGCGCGTGAACTCGTCGTACGAATCCAACTGCTGCGAGACCAGGCCCTTGGTGTCGAAGAAAGAGCTGATGACGGCCCAGCAGTCCTCGGAGGTGATGGCTCCATCCTCCTCGTCCTCGTACTCGTCCTCCTCCATCGCGAAGTCGTCCACGTAGTCGGTCGACATGTTGGCGTCAGGGGATATTACAACGCAAGACGCGCGGGCCGACGGGGTATTAAGAGGGGGGTGAGTGGGTGCGGACGTGCGGTCGGGGAGTGTCGTGCTCCTTGTCTTGTTCGCGACGGGCGGCGACTGCCTCAGAGAACCACGGAAACACTAGCGCGATTTTGTCTTGGCGCAGCAGCAGCCCTCTTCCACTCCTCGACACGTCTTCCACCACAGCCTGGACCTTGGTGCAGAACACGATCAGCTGAAGGCCTCCAGGCCGTGTTGTGACAAGAACACCGCTGCCCGTACGGCAGTGCACAAGGTTGTAGGCGTGAAGGCCTGCGCATTGCCATCCACTGTAGCGCATCAGCGAAACGCGAAGAAGGCTATGGCATGGATGCTCGATTTGGCATTCGGTACGTGCAAGGCCAACTCAACGCTCCCACAGCCTAGATCTTACTCTGCCCTTCCTGCGGAACCTTGACAACTACCTTGCCCCAGCTGTCTCGACCGCCCAGTGCCTTCAATGCAGCTGGCACACTCTCCAGCCCAACGTACTCGGTGTCTGTGTAGCAGGTACCCCTGTACTTGCCCTCTCGCACCAACTCGAAGATGCCGTCCCACACCCTGTCGACCATCTCAGGCTCGTGGACCGTATACATGCCCCAGTGCAAGCCAACGACACTGACGTTCTTCAGCAAGATGCGGTTGGTGGCCATCTTCTCGATATCACCAGCAGCGAATCCAACGACCAGCAGCCTGCCATTCCACGCTGTGCACTTCATGGACTGTGCGATAAGACCAACAGGGTCGTACACAATATCGACGCCGCGGCCCTTGGGGGTCAGCTTCTTGACCTGCTCAGGCCAGTCTGGCTTGCGGTAGTCGACGGCATAATCGGCGCCGAATTTGCGGGCGATATCCTGCTTGTGCTGCGTGCCCGCGGTCGCGATGACAGTTGCGCCGAAAGCCTTCGCGATCTGTACTGCTGCGAGACCGACACCGCCGGCAGCTGCGTGGACAAGCACCCAGTCGCCTGCAAAAGTCAGCGATAACATTTGCGGGTGGGGGCAGTACGTACCTTTTTTGATGTTGGCCCTGGTGACCAACCCAGCGTAACTGGTAGGCGCAGTCACGAACATGCCCGCTGCCTCAGCGAAGCTCCAGCCCTCAGGCACGCCCTTCAGTCGCTCTTCCGTGCATGCAACATGTGTAGCATATCCACCTTGGCTTGCGCCAAAGACCCTGTCGCCAACCTTGTACAGCGGTGTTCGGCCGCCCGGCAATGACGAGGGAGCCTTCGCGACTATGCCAGAGAACTCCGAGCCTGCGATCCATGGGAAAGGCGGCTGGTGCTGGTACTTGCCGCGAATCTGCAGCAGGTCGAAGAAGTTGGTTGCGGAAGCATGGATGGCGACCAGGTATTCATTGTCTTTGGGCACAGGGTCTGGAAACGACTGGACCCTGAGGTCTTCTGGACCCTGGCAATGTCAGTCGGTGGCAGGTTGAAGGATCGTGGATGCCATACCTTGACATATTCCTTGATCTGGATGCCCTTCATGTTTATCAATCAATCAATCAATCAGTCAATCAATCAATCCGGTTGGGCTGCGCTTAGCGACAGTGGATGCAGTAGCCAGAATCAGTCTGGCCTCGAGCAGCGTAGAAGAAAAGAACTAGAGTTGTGGCAGGTCTTCGTTGTACCGCCGCCCGGAAGGGGACGATGCCCTCCGCAAGATGCCTCGGTTGAAGCTTACTCGTCTGCCCTACCGCGACCTCCACACCGTGGCCTCCACACCGCGCCTGCCCCACCCTCGACGCTAAACGGCTAGCGGTGGCAGTGACGACTTTGGTCCGTTGCGGTCTTTCCAGTTCTGCGGCTTTCTATATCTGCGTTCGAGCTCAGCGCAGCCTACAGACCTCTCTTCCCTCTCATCATACCCCCTCTAGACACGTTTATTACTACGTAGCTCACTGCAAGCTCTTCTTACACCAGACTCGCTATCGAATCACCCCACAAAGCTTCTCGATCGCTGCACGTTACTCCGCCGCTGCACGCTACTCCGTCGCTGCACGCTACTCCATCGCTACATATACAAACATGGCTGACGGCGCCACCGCTTCCGCTGAGGAGGGCCAGGTCACCTTCAACGTCAAGGCCGCCAATGACCGGAAGCACGTCCTCACGCTGCCCACCACTACCACAGTCGCCGATCTGAAGGCCAAGCTGTCGTCATCGGAATACGCAGACATCCCCGCCGAGCGCCAACGTCTGATATACTCCGGCCGCGTGCTGAGGGACCCGGATACACTTGGCGGTGTCAAGGTCAAGGACGGCCACACAATCCACTTGGTCAAGGGCGCCGCCAGCAATGCACGACAGAACCCAGCAAACCAAGGCACAACAAGCACCTCTAGCGGTACCGGCACACCGACGCCGCAGGTACCCGCCAACATCGCCGCAGGCACAGGGAATAACCCTCTCGCTGGCCTGACGGGTGCGCGCTATGCTGGCTTCCACGGCCTGCCCTCGATGGACACGTTCGGCGCTGATGGAGGGGTATGTTCTACTCTGTTCGCATTAGTGGGGTTTGCTAACATGGTGTAGATGGGCCCGCCGCCTGACCCAGATGCTATGCTCGAGATGATGGACAACCCCATGTTCCTGTCGCAGATGAACGAGGCCATGAACAACCCTGCCGTCGTCGACATGATGATGCAGAGCCCCATGGTATGTGTCAGCGTGCAGTGGTGCATACTGCTTGCTGACAGGTGATAGATTCGCGACAACCCAATGCTTCAGCAGATGCTCCGCAACCCCGAGATGCGCCGGATGATGTTCAGTCCCGAGATGATGCGCATGCAGCTACAGATGCAGCGTAGCATGAACGGGACCGGCGGCAGCGGCGGCGGCGCCATGGCGGCTCCGGGCACTACAGACAACACACCACAGCCGGGATCAACGACGGCAGGCGGCGGTGCAAACGCAACCCCACACCAGCAGAACACTGCAGGCGCGGCGAACCCTTTTGCAGCCTTTGGCGGTGCCGGCACGGGTGCCAACGCCAACGCCAACCCATTCGCCAGCCTTTTCGCAGGAGGCGCCAACCCGTTCGCTCCACAGACTCAAGGCCAGGGCAACACCAACACCAACACCTCTGGTGCCGACTCGGCACAGGACGCACAGAATGCTTCTTCCGCACCACCCAATCCCTTTGGCAACCTGTTCGGTGGAGCAGAAGGCGGTCAGCCTAACCCAATCGCAGATGCGGCGCGCAACATCATGCAAAACCCACAGGCAATGCAGCAGATGATGCAGATGATGGGCGGCGGCGCTGGCGGTCCAGGTGCCAACCCTTTCGGTGCTTTTGGTCAGAACCCGGGCGTCGGAACTGGCGATGCTGGCTCACAGCAGGCAAATCCTTTTGCAGCTCTGTTTGGCCCCGGCGGTGGTTTTGGAGGCGGTTTCGGCGGGCCACCTGCGCCTGCAGACAACCGCCCACCAGAGGAGGTCTACGAATCTCAGCTTAGGCAGCTAAACGAGATGGGCTTCTACGAGTTCGACCGCAATGTCTCGGCCTTGCGCAGGAGTGGAGGCAACGTCCAGGGTGCCATCGAGTACCTACTCAACGGCGGATCGTAGATTGGCCCCGTCCTGGATCGAATGCGCCTTGAGCAACATGAGCCCCAACCGCCACCGCAAACGCAATCGATACCAGAACCCGAACCGCGATACGTGCAAATGGAAGGAGAGCCATTCTATAGACAGATTGAGGTTATCGATCAACAGACCGAGGTCTTTGACTTAGCGAGGCGACTGGGCGTCGAGGAAGAGCAGGCACTATATCCGTAGGAGGACTTTGGGAACGATCTTGACAGCATTGCAGACACTTACGACGAAGATGATGAGGATGATTGGTCTTCTGAGGATACTGTATGTGGAGAGGAGGGATGTTACCTCGACGGCGTGTACTATGTCTACCCAAAGGCAGTGTGATAGACTCTGACTTGCGAGCGAGACAATAATTAGCATAGCGTAATATATCATTGAACAAGTGTGTATGTATACCTTGTGCGATACCATGGGTCCGTAACAGGCTTCAGATTTCAGATCCCACAAAGCCTCCTATCGCAAACTGTGCTACGCGTTCTCCGCCGCGCACACAAGTGAGACTATGACCAAGATGGATTACTTCTTGGCCGTGCCGCCGATCCCCTTTACAAGCACTCGCCTGACAAGCATGAACGGCCCAGCCCGCATCGACTCAGAACAGGACTGAGGATTAAGCCTATTGGCAGCATCTTCGGGTTCGTGCACCGCCCGATCAAGATCTCATTTGTACGGACCCAGCATCCAGGAGCACCTTTCCCCGGAGCTCACAGCTGTCGGATGCTCGCTATGCAAGCTGCACGATGGAACGAGCAGGCAAGCAAGAAGCAAAATTCCCTTTCCGTCAAAGACGTGTTCCCTTTCAGTCGTCGTGCCCGCTGCTGGTGCGGTGGGAAGCTCTGAAATCCCAAAGGTGTGCGGGGCTGCAGCTTCTAACACACTTTGCACAACCTGTGAAGGTTCGGGACGGCTGCAACGCCATGTTCTTGACCGCGGTCGGTTTCGGATGGTGGGATCGTAGATGGCGAAGCAGGCTAGTGTGTAGTGAAGATCGTCGAGTTCCACGGTGATGTTCATTCACTGGGTTTTACAGAGACCTTTCGCGAACCCTATTCTCCTCAGGGACGTTTAGTGTTTCCATCTCTTCAGAGCAGACATGACGAGTCACTAGTAGAGAGCAAAGGCTATGTCATTCAGAGACGGAGTATAAAGCGCGGACTACTTGCACCTGTCGATACTGCTCAGTCCAAGAGCACACTATCCAAACTCCCACGAAATGCGTCGTTCACGCTAATAACAAATTCGTTCCCTCCAGTAAGCAACCAAGCGCCGCGCGAAATGCTATCGTCAAATAGAAAACCTCCTCAAGGGGGCTCTCGATGCCCTACCATGTCTGCAACTCGTTCAATCCTTCGCGTATGGCCTGTCGGTCCCCCTAGTTGACATCCATTCCGTCATCCTCCACATCCTCGTCCCCTTCCTCTTCACCTGCAGTGAGCACTCCAGCGCTGCCCAAGCTCCTCTTACGATTACTCGCGACACCGAAGCGGCTCTGACCAAGCAGCTCCAGTTCCTCAGCACCAACGACACGCGACTCCGGCGTAGCCTCATTACAGAGCTCGATCAGACTGCCTGCAGGCAGGCTCTTGAAGCCCGCCGTGCGAACGATGCGACCGAAGTTCTGCAGGCAGAAGGATGCTGCTCGCTGTTTCAGCCAGTCCTCGCCTGCAGTGGCAGCGCGCTCCCAGATGATTGCTGCATGTTCTATGTCCAGCTCCCTTGCGAGGCGGTTGACGCATAGTAGGCGGAGCCGCGGCATGTCGTAGATGTTGGCCATGACGAGCATACCAGCTACATCAGGAAGAGTAGGGCCGTTCGACGGGTTTGGTGCGATGCTGTCGGTGTAGAGGTAGAATAAGAAGGCGCGGACTGCCGAGTATGGTTCTGGAATGTGCATCTTCTTAGAGTGAAACTCGGACATCTGGGCCGCCCACAACCTAGCGAAGTGCGGCCATCGTGCGTGCAGGATGAACTTGTGGACGTGGATCGGCCGCGAGACAGGTGTTCCGTCGGTCGATGGCTCTATACCAACATCGTCATCGTCATCAGCGTCGGCGGTAATGACGAAGTCTGCGCCACTGCCAGTCTCTGGTGCCTGGTCGAAAGTCATAGACAGATCTGCACCGATACCGGTAAGATGCGAGGAGACGTTGGCGTCTGACGCCGGCATGGTTTTTGATCGTGCATCAGAAGCAAGCTCGTTGCCCAAGACACCGAACTTGCGCAGATCAATAGCAAGGACATCGCTAAGGTACTCGCTGTTCTGCGTCCCATCAGCTGTCGTTTCAACAGGGCTACCCAGCAGCCAAGCGTGCGTGCCTTCGGGGTTGGTTGTGCAATAGTGCCAGCGGTAGTTGGGGCTATACAGATCCTTGCCATCTGCGATCTTCTGCCAACGAAGAGTGTCAAGTTCCAGACTAGAAAGGCTCGTTTCGCAGTTGAGCTCTGCGGGGGTGACGAAGTCGAGTAGACAACCAGATGAAAAGACATGGAAATGCGTGCCAGACGCTTGTGATGGTAAATTTGGACTCGAATGGAACTTGAGTGACGAGATAGAACCAGGTGCGACATATGGCGACCTGTGAGAGCTCATGCCGTGGTAAGACTGCACGCTCGAGTTTGCGGTATAGCCGGTACTACCGGTCGCAGTAAGATGTCCTGAGGCGGGTGCTTGGAACCGTTGTCGCGAAGATGTAAGTTGGCGTTCACCAGTTCCGTACTTCATGGCACTGTCGAACTCAGGGCTGCCACGCAGATCAAGCCACCAAATCTCATTGTTCTTCTCCAGATCGTCATTGATACCGCCAAAGATCCAGATACGGCCATTCGAGATCCAGCTGGCGTGGTCGTATCGCGGTACGAAGCGCCATGAACGCGACCACGTCCATGTCTTGAGATCGAGATAGCAAATGTCGTCTAGAACGCTATCATGTCCTGTCTGGCCACCGCTGATGTACAGCTTGTCATCGTAGATTACCGCAGAATGACGAGCACGTCCGCGCGGTATAACGCCGTGCAGCTCGGGCTGCGTCCAATGCGCCGTCTTAAGGTCGAATACTATAACGTCGGCGAGGTGCTGGCGATGCTCATTCTCTCCGCCAAAGACCAGGAGCTTGCTCCCCTGCCAGAGGCATGCTGTGTGGCCTGCATGCGATTAATTACTACACAAGGCTCGACTGCGGTCGACTTACCCATACGCACTCCAGGGATATCGCCATAGTTGTCGACGAGGTTCCATTGGCGCGTGACCAAGTTCAGACGCAAGACGTGATTATAAACTTCATCCGTGAATTGGTCGAACCCTCCGAAAGCGTAGATTTGGTCGTCGCCGACATATGTAACGGATGCATTCACGAGGCAGGCAGGCTTGGCACCAATTGTGGAGATCATTTTGGGTTTGTAGCCATCTCCAAGCGACTTGCGGCTGCGCACCGGGCTCGCAGACATGAGGAAGGTGTTGTTGGAGGAGGCACCGCTGCCGGGCAGGGCGGTGAGTGCGGTTGATGGGGACGGGGTGGAGACGGCGGCGGGGTTGGGAGTGGTCAAGGGAAGGGCAGCAGTGGGAGCGATTGTGTGTGCCATGGGTTGGGTAGTAGGGTAGTGAACGGGAAGTGGATACACATATGGGGCCCTTCAGCGCAGGGTTAGCCTTTGTCCAGAGGTGAAATATTCGAAGATTGAGGCTGACGGCTCTGATACCGGCCGGCAGAAACAGGCGGTGAAAGGCCAGTGCCAGAAGCGCCGAGCCAGTCAACGGGCAGCAGCGAGCCGCTCCCAGCCTCTCACGATGAGCTCCGGCAAGAACAGGGCATAGCACGATAAGCAGCATGGGCAGCAGTTTTATTGCTTTCGCGCAGTTCACGCACTTGTCACTCTGCGTTGCCTGAGGAGCAGGTCGCACCATCTGCGGCGGCCAGGCCACGCATGCTCACCTGGGCTGCAGGCGCACGGTTGCGGGTGAGGTCATCGCCTGGACAGCCATGTTCGAGGGTCTGGTCGAGCTGTCGCCCCGTCAACGCCTGCCGTAAACAAAGCCTTTTTAAGGAAGCAGCCACCTGCTCGACTGCCATCTCTGCCATACCACACTACCTCTCCATCTCTCTGCCTGCTTGTCTCCCAGACAAGCTACGCAACATTACCTTCCAATCAATACTTCAGAGCATCGATTACAAAAGCATCGATTACAAAAGCATCTAATACTAATTTTACCAACCTACAGCAGCATAACCCAAAAACCATACTGTATGAGGAGTGCCCCACTTTTTACATGCATGCATTCGTCTGACAGTACTCCAGCAAGAAATCTTCGCAGTCATGGCCAGCCCAGCGGTCCTGACTCCGGTCAAGAACCGCAACTCAGTCTTCTCCACCCGTGCCGCTGGCGGACGGATGCCATTGACTCCTTCTCCCCGCACACCCAAGACACAGACTCCCGATGCGCAGGCGCACGAGTCGATTCATGGCGGAAATCTCATGGCCCGTTTCCAGCGTTCCATCTCCAAGAGCCAGAAGCCTTCTCCCAAGTCAAACATCGCCCGCGTCAACTCGCCACGGAGACTAGAGCTCGGTGTATCTGAATGGTCGCTCACAGGAACCGCAACCGTTACTGCGAAGGCAAAGGCACCCGCAGTTGTCAAGACAAAGAAGGAGCCTGCTGTTCGCGCACGCCCAACCAAGACTCGCATCACCTACAACTCCGCTGACCGATTCATCCCCAACCGGACGGCCAGCGACGCCATTGCTACGGTTGGCTCTGGCAAGATTGACCGCGAGTCGCGGCCCAAGTCCAGCTCCAAGGCCGAGGGTTCCACAGTACTTGCTAACGCCGCGAGTGCATTCGACCTTGGTGGTCGTGGGTCGGAGGAGGACGTCACCCTTGCACTGGAGGGCCTGAACCTCGGAGAGGACGAGGAGGAGAGCCAGCCCAAGGCGAAGCCTGCCCCAGAGACAGTCGCGTACCAGTCAACACTCGCCTCAGCATGTGGCATCAACCAAAACCAGCGCATTCTTGCATTCAAGCCTGCCCCACCAGAGTCATCAAAGCCTATCGACCTCCGATCGCAGTACAACCGCCCTCTCAAGCCCACCAGCGGCATCAACGCACAGAGCCGTCGTCGCATTCCTTCAGCACCCGAGCGCGTTCTCGATGCTCCTGGCCTTGTCGACGACTACTACCTCAACCTGCTCGACTGGTCCTCTGGCAACCAGGTCGCCATTGGTCTTGAGCGTTCCGTCTACGTGTGGTCTGCCGACTCTGGTTCCGTCTCCTCGCTCTTCGAGTGCTCTGCCGATACCTACATCTCTTCTGTGAAGTGGTCTGGCGACGGTGCCTACGTCGGTGTCGGACTCGGCACAGGTGAGGTGCAGATCTGGGACGTGGAAGAGCAGACCAAGCTCCGCAGCATGTTCGGCCACGAGACCCGTGTTGGTGTCATGGGCTGGAACAAGCACATCCTCTCCACCGGTGCCCGCTCCGGTCTCGTCTACAACCACGATGTCCGCATCGCCCAGCACAAGGTCGCCGAGCTCGTCTCTCACACTGGTGAGGTCTGCGGTCTTGAGTGGCGTGCCGACGGTGCACAGCTCGCAACGGGCGCCAACGACAACCTGGTCTCGATCTGGGATGCGCGTTCTCTCGCTGCGCCCAAGTTCACCAAGACCAACCACCGTGCTGCCGTCAAGGCTGTCTCCTGGTGCCCCTGGCAGTCCAACCTCCTCGCTACCGGCGGTGGCTCCAACGATCGTCAGATCTACTTCTGGAACACCACCACTGGTGCTCGCGTCAACCACATTGCCACCGACTCCCAGGTCACCAGCTTGCGATGGAGCACTCACTACAAGGAGATCGTCAGCAGCGGCGGATTCCCTGACAACAGCCTCAGCATCTGGAGTTACCCCACCGGTGTCAAGAACATGGAGATTCCCGCCCACGAGTCTCGTGTCCTCCACAGCTGCCTCAGCCCGGACGGTCAGATGCTGGCCACCGCTGCTGCCGACGAGTCCCTCAAGTTCTGGAAGATCTTCGAGAAGAAGCCTGGTCAGCCTTCCGTCGCTGCCGCAGGCGCCGTCTCGACCAAGCCCAGCGCTACCAAGCAGATGACCATCCGCTAAGTCTGTATCGTGTGGTGAAAGAGCGTGAAGAGGGAAGAAGCAGTGGGCTCACCTGCCACTATCAACATCCAGCACAGTCATCGTCCTCGACCATGCCACTGCTGCGACCAACAATACCGGCTTGCGCAACGGAGCCAGTATCACCCCGACTCTACGCGCAACGGTAAGTTGGTAAGTATCACATCTTGTTTGGGTATGTGACGCGTTCCAATACTGGAACTCCACATCTACCCTCGGATCAGTCAACTGGGTTCAGTGACTCGGCGAGGCGTTCTCGAAGCATTGCACGGCGTCAAATCAGCATTTCGAGCGTGCTTGCTACATCAAGTTCATGAGTTACGATATGATACCCACCCAGCCATCGAGGGAGCTTTTGGTACAATTTTTGGAGTCTATTGGGATCAGTCGTCATAGCATTATCAATCAAACACTCAAACATGCTACTTCTTTTTCACAATTGCATCATGTTACAACTTCCAAGACTAACGTGCAGGTCGTGGAGGTAGTCAAGGCGTTGAACAGAGGAAGGTGCTAAAGAAAAACGAACCAGCAATCACGTGCGCACGCGTCCGCGCGGCGCGTCACGTCATAGCTCCGACTACCTCCACGCTTCTTCCCGCACGCCTTCCCCACCATGCCTACGACGATGTCGCCGGAGGAATATCAGGAGCTCGGCCGCCGCTACTACAAGCGCAAGCAGCTCGACAAAGCCCTAGAAACCTTCAATGATGCCATCAACGCAACGCCCACGCTCAGCCTGCACGACTACCGCGCCGCGTGCTATGACAAGCTCGGAGACTACAATGCCGCCGTGAAGGATGGACGCGCCATGATCAAGCTGGACAAGCAAGATGTTCGGGGCTATCTGCGCACTACCAGTGTCTTGGAGAAGTCTGGGAAGCCTGAGATTGCGCTTGGGATCTACAAATACGGCATGAAGAACGTCCCGGTGGAGGATAAGAACTTTAAGGTGGGTGCGCAAACATCTGAAGGCCTCCAGGATGCACTGAAAGGCTTATGTTGGCACACCGCAGCTTCTCCAACAGCTTCACGATAAGCTCGCCCGCAAGCTCTCGCCCGCCAAAGCCGTCGATCCATTCACTATCCTCCCCGTCGAAATCGCCGAGATGATCGTCGAATACCTCACCTTTCAGAACATGCTCAACTGCATGCGCATTAGCAGAGGATGGCGTGACTATCTCCAGAAGCTGCCTCGCCTGTGGCTGCACCTCGACATGTCGGAGGCAAAGAGACCTGTTCCTCGCAGCTTTGTCGACAAAGCAGTCCGTCGCTCACAGTATCGCCTCGAGCGGCTCACATTGCACCGATTCCAGCATATGGACGTGGTGCAGAATATTGTGCGAGCATGTAAGAGCCTGGAGGACATCAGCATACTATCGCTGCCCCTAAAGACTGCAGAATCGCTGATAGGCATCGTGCAATCGTCGCACAACCTTAAGCGCATCACCATCCACTCTGATATAACGACGAATACCTCCACGCAGATATTACGCTTTGGACCAAGCCTGGAGACAGTCGACTACAGATCACTGCAGACGTATCGGTATCAGGCAGATTGGACAGGCCCATTTCCAAATCTCAAGTACCTGCGGGTTACTACGCCGATGTGTCCGAGTACGCTACAGCTAGACCTAGCCCAGCTTTTCGCACTGACTACCTCCCTGCGTACCCTTGTTTTGACAGACATGACGGGATCGCTCCCCGATAACCTCCAGCATCTGCCGCTGAAGACCCTCACTCTCAAGCGCGTCGGACTCAGCAGACTCCCTATCCTTCCCTCCACACTGGAGCACCTAACCGTCGAAGTCTCGACACAAACCAGCGTTGGAGCGTATCAACCTGAAGCTCTGGCCAGCTCCCTTCCTAAACTAACACACCTCACTCTCTCCGGCCTCTCCGGCTTCAACGCTGACTTCTTCTCCGACCTCCTCGACCTCCACCACTCCGACGTCCACCCTAGCAACTTCGAACACCCCAAACGCATGACCGGCACGCCGCTCCAGCACCTCTCCCTCGCCGGCACCCTCGACCCAGACGACCGCGGCCTCTTCCGCGCACCCGCCCACGTACTATCTACCTCCCCACGCATCCTCACACCAAGCCTCTCCTCCCTCACCCTCCACGACCTCCCCGTCAACGACGACGAAATCGAAGCCTTCCTCACCCACCCAACGGGCCTGACTGCCATCGACCTGTCCGGATTGAAGGTCACAGGCGCTAGTATCAAGATGTTGACTGATGGCCTGCGCACACTGAAGGCTGTCAGGGTGGACAATTGTGCGGCGATTGTGGGCAGGGATGCAATTGCTTATGCGGAGAGGAGGGGTGTGAGTGTTCAATGCGCAACGGGTTCTGCGCTGACCGGGAAGGGGCGGAGGGTCAGAGAAGGGTGATGCCAAACGTAACTAGGGTACTATGGATTTCGAAACAGAGTGTTACAAAATCAATTGGGTGAATGCCTCCAGCCCTGTGTCGAGGACTGAGGATTGCGAAGGGTTTCCAATTTCGCTGCTCTGGACCTCACCCTCGAGGCAGCCAGAACCACCAACTCTCAACCAACACCCTAGAGGCCTCTCGCACAGCAAGTGTACACCACAGAAACATCCCTCGTCTCCCCCCCCCCTAGTCTCCTTTTCCTTTTCTCATTTCGTCTCCCACGTCATCACGTATCCCTCCGCTCAGCTCTTTTCCCAAGACAAGTTGCTTGTCGAATTCCGCAACGTGAACTACAGTACGAGAGATGTAGGATGGAGAACTGCTACCCTAGGAGGTCGGTCAGCAAGTTCTGTAGCTGCCTGTCGTCGGTGCGAGAGACAGGCTTCGTGGCGTGTGAAGGTGCGGTCGAAGGCAGTCGTGGCGTAGAGGTCGAATTGCGAACAGGAGAAATAACGATACCCGAATTGAGGCCATGGGTAGGGATGTTTAAATGTTAGTATCGATGTGGAGTGCGGAACGATCAAACTGTGCGTGTCAAGTCCCAGACGAGGATGTTGGTGGTCTTGGAGGTCCTCGGTATTGATATGGGGGTCGTTGGGGTGTGTCGAGATTGCAGTGTGTTGATTGAAAAGATGAACCTGCCAAGTGCGTGCGGATATCAAGCGACAGTGTCTTCGGTGCACTTTTCGTGCTCCTAAGCCTTGGTATATGGTTCTCGGTACCGTTTAGATCCCTACATGGTGAAGTTTGATCCGTGGTTCACTACCAGTGGTTCTACACAATCGACCAGAAGCGGGGTATTCAAAGATCTTATGGTGTTGTGCTGGTACTACTACTAACCGTCAGTGAAGTTATGGTATCATCAACTCATCTCACCTCTACACGTAAGCTAACCGACCCAAACGACCAGTGCCCATGCTGACATGCCATACCCTGAACGCCAGTGCCAATGACCTCTCCTCGTAGCCCTTTCCAATCCTGTAAACGCCATTTTGTCTCAAAAGCAGATCCACGTGGCAACTGCGCCTAGCTGCTACCGGTACTCTGGCGCATGAGCAGGCCCGGTGTCGAGGCGGCGTGCTGGCCGGGAGTATTCGAGTTCGCCTTTTTCTTTTCTTTCTTCGCCCACCGCACTGTGCCTCGTCAGCAAATGTTCAGGAATTCGGCAAGGCCCACTTACATCCACACGCATTGCATAATGTTTTTGGCCCATTAGGCCCCTTCCTCCATTCTGGTGAGTCCAGCGTACCACAGTCAGTACACACGTATTCATCCGCAAGTTTCAACTTCTTCTTCTTATCTGAAGTGCCTCTCCCGTCTCGGTCCAACGAGATCTGTATCCCGGCATCGCCTCTAATGAGCATTGGGCTTGCATCTCCCGTACTGATACCCTGTGACCGCTCGCCGTCTCGGTACCGCAGCCCCGTCAGCATCTCGATCGTCTCCAGATGGTTTGCGCCTTCGTAGCGCGCCATCTTGTCGCTGATGTTCTCTGTCCGGCTCGCTGCCAATACTTCGTCGAGGTTCTGCCGTGTGAGCGCCGTACTCGATATGCTGGGCTTTGCAGGCGGCGGCATTTGCGCGTATGAGGCGACGTCGCTGGCATGGACGCTCTGTGAGACTGCTGACTCCGTGGGCACGCCAGACTGGCTCTGGGCGTCCTTCTTCGACCATTCCTCCTGCTCCTCCTGCTCTTCGCGCTTCAGCTCGGCGATGCGTTTGGTGAGGCGTTCGTTCTCGATCTTGTGCTCGAGGAAGGAGTCGAGAAGGGCGGCGTTCTTGGTGGGGTAGGGCCGAGCCATGATGAAGAAGCCGCGGCAGTTGAGGGCATTTGGGGGCGCGAAGGAGCTGAGATCGTTGGAGAGGTGAGGGTGGCCATGGGACTCGAAGATGGTCCATGTCTCGTCGGCTTTGCGGAAGCGGTAGAAGAAGCGCATGGAGTTGCCGGAGGCGATGCTCTCGTTGAACTCCTTGACGAATATGCCAATGTCCTCCGGGTGGATGAAGTCATTGATGAAGCGGCCCGCGAGCTGGTTCGGGTCCCAGCCGGTGAGCGTCTTGCACGACGGTGAGACGTAGAGGATGCGGCCATTGGGCGTCAGGATGTGCAGTAGGTCGCGCAGCTCTTCCAGGACGCGCTGCGACCAGTTCCGCCGCTTGGTGAACTCGGTCAGCGTACTGCCAGAGGGATTCATGCTGGGCGCGCCGAAGCCTGTGGGAAGCGGCCCTGCGCCGGCGCCCGTCATGCTGCTGACAGGGCCCATGGAGAGGGAGAGGCCGTTGCGGGCGCCGCCGGGGGTGCTGCTCGTGGGCAGGCTGGGCTGCTGCAGCGCCTGCGCCTGCGACATGAACGGCGTGTACCCGCCGTTGTTCACGCTGCCCGCGTCGTCCATGGCCAGCGACAGGTCCATGTCCACGGGCATCACATTGCTGTCCATCAGGGGCAGCTGCAGGCCATGGAAGTCCGCGACGCTGCTGTGGCCGGGCGGTGCCGTGCTGTGGAGCGCCTGGTTCACTTGTGTTGGGATTTGTGGAAAGTGCCCGCTCATCTGCCTTCGCATCAGCCTCAGGTCTCAACATGTGGGGGCCCTGCACAACGCGCGCGCGGGGGCTTGTAGGGGCCTCGCGCTGGATTTACCTCAGCATCGCCATTTTGGTACATGCCTAAGGCTGTCTGCTGTATGCCTCGGAATACCCGGCACACATGCGATGATTTGCGTAGGGTTGCTCGGATTCGAGACTGCTCATAGGGGCGGCATAACTCTCCGTGGTCCTGAAGATACGCATGCTGTTAGATTTGCACTAGGCGTTATGACGGCACCGCGTGATTCTGTTGACGCTGACGCTTGGCTGAATTGGGGCACTGACAGGTCACGTGGAAGCGCGAAAGGCAGACGCGTTAGGCAGACGCGCCTTTTCTCCGTGACGATCATCAACGCATCTTCGCCCGACATCAGCTGCGCGAGGGCGCTCACTCAACGACCCAACGAGAGAGCGCAGCCCACACCGCCGTCATGTCGAAAATCGACCGCATGATGATCCAGGGCATCCGCTCCTTTGGGCCAGAGAAAGGAGAGACTATTGTCTTCACCACCCCGCTCACGCTCATTGTCGGCTGGAACGGCTCGGGAAAGACAGTGCGTACGCTGCAGTGGCCGAAAGCAATGTGACTGACACGTGCCCAGACGATCATCGAATCGCTGAGATATGCAACAACAGGTGACTTTCCACCAAACAGCAAGACAGGCGGTGCTTTCATTCATGACCCCAAGCTGCGCAACGAGAAAGAGCTGTTGGCGCAGGTCAAGCTGTCTTTCCGCTCAACCTCGGGTGTCCGCATGGTCGCTACCCGCAACCTGCAAGTCACCGTCAAGAAGAATGCACGCAGCCAGAAGACTCTGGAGGGGTCGTTGCTCATGCTGAAAGACGGCGAGAAGCACTCCATCTCCACTCGTGTTGCCGAGCTGGACCAGATCATCCCCCAATACCTTGGTGTGTCCAAGGCCATCCTCGACAATGTCATCTTCTGCCATCAAGAAGAGAGCCTGTGGCCATTGGGTGACGCTAAGACCCTGAAGACGAAGTTCGATGAGATCTTCGAGGCGCTGAAGTACACAAAAGCCATCGAAAACATCAAGATGATTCGCAAGGAACGGAGCAACGAGCTTGGCCAACTGAAGATTATCGAAGCAAACGCAAAGGAGGATAAAGACCGAGCTGGGAAGAGCGAGAAGCGACAAGCCGCGCTCTTCGACGAGATCGAGGAACTCCGTGGCGAGTATGAGAAGGTGGACGGAGAGTGCACAGAGGCGCAGCAGAAGGCCAACGAGGCCTACAACCATGCGGCAAGATTCGAACAGATTGTGGCACAGCTGAACGGCAAGCGCATCACTTTCAACGCCAACAAAGACAGCGTCGATGCTTTACAAGACAACCTGAAGCAGATGGCCGAGTCAGACAACGAGCTGCAAGAGATGTTGGATCAGTACGAGGAGAGGATCGCGACATATGTTACTCAGCAAGATGAGTTTCGCCAACAGTATGGTGACCTCAAGGACGAGCTGCAGCAAAGCCGGAACTCGCTTGGTGCGAAGCAGGGCGAGATCGGCAAGTACGAAGCGCAGAAAGAGCAGCACGATCGTCAGCTTCAACAGCGCGAGAACCTCATCAAAGAGACTGCCAAACGCCATAGCATCCGTGGCTACGATTACGAGATAACCGACAAGCACATCTCGGACTTCCAGCAGGTCCTAGGCAAGATGTCTCGTGACCAAAACAAGACACTCGATCGCGTTCGAGAAGACACGCAGCGTGAGCTCCGCGAAGCGCAGAACGATCTCAACCAGCTTAATACACGCAAGTCCAACCTAAGCCAGAGCAAAGAATCTGCGCGAACAGCGATCACAGGCAACGACAAGCGTATTTCGGATCTACAACGGTCAATGAACCAGATCAAGGCCGACGAAGGTAATGAAGCCATCCTGCAGGACAAGAAGCGCGAGACCGAGGAGCGTCTGGGCAATGCGAACTCGGACACAGCTTCTGGTCGCTTCGATGAGCGAATACAGGAAGCGTCGGAGACTGTACGGACACTAGAGGATAAGAAGGAGCGACTGACCGCGGAGCTTGGAGATGCCACAAAGCAGGCTCGTGAATCAGCGTCCATCGACTATACACGGAACGAACTGCAAGGACAGCAGCACAGCCTTGAGAAGATGAAGAAGGTTCACAATAAGCGCATCTCTCAGCTAGTCGACTCTGACTGGGATCCATTGACACTGGAGACCACTTTCCAGAGCGTGCTCTCACAGAAAACCAGCAAAGTCAAAGAAGCAACGTCACGACGTGATATCGCACAAACAAAGCTAGACAACGTCAACTTCCAAATGTCAAGTCTGGAATCACAGGTCAAGAAAAAGCGATCAGAGTTGCAGCAGTACGAGCAAACCGTAAAGGGGGCCATCCAGAAGGACGACATCTCCGACTTCGATGAGACATTGCAGCAGCTTGAAGATGACTACGACGCTACATCTACGGACAAGGCAAAGTTCGAGGCGCAAATTGAGTACATGCGACAGTGTTTAATGACCGCGGAGCGTGATAACACATGCCGGCTGTGTGCCAGAGCCCTTCACGACGATAGATCTCAACAATTCACCACTGCTGGCTTCATCGACAAATTGAACAGGATCATCGAGAAAGCTGAGATCAACATGCAGGGAGACAATGCCGAGGAGCTGCTAGCTGAACTTGAAGCTGCTCGCAATGCTAAACCCAGCTACGAGTTGGCCATCCGCTTACGCGACACTGAAATTCCCGCACTACAGAAAGATCTCGCAAAGTTGTCGACAGAGCGTGACGGTGCCAACAAGCAACTAGAAGATCAAGATGCTGTCATCCACGATCTGGAGGTAGAGAGGCAGGACGTAGAGTCTCTTTCAAGAGACGTTCAGACTATTGTCCACAACTACAACGAGATCATCAAACTCGAGGCGCAGGTCAAGGATCTGACCCAGAAGCAGAAGACCGCTGGATTGTCGAGAGGCATTGATGCTGTCCAAGCAGACTTGAAGAAGGTGACCGACGAAAGCAGGAATGCTAGAAACGCCCTGGACCAGCTCACATCCGAGCGAGACAAGTCACGAAACCTCATCGCAACTCTGGAGATCAGAATCCGCGATATCAACGTTGATCTGAACAACGCACAGTCAAAGTTGAAGGAGAAGCGTGCACTAGCTGACCGAATCGAGGAGCTGAAGACCGAGAACAACAAACAGCGCGAGACCATGCGCGGCTTCGACAAAGAAGTTGAGAGCCTTGTTCCTGAGATTGAGCAGACTCAGTACAACTACGATGAAATCAATCGTCGAGGCAACGAGAAGGTTCAGCGCGCACATGATGAAGCTTCGAAGCTCTCTGACAGCGTTCGCCAACTCACTCAGGCCGATCGCGAGATCAACGCCTACATCGACCGCGGCGGCCCACAACAGCTTGCACGCACACACCGAGACATCGAAAATCTGCAAGGCGAAATCGCTCGCATCGAGTCCGAAATGATGGAAGTCACGCGCAAGGTAAAGAAAATCGAAGATACAATGCGCGACACCGAAATGACCAAACGCTCCATCAGCGACAACCTCCGCTACCGCAAAGCCAAACGTGCCCTGGAGACTCTTCAAATAGAAATTGAAAAGCTCGAAGAACACGGCGCCGAGCGCGATAAAGACCACTACGAACGCGAAGCCCAGTACTGGGACACACGGTACCACCAGCTCAACACTTCGAAAACCTCGGTCGAGCGCGACATGAAGAACAAAGACGACCAGCTCACCGAGCTCATGGAAGAATACAAGTCACTCTACGAAAACGCAGCATCCAGCTACCGCGAAGCGCACATCAAAGTCGAAACGACAAAAGCCGCCATCGAAGACCTCGGCCGCTACGCCAGCGCCCTCGACAAAGCAATCATCCAGTACCACGCGCTCAAGATGGAGGAAATCAACCGCATCATCGCCGAGCTGTGGCGCAACGCCTACCAAGGCACCGACGTGGACACGATCCGGATCGCGGGCGACTCCGAAGCCAAAGGCAATCGCTCCTACAACTACCGCGTCGTCATGGTCAAGCAGGACACCGAGATGGACATGCGGGGGCGCTGCTCGGCGGGCCAGAAGGTGCTCGCGTCTATCGTTATTCGGCTTGCGCTTGCGGAGTGCTTTGGCACGAATTGCGGCTTGATTGCGCTGGATGAGCCGACGACGAATCTGGATCAGCAGAATATTCAGGGGTTGGCGCAGAGTTTGAGTCAGATTATTCAGATGCGACGCAAGCAGGCGAATTTCCAGCTCCTGGTTATCACGCACGATGAGCAATTTCTCAGGGAGATGAATTGTGCGGATTATACCGACGTGTATTGGCGCGTGGGCAGGGATGCGAGTCAGGAAAGTTTTATTGAGAGGCAGAATATTGCGGAGGTTTCATAGTGAGGTCGCCAACGGAGGGACTGCGATGGTAGTTACGAGGTTTCAGGGCACTTGTGGGCTTCACTGGGGCATCGAGCGGGTGCGGAATATGAGTAAGACTTAATGATATGTAAATGCTATACGACAGCTCTTGTTACTTTTCTCTTCTAGAGGACCACAGTGTCTGTCTCGTCGTCTAAATCCTAATTGGTTTGTACAGTGCTATGGCCCTAAGTCGCCACACTCGTTCAGAGGCTCGATTCTAGGTCGTCCACTGCTCAAGGGAAGGAACTCCGATGCGACACCCAGGTCCATTTGCATCCTGTCTACGCACCATTGCGGAATGACGGCCACCACAAGCATGCTTGCGGTAAGCGTAGCATGGAGGACCCGCGCGTGGGCAAAGTCGAGCCATGATATGTTTGTCTTTGGTAGTGGAGACAATTGTTGTCGGTCCTCTTGTCGACGTTGTTCCAAAGTGTTCAGTCCCGCCTGGAGACTGTGGCTTGTAGTACGACTCTGGTCTGGGGGCCTGGTCTGTCGCAGAAGATGAAGAGATGGCAGGACTAGTTTGGGATGAGTTTGGGCCCCTTTTGCACCTTAGGGTTAGGTTGGGTTGGTGTTGCGACACTTCGATGCCGACTGCAGCGAGCATACTAGTGGCCGTCGAAGCAAGAGACTTGAGCGTGGAGAGCTGTCAAGATATGGCATATTTATCTTCAGATATTACCAAAGCCCTTGCGAACTGTGCGAATGTCGAGTCCCGGTGTTGATATGGCCTTGTGCAGGGGGTTTGTTTCCCGGTGAGCTGTGAAAAGCCCCTTTTCTGGCGAGCTAGTGTGTTGCTGCCAACTTTGGGTGGCCCCCCACTACGAAGAGGGGTATTTATGGTCGTCTTCTTGGAGCCGACAGATGGAGATGACACGTAGGTGCGCGAATTCCTCGTGCATCAGAGGGGTGGTACCATGCCAATTAAGATGGCAATGCAACGAAGCCAGCTATCTGGGGCCTGAGTACGTAGCTGAGCTTGATCTCTTCTCCAGACCCGTGTTGTTGGCGTTCCTAGATCTGATTTGAGATGGTGTGGTGTTGCAGGAAAGAGCGCCTATATTCGGTGTTGGTCTCTGATTTGGTGGCTTGCTGAGGAACGCCAATTTGCAGCTCCAGGCGCGGCTGAGCAAGTGCAAGCGTGCAGAAGCAGTTGTAACCACCTACGGGAGAAAACCAGTTCGTTGTAGACGTGTAACTCGAGGATATGAGTTGCTGTTTCAACTGCGACCATATCGACCGATGGTCAACCCCAAACCGAGTCCGAGTGCGAGGCCTAGCACTACAGTAGTAATGAGTCCGCCGATGAGGACCTTGCTGTGAAGAGACCGTCTGCGTGCCGCTGAGCGTTCCAGGTCATATGTCAATTGCGCTGATGTAGATCGATCAGTAGATCGCCTACCCAGCATCTCCTTGTCTGTGGCTTGCTTGTCCATCATAATAGTCTTGTTGCGGGATTTGAGGGATGGAGAAGTGAAGTCTGGGTCAGGGAGCAAGATGTATAACAGTGCTCGGATAAATCGGCATGTGACGCGGCCCGTTTGCACCTTGTGTGCCTTGCGTTCCGTAGCAGATGACACAAGAAAAGACCTCACCTATCGAAGTATCTGGACATCTCCGCTTCTCATAAGACAAGACGAACGGCGAACGGAAAGACGGATGGCGTTGTAATTGACGGCGACTGCACGGAGGAGATGATCTTCGACGCTCGGTGCGCGTGTGGGACTTGATACGAGGTCAATAAAGACTGCAATCAAGAGGTTGGGAGAATTGCGATGTTGAAGTATCCGGAGAACAGTTAGTCCCTCAGATGTTCTTGATATGTGGCTGTGCGATCATGAGGCTCAACCTCCAGCCTCCCATTTGATCTGCGAGAGTGCACAGACCAACATCCTAAGCTTTTCAGCCTCTTCGGCGAGATGCCGATGTGTTGCGAGCGAACCGAACTCTGAAACTGCCATCTCGTCGTTGGACAGGCTTCTTAGGGGATGCAGCTGAGTCTCTCTCATTTTTCATTCGCGCCGCTTCTCATATATATCTGTCAGCATCTTCCAGTGCACGCTCTTGTACTTGTGGAGGGTCATGACTCCCTAGGTCATCATCTCCGGCTACAAATCAGCATCGCCGAAGGCGGCCAGACTTCTCCGGACACCAACCATCGTTCTCCGGGACGAGCCTTCAGAGAACTTGCCGGGAATAACAGAAATAGCGTCCGGCAGCGCGACCAGCCCTGACGATCAGTGTGAGCTTTACTGCGAGCGTGTGAAGTGGAGCTATCGCGACCCACAAACGTCATGTTGGCTAACAATTTTTCCATGATGCGTGTGCGGGAGCTTAGAAATCTGCAATCAGACAAAAGATCATGGGTGTGCTACAATTGTAAAACTGTAGTGATTGTCTGCTGGTCGCTTCATACCAAAGCAGCTCGTTCCCAGGAGCTTGTGTAAGTTGGAGATTTTGCCCTCAAATGACTACGGACATCTGAACGGCTCCGCGGCATCGAAACGAATCGGGACACCCCCAGGCCTCCAACATGCAGTCAATTGTGCAATACCGAAGATTTCGAAAGCAAGCAGAAGAGCAGTATAGTCGACATGCACAACACGACGAGAAATCCATAACTGGAGAAAGAGCCGGTCAGCCAGCCCGGGCACCATCACCAAGCACCTCGCCATCAACTTCATCGGCATCAACTTCATCGGCATCGCAGTCAGAGCAATCGCTTAATCTCAAGCATGTCGATATCGAGAAGGACGCAGCGTTTCCAGAAACAGCTATCCCACATGCTGGCGCATCACAGCATTGCCGCGGCGGAATAGAAGGGAGAGACGCGCAACACATGCAAGAGGAGGCCGAAGCAGGTCGGGAAGTTTACCTCACACAACCGCCTCAGGAGGCCAACCGTGCATTAAGTCGTGTAGCGACTGCGCGCTCCGTCGGCACCAGACTCGGCGTAGCACTGACAGGCATCGCTGTCCGTGACCGGCGCACGAACGAAGGAGGAGCAGATGCAGGGAAAGTCTTCGTTGTGGCATTTGAAGGCGACAATGATCTTTCGAAACCCCAGAATTGGAGCTACACTAGACGGATCTGCGCAACAGCCATGATTGCCCTGATCGGCTTCGTCGTTGGCGTAGCGTCCTCTATCGACTCCCCAGCTACCTCTAGAGCAGCGCAAGAGTTTGGCGTCAGCGATGTTGTGGAGATCCTCGCGACTGGCCTCTACCTGATAGGCTTCGGCGTCGGCGCACTCTTTGCAGGCCCCTTCAGCGAAACACTAGGCCGAAACCCCGTCTACATCATTACACTGACTACGTACATGATCTTCATCATGGCCTCCGGACTCGCGAAGAACATTCAACAACAGCTAGTTTTCCGCTTCCTCGCCGGCTTCTTCGGCTCCACGCCTTTGACGTGTGCAGGAGGATCTATTAGTGACCTCTGGACGCCGATGGAGCGCGTCTTCGCATTTCCAATGTTCGCTAATGCTGCCTTCCTTGGTCCGGTCATGGGGCCTGTGATGGGAGGCTTCATCGCGCAAAGCACGTCCGTCTCCTGGCGCTGGGTAGAATGGACGACCCTTATCATGTCCGGTCTGGTACTTATCCTCGTCGTCATCTTCCAGCCGGAAACCTACGCTCCTGTGCTCCTCGCATGGAAAGCCCAGCATCTTCGCAAAGTCACAGGCGACCAGCGCTTCGTCGCTGAGATGGAGATTCGCGGCGAGCCTTTCCTTCATCGTCTCGGCACCGCCTTGTACCGCCCCTTTCTGCTGACCTTGGAGCCCATCGTCCTGTTAGTCACACTGTATCTCACAGTCATATACATAGTCCTCTTCAGCTTCCTCGACGGCTACGACTACATCTTCGGCTCTACCCACGGCACCTCTCAAGGCATAACCGGTCTCTGCTTTCTTAATATCGCCATTGGGCTATTCGGTGCATCCCTCTGGGTCCCCCTTATCTACAAGTGGGCAAAGCGCGATGTGGTAGCCATCCAAGAACGAGGCGGCTCCCGTCTTCCTCCAGAGTTTCGATTGTGGTACGCCATGTTCGGCGCACCAGCTATCCCCATCAGCCTGTTCTGGATGGGCTGGACGAGCTACTCGCATATATCTATCTGGTCCCCGATTCTCGCTGGCGTGCTGTTTGGCTATGGTGTGCTGTGTGTGTTCATCTCGAGTTACCAGTACATCATCGATAGCTACGAGATGTATGCCGCGAGTGCGCTCACAAGCGTTACGTTGGTAAGATATGTTACAGCGGGTGGCATGACGGTTGTGGGGATCCCGTTCTACAAGAATATGGGTGTGCACTGGACATTGACTATCCTTGGGGGTATCAGTGCGGTGCTCGTGCCTGTTCCATACTTGTTCTATATCTACGGGAAGAAGATTAGGGGGAAAAGCAAGTACGCCGTAGTGCACGAGTGATTTTCTTGCTACGAAGCTTCTCTGTAGATCTGGAAATCAACAAAGAGTACAGTGGTACTTGTTGATCAAGAATCACTCACGATGTACGCAAAACTCCAACCTTGTATCTGTGGCCGTGATCCGCATGCACACCTCGACCCCTATCCCTCCGCAATTAAATGCGTAAAATAGTCTCCAAGAAAGTACGCCGACCGCTTAGGAAACCTCGTCTTCTCCTCACTCTCAAAATCCACCCACGTACACCCGAACCGATCCTCAAATCCCGCCGCCCACTCCCAATTATCCGTAAACGTCCATCCAAAATAACTTCGAATGTCGACGCCATCTTGCACAGCGCGCGCCAGCTCACGAAGATAGCTGTGGAAGAAGTCGACGCGGAATGTGTCGTTCAACACTTCGGCGGACGGGGGAGCTTTGACATGCTCGCCCTTCGCCGTCGTCCCGTTCTCTGTCATGTAGATGGGCACGTGGTATCGATCCCAGATCCAGTGGAGCAGTTTCCCAAAGCCAGAGGGCGCTGTGCGCAGCCAATAGGTGTCTGACTCCGGGCCTCTAGACTTGCCCTCACTGTTAGTGTCCAGTTTCTCGACGTTGCCCAGGTGGTCGTTAATATCCGCCTCCCCATCAAGATGGCGCACAAAGAACGTCGTGTATGTGTTCATGCCGTAGAAATCACTACTCCCTTTCACTATCGACTTCTCCTCGTCTGTGAATGTGGGCAGTCGCGAGCCGAGCTGAGAGCGCATGCTGGCTGGATAGTCGCCGGAGCCGTAGATCGGGTCGGCGAACCATGCTATCTCAAACTCTCTAGCGCGTTGCGCGGCTTCTACGTCCTTGGGGTCGTTGACATCCCAAGGCTCGGAGTAGTTGCCGTGCAGCGTGATGCCTATTTGCCCTTTCTGGTGCGGTTTGAACTCCTCGCGGTAGATTTTCGCTGCGCGGGCGTGGCTTACGATTTCTGTGTGCGCAACGATAAAAGTCTCTGTCGAGCTGTCGCCTTCGGCATTGCGCTCGCGGAACGAGGAGCGTGCGGGTGCGTGGACACCTGCTGCGTAACCGGCGAGCGTGTACACACCGGGTTCGTTGTAGGTGATCCAGTGTTTTACTCTGTCGCCGAAACGCTCAAAACAGAGACATGCATAGCGCAGGAAGTCTGGTGTGTATTTCTCTTGGTTCAGCATGCCGCCGTAGCGGTCTTCAAGAGCTTGAGGGGTGTCCCAGTGGAACAGTGTGACGAAGGGGGTGATGCCGTTTGCGATCAACTCGTCGATCAAGTTGTTATAGTAGTCAACGCCCTTTTCATTGACAGGGTCGTTGATACCGCCGAGGGGAATAATACGAGACCAGGAGAGGGAAAAGCGGTATGCGGTTACGCCATAGCTTTTCATCAAGGCGACATCTTGTTTGTAGAGGTCATATGCGCGAGTTGCGTCTTCATTGGTGCTTCCGTCTTTTACTTTGCCAGGCGTGTGGCAGAACTTGTCCCATATTGATTCGCCTTTGCCATCTTTGTTCCAGGTGCCTTCGACTTGAGCGGCAGCGGTTGCGAAACCCCAGTGGAAGTCTCTTCGTAGAGTGTCCTTGAGTTCCGCGTCTGGCGACTCATCGAAGTTGTGTGTCCAAGTCATGGTTCGTTTCTTGACAGAGAAACCAAGATGTTCGGTCAGACGTGCTCGTTATAAGTAGAGGCTTGTGTCTCTGATGAGGATTGCTGAAGGCAGTGTTTCCAAGTCGCCTGAATGCTTGTCGTTGAAGGTAGGTCTATCACCCGGAGTGCCGTTTTGGGTTTATCCGGTAGAATGACTATTTTAATGTGCCCCCTCACCCGCAGTTGTTGTTGATCAACATTCGCGCTAGGTAAAATATGTAGAGAGCTCGACGTGGTAAGCTCTTACGGTACGGTACGTAAATGCGGGTGAGCGTTGCGTCATTGGCGGAAATGAGGAGCTTCGCGTCCGGAGCAAACGTGACCGAAAATCTGCATGCTATACGATGATCAATGTTGCTACGGGTTGATTTCTTGGACTAAGATATTTCGCTAAGTGAACAATCGCAAGCATTCGGTATGGTTTTTGCTTGCACCCTTGCGCTCACCAAGGCGCGTTATCCTCGAACCATTCCGGGAAGAAAGGCTCGAGCGCTACCGGGATCTTGGATGGGCGAAGCTCAGGGTAAGCCTGGATGATTGTCTTCTTGATCTCCTGGTACAAGATCTTGTAACCATCTCCGCTGAGATGCAAACCTAGGTAGTCCACTAGTCAGTGCTGTGTCTGAGCTGGATGCTTGATTAGAGTACTCACCATCGTACAATAGTCGCGCTAGAACATCGCTCCGCTCCGCCCGCTTGTCACCTGGCATCAAAAGCTCAACACTGCATTCGTTGCGAAGTGAAGCATTCCACCCCACTGTGGCTTCCCTCATGCACGCGCCCCACAGATCCACAACGGCCACACCCATCTCTTCACCAGCGTTCTTGACTCCCACGGCATATTGTTGCGCTGTCACGGCCGTCCGCGCCGACCTTCCAGGTTCGTCCCAATGATCGAAACCCCATTCGTCAATCGGCGGCGGCGTGATCAATAGTACTCTGATGTTCTCGTGAGCCTGGATTTTCGGATGCTCGACCAGGCGTCGTAGGTTCTCCTCGAATACCTGCAGAGGTACATGTTGACCTGTTGTGTCTGGCAACGAGATGTCGTTGGGTCCAAAGAAGATGCTCTGCTATCCATTAGCAATGGCTCTTCCATCTCGGATATCTAGAGAGTACTTACGATGAGACGGACGCGACCTTGCTCAGGGTTGGGAATTATTCTGGGCAATATGCTCAATGCATTGACTGTGTTGTAACCACTGAAGCCACGCTTCACAAAATCAATGCGTCTTGAATAATCTACATGATCAGTCGAGCCGCGTAACCCGAGACACTCAGGTTAAGTATATTTAAATGCTCGTACCATGTTGAAGAGCTTGATAGCAACTGAAGCCGAGCGTGGGATCGCCATCGCTTTGTGTGATCGAATCGCCAAAGAGAAGGAACTGGTCATGAACGAAAGGTAGAGATCCGAGAAGGTTGCCTTCATTCAAGATGGAATTCTTATTCTTCTGAAGATTATCTTGGAGGTCGTTTGCTGACATCTTGATGCTCTGTATAGCACACTTGTTCGTTGTATCGAGAATGGCTGTGTCGACCCTTCCTAACTCGAAGATGATGTCAGAGGTCTAACCTCGTTCAGACATCGCGTCTGATGGTATGTTCGCCCTGAACTGCAGGAACCTTGACTTTAACACCTGTGTCCAGGGCATCAGACCCTACACTATGGAAGACAAGTATAGCTTCGTGTCCAAACAATGATTTGATGCGCACTGGATCATGGATGTGCCCGTCCTCCCATTCGAAGTCAATCTCGAACCCTCCACGGCATCGTACACCTTGAATCTTGCCCTTCTTCCATTCAGCAGGACAAGATGGAAGCAGACGTATAAGTCTAGCTGAGCATCCTGTGTTTTCAGACTGCGTCTCTTCATGCGACTGCACAAGACACTCAGTGATACCTGCAGCACCTCCAAAGTTTCCATCGATCTGAAAGGGTGGGTGATTATCTAACATGTTCGGCAAGGTACTATCCTTCAGTAGCGCTTTGATGTTCTTTTGACACTCTGCTGGCTGTCGTAGTCGAGCCCAGAAGTTGATAAGCCAGGCTCTAGACCACCCAGTATGACCACCTCCATGTTCGAGGCGCCGTACCAACGTCTTCTTGGCGGCCTTGACAAGTGTCGGATCAGATGAGGTTGTGATCGTGTTGCCCGGATGAAGTGCATAAAGGTGAGAAACGTGCCGATGGCCGAGTTCAGTCTCTTCGTAGTCGTTCAAACCCCACTCTTGAATAGTGCCAGTCTTTGGACTGATAGTGATCGGCGGCAGTCTGGATAGCGCAGACTCAACCGCGGACACACAATCTTGCGATGCGCATTGGGCCCCGAGCACAGAGGAAATGAGAAGAAAGTGTGTAAAGACCTGCCGAATAATCTCCATGTCCATGGTAGAGCCTTCACAAAACACACCTTTCTCCTGACTTTCTTTGTGCAGGAATGTGTTTTCGGGTGATAAGGAAGGGTTCGTGATAAGGTACTGCCCATTGGAGTCGTCAATAAGAAAATCCAGTAGGAAGTCAATGCAGCCTTTAAGCACAGGTGCCATCCTGGTAAGCAAAGCTTTGTCGCCCGTGAAGCTGTAGTGGTCCCAAACGTGAGTACAAAGCCACGCTCCGCCTAGAGGCCAGAGAGTGGACGGCATCCAGCGATCCTGCGACTCAGTATCGCCAAAGATATCGGTACAGTGGTGCGCACACCATCCACGACATCCCCAAATTTCTGATGCCGTTCGCTTGCCATTGACGGCCATGCGTTCCAAGAGTTCGAATAGCGGTAGCTCGCACTCCGAGAGATTAGACACATGTGCAGCCCAATAGTTCATCTGGAGATTGATGTTTATGGTGAACTTTGAGCCCCATGGCGGTTGGAATGTAGGGTTCCATATGCCTTGAAGATTGGCTGGCAGAGCTTTGGGATAAGAGCTGCTGCACGATAAGAGAAGATATCGCGCGTATGTATGGTACAGTGCGACCAAGCCAGGGTCACGAGTGTTCTTCAGCCGCTCAGACGTTGCGAGCTGTGTGTTGTCTGGAAAGAGCTGAATGCTCATACGATTGAACAGACTTTGCCAGTTGGAAACATGTCGCTGCCAAAGTTTCTCGGAACCAGTTCGCAGCGCGATCTCCAGATCTGACATCGCCGCCTGCTGAACATCGCTATGACGATACTGAGTATGGGCAGCAAGAACCACTAATGCCTCTTTTGTTGTGACTTCCAACTCACGACCAACGATTTGAATAGCTCCTTCACCATGGATCTGCGCTCCTGCCACAAGGCACAGGCTGTTGCTGCCTTTGCCACCAGACGTTGCGTGCAGTACAATACGTTCATCGATCACTTCGATCGAATCCAAGAACTCATTGACCTCCCACTCGACATCGCTCATACGTGTCAAGCTGATTCTGAAGGTGACCTCCCTGGAAGCTACAACACGGAACGCGATGACATTGTCTGCGTGCGTTGTGATGACCTCGCGACGCACTTGCGTTCCGTTGACAGTATATTGCACTACCGTCTCAGCTCGTGCAAGATCGAGGCTCCTTCGGTAGTCCTTTACAACGTCTTCGGTAGACCCAGAGCCTGATTGCTCATTGGGATACTCAAAGTCGACCATGCACGTGCCTAGTGGCTCGTAATGTCTCATGCTCTTGGGAGTAGCGAGGAAGCGTTTCCCAACCAAGGCTTCGGCGTCGCGATGTTTTCCAGCGCGGATGAGTTCCCTCAAGTGCTTTAGGTGGTATTTTGCTCCAACAGGAGTGCGGTTCATCGGCCCTCCATACCAAACGCTTTCTTCGTTCAAGCGCAGCGTTTCTCTGTGCACACCTCCATAGACCATGGCACCCAGGCGACCGTTACCAAGCGGGAGGGCGCTATCCCAGTCAGATGCGGGGGAGTCGTAGCGTAGCATGGGGTGTCTGAGAGGGGATTGGTCCACAAGCGATGTACCACCGGTTAATCTCACGGGTGTGCTGGGGTGGTCGGATCCTTCTCCTTGCTCTGGACTTCGCAGTGCCAGCATTTATGCACTTCTTTGTCGTGAGCTGCGCGCCCTGAAGAGTGGTTGGACGGAATAACTTTGTGTGGGAAGCGATCAACAAACGCAAGGCCGATACGTGTGACCGCGATCCTGTACATCTTGCTCCTCAGGCTAGCCCAATAGGTGAAGCTGGGTTCGTTATGAGTTGTGGATTAAACGCCCAATGTGCATGCTTCCCCATGGGGCTGCAGATCCGCAGCGTGAACATGAGGTGACATGCTTTGGTAATGTCGATCTAGACGGAGCCATGCTCTCCGCCTTTTCGTCTACTGCAAGGGCCTGCAGGTTGAAGGACTTCTGAGAAAGTTATTCATATCTGACTGCAACTCCGCCTGGTGTACGAGTTGCGCATCGATCCTTGAACAAACTTTTGAATACTGTCGCTGCTGAGAGCGCCTATACTGCCACGATGGCTCCGCAGGAGAACATCAAGTCGTTCCATCATGATGTGACAGATGAGAAAGCTGGTGCTCTTCAAACCGAGGAGATGGTTGTCCAGCGCATCACGGATGAGGACCTTCTCCGCATATCGAAGGAGGCGATGCCGAGATTTTGGACCGCGACTGGATTCAGAATCTGCCTGATTATCTTCCTCCAAGGTTGCAATCAGGCAGGTTATGGTGTTGACTGGGCTGTCATCAGTAAGTGAATCCAATCCGAAGCTGTGCAGTCAATGGTAGATGATGCTGATCATGCCGGGAAACAGGTGGTATCAACGCGTATCCGGCCTGGCACAAATTTTTCAACATCGAGATCGATGGCGGTAAGTGGGCGAGCGTTGTGTGAAATGTAATGCGCACTGACATTCAAAGTCAAATTCGCACACATCACGGCCTTGATGCGGATTGGTACTGTGGTCGGCGCTCCATTCCTTGCCCTCAACGACAGAATCGGCCGCCGAGGAGTCAACTTTCTCGGCAATGCTCTCGTCATATGTGCTGCGCTTATGCAGGCACTTGCTCCAAATATGTCTTGTTTTATGGCTGGTCGATTCTTCCTCGGATTTGGAAGCGCACTCATGTCGTCGCCGCAGTACATCGCCGAAGTCGCTCCCGTTCACCTCCGTGGGCGTATTGTGGGTCTGTTCGGGGCCTGTTTCCAGATTGGCAGCGTGGCCATGAACGCCGGAATGATTGGAACTACAAGGATGGCGGAAAGTGAGACGAACAACTGGTCATGGCGTCTTCCATTGCTCTTACAGATGTTTTTCCCGGCTGTCGTGTGCTCGCTTATCTATTTCATCACACCAGAATCGCCTCGATACCTGATGCTCCGAGGCAAGCGCGAACAAGCGAGGAAGGTCATCGCCAAGTATCAAACTACTTCGGGTTCTCTGGATGAGCCTATTGTCGACATCGTTACCTCGCAAATCGAAGAGTCTTTAGAGACGTCTCGCACAGGCTTTAGGCAATCTTGGAACTTTGCTGTCTTTGTCACCAAGACTGTTCGTTACCGGTTACTTGTCCTTGTTCTCTATTCGATGTTTCAATCATGGAATGGAGGAGGGTAAGATGGTTCGTTGGCCTAGCAGACACGCATTAGCTGACATGTTCGACAGTATTGTATCGTACTACCTGACACCTGCGCTCAAGACCGTTGGGGTATGCAGTTTGTTCCTCTACACAGATTATTCCGCTCACATTTCCAGGTTACTGCGCCTATAACGCAACTCGGTGTGAACCTCGGCTTGACCGCAACCTATTTTGTATTCACCGCGATTGGTGGTTGGTTTGTTGACTACTTCAAGCGCCGAACGCTCATTTTCGCCGGCCTGGTTGGTATCGTATGCATGCAAACAGCTGCCACAATAACTTCTTGGCAATACAGCCTGAAGCCATCCAGTACAACATCGGCTCTCACGATAATGTGGATGTTCATGTTCCAGGTCATAAGCGCCACTTTTATCGCAACGATGTAAGTTCGGACCTGGACGTAGTCAGGGCGCTTACTGATTGGGATCGTTCAGGCACAACCTCTACCCGGTCGAGATCCTGTCTTTGCCTCTTCGTGCGAAAGGCATGGGTCTGTATGGTGTCATTCAAGGCGCATGCGGTGCTATCGAAGCTTATGGAATCTCCATTGGTATCTCAAAGGTGGGATACAAGATCTGGTGTGTGTACATCATATACAACACGCTCCAGCTAGTCGGTGAGTCTTCTTGGTACACTGATAAGCTTGTTCAGAAATCTCATGTGTTATAGCGTCGTACTTCGTTTTCCCAGAGACCAGCAAACTAAGTTTGGAAGAAATCGACGCCGTGTTTGAAACGCCAGGCGTGGCGCCTGTGAAGATGTCGCTCGACATCCAAAAGGCGAAAAAAGAGAAGGCGAGACTCGACAGAGAAGCGGGCATCGTCAACTGAGCAAGACAGTATTGATCATACACGCTCGTGCATCTTATTAGGCATGTGTAGTTGAGTAAGAAGCAGCACACAGTCGAGGAAGGTGCGGGCATAACGCGTCAGTGTGGGGCAACCTCGCTAGCGCGTCTTTAAACCCTTCCTTCCTCTGTCTCGATTTAAAGGATCCTTCTTCAACCACAAGTGTTCTCGCCTTGAGGCTCTCACTTATCTTCAATTCATTTTGGCTATCAGAAAGTGCGCGCAATTATGCTTGATCTTTAAACGTCATCGCAATGACGTAAGCGCTCAATTCAATCGCAAAAAATTACATTAAAGCATGACCAACCCGTTACTCACACAAAATACGAAGACGTAGAGCATCAGACATGCGCGACATGGATGCAATCAAGCTTCTTATTCTTGCTGGGGGGCAATCTTCACGTATGGGATCTCCTAAGCATCTGCTGTCGGTCCCATCGACCGACCAGCCATTGTACCAACAACTTATCCACATCATGCACGTCGCCTTTCCTGAAACGAAAACGATGTATTTTTCTGTTGCCGACAACTCGATACTTGATAATACTCTCCAAGCAAAAGAGCTATTCCTACCAACGAAGACTGGTCTCAGGTGCATCGAACTAGTCAAGATCTTTGATGAGACAACGCAGGACATTGGTCCCGCAGCCGGCCTTCTCGCTGCTCACCAGTGCGATCCAGACGCAACCTGGCTGGTTGTGGCTTGCGATTTTCCTATGCTCGACCCCGCAGCTCTGCACCAACTCAGAGAAGCTTATGAAGACCCCGTCACGTGTTTCGTCAACAAAGATGGGTTCAGTGAGCCGTTACTGGCCATATGGAGTCCAAAAGCTCTTCGTACCCTTCGTGAAAACGTCGATGGCGGTCGTTCGGGCCCCAATTATACAGTCAAACGTCTCAACGGCAAGCTCATCACGCCCACCAAAGATGACTGGATCCTGAATACAAACACCCTAGAGGAGTGGGAAGTTGCAAAACTGCGGATCAAGAGACCTCAATCAATAAGCGGAGTGTGAGGATAGCATTGCACCATTATTGGGCCCGATTCTCCGGTGCAGCCTCTCGCAATGTGTGCCCAGCAGTTGGATGTGGCGTACTGCGAGATGACAGCTGGACTCTGATTCTGGCTCAGCTCAATCATTTTGTTTCCATCTGGTCCAGTAAGAACAGTGCCATGTCGAAAGCAATCCAGATGTGATGGAGATGCTAGGAACATATCACGGCCACCGTTTTTCGTCGACAGCTCCGCTAATTCTGGTTGTTCAGGATTCTGATCGAGTGATTGTCGCAGAAAGGGCACGACCAGGAAGCGGAAGCATGCAGCGGTCGCAATTGGATTGCCGGGCAACCCAAAGAAGGGAACAGGTCCGCAGTCTCTGTCCATTGTCGCAAACAACATTGGGTGCCCCGGGCGGATCGCAACACCATGGAAGTGTACTTGTGCACGCAGCCTTTCCAATGCTGGCACAATGAAGTCGAACTTGCCCTTAGAGACAGCTCCGGTTGTAATGATCAAATCCCATGTGGCAGCTTCAGCCGAATCAAGGGCTTCCTCCAGACTCTGCACATCGTCCTGCAAGATACCCTTCAGATCTACGTCGACACCCGCTTCACGCAGCGCTGCAGCAAGGAATAGACCATTGGAGTCGAAGATCTGCGAGCTCTTTCGAACACCATCCGTGTCGCGAGTAAGCTCGTTGCCTGTAGTCCACACAGCGACTCGAAGCCTGCGGCGGACGACAACTTCGGGGACGCCCACCGATGCTAGACCCATCACGTGTCGCGAACGCACGACTTCTCCTTTCCTAACAATAACATCGCCCTTTTGCATGTCGCCGCCAGCAAAGCGCCGATTTGCATGCAACCGTACTGGACGCGTCAAAACGAATCGATGCCGTGATTGGAATTCGGACTTTGCGCCAAAAGGAACCGTGTCTTCGATCTTGACACATGCGTCGAACGGTGTATTCGAAGTACTGATGGGAAATTGTGCGCCTGTCATGATCTCGACGCAAGGATAGCAGCCATCAATCGGTTCGTTTGGCAATTCAATAGGGTCGTCACCTGCAGCGTTCGTACCTTGAACAACGAAGGTGACAGGCATTTCGACAGTTGCGTCCACGGTCGCACCAGAAGATATTGCGTAGCCGTCCATGGCCGATGTGTCCTTTGGAGGGGTGCATATTGGACTCGCGTGGTGTTCCGCTGCAACTCTTCCTAGAGCCTTGTCGACGGGGAGTTTCTCCGTCGGTGGCCCTCGATCTTTCAAGATGCCTGCCGCTGTGTGTTGCAGTAATGCAAGGGCATCTCGGTAGCTGATTCCCATGATCAAAATGCTGTGTGCTTTCCTCAGGATACGCAGGAACCTGGTTAAAACGTGTCTGCAAGCATGGCCCGGTTTTTCATGACGGATGCATAGCGTAGTAGTCGCGTAGATGGTTAGTATCAATGCAGCACCATGATCAAGAACATCAGCGCGTCCGCTGATTCGCATCACGGTACCGGAAAGCGTAGCCGCTCTTACTGAAGAATTATCAAAACCTCGAATTTAATTGGGCGCCTGAAAAGACCGTCGACCAAAGCGCAACCTAAAGCGTGAGCTATAACCCCAAAGCGTCGCTAGCATTCCATTGCACACATTTACGTCATGTTTAGCCCTGCCGGTCCACAACAAAGATGTCAGGCACAAGGCTATTTGGATGCAGTTTCACCCCAACTGTCCCGGGTTCGTGGGTGATTACTCCAAGGATCAAACATCATGAAGCCTAAGATCAAGATTGGAAAGGCCCCTAAGCACCAGACGCGCAATTCTATCGAGGACATATGGGGACCACGGATGGGGTACAAACATGTGTGGCCCACTCGTGTTGATGAAGCAAAAGACGAAGAGCCGGATAAGTGGGTCCAAAGTGCTTGTGTGCTCTGCAGCAATGGCTGTGGTATGGACATCGGAGTAAAAGATGGCAAGGTCGTGGGAGTTCGAGGAAGAGCAACAGATCGTGTCAATCACGGACGTCTTGGTCCGAAAGGTCTGCATGGTGTATGTCGACTTGCATGAATGAGAGTCAAAGACTCCTGTATGCTGACATGTGTGTAGTGGAAAACTATTCACCACGAGGATCGACTTACACACCCTCTGATTCGCAAGAATGGAGTTCTCGAAAAGGCTACCTGGGACGAAGCCATGAGCTTGATCGTTGAGAAGTCGAAAGACACTATCGACCGCCTGACCCAGCACGGTATCGCTTTCTACACAACGGGCCAGTTCTTCCTAGAGGAGTACTACGCGTTGGCTCTTGTCGGTAAAGCTGGCCTGAACACACTGCACATGTAAGTTCCGCTGTCAAATCTTTATAGTTGAGGCCATACACTGACATCGTCAGGGACGGCAATACCCGTCTGTGTACTGCGACTGCAGCCGCATCAATGCGAGAGAGCTTCGGATCCGATGGGCAGCCAGGCTCATACACTGATATCGATTACACTGACTGCATTGCGCTCTATGGCCACAACATGGCTGCAACCCAGACTGTATTGTGGACACGCATCTTGGATAGGTTGGCAGGGCCGAACCCTCCCAAGATCGTCGTAGTCGACCCTCGTGTCTCCGACACAGCGAAGCTGGCCACAGTGCACTTGCAACCAAGGATTGGTACAAACGTGGCTCTTCTCAACGGCATCCAGTATCTCATGTTCGAAAATGACTGGATTGACTGGGACTTTGTCAACAATCATACCGTCGGAATCGAGCCCCTCAAGAAGGTGGTGATGGAGTTTCCGCCGGATAAGGTCGAGCAGATTACTGGAGTCCCTGCATCACAACTGAGGAAAGCAGCTGAGATCGTTGGTACCAGCAAAACCCTGCTCTCTACAGCTCTGCAGGGCGTCTACCAGTCAAACCAAGCCACCGCCGCTGCCTGTCAGATCAACAACACCAACATCCTTCGTGGTATGCTTGGCAAGCCTGGATGCGGTATCTTCCAGATGAACGGTCAACCGACCGCCCAGAACAACCGTGAAGCAGGTTGCGATGGTGAATTCCCTGGTTTCCGAAACCACCTCAATCCTGTGCATATGGAAGATATGGCAAGACTCTGGAATATCGATTCTGTCAAGGTCCCACACTGGAACGAACCTACCCATGTCGAGAACATCCTCAGTTTTATCGCCAAAGGTACCATCCAGATGCTCTGGATTTCCGGAACAAACCCACTTGTCAGTCTGCCGAACCTTGCACGAGTACGCGAGCTTCTCACAAAGGATGATCTGTTCGTTGTTGCGCAAGATATCTTCATGACTGAGACTGCAGCTATCGCTGATGTTGTCCTGCCCGCAGCTCAATGGGGTGAGAAGACTGGCTGCTTCACGAATGTGGACCGCACTGTGCATATCTCGCACAAAGCAGTTGATCCTCCAGGTGAGGCGAAGGCCGATCTCGAAATCTTCCTTGACTTTGGAAAGCGCATGGATTTTAAAGACAAGGATGGACAGCCTCTCATGCCATTCAAGAATTCGGAAGACGTCTTCGAGGCATGGAAGAAGATGTCGAAGGGACGACCCTGCGACTACAGCGGCATGTCCTACGATAAGCTGACTGGAGGTTCCGGTATTCAGTGGCCTTGCAACGAAGAAGCGCCTTCCGGTACTGAGCGTTTGTTTTCGAACAAGAAGTTCTTCACCGAACTCGACTACTGCGAAAGTTTTGGTCATGATCTCGAGACCGGTGCATACTACACTAAGGACGAGTACAAAGCGTTGAACCCTAACGGACGGGCGATATTAAAGGCCTGTCATTACTTCCCTTCACCAGAAGAGCCCAATGAAGAGTATCCGCTCAGGCTCTCCACTGGACGTAGGGTTCACCACTTCCACACCCGAACCAAGACTGGCCGTACACCTTTGCAGAAAGCCTGTCCCGAGCCGGAGATTGTCATAAATGAAGAGGACGCCCGTCACCTCGGCCTCAAAGACCGCGAAGAAGTTCTCGTCGAGTCAATCCGCGGTAAAGTCCAACTTCCCGTCAGCATCGGCGGTGTCGAAAAGGGCAACACATTCATCCCCTTCCACTTCGGCTACTTCGACACCGAGACTGGCGGCAAAGCCCGCGCAGCCAACGAGCTAACAACAGGTAAATCTCTCCTCACATGTCCAGACACTCACTCCAAACTAACACCTCCCAGCAAAATGGGACCCAATATCCAAACAACCCATGTTCAAAGGCGGCGCAATCCGCATCACCAAGCTCCCCTCGACGGACGGCGAAGTAAAAATCCACGCGCGTGAACAGCAATCCGCCGCCATCGAAACCGCCTCCAAGAAAAACACCAAAGCGCAAGGCACCAAAACGACGCGCGAGCGGGGTCTCGAAGCCTGGTTGGGTGAACTTGATTGCGCTATCGACCGCCTCATTGATCTGTACAAAAACCTGCTTCCCAAGACCGACCGCGACCCCGATGCGCAAAACGGGTTGAGAATTATGGTCCGCATTGCTACAAGAGTCAGGAAGCGCATCAAGCCCATGGCGTCGAAGTACCACGAGAACAAGAACAGAGGGCAAAAGCGCGCAGACGCTTTAGCCGACTTGTTGTTCCAGCACGACGACAGCGTCGATGGGACGTACGAGATGCTGGAGACGATGCAAGGCTTGCATATGTATCTCGCGTATATCAGGGGGAGTTTGAGGGGCATGTATCCTGCCAGCCAGGCGCTGTGGGATAAGGAGTGTATTGGGGCGGTTACGGAGGCGACGGAGGATGTGACCAAGATGGAGGAGTGGTGCTTGCAGCAGATGCAGTTTAGGAGTCCGCAGACGTTGCTTGTGCCGTTGCCGTTGAAGGAGGGGGGGAAGAGGTGAGCGGGCATCGAGTGACTTTCTTCTAGTGTGAACATACAACAGTCTACTCTGTATGATTAATGTCGCTTTACGGTAAACCAGCTGGGCTTTACCTAAGGCAACGAACGCTTGTGAACGGTGAGGATGTGAAGGCCGCCGCAGCAGCAGCTGGAACTCCTGTGAAAAGCGTGTGCAGTATGGCGACACCCAGAAGATGAGCGACCGGCTGATGTGTGGATATTGAGCATTTTCGAGTGTACAGTAGATCTATCCTATCAATTGACCTACAGCCGTTCCAACCAGGACAAAAACTGCTGGCCAAGCTTTTTCCCTTATCCCGTCTACTTGGTATATAACTTCTGCAAATGCTTCGCAATAGTAGTCAACTGGATGTTACTCGTGCCCTCATAAATTGCGCCAATCTTGCTATCCCTGAAATACTTCTCCGCCAAACCCTCCCTCACAAACCCCATGCCGCCCATCCACTCGACCGCCTGACCAGACACCTTGCCTGCGACCTGAGAGGCGTACAACTTAGCCATAGCAGCGTCCATGACGAAGTCCTCGCCGGCTTCCTTCTTGCGGGCGGCGTTGTAGACGAGGGCGCGCGCGGCGCAGATCTCGACCCAGGCTTGTGCGAACTGGTGCTGCATGCCTTGGAATTCGCCGATTAGTTGGCCGAATTGCTTGCGGTCGTTCCATGCGTATCTATCATGTTGTATCAATATCTAGGCCTGCCAATAATGCATGGACTGGGGTGAGGGGAGGAGGAAGGGAGGGAGACGTACCCAGCAGCGTTCTCAAACGCGCCCAGTGCCAAACCCGTCATCTGCGCCGCGATACCAATTCTTCCTTCGTTCAAAAGACCAATGGCGTACTTGTACCCCTGTCCTTCCTCACCGAGCAAGTTCTCCTTCGGGATCTCGACATCGTCGAAGTTGATGACGCAAGTGCTGGATGCCTTGATACCGAGTTTCTTCTCCTTCTTCGCGATGCTGAAGCCTTTTGTGCCCTTCTCGACAATGAAGGCCGTGATGCCCTTGTACTTCTTCTCGGGCGCGAGGTTCGCGAAGACGATGAAGAAGTCGGCTTCCATGGAGTTGGTGATCCACATCTTGCTTCCACTAATCCTGTACCCGCTGTCTGTCTTGGTCGCCTTGGTAGCCAATGCAAAAGCATCAGAGCCCGAGACGGGCTCGGAAAGACAGAAAGAGCCAACGGTGTTGGTTGCGAGCTTCGGCAGGTACTTCTTCTTGATGTGCTCGGATCCCCATTTGAGAATCGCAGTGTTGACGAGCGTGTTGTGCACATCGCACATGACACTCACGCTCGGATCGACTCTTGCCAGCTCTTCAATAGCAATGATGGCGCTGGTGAAGTTCATGCCCGAACCGCCATACTCTTCGGGGATCTCGATGCCCATCAGGCCTTGCTCGAAGAGCTGCTCGACGACAGCGGGGTCCATGGACTCTGCCTCGTCCATCTCACGTGCCTTGGGCAGGATGACTTCGGAGGCGAACTTGGCGACTGCTTCGCCCATCATGGCTTCGGTTTCAGAGAGGTGTGTGATGGGTGTGGGCGGGATGTCAGTGATGTCTACGGAGGCATCGCGGCGGGGGGCGGTGGAGGAGAGGCATCGTATTCTGTGCACAACTTAGCTCTCACGATGTCGGTTGAAAAGTGCTGGAGACATGGCGTACTGTGGTGTGGCGCGTGCAATAGCAGGGCGTGCGGAGCGGCGTGAGGCTGCTGTGGCTGCGCGGGCCAGCGGCCTGAGTGTTCTTGAAATGGATGCCATTGTGTGCTGTCAATTATACACGAGCGTAGCGAGTCAATTGTGATCACACTACACAAGATGTTGTAACGACAAGGGTCCAAGATATGGAAAGAAAAACGAAGGGGAGGACAAGCTGGATGTTAAGTTGGACCGAGGCAGGTCAGCTCTGCCGATTGGAGCCGGCCTTCAATCTGGGGTCGTGTGGGGATCTCCAACCCTCTTGGCCAACCCAGCCCAATTGGCAAGTGACGACCGCAGTCTTGGGGAGATTCGATACCAATAACGAACACGAACTCTGCAGATTTGGTTATAGTTCAATGTCTTCAAATGTACGGTCTCCGATCACCGATAGTTCTCCGAGTCAGAGGTCGATGGATGCCTCGCCCCAGACTTGCAACGTTCGCCGCATCTCGAGGGCGGAACGAGACCGCGATATAGCTTGGTCGATGACGATGGCTTCAACGCCAGACTTGCCAGTATTTCGCCGAAGAAGAACTCATACGAAGTCGAGGCGACTCGTGTCTCACCGTATCTGAATCTCTTGTTTGGACACTCACGACCAACAGGAGGTCGAAGCACCTGAAGAAGCCAGCCATCAACGTAGACGAGAGACATCACAACTACAGTACTACCGAGTATTCAGTATTATCAGGCATCAAGCCGTGCATTGTAGAACTAGGTAATCAGCTATAGCCTTGGTCTGAGTACAAGAAAGCAAGGGTATATGAGAAGCTGCTGCAATAGGAAAAGGAAAATGGAAATCGATCGTGACAGTGACATGAACATCTACGCACGCCTGCGCCAATATTCCCACCATGGCGTTGGCCGGCTACTGAAACAAAGATCCGATATGATTGGCAACACCTTCGACAAAGATGGATTGTCAAGCCTAAGGTGCACCAACGAGGTACCATCACCCTGAACGTTGTTTAGACGCGGTTGGTGTGGCTCCCGAACCCAAACTTGCCGCCCTGCATTTGCTTCTTGTATTCCTGGAGCTCAGCAGCCTCCTTCTGCTCGCCCGCCAGCAGCGCAGCGTGCTCCCGCTTGCCCGCGCGGCGCTGCTTGATGCAGCAGAAGATTAGGAGGCAGACGAGGATACCAAGGACGGCGAGAGCGCCAATAATGATGCCGCTCTTAGCACCGGCGGACAGCGCTTTCCAGTTGTTGCGGATACCGGATGGGTCTTGGATTTCCTTGAGGATTTCGGACTTGCTGGTGGGACTGGACCGAGTTAGCAATCGGAATCTGTGATAGTGGTAGAGCTTGTGCTTACTTGATGACTTTGACCTTCTCCCACGAACCGCTGGAGTCCATATCTTCCCAGCTGTACTCGGCGCCCTGTGTGTAATCCTTTGCGTAGATGGTCTGCACCGCCATGGTGAAGGGGCCCTCCTTGAAGTCAGTCTCACCCCCAGCCCACTCCACGACACCAGGATCGTTGTTGGCGACGTCACCACCAGCCCAGACGCCCATGCGGATGTTCATTGGCGTCTGCGGGTAGTTCTTGCCGTTGAGGGCGTCGGCAGGAACGAGCTCGCGGAGCATCTTGCCATCGAGCCACCATTGGATGCGGTCCTTAGTCCAGTCGATCGTGTAGTTGTGGAACTCGTCCTGAGGAGGTGCCATCCCGTACTCCTTCCCGCGGTCGAAGGATGTGGTGTTGCCCTTGCCGAAGTAGTTGGTCAGCACATGTGTGGTGTTGGTGCCGAGGAACTCCCAATCGACCTCGTCGAGGGCCTCAGACTGCAAGATGGCGGACGAGACAATGCCCTTGCCCTTGGCCGCCTTCATGATAACCTCAAAGCGACCAAAAAGCATATAGAACTTGGACTGCACCATGGGCGAGTCGCCTGAGCGCTCAATGGTGAATGTTGCTCCCTTGGCATCCTCGCTCCAGTCGATGGTGCCTTGGTTCTGCTTCTCCCAGATCTTGCCGCCGGTGAGGATGCCCGTCTTGTTCCAGTAGAAGGTCGCATTGCCGCCGAGAGCTTCCATGTTAGGACATCCAGTCGTGTTGAGCGGGTTGCAGGCGGTGTGGGTCTGCGCCCATGATGTTGGAAGTACGCTCGCAAGGAGTGCGACCATGGGAAGTGTGAACGACTTCATTGTGCCGGTGTATTTGTAGAGTCGATCGAATGTCGAAGTTGGAAGGAGTGTGTTGCGCGTAGACCAGACGCGCAGTCGCAGCAGCAAAAAGGAATGACGTGTTGGTGAATGAGTGGACTCCCGCAAGGAGAAAGGCAAAGAGGGGAAAATGTGCCTAAGAGAGCGGCAAGGGAATGTTTTGAAGCTCGGTAGTGAAGGAGAAGCGCAGATTGAGTGCAAGATTAACTCAGGGGAGCTAGCGCAGGGTGCAGGAATGCCGTGCACAATGCAGACCAATGACAGCTGAAGATGCTGCAAAGCAATGCCGATCACTCAGGAATCTTGAGCATGAACATCACGGTACCTTGTAGCCGCACAATTACAATCAAAGTGCGATTATTGCGCCTGTCTCAGCGCCGAATACGCTCGAGTGGATAGCAATTGACCTCGAGCAAGCCTCGGTGACGCTCACAACCGCCTGTGCGACCAAGCGTCTCGTATGCAGGGTGCGGGACGGGCTTGCGCCAGGCGGATGAGCCAAGCATCGTGAAACACCCATCCTCGGCCGTGTTCCCGGGCAGCCAATTCGTGTGCCACAATGCTCTTTCTCGTTATCGCAGAAGCGCCGCGCTGCGACACCGATGCCCTTGCTGGGACAAGCCGTTCGTCTCGAGATGAAAACACTGCGGGCACGCGAGTGCTTCGACGTGGAGGTGCCTGCGCACTCCGTATGCTGCATCCCTGTTCTTCAACTCCGGACTTGGCGCATTGTGACCTGCAGAGTGGCTGTTTGAAGACGCCAAAAACGTTGGACTGTCGCTTTGAGAGTGAATACACATTGGTTCTGACACTGTCTGCCCAGGATTTGCTTTGCGCCTGCCGGTGACATTCTTTCAGGCTGCTTGAACTGCGCCACCTTCGTAAAATGAGCTGTCATCGTCATCGTCCTCGCTCTTGTCGTTTGTTTCATCGCTGGAGTTTGAGCTGATGGTGCTGTATTGCAGCCGTAAGGGTTGGTCCATTCTAGGGAACCTCCCTGTTCCTTCTGCATCGAAGAACTTGCCCCAATTGAGCGATGGACCTTCGAGCGAGAACTTGCCTTGCTCGCGCCATCTACCGATGTAGAGATTGAGTGTCACCATTACTTTGCCGATATCGAGCCAGTCGAAGCCGTAGTAATGGGCGGCCGGATGCTGATTCTGTGGGTTGCCAAACTTTCTGCTCCAGATGCCCCAGAGCGTTGCGTACATCTCCTGATCACGGGCTTTGATCATGGTGAAGCCGTGCAGCTCGAGGAGGCCTTCCATGACTTCATGGCAAGAACTTTCGACCTGTCGCGGTGTCCGTGAGAAGATGGTTGCTATGGTTTCGTAGCGGCATCCCGTCTGCAGCAGCTCCAGACAGTGCAGTACCTTCTCCATACGGCTGATTACAGCCGATCTCCTGACGTAGTGATTGTCCACCAGCCATTGCTTCAGCGCTCGCAGTTCGTGATGCTTGATGAAATGAAGGTACGGTAGAACGTAGTCTTCGTTGAGAACATTGTTCATCACCATATTGGTCACCATGGACCCGTCGCAGCTGCCCTCCCGCTGCCTGTCCGGTTCGATAAGGATAGGTGCAAGCTCACTCTCTTCTTCTCGTAGTCGGGCCTCGACCTCTATTCTGGGCAGGTTTGTCTGAACCGGATCGAGCTCCTCGACGACAGACCAGTCTTTCCTTTGTTCAGCCCTCTGCCGTCGTATTCGAGTCTCGTACAAGGAATCATCGCTGTCATAACCGCCATCGTACCGGGTGTCATCCCATAACCCTTGATTGTATGTTCTTAACCGAGAAGGCTTTCGAGGCGTTGTTGCGGGCATGACCTCAGACGATGCTCGTGTTGGTGACGGTTCAGCGGGCAGCCTTTCGGCTGATGGCAAGGCGCCTGACATCCTGTATGTCTCTGTATGCTGCTCTCGTTTCTCTTTCGCGGGGATAGTGATCGCTTTCGGTAGATGTGCGCTTAACCTGGCACCTCTCGCACCAGTTGGAACGTATGTGACCGGCTGTACACGTCGTACTTGTGGTTCTTCTACCGCGCCAGTTATAATGTCTGCGTCTAATGGGTGCTTCTCTGGCTCCATTTCGATCCCAATCAGAACTGGCGATTCCTTCTTGTAGTCTCCAACCCAGTCTTCGCTGTCTGACAAACTGACAGGAAGGCTTCTGAGCTTCTCTTCCAGTTTCACCATTCGCCGGTATGCCTGCCACGCAAGTCGCATCGCCCCTTGGACCCAAGTATTAACTTCGATCCCCAGCGACGGGCATCTCTCGAAATGTAGCTTCTCCAAGTTCCTGTGCACTGTCTTCAACTGCCTCTTGATCTCCGTGACTTGGCTAATTGTCGAGTGTTCTTGTTCAATGAGGGTTTCCAGATATTGGACACGAACGCTAGTCCGGCGCACGTAGTCCTCGACTTGATACAGATTGTTCGCCATGATCTCGCGCGATAGCTTGGGCGTGGTTCTCAGGGACTTGCCCCGCGCTGGAGGTATTCGAGGCCCTGAAGCATTCGTCACAAGCTTCTCTTCGACGGGTTGATCAATCACCGCTACATGCTGGGACGCTTGTCGTTGTCCCCTGAACGGTTTTGACAGTGTCCGCTGTAGCGAGGTCTTGACAGTGTCCGTTGTCGATTGATGCTGATGGATAACATCTCGCCGCAGGCGAAGAACGACATGTTCGACCAATATGGTGAAGGTGTGGAACTGCTGACGCTTGTGCTGTGCTGGTTCCATGGTTCAACGATTGAATCGATGCACTTTCGTTCTGGAACAGTAAATGGGAGACGACACGATTATGCCACGCAGTTACCTCGCCATGCTGCCACGATGTCCAGTTCAGGTGCGCTCAGGTGTCTTTTTCCTGTGCTACCATCTCTTCGCAGCCCTTGCAGTCGCGTGGCGGCTTCCTTGCACCGTGCCAGAGACATGATGATGGAAGAGGCACGCGCTTGCGGCATTCCTGAAATTGGTGCTCCAGAATGCAAAGTGTTGCTCTTTCTTTTGTTATGTTCTGGAAAGTGGATCGGTCGTGTAAGGGGTTGTGCTACGAGGGGTCGCGGGTTCATTCTCGTCATTGTTGCGTCCTAATCCATGGGTCACAAGGTGCGACGGTTTGTGGAAGGTAAACATCATCGAGTTGTAACAGGCAACACATCAATAGACTGGCGGCGATGAGTAAGAGTGGGGAGTTGTGAAAGCTGCGTCGTCAATTGCGTCGTCAGCAAGGAAAGATCTTCCTTTATGGGCAGGCACAACCTTGACCGTCGTGCAAGCCCATTATTCTACAGCATCTCCAGACCTTTCAACGCCTTTTATTGCTTCGCGACACGGTTTTGACATGGTTGATGATTGCGACAATCCTCCTCTGCCGCTGCAAGGACAGTGCTCTCGTAAACATGCACAGGTGGGCAGGAGGTGGTGGTGTTGCTGATGACAGCGACAAGATCATCCTTCACGAGGTCTCCTTTCAATCAGTCTATTAGGTCAAGGACGCCCTCTCTGGATCTCTGGTGTTCTGTGTCGCTGTCAGAAGCGAGGTGTAGCCCCGAGATCTAGGGTCTGCGTCCTCAATCCTGGAGATCTCGAGATCGTAGCCGGGATATGTTTTCCGGTTAGCGCAACGATGAGATTTGAGCACAGCAAAGCCGAGATTCGAGATGCCGGAGGTTGCGTGAACTACACCGTAGCAGACGTTCTTCCAGTACCTTGGAGACTGACAGCCAGGTCGACAGGCCAAGATGCACTGCGATAACTGCGACCCGCCCTCACGCATGACGGTGATGTCTGGTGTGCTGCAGCTCCTTCTCGAAAACAAGTCGGGATGTTTGTGGCTGGCAGTAGCGCCGCCGTGACGAGCAGCACTCCACCCTCGATCCACATCACGAGAGAAGTTTGCGACAGTGCGGGACAGCAACAAGGGCCCATCCATGCCCCGGAATTGGCCCCATCCCTCGCGTACAGCCAGGACTATGTCGGCCGTGAACGCGGAGTCGTTCTCCTGATCGTTCGACTTGCGCATGGAAGTTTCTCCCTCTGATGACGGCAGCCGCGCCCTAACCGCTCGTCTCCCGCACGACGGCCGTTGAGCAACACTGAGGTCGTGTGTCCAGACGTCTGTTTACGACCCCTCTTTTTGCTTTCTTAGTTATATCCTGCTATTACTTCAGTACTGTTGCTAGTCAGCGTCCGACGTTTCCTTTGTGTTTGAGTGCTATTCTTACCCTACCGCAGCCCTGCGTTTGTTTTTCGAGTCTTCGGTAACTATCACCGCACCTCACACCACATGTCAACACCTCAGCCCTAAGGATTACGAGCACTTGTTGGCAGCGGAGCCACATCACCAACCACCCATTGATCCTGTCGCGTGGCAGCCCTGATTGGCACACGTCTCCATTTCTCGGAAGTCCTTAGACCGGATCAAAATCAAGTCTTCATTCCATGAACATCTAAGCGTCGCCCATCATGGCGTCCGAATCCAATGCCCCGGAGGAGGACCGCCCTGCTACCATACTCGCCGGCCTGGGGCTGGAGAACATCCTACCGGTCAGTATGAACAGACGAGATAGATCCAAGTCACGGACGCGGCCGTCTACTACACCGCACATGGAGCGATCCGTATCGTCCATGGAGAGCAGCTTCATGTTGGACCATTGGAACCCACAGTCGCAGACAAGTGACGGCGCAAGCAGTCCAGACGCTCATGCCTCAAGCTCCAAGGACGGAGACAAGCTCACTCCAATCACCAACTGGGCGCATCTGTCCTACATCAAGAGCCAGCGCAACAATCTGCGCGCAGAGCTCAAAGCTCACCAGATCGCCGGCGCCGAAGCGAAGCAGTCGGTGGCTTCTTTGCGACGTATGGCGTTCCGCATGGCTGTCAACATATCCGTGAAGGAGAAGCAAATCGCAACAAGCGCACGAAACTTGATCAGAAGCAGGAAGAGCCACTACCTAGATGGGAGAGACGCAGAGAAGAGAATTGAGGAGTTGAGAAGGTCTCTGCGCATTGAAGAAGGCAGGAACAAGGAGATATTGGAAGCTCTGGAGAGGGCTTCTATGCTAACGTTGCAGTGTGAGTACCTCGTTGCTGGTGGTCAAGACTTTGCTAAGCAACATTGTAGACGCCAACCCGAAGTCACAATCGCAACATCGGCGTCAACCGAGCCCGCTCTCTCCTCCTCCGTCACCGCCGACTCAACTTGCCAATCTCCCCGAGAGCCCACTGCAACCGACTACAACACCGACACGCCCAAGTTCTTCGGAATGGCATGACACAGACTGGGAGCTCAACCCTGACTACAACCGCGTCGCCGAGATACGTACCTCTGACAGCCGCTTGATTAAAGCCAAGCGCGATTCTGACCACGCTCTCGCTGCCTGCCGCAACCGAATCGCTGCATTACAAGCAGAGTGTATAAAAGGCAGAGGGGATGGCCGACTGCTAGAATCAGCAAGGGACGAGCTTACAGAGGAAGTACGCAGCCACAAGGCTCAGATCACTGAACTGGAGCACTCAAGAGCTAGCGTGACAGAGACATTAAAGGCTACTCAAGCACAGCTAGCAGCTCTGACGGCCTCTAGAGAGACCTTGGAGCGGGAATTGCAAGCGAAGAACAAGGAGATTGTGGGGCTGGAGCAAAGCAATGCGCAAAAGCTAGGCGTAATTGAGGTCCTGGAGAAAGAGAAAGCAGTCTTAGAACAGCGACTCGATGAAGGCGAAGCTCGCCTACAGGAACTCGAGGATCACGCTGTCACCTTGGAGACGAGCTTGTGTGTGCTGCAGCAAAAGCTTGAGAGGGCTGAGCAGCAGGAAGAGGATCTTCGCCATCAACTCGCAGACAAGGACGCGGCGCACGCAGACGCGCAGAAGCGTCTCGACAGAGGTACCCAGTACATGCAGCTCCTTGAGCAGAAGATCACAGGGTACGAAGCGACTGTTGCGGATAATGACAAGAAGATCAAAGTGAGTGGCGACGTAATTTCAGCTCTACGCGACCAAGTCAACGATGCAACCAGCCACAGAAAGGATTCGGAGGAAGCTATGGTCGTCCTGCGAAGGGAAGTTTCGACATTGCAGTCACACTTCGATGAAGAGACCAAAGAGCGCAGCGCTCTGGCGAAAGAGCTGGACGAAGTTCGAGGTATAAAGAGCAAGCTTGAGGTCAACTTCCGCGCGTTGAATGAACGCTATCAAGCAGAGAACAGCGCAAAGAACAGACTCCAATCTGAGCTAGATACGCTATACTTATCCTACGAGAATCTGGAGACGGACCTCGAAAGTGCCCGCGAACGTGTCGGACAACTGGAGCAAGTTGACGCTCAGACCCAAGCGAAACTTCGAGCACTGGGGCAGAGCCTGCATCATGAGACGACGGCCAAATCACAGCTTCACGCGGAACTGCAGCAGCTACGAAAGACGCATAGTAACCTCGCATCAAGTTTGCAGGTCTTCAGAGAGAAGAACCGTTCATCAGAGCGGATCGAGTCTGAAAACCAGGCGAAGCTCAGGAGCCTCAAGGACTCGAAGACAGACCTTGAATCCCAGTTGAAGTGGACACAGGAGTCGTCGTTGCAGCTTTCAAAGGAGCTGGAGGGAAGCAGGGATGCGCTTACTGCCATCGAAGTCGAGAAGGCTCAACTTCAAGAGAAACTCTCTAATTCCGAACATCTAGTATTCGCCCTCGAAGTTGAGCTGCGCGAGGCTCACAGCGCGAAGGCTGAGGCTGAGGCACGACTGGACAACGATCTACAGACGAGCAACGAGCAACTTCGAGAAATGGAAGCATCAGTGGCGGCCCTCAAAGAGTTATTGCAAGCGTCCGAGCGCCTGAAGACATCATTACAACAGGAATTGCAACAAGCCCAGTCGTCCAAGGATGAAGCTGAACTGCGGCTGAAGGAGGTCAGAGCGTCGAAAGCGGTCCTACAGAGTCAGTACGACGAGACTTGTGCTCGCATGAAGTATACGGAACGCGAGAGTCAAAGGCTCAAGACAAATGTGCAGCAGCTCGAGGAGGACCTGAGCTCGAGCCACACGTCGAAGGCCGAGCTCGAAGGCCGCCTTGACACTGCGCAAAACGAAAGCAGAACCCTCAAGGTCCTTGCCTCGGAGCTCGAGATTGCATTCAAAGACAGTTGTGACGCAAAGGCGAAAGTCGAGGAGTGTCTACACATCATTCAAATGGATGGTGAAGCGTCCGGAGCTAAGATTGCGGACCTGCGCGACCAGCTGAACGAAACATCAAGCGCGAAAGAAGAGGCGGAAGCTAAACTTCGAGATCTCAACGTAACAACAGCTAATTTGGAACGTCAACTTCACTCAGCGCAGTCCAGGCTGGGCGAGGTCGAACAAGTACTGAACGAACGTCAGTCAGAGTTGACTGCTTTGCAAGAAGTTATTGCACGAACCCGGCAGACCAAGGATGAAGCTGACCAGCAACTCACCACCTTGCAAGCTTCTCATGTTATGCTCGCGAGCGAATTGCAGTCAACCAAGTCTCAGTTGACAGCAGCTGAGGCTGAAACGGATTCTTTAAGCCGCAGGCTATCTGCGTCCGAAGAAGAACTTGTAGCTGTTCACCGCAGCAAAGCCAATGTTGAAAGCGAGCTCGAGAAGTCGATGGAAGCCAATGCGGATCTCAAGAGCCAACTGAACGTCACCCGGAAACATAAGGCCGATGTTGAAAGCCAGCTTCATAGCTTGACCGGCTCCAACGCCGAACTCGAGAAAGACCTTGCAGCATCTCGGTCGCGTGTATACGAACTTGAGATAGCGAGGACTGGACTCACTTCTAAGTTGACCAGCGCGGAAGAGGAAGTTGCAACCCTCCGACAGGCCAGGACCGACATCGATGAGAAGCTCACTGCTGCATTGGGCTCCAAAGAGGAGCTTGAACAAAAACTCGCAGTAGCTCGATCGTGCCTGGACGAGCTTGGAACGGAACGATCTGGATTGAGCTTCAAGTTGGCGAGCGCAGAGGGTGAAGTCCAAGGACTTCGACAGATCAAGATCGATATCGACGAGAAACTCGCTACTGCTTTGAGTGCCAAAGTCGAACTTGAGCAGGAGCTTAAGACCGCCCGGTCACAGCTGAAAAGGGGCGCATCGGAGAATACAGACTTGATTTCGAAGTTAGCCGGTGTGAATGAGGAGTTGGCAGCCTTGCGGCAATCGAAAATTGACATGGAACAAGAGCTTACAACGAAGTTGACCAGTACAGAAGCTGAGATCGAAAAGTCTCGTCAGGCCAAGATTGATAGCGAAGAGAAGCTTACTGCTGCTGTCAGCTCAAAAGTCAAGCTCGAGCAGGATCTGGAAGTCGTCCAGACGCGCCTGGATGAAAGCACATCAGATAAATCTGGCCTGATGTCGAAGCTTGACCAGGCGAACGAATCCCTTGAGACGCTACAAAAGGGCAAGAGGGATGTTGATGAGCAGCTACGTAACGCGCATACGGAAGTCGAAAGCCTGCGGCAAACGAAGATTGAGCTAGAGCAAAAGCTCCAGGTGGCGGAGACAGAGGTGGACGGCCTACGACAAGCTAAGGATGCTGCTGAAGTGAGGCTCAAGGGCGCCACCAAAGAACTCGACATTCTTCAGCAACGTCAAAGCGACACGCAAAGCGAACTCGACATCGCCAGCCAGGATTTGGAAAAATCACGGCAGGCACAGAGTGAGATTGAGGAGAAGCTTGCTACAGCTCTAGTAACGAGTGCAGCTGTCGAGAAGGACCTGTCGTCAACACGAACCGCTATGAGCGATGTCGAGTCTCTTAACGCAAGGCTTCTGTCACAACTCTCTGAGAAGGACACAGAACTTCTAGAAATCAAGGAGGGCGTGCACAATACCGAGCGCCATCTCGAAGATGTGAGCGCATCTCGTACAGACCTCGAGAGACAACTTACATCTACGCGTTCCCAGCTGGACAACCTGGAGTCGCAAAATCAGTCTCTCAATAGCAGGCTAACCAAGAGCGACGAAGAGATGGCAAATCTCAGACAGGTCAAAGCACTGCTCGAAGCCAAGCTTGAGAGTGTCATGCACGAAAGTGGCACATTCCAGAGGGACCACGACACTCTAGCTCTACGATTGAGTACTCTGGAGGCAGACAAGGCAGGCATCGATGCCGAAATCGCCCAAAATGTCAAGGAACTCGAGTGTGTGCGACAAGAAAGAGCGAGCGTAGAGGAACAGCTCCAGGACGCTTCGAAACGCGTCCAAAGTCTTGAGACCGACCTTACTTCTATCCGCTCTCGATTTGAAGCAGCTGAGACGGAGAAAGCTGACCTCAGTGCAAAACTCCAGGCTACCGGAGATGAGTTCTCCGCTTTGCGACAAGTACGAGACGGTATCGAACGGCAACATAAAGATGCCTTGGCGCTTAGCGAGGGTCTGCGTGGCGAGTTGGCGTCTTCACAATCACGTGTAAGCGAACTGGAATCTCATAACAAGGTTCTTGCGCTTCAGCTTTCCAAAACTCGGGAGGAATTGCAACGCCAGCAGTCTCGTGTAACTGAACTTGAGTCTGAGAAAGAAAAGTCTGCACATCAACTCACGAGCGTCTATGAGGAGCTGGACCAGCAGCGAGCTGCAAACATCAGGCTGGAGGACCAGTCCAACAACGTATCGCAGCGCAACACCGACCTCGAGCGTGATCTACATGCGGCTCAAATGCGACTCGACATTGCGGTGTCTGAGGGTCTTGTACAGGACGCTCGAGGGCTTGAGGCTGACGAGGAGCTCAAGATCCTGCGCGAGACGAACGCTAAACTGGAAGCGACTGAGAGTGATCTCCTTCACCGACTTGCCTCAGTTGAAGAGGACCTCAACAGTGTACGGGCAACAAACGCACGACTGGAGGAGTTCCTGAGCAGAGTTGAGTCTGATATGGTCACTACAGAAGCTGCGTTCGAAGAGAGCGAGAGGCGTCTGGAAGGTTTCGTTCAAGAATCTGAGGCTAAGCTGGAAGAGTCGCGGAGCTCGAAACTGAAGTACAAGCGCAGGCTTTCAGAAAAAGAACATGAGATTGAAGATCTGGTCAGCCAAAACTCTGAGCTACATCACCAGATCGATGACCAGGCAGAGGAACTGACCCGTCTTAACAAGGGTAAGGAGAAGATGGCCGAAAAGCTACACGACAGGGAGCAGTCTATCCAAGAGCTCAGTTCATCGAGCGACAAACGGCTCAAAGAGATCCATGTGGCGTACGACGGCCTTAAGAGAGATCACGATAGCCAGGTACAGAAGCAGCGACAAGTCAGTGATGAGTCACACAAGCACAGCAGCAGCCATCTGCGCAGCGAGATGCAGGCCAAGGACGCTACGATTATAGAGCTTCGACAGGGCAAGCATGAGTTCGCCATGTCGTTCGCATCGCTGGAGCAAGAAGTGCGTGAGCTCCGAGAAGACAAAAAGGCGTTCGAAATACTTGTAGCTACTCTGCAGGAGAAGATTCACCATCTTGAGGTCCTTCAAGAATGGCATAGCCCTTCGGAGTCTAGTGCACCTGCAACCCCCTCGCGGACAAGGGACCACATTGAGTGGAAGGACCAAGGTTCTGCAAGTCCCTCCAAGATCCGCAACCTGAGCCCGATACCCAGTAGCACTCGTCGCAGTCTTCGTAGTCAGCCAAGTAGGGCATCAACCCGTGCTAGCATAGGCTCATCACCAGAGGACCTCGATGAGTGGGCGAAGGAAGTAGAGCGCATCCGCATGCAGCGAAATGAGCAGGTGATCAAGCTGAAGGGTATGCGCAAAGAGCGCGACGACCTGAAGAGGACCCTCAAAGAGAGTGAGCACCAGTTGCACGAGCTTGAGAAGCGGGGACGATCGTAAGTCTCCGGAGACTCTGTTTGATAACCCCTACTAACAGTTTGTCCCAGACAACGCCCACGTCAGGTCCTCAGAAAGCGATCTGGACGCCCTTCACCAACTCAGTGGGCTACAGACGACTTCCTGCAACCTCCAAAAACACCCACTCGCACTCGCCCATCCACTTCCGCTGGTACACCCAGCACCAGACCAAGCCCATTCTCCTTCGGCTCCGCAAGAAGCAGACATAGCAGCTACATGTACTCGCCGCCTACACCTTTTTCAGACCGTCCAAGCACAGCGTCGCCGAGGAAAGAACCAAAACGTTGGACCAGCTTCTATCACAATAATGCACCACCGAATGTCGATGCCCTAGGCATCGCAGAGGAGAGCGAGAAGGAAGGGAAAGAAAGGCTGAAGCCTCCAAGGAGGCTTATGACAAGTCGTAGTTTCAGGTCTATTAAGGGTGCGGCGAAAGATCAGGATCGGCAGAAGCCGAAGCGCAGGTGGAGCTCGGGATTTAGGAAGTTGTTCTTGGGTGAGCGATCGGCGTTGCATTGAGCGTGTGTTCGTGTTTTCACTGCAAATACTATGAGTGTCGCTCTTTTGTTACATATCACTTCAGCGAGCGGGCTTTTTATATATTCCCATTCCTCCTTGGTCTTCGAAACATTTTTCTAGTCCCATTCAATGGCACCAAATTAACAGCAACCCCCTTTCTAGCCCTGAAGCCTTGTCCAAGCACTCGTGCTCAGCAGTCGTCCTTATACTCAAACCCAATCATCCAAGCCATCGCCGCAATCTCTGCATCAGCATCCGCCAACACCTTCATATCCGGCATCTCCGGCTCGAAAATAACAGCCAAATGCTGCCGCAATATCTGCTCACTAGGAGACCATCCCATCTCAAACGCTCGAACCACCTCATCTACGCCGCCTCTAAACGCCGGTACACAACGCAACACCTTTTCCAAGAAATCCCGCACATCTTCATAATCGCGGTCATACAAGCTCATAATACCCGCTTGATACATCGCGCTCTTCATCGTATACTTCGCATCCCCACACCCCTGCTCTGCCAGCGTAGCAGCATAGATCTGTCGATAGCAATGCGTCGTAAATGCCATGTAGGGCGACGTGGACAGGTAGTTGAGGTACGCTAGCATCCAGTCTTTCTGCAGGAATAAGGGCGCGGAGGAGGAGCCGATGCAGCGCGGGACCGCGAGGCAGCGGTCCCAGTCCGTTATGCCGGTAATGTTGCCGGAGGAGTCGACGAGGATGTTTTGCAGGTCTCGGTCGGCGTGATGGAGGGTGAATGTTTCGGGGCAGGAGGGGTTGAAGATGGGGTGGCTGAAGATTATGTCGAGAGGTTCCCAGGCGCTGAGGATGTAGGCGTGGGTTGTGGTGCCAGGCTTGGTGGGGTTAGGTTAGAGATTGAGTGTGTTCGAGCGCGGAGGAAGTCGTGTGTTGAGTAGACTGGACGCTCGGTGCAGTCGTCGCTGCCAGTGTTGTCCCACTGATACAGTGGGCCGATTGTAGGCGGTGCTGAGTCGTCTAAAGGGATGATGGGTATACCAATCTCGTCAAAAAAGAATGTGTTGATCTCAGCCATGATTCGCGCAGGCGAACGTAGGAAGCTGGTTCGTTTCTTCACAACGGAAGGTGATGACAATTTGCCAGAGCGAAAGTTGGTATCGGAGTCTGCCTCGTCGTAGTCGTCGTCGAACCAGGTGCTATGTGCGCTCTTTCCAGGAAGTCGGGTCATCATGATGAAGGGATGGCCTAGTGAGTTGTTAAAGTTAGTCTAGTAAGCGCACACTTGGGGCACTGGCGCTGACATATTCTCGCCAATGTACTCGATGATATGCGCCTCGCGCTCCATCATATACGTGTCCCTGGCTGCCCAGTGTTCGACTGTAGCATGGCCCAGTACGCGAATGATGTATGTGTCGATGTTACCGTTCGTAAGCACTCCGACAAATGCAACTGCATTGTGAGTACCTTTCTCGTACGCACGGCATTTTGATTGTTCCAATGGTCCTGAGAAAGTGCAGGTGCGCGAGATAAGTTCTTCGTAGCGGCTGGCTGGGATCGCGTCGATCTTTGTCCAGTCACACCGAAGATGTTCTTTACCATCATTGTTGTTGTCGGTGTCTACAAGTGTATCAGTAGATTTAGGCTTTAGTTTTGAGTTGCCATTCAGCGACGAGCCTTGGCCATGTTATGTTGTCGAAGTTTCAAAGATTTGAGAGGTCAGACGGAACCAATCCATGGATTTTGTTCACATCTTGCAGAGCTGTCGAGGAGTAATAGCAATCCGGAGATTTGGTAGGTTTTTGTCAAATGGTAGTGAGCCAGGTCTGTCGGATTTCCTCACGCATGAGCCACTCAGTGTCGGCAGCGGAGACTTCCTGAACACTCGCTGTCGAACGTCATATGCAAAATGGTGAATTTGGTCCCGACTGTGTTCGAATTGGCAAGAGTCAAGCAACACTTTTCGCACAATGGCACAAGTCTAGTGCCAGTTCTGGTCGATCGAAAGACCTTCCACAAGATGTATGCCTACACTGAAGGCGGATTCCTTACCAAAGAGGAACCTCTTCTGGAAGAAGCGCCGTTTCCGTACGACATCAAGGCCGCATGGCTGAGCCGGCCTTGCCGCATGTGATGCTTGATCAGCAAGATCAAAACCTGGATTCTGATGACTGAAGGCCTGTCAAACTCTTTTGTTACACTCAGCTCAGCGTGAGATATCTACTCCGCGCTCTTTCCCTTAAGATCTGCGCCCAAATTTAACAATTCGCATGTTGTGCCAAACAATGCTAGTACAAGGGCGTGATCAAGGAGCACACTCTCAAAGCGTTGGACGAGAGACGCCTTATGTAGGTACGAGTAGACTGAGATAGAGTGGATGTGCTGGAAGAAAGCTTCGAACATGCGGAGAATAATATTCCTGTCGATCAAAGGCAGAACCGGTTCGATACCTGCCGGCACAGTGGATGTTGGTTGAGCTTCTTGCGTTTTTGAAGATGTTCTCCCGTTGTCGTTGGCTCCGACCTGATGAATCTTCAGATATGGGTAACGACAAGTTCTACGCTTGCGCAAGCAACGTGTACAACTCGAAATTTTCGCCGCCGCATTTTGCTTTCAGGGATCGGCAACCCGTGCATGGGATCCTCTTCTGTCAACTTTCAAGGCTGTTGCCAGGCCGCACGATCTCATCAACATGGCCACCACTTCTTCCCAAAGAACAATTGAGTTTGAGTCCCTCACAACAGCTACAGACATCGCGTTTGCCATCGCATTTCACTTTGCGGATCCGACATTCTGCGCACATGTTTGGCGATCTCTTCGAACCGCGGCCAGTCCGCATGGGCTATGTTCAGGGCTGCGAGCGATTACTGCTGAAAAGATGGTGGGACTCGCGTGAAGACGTTATGGATGGTAATGGCAAGTAGACGCGTCTTGATTAATCGCAAGCAGTAGCGGAATAGGGCGCTAGCCATATCGAGCCACGTTCACGTGTGACATCTCTCGGTACCCGAACTCCCAACTCTCAACTTTGAAAACCATCCTTGATTATCCAACACAGCAACATGCTGCGAGTCCTTCGTTCACATGCCTAATCAGTCCAGCAACGATGCGCAGTCGCCCCAAAGAGACACGGTCCGCCTAAGTTAGCATTTTCACATGCTCCTACGTCATCCTGCCATCTTCGAAACGGACGAGAACATGTGGAGTCCATGGATTCGTGCCATGTAGCGCCCACACGTGTTTGTGTCGCGAAATACTCGTTCTGCGGAATGCTGTCACCAGCCGTCTTTTTACCAGACTTGACAACCTGCGTTGTTCCGTAGATGGCTAAGCGCAATAATTTATACGATTTGTAGAGCTCACGTCAGCCACTGCGACCCTGAACCTTCTCCTAGAGATACCTTGCCGTACCTGCAGCTACAGAACAAGCTTCGATGGCTATTCTTGTCTCACAAGCGAACGGTGGTGGCGTAATTCCTCCACCAAAACTCAACGTTTGTGGGTCTACCTGCCATGACCTCGAGGTCTGGATCATTTGGCCCACTCAGGACAAAGACGATCTACACATCGCTGGGCCCTACTGCAGAATATATGGGGTAAGTCAGCATTAGCAGGCGCATGACATGAATCTGTATGCTGCAAGCAGACAGCGCATTTAGCTCGCTGACGCAGTACCTACGGTGTCTCCGAGCGACCAGCCATTTTTCGCGGACAATCTAAGTACCCTGTTTTCTTCCTTGCTTCATGTAAACATCCAGCCAACCGGCGAGTTTGTTTCTGTTAATCCTGTGCAACCCGGGACTTAGGTGGGGCTCTATATCCACGTTGGACTACCGAAAACGGCAGCTGCAAGGGATTGAAGGTACTTGCCAACGCTGTCGTTGGCAAACCCTTGGATTGTTTACTTTCATATTCAGAATCTTCAACCCTTTCATCTGGAGCGACGTCCCAATTCTTTGCGCAACACCTTTACTTTTTGGTTTTCTTGCATAGCATCAGCCACAGTTCTTCTTTTATCATGTTTATCCGACGCGCTATCACGGCACTATCGCTATGTGCTGCCGCACTCACAGCTCCGACGTAAGTCATGTGCTTATTGATGGATGATGCCTGCCGTCTCTCACCACGGGAACCCGCAGCACATCTACGCAGCTTCTTCTCGAGCACATGGAAGCCAGTATCATGACCTCGGATGCTAACAAGGAACAGCGAGAAACGTAAGGTTGGCTTCAACTGGGGTAACGAGAAGATCCGCGGTGTCAACATTGGCGGTTGGCTGGTTCTCGAACCGTAAGTGATGAATCCGAGCACTGATTACACAACGCTGAGAAACATATAGCTGGATCACACCTTCCCTGTTTGACAAAGCTAATTACGGCCGTCCTCAGAAGGACATTATCGACGAATACACAGTAAGTATCTCAGTCTCTCTCTCACAGTTCACCTACTGACACATGACTAGTTGGGCGAGAAGCTTGGACATAATGCGGCACTCGCAGTACTCCGCAATCACTGGAACACATTCGTAACATGGCAAGACTTCAAGAAAATCAAGGATGCTGGCTTCAACATCGTCCGGATACCTATCGGCTACTGGGCATATGACAACTTTGGCTCACCATACGTGGGTGGCGCAAATGTGTACATTGATGCTGCTATCGACTGGTCACGAAGCTTGGGCCTCAAGATTGTCATCGACCTACACGGTGCACCTGGTTCGCAAAACGGCTATGATAACTCCGGCCAGCGCCTGAACGTTCCACAATGGCAATCCGGGGACACAATCAAGCAGACATTGCAGGTTTTGAAGACCATCTCCGACCAGTACGCGCAGCTAAAGTACCAGGACGTCATCGTCGGGATCCAGCTGCTCAACGAACCAGCCATGTACTTTGATAACATCAGCGAGGATGTGACACGCCAGTTCTACCGTGTTGGATATGACCAGGTCCGCGATACCTCCGACACAACAGTCATCCTACATGATGGTTTTATACGACCAAACCAGTGGAACGGCTACCTGACGCCTTCAGACAACAACGCGCAAAACGTCGCGATCGACCACCACGAGTACCAAATCTTCAACAACGACCTCATCCAATTGAAGCCCTCCCAACACAACCACAAAGTTTGCGACCTCGCCGATGCCTACGGCGGAGCCGACAAGTGGACATTCGTTGGTGAATGGACAGGTGCCATGACCGATTGCGCGAAGTACCTTAACGGCCTAGGACGTGGTGCTCGCTATGATGGTACATACTTGGGCGCCCCGTACCAGGGCGACTGCAGCTTCGCAAACGATGTCAGCAAGTGGAGCCAAACCCAGAAGGACGATACGCGCAAGTACATCGAGACACAGATCTCAGCTTTCGAAGCGAAAACTCAAGGATGGTTCTTTTGGAATTTCAAAACGGAGAACGCATTTGAGTGGGACGCACTTGCGCTGGTCGATGCTGGTATCTTCCCAGCAATAAGGAACGGACAGGTTGAGTACAAGTTCCCCAAAGTCTGCACGAACTTCTACTAGGTGGGAAGTATATGGGACTCCCCTAGTTCCGAGGACGAGGACGTCTGATAAGGCCTCTCGCCCGGCTCATACTCAACTAACCTGCGAGCAGATTGTAGATGGGCATTGTTACGCATGCCAATATAGGTCCGTAGACAAGACTTGCAATGCTACACTCGAGTAAGTCAATTAATATACTATCATTCAGCTCGACTTCTGCGCTTGCACAATTCCCCGCCACAATGGCACGATGCAGCCCCGATGTACCGCGGAGTCGGTCGCGTGTTGTGGATATGCTTTTCCGCCCAGACACTTGACCTAACATCTTTCTTTCTATTCGCCAGAACAAGCTTCCTGCATGCCACGTTATTCCATGAAAGATTCCGCCCCGGTACAACTGCATAATTACCAGCTTGTTGCTTGGCACGGACGCAGAAATGCTACCGACACTCTAAATCCGCCGTCTCAGTCTTTGAAAACCGGGGCCAATCTGGGGGTGGGGCTGGGGAAAGATCATCGGCCCGCAATGTTGCAAGGGTCCTTCACCGTAGCACCGTGCGGGGTAAGGCTTGGAATGCCTGGGGTAGCAGCGGTGCCAAGTGATTGCGGGAAGATGGGCCAAGAAACCTTTGTGGTGGTACTACATAATGTATTTGAGAGGTTGCATTCCCCAGCAGCCTTTTGTCTCAGAGTTGTTGAGATATCTTCACTGTTCCCAGCTTCCTGGTCGCAACTTTCTTAGGACCCACTCCTTCATCCTCATCGTTCTGGGTTGAAAGAAAGGGAAAGATGACGACCAAGAATCCCGAGCCTGTTATCGAAAGTGAGAAGACGCGACACTACGATGAGAAGGCCGAGCTTGAGAGCGTCAAGCCTGCGGCGGGTGGGAATGTGGACTACACAGGGAGTGTAGCGAAGACCGATCCGAAGGAGATTGCGCTGGTGAGGAAGATTGATTGGAGACTCATGGTACGCGTTGCCATTATCCCAAGTTGAGGTTATGTGTTTGGTGAATGAGTGCTGACGAAGTCGTAGCCGACGCTGTGCACAATGTACTTCCTCGTAAGTCACAACTCTTGCATGATGGAGGAGAACGAGAGCTTCAACCCGACAAGCTCACCGAAGCCTCGCCAAGGAAGCTTCCCCCTCCACCTCTCGTCCACCACCTGCAGACAAACACGGAACTGACCTTGATACAAGAACTACGTAGACCGTAACGCCATCGCGCAAGCGCGCCTCAACAACCTCGAGCGGGACCTCAACATGACAGGCGTGCAATTCAACACCACCGTCTCGATCCTGTTCGTCGGCTACGTGCTCATGCAAGTGCCTTCCAACATGCTGATCACACGCATCAAGCCCGGGGTCTACATGAGCGCGTGGATGCTTGTCTGGGCCGTGGTGTCTGCTTGTACGGCGCTAGTGCAGAGCTTTGGCGGGCTGGTGGCGTGTAGATTCTTTTTGGGGATTACTGAAGCACCATTTTATCCGGGGGCTACTTATATGTTGAGTATTTTTTATACTAGGAAAGGTATGTCGTGTGCTGCGTTACGGCAGAGCTGGGAGATGAAGTGATGTGTTGGTGCTAACGAGCTTGTAGAGGTTGCTACGCGTATTGCGCTCTTGTATTGCGCGCAGATCTTGGCGACTGGATTCTCGGGGCTCATCGCTGCTGGTGTGTTTGCTGGTATGGACGGCCTCAGAGGCATTGCTGGATGGAGGTGGCTTTTCATTGTGTACGTCTCTTCTTCCTTGGTCCTCTGGATGGCATGCTAACGATCTCCAGCGAGGGCGCTGTGACAGCTTTCGTGGCCATTTTCGGCTTTTTTCTACTACCAAGCACTCCTCTAACAACCTCCTGGCTAAATCCTGAAGAGCGCCAGATGGCCCACGACCGCATGGAGCGTGACCGCGTCGGCGATGCTGGAGAGAAGGTCAGTATAATGGAGGGCCTCAAACAGGCCTGCAAGGACAAGCGAACATGGCTTTTCTGCTTGATGCAGAACTTCCACTTGAGTGCTTGCTCGTTCAACTCATTCTTCCCAACGTAAGTCTCTCAATCTAAGAACAAATGCTGAAGGGTCGAAGCTGACAAACGAGCAGTGTCGTGAAAACCCTCGGCTTCAACAGAACCATCACACTCGTCCTTACCTGCCCGCCATTCCTCTTCGCCGGTGTAGCAGGAATCATGACTGGATGGAGCTCCGGACGCCTGCACGAGCGCACGTGGCACATCACGGGCGGTCTCTCCGTCGCCATCATAGGTTTCGTCATCGCAGCCAGCACTCTGAACACCGCAGGCCGATATATCGCATGTTTCATCTTCCCCGTAGGCGCCTACTCCGTCAACTCCGTAATCATTGGCTGGGCATCCTCGACACTGAGCCAGACCAAGGAGAAGAAGGCTGTTGTTCTGGCGATGACGAATGTTGGAGGCCAGATTGGATACATCTACGGCGCATACTTGTGGCCGGACTCCGACTCACCGAGGTTTGGTATCGGGTTTGGTGCGTCTGCTGGGTTTGCGTTGTTGAGTATTGCGTGCGCGTGGGCGATTCGAGTGCTGCTCATTAAGGAGAACAAGAAGTTGAGGGAATCTACGGACGAGCACATCAATCTGTACGGATACTAGAGAGGTGGTTAGGGGGAAAGTTAGCTGGAAAGGCAACGTAGCTGTTCAGATGCCGATCGTCTGAGTAGAAAGAGCAAAGCAATGAGAACTCAATTGCCCTTCAGCACTTCATCTGTGCATCGAGTATGACGTCAGTTGACTGCTTTGGGATGTTGAAGCTGATCATTATGCAGTTTGGATTCCAGGAACAGAAACTATGAGATTGAATTGGACCAGCAGAAGGAACTTTAAATTTACTGCGCAGTCGTAGTGCGTGATGATGAGTGGAGGCAGCCCTGGCCAGCAGCCCAGGCAGTGCGTTGGCGAGGACCAGCAGCAGAGGAGCGCCTAAAGGCGCGAGATGCGAGGTGGAGGCAAGCTGCTATGGTGCTGGGAAGCAGACACTGACTGCAGGCCAGCAGCAGGCGGCAGACGAGCGCAGCAAACACACAGTGCCGCGAGAGGGTGCTGATTTTTGCAGCTCGCTGGCGGCCACGGTTGGCAGGCAAAGGCAGCCGATTTGGGGGGCTTTGACCCAGCAGCGTGGCAGAAGCACTGTCCGCTCGTGACCCAGCAGCTTTTGGCGGGTCCTTCGCTGCTTCTGCGGGCACTCAGCCGGCTGCAGTGCACAAAGTTCGTGTCAGAGCAATTATGCAATGCCTTTGCAAGAGGAAGACGCGCTGGTAATAGAGAGCACACATTAACCTAAGAGTGTAGCGTGCAAGTGCAGTAGAGCAGACGTGCAGCGTTGAGGGCGTGGGCACTGCACAGACGAGGCTCTTGAGGGGCTACTTGGGCTACTTGCTGCTGCAAAGAGCTTATGGGCGCGCTGTTCTCGCGCGTCAATGGGTAAACAGACGCCCCGTCAGTAGCGCGTTTTGGCAGGGCGTTTGGTGGGTGGGTGCCAAAAGCAGGGCAGGCAGCGCCTGTCACATAAGCTGAGGGTGCCCCCACCGCCGAACACTTGCGCCGTCCACTGCTGCCCTCGCCCGCCCCAACACCTCAACACCACCGCCCGGGCGCGCCAGACATCCACCAACTCGCCCGAACAACGCCATGGCAAAAACAAAGAAACCCAGCGCCGACGATGCCGGCGAGCTGATGGTCTCAGTCGAGTCCTACACGCGCACCAGAGATTCTGTATGTCTAATTGTTCTGTTCCACAACGCGCGTCCGCATTGCTTGTGTCGTTTGTAGCTCGTCGCGACGACATTGAGCCTGCGACGCGCCGTTTCTCATCACCACCACCCTTTTTACATCTTTGTCGCATATAGTCTTGGTCGCCTGGTCTACGCGACTCGATCACTATGTCTGCGCAGAAGCGGTTACCGTTGCTGCAGCCGAAATTGAGTATCTCACGCGCAGTAACCTTATCAACGACGCGCAAAGACTCGAGCACACCTACATTACTTCTGAAGGCACTGCTAAGACATGTTTCCACCAACAGGTTATCGTCTCCCTCAGCAACCTCCAAGCCGGTCTTACCCACGTCCAGAGTGGACTCAACGAGCTCTTGCGCGCCTACTTGGAGCACACCAACTCGGTCATTGCTGGCGAGGATGTTGTCCTCAACAAGCTCGAGTTGAACAAAGACATCGCAGCCGCCGCACATGCCACTATTGAGGCTGCCTCTTCGACTGCCAATGGCATCGCGCAAGCTATCTCTGCTGGCGACAAGACCGAAGCTGCTGCTGAGTCCGGCAAACCTAGCAAGGGCACCAAGCGCAAGCGCGAGAAGAAGGAGAAGGATCCCAACGCTCCTAAGAAGCCCTTGACTGCTGCATTCTTGTACGCGCAGACTGCGCGACCCATTGTTAGAGGTGATCTGGAGGCTGCTCTTGGCCCTGATCAGAAGCTTGAGCCCAATGCCGTCAACCTTGAGGTGAACAAGCGTTGGAACGAGATGCCCGAGGAGGACAAGGAGGTAAGATCTGTACCACCGTACGTCTAAAGAGCGCAAGCTGATCCGCAACAGACCTGGAGGCAGTCTTACCGCGACTCGATGGAGCAGTGGAAGGAGGAGATGGCTGCATACACGGCCAAGAACGCCTCTGCAGCTGTTGACCTTCACGATGACGACGATGCTTCTGAGGCCGAGGCTGAGATTGAGGTCGAGGCTGCCGCCGATTCTGACGCATCTTCAGAGGACGAGGAGCCCGCGCCTGCTAAGGCCCCATCACCACCCGTCAAGACTCCTCGCGCCAACAAGCGCCAGAAAACTGCGCAGAACCCCGCTGTCAATGGCGCTGCCGCTCCCATTGTCGCCGCCGCTTCACCCGTTCCTCTCCCTCGTGCGACCTCTACCGTTGTTCCTCCCGTTGCCGCCGCTGAGACACCAGCCAAGAAGGAAAAGAAGAAGAAGGAGAAGGCCGCTCCGCAGCCTATAGCTCCGGCCCCAGCAACCTCGGCGAAGGAGCCAAGTCCTGAAGAGGGAAGCAAGAAGAAGAGCAAGAGCAGCCGCACCACAAGGAACAACGAGGCCGAGGCAATTGGTCAGGATAAGGAGAACGCTGCTGCACCAGAGAAGGAGAAGGAGAAGAAGAAGCGAGAAAGGAAACGTAAGAGCGAGGGCGCTGCCGCCTAAGCACTTTCTTCCTGGGCACCCCTATTATTCCTCTTTGCTGGCGTATACGGGATAAGAACGTTTGTTAATCGTATGCTGTAGGCGTATCTGATGGTCCTTTGCGTCCTTTGCTACCGCGCCCGTCCAACATGCAGCGCAACACAGATGAGCCTGGAGGTGTTCGGATTTCCCTGGAAGACCCAGTCGTCGAGCGGACATATCCGCAATTGCAACATTCCTCGCGCCTGGGAAGGCGCGAGATGACCGACGACTATTTCTAGGGTCCTTCATGGAGGACAATGTGACGAATTAACGAGCTGATACAGCCTTGCGTCCAGTATGGCATTACTGTACCCCTACTTGTATATAGCTACCGCGGTGGTCGACGAAAATTGAACAATCATATAAACAAACTACAGTTCACCTTCGTAATGCCAGAGGTCTAGCTTCCTCCAAGGTGCACTTTCGGCGCGATGCATGCAACAAAAAGCGATAGATGCAATGCTCGCAAAAACACAGTCATGGAAGACACCACTGTTTGGATATACATCCATGGTGTCAGTAGTCCGCAGCTGACTACCTCCCGGCTACTCTTTGTCCACACCAGAGGCGGAATGCTTCTTGTACAATCATCAGTCCATGCCTTCACCGCAGTACCTCTCGATCTATGAGCACAACAATGCCTTTGTTGACGGACACCTTCCAAACCTTCCCGCCGCAGCCTCACCGTACAAGCCGCCTCGGCCCGCAATTTGTACCAACAAACGCGCTTTCGCGCTATCACGTGCAAGCTAACCCCACCTAACAGCGTCCCCACTATTGCTAGCAAACAATCGCTCTGCTTTACTCGACATGCCTGCTGCAGAAGATGATTTACGAAATTACTTGATTGGGCCTCCCCGCTTCTTCGTCGTCTTCTTCGAACCCGCTCTCAAGTCAAGGTGCCTGCTCAAATCTCGACCCTGAATCACGGCCTGACACTCCGCGCTTCCACAAGACATGAGGATATCAATATGGAAGCCAACTATGCTTCGCAGCCAAACTCACTTACTTCGGCACACGCTGGAGGATATGCCACAACCACAGCACCATTAGATGGTGTGTTCAGTCTTGACGAATTCTTGTCAAATAACCAAGCTATTCATGATGCACTTGTAGCCGCACGTGAGGCAGCGGAGACGCCGCCAGCAAAGAAGTCAAAGAAGAGCAACAACGCGTCACAACCTCAGCCTGTTGTTGTCGGAGCCAGGTCCTCCAAGTACACCATTCTGCTTCATGAGAAGTATCAAGCACTCGCCATCCCACAGCCAGTATTCACCTTTGGCGGAGACAGTGTCACGAGATGGACCGTCGAGATTAGCTTTCCGGGCTTAGCAAATGCTGACGAGCTCCAAGGTCTGAAAGAGGAGGGTCGGTTCAACAGCAAGCAAGAAGCCAAGAATGCTGCAAGTAAGACTGCACTGACTATCTTGGAACGACTGGAGCAAGAAGGTCGAGTCACGAAGGCTGGCAAGACAAAGAAGCCAAATGGCGAGCCAGCACAGCAGCAACCAAAACAGAAGGAGGAGCCAGACGAGAACTTCGTCGGCCAGCTCCTCGGTACGTATGGTCATTTTCACGAGTCAATGTCAGGGCCTGCTAATACCTGAAAACAGAATTCCAGCGCTCAACATCTGCACCCCACCCAACCTACACCGACTGGCAGCTCGGTACGCGCTGGGCCTGCACGCTTGAGATCGAGGGGCATGATCAACCTTTCGGTTCTCAGGACGCGCTTTTCGGCTCCAAGAAACTCGCCCGCCAATACGCCGCCAGCTGCGCAGTGTTCCACTTCAAGTCCCAAGGTCTCTGGCCAGAGGAATTCACTAACGTCGGCGGAATTAGAAAGCGCAAACCCGCCGCTAACAACTCACCCTCTCCCTGTGCCGACGGACGCAAAGCCAACGTAGCATCCAGCACTGGTGGAGCATCAGCAGCATCACAAGCCGCCGCCCTTGCACACCTACTCAATCTCAACACCCCCGAGTACCGATACACGCACGAAAAACCTTCAGTCCCAGATGTTCACACAGTGTCCTGCTTTTTCAGGAATGGCGGCGCCCATGAGGGCCCGATTGGCGAGGTGAGAAATGTGTTTGGGAAGAAGAAGGCAAAGGAGGAGTGTGCTAGGCTCACACTGGGGTATCTGACAGAAGTGAAGAGACAACGCGAGGAGGTTGCTGCAAGGTTGATGGTGGGAATTGCGGGCGGGGCTGGGGTAGTGAGTGTGGATTGTGTGTATGGATGGTGAAGAGCGTATTGCGAACAGGCAGGTCAAAAAGAAGGTCAGTGACGACGAGCTGGATATCTACAAGGATGATATGGAGCACTAAATCGGGGAATATCAAGGGCGCTGGGCTGTCTGGACGTTGTTAATCATGCAACGATTGGATGACACACCTGCATTGCTGGGGTTTGGTATAGCGAATGAGAATACATGGCGTGCATCGACAAAGTGAAGGATCCCGATATCTGCAAGCATATGCTCGTTAGTGCTGTAGTCCATATGACACGAGTCGTGGCCAGTGAAACGACCACCCCCGCAACACTTACAGTTTCTGCTACGAAAGAAACCCTCAACTCAACGAATAACCAAACTCACCCACCATGCCTTTCCACACCCCATGGTCACCCACCACCGCCCTCCCTGTCCTCCTGAGCACAACAATCCTTATAGTCTGCGCGCTTTACGTCCTCGCCTACCCGCCAAAACTTCGCCCGCTCGCTTTTGCACTCTTGTGCCTCCCATGGACTTACTCATTCACATACCAGCTCTCTCTCACACCATGGTTTACTCTCAACGATACGTTTGGAAGAATGTTGTATATCTGGTTGGCGTATATGAACTATGCTTTCCTCATCGTTCGAGTCGATCCGGTCGTGTCTAAGAAGACTGAGAAGACTGATGGTGGGCCCCCTGGCGGGGGGTGGAGAGAGAGGCTGAGGTGGGCGGAGAAGGTACTGTACACACGGCATTTGTCTTCATACTACGTCCATCCCTCGAACGAGAAGAAGCGGATCGAGGGGGGTGAGAGCATAATGGTGGAAAGACGGCGTCAACCCCAGCACGGGTACGACAGACTGCACTTCTGCACCCACCACATCCTCAAAGTTCTCCTCTTACTCTCCATCAACTACACTTGGGACCACTTCATCGACACACCCCCTTCCTTCTCCTCCATGCGCGCCTCATTTCTGCGCCGCCTTCCGTCCTCCTTCAATAGAGACGAGCTGATGACGAGGGGTACGATGGTGTGGGATTCGTGCATAGGCGACATGCTTTACTTCTCCTCGCTATACTCGCTCTTCGCGGTGCTGTTCGTCGGCATCCTTCGTCTCGACGAGCCTTCAGAGTGGGACATGAGTCTTTTCGGGAGTCTGGGGGATTGTTGGAGTGTGAGAAGGTATTGGGGCGTTTATTGGCACGATTACATCAACGCTTCTTTCTCTACTCACGTCAAGATCGTTACTCGGCGGTGGCTGGGCATGCAAAGGGGAAGGGTTGGGACAAGGCTTGTTGAGAATGCGGTGGTGTTTGTGGTTAGTGGGTGCATGCATTCGCTTGTGAGGTTTGTGCAGACTGAGGGGAGTGGGGAGATATGGACAGTGGCGATTTGGTATGGGGCACAGATGCTGCCGATTGCTATTGAAGGTGTGGTGCAGCATGTTTGGTTGAAATCAGGCTTGGTAATGGGATGCAAGACTTGGCTTAGTGAAGGGGTGGTGATGAGGATGGAGAGGGCGGTTGGGTATGTTTGGGTATTTGCTTGGATGTTTTGGAGTGTACCGAAGTACTTGCACACGAGGCATGCTTGGGAGACGGAGAATTTGAGGAGGAAGTATCCGGAGCTGTTTGGTAGGGTTGTGGAGGATTTGAAAGTTACAGTGGCTGCAGGTGACTGATGGCTGCTGGGAACGATGCTGGGTACGAAAATGTGCGCAGAGTGCTACGGTCAATGATTCAGAGAAGTTGCAATGTCAACATTCCTCTGAGTTACAAATATGAACTCGAGCGAGGACCATGACACCAAGAGGATGATGCCGCTTTGGGCAGTCCAAGGACGACAATGCAGCGTTCAAGAGCTGCGCGTTGTAGTTAAGAATGACCCGCCGAGGATCACCGTCCAAGCCTTTAGTGCTGCAATCGATGCCTCGTACAACAGTACCGCATCGAGTATACCAAGAGATGCTCCTCAAGGTACGATGGCACGGATGAATGACGACGAAGATATTTCAAGATCGCGCTTACCCGTACAAAGCTAGCGTCGACACGTGATGACATGAAATTGCGAATAAACACAATTCTGCCGGACAACCTCACCACGCAGCCCTTCTTAAGCAGCGCCGCCCTTCAAGAGCAAGACAATGCTTTCGTGTCTCACCATTTGCTTCGGTCCGTTTGATGATGCTGGTAAGAGAGGGAGCGGAGTAGGAAATGGCCACTCGGACCCACACAATCGCCCACGATGCCAAATGACAAGCGGTGAAAAATTCCGCATCAGCGACAATGCCCGAGCGTGAGGCTAGACTGACTATCATCAAAAGTGCCTCCCTTACCGAATCCCTTTCTTATCTCTTATCGTTGTTTCCACTTCCCCACGTCGTTCCTTTTTGTCACTTACCCTAGACCCTCTCTTTGTTCGCGACAGTGCGCTCGTTCGCACCAAGCATCAAATGACCACCAGCCATTCAGGCTCTTGCCTGCCGCCTTCCAGCAGTCTACCACCGGTCCGCTCGTTGATCACTACAAGTGAGGAACGAGTCAACTCAGCGCTGCGTGAGCTCCAGACTTTGTACTGTCCCTTGCGACTACCGACTCTACCGAAGTCTAGCGTCCGGCGCAAGGACCTTTCAGCGGCTTCAGGTGTCTCTACCCCCATCCCGATAGACTCTGGTTACGTTTCGCAAGATGAAGACGAGGACGATGAAGCCGCTACAGAGGAGGTGACTGCAGCAATCCGTGCAGACCCCTTCGAACGCACCTTTGCGACAAGATGGCTCACGTCTTTGATTTCCAGAGTGGAAGAGATGGACCTTACCGAGGATGCTAGGAGCCAAATAGTCGACGATGCGGCGTTCATTCTTTCTTCCTTCTCGGACTCGACGAACGATGCGGAAGAAGAGGCTCTGACCCGCGAGTTCTTCTTCCCAACGGGCCTCGGTGTGCCAATCGAGGTAACCTTGAATGATGCGCCACTGACTGGCGCTGATCACACTGACGTCGGGCTCCAATCCTGGGGTGCAAGCATCGTGCTCAGTAGCATGATGTGTGCCGAACCCGAACGCTTTGGTCTTACATCAACATTAATACCTGAGCGGCCAACGATTATCGAGCTTGGTGCTGGCACTGGGCTTGTGAGTCTCACACTGGCGAAGCTGCTGCCTGCTCTTAGTGTATACCCAGCCAGTATTTCGGCCACAGACTACCACCCCACGGTCCTAGCCAACTTGCAGGACAACATCAACACCAACTTCCCTCCGGGTGACAATGTGAACATGCCAGTGAGTGCCATGGCACTCGACTGGTCCATACCACCCCCGGATCTGCACTCTTCTTCAGAACTTCTGATTGCCGCCGATGTTGTCTACGCACCACAACACGCTGCATGGCTTCGCGACTGTGCCGCGCATCTTATCACCGGCGACGGCGTCTTTTTGCTTATTGTCACTGTTAGACAGAACGGGAAGTTTGAGGGCATCCCGGATACCGTCGAAGCAGCGTTTGTGCCGGAGCTCTGCCCGAGAGATGAAGCAGGGCGTTCTTTCAAAATTCTGGAAAGCAGCCATGTCGAGAAGCGGAGAGGTATCGGGAGGGGCGATGAGAAGGGATATAATCTCTACAAGATCGGCTGGGCATAGAAAGGGATAGACAGCATGGATGGCGTCCGAGGCGTTGTTGGAGCTTTAGCGTGCATTGCATTATAGAGCTAGATCCAGACTATAGAACACATTTAGAGGTAGAATCGAGGTCCAATTCATCCCCGAGTAGCTTGAGCTAGTCCTTCACCCCTTCTATCAGATTCTTGATGCCCTCCCCTCTTGACGTCTTGTCCCAAGCCTTCGTAGCATCCTCGAACGGCGTCACTGAACTGATTAACGGCTTCACCTCCACAAGCCCCTTCGTGATCAATTTGACCGCCAACTCATAGTCGCCAGCACCATACCTGAAGCAACCCCTAAACATCAACTCCTTATTACTCAGCGCCACAATCGGAAATTCGATCTTGGCCTTCCCAACACCCGTCTGCACGTACTTGCCCCCTGGTCTTAGCAAGTGTATGCCCATGTTGATACTTGATGCTACACCCGAAGCCTCAATCACTGTATCAACCTTGCCACCCACTGTGTCGATGCCGAATTCTTCCAGCCCGAACTTTTTCAACAACTTCTCCGCATCATCCTCTGGTGTGCTCTTCATGTCCGCGCAAAATGTCTCAACACCCAAATACCCCCTCGCAAAGTCCAGCTTCTTCTCCAGAATATCAACGAGGATGATACGGTGCGCACCAAACTGTCGCGCAACAGCCCCAACAAGCAACCCAATTGTACCGCTGCCCATCCTGTGGATAAGTTAGCAAATGCAGTAGACAAGAAGGATACGAACTTACACCACCACCGTCTCACCAGGCCTCACATCCGCCAACTTAACTGCATGCACAGCAACACTCAACGGCTCGACCAGCACCGCCTCCTCCAAACTGATCCCATCATCCACCTTATACACAAAGTCCTCCGCAATTCGAAAATACTTGCTCAGCGTGCCTTGCGTGTCCGGCGGTCCTGGGGCAGCAGCGAATCGCATTTGGCGGCACAAATTGTAAGTTCCATTCTTACACGCGCCGCAGAAGCGACACGGGGCACAGGGCTCGATGGCTACGCGGTCTCCGACAGCGACTTGGGTCACGGAGGAGCCGATGGAGGCGATGGTGCCCGAGGCTTCGTGGCCCATTACGATGCCTGTGGATGGATCGACCATTTTGCTTATGCCACCGTGTTTCCAGAAGTGTACCTGTGTAGTGTTAGATGGATGGTGATCTATCAAGGTGGATTAGGGACGCGGAAGGAAAGCTTACGTCGCTGCCGCAGACGCCTACGTAGATTATGCGGACGAGGACATCGTGGGAGTCGATGAGTTCAGGAATCCCTTTGTCTTCAAGTTTGGCGTTATAGGCGGCGTAGAGGACTATCGACGGGTTCTGCATTTTGGGTGTCTTGTTGCTGTCCGTGAATTAGTTGTTGGAAGCGTTGGTGAAAGGTCAAGAGAAAATGGTATAGGTATCATTGCAGAGCAGTGAGCAACGCTGATATACCCCAACCTCAAATATGCTGGTTGCACCATGCACTGTTTGCTTGATCGATGACTGTGCTCAGCTGACGGTGCCCCGGACGTTGATGCGGGGAGCTAGACGCGTATAATGTGCCCCACTTCTGCTCGCTGCATCACACCTAGGAAGAGTAGTGCTCTGCATAGGCAGGACGCAGTAGTGAATTTTGGCATCGATCGAGCGTTTAGAACGCGGTATTTCGTGCAGATACCGTATGATGCAGCAGGACGGTCGAGGAATGTAGCCTAGTCAATTCGGGAGTGAAAAAGTACAACTGTTGCCAAGTGAAGCAAACTATGAGATAATTTTTGTGACGCCGATAAACCAGCAGTTTATCCTTAGCTGCCATCGTGCAGTCTTAAACATTGAACTTTACATGCTTAGAGGTTCCGACTGCCTCCCCGACGTGCCAGTCTTGCTTGAAGATCATATTGCATGGCCTGTCGTCGCAACCATTGCGCAACAAGGTCACCAGAGGTGGCCTCATCACTGTCGGTCTGCGAGTGAACATACTCATGTCAGGCCGTTGGTGTTCAGATGGCGGTGCTGGCCGCGGCGGTGGCTTTGCAAACGTTCCACCTAGAGGACTGGTCAAGGAGACTACGGAACCATGTTGGGAGCTTGTAGGAGTAGTCATAGAAGCTTGTATAGCTGGCAGTGGCTCTTTGACGAGTGTTATTGGTGCTGACGCGAAGTAATCATTGGCTAAGTTGCTGCAGGAGCTCGAGGCAGACCAGTGCTCGTTGACCGTCACTGGAGTGATGGTCGACGGACAGTCGACTAGAGTGGTAAGACAAGGTAGAGCGGGCGAACAAGATAATATGGCAGCTATCGCGATCTGGCATTGCGTAGCGATGGCATACGGTAGACTCTCTAGCGCGGGATTGTAGCCAGTAGGTGTTGGCTGTTGCAGATAGACCAGCCGCACAAGCGACGGAATTATGAGACTGATGTTTCATCAGTGAGAGGTAATTAAGAACAATGTAAACACTTACAGTGTACGAAGGGAGAGGATAAAGGCAGCCCAACCTTCGTTGTGCTGTTGGACACCCAAGCCCATGACCGCGAATACAGGCAGAACAATCAAAGTCATATCGAGCGTGATGTCGATCGCGATTATAGTGGTCCAGAATGGTTGCTGAATCTGTGAGTTGATGTCCTGATAAGCATATGTGGATGTCAATTTACCAAGTGTATACATCGTCCCATTCGGATATCCCAAGGCCTAGGTAACTTGCACTGGAACATGACGCTGGTTGTCGAAACAATCGTACATGCAAGTATTGCGCAGCCTATTGCGATGGTGCACGTCCTGTAGACTCTATGAAGCTCGAGTCGTTTGAGCCAAAAAATAAGCGGCATCCTCGACAAGCTTAGACCGAGAACGAACAAGACCGTAGACACGTATGTTCTGACTTGTGAATCACTTGTATGGACCGTATTCAGCGCATTTTCCTGTGTTGCTGTGCTAGTCACTGTTGTAGACATGGTGAACATGCTGGCAAGAGCGAACAGGGCCACGACTAGGACCAGTACATCGTCTATTGCTGGTGATCGACGACGTGATCGTTGTCTGAAGTCGTGTAGAAGCCGAACAAAGACGCTTGGAATCTGAAATGAGTGTTAGTTAGAGCGGACAAGCTGCAAGTGTGAGGCAATGGTAGCTTACCAGCATGCTCGAGAGTAGCCAGACTGTTGTTACTAAGGCAGGGCCCGAGTGACGCATATGCATTTGTGCTTCGGCCTTGCTGAAATGTTCATCATTCATTGTAGCTGTTGTGAGTAGCGAGCGGCGCATGAGGAAATTGCGGTGACATGGGCTGCAATCCGTGAAGCCCTTGTCGACATGAAAGATCAGCTATAACCGACCACGTCGGATGGTCCCCTCCGCGGATTCGACTCGACGAGTAGTCCATAGCTGCAGGTATGTGTTGCTGCAACGAAAGAGTCTTTCTCTAGTTAACGATGTGCGTGGCTGACCAAGTCGACTCGAGGCCGCAAATAGAACAGATGAAGAAAAGAAAAGCAGCTGAAGGAGGCCCTCGACACACTATAGGACGGACATATCGTATGGGGAAGAGAAGCTATGCAGCGCCGTGCGTCGAGCTGAACCCTCAACCCGAAGTGTTGGGAGGCATTCAGACGCCACAGTCCCACGAACGCAGGGTCGATGCATCGAGCTCGCAAAACATAGCATATGACTCGGCGACTGCGGAGAATAATGTTTCAGACAACGAGAAAACGCTCGCGCGGGATTATCGATCGTGGATGGACCGTACCGACCGGAACCAGAGAATGGGCATTGCTCCCTTCCATTATTGTGTGTATGCTCTCTTGTGGCCAACGAGATCGCGCAACGCATGCAAACGACGAGTATCGTAAGCAAATAATCTGCTCATAATGGTGAACTGAGAATGTAGTATCGTGCCACCGATCAAGGAAGTGTGACTAAAATCGTCTTTAGAGAGCTGTTGCTATTCTAGATTATCGATCGTCAGGCGACAATCGTGATCTGTGGGTACTAGTACTGTGTATATCTCCAGCCTCAAAAAAAGGTGATTGTCTACATGGAAATTGAAAACAGCCCTCAGAAACCATGTGTAGCTTTTAAGCATCAAATCGGTTCTCTGGCTGTGAGGTGTGAAGTAATTAAGGGTGCTGGGGAAAGGAACGGTTGGTGTGGAGTGGGGCGCTAAGATAAGCGCGATAAGCAGCTCTGAATTTCTCCCGCACAAGAACTCGCCCTTGTGTACGATTCGGTTATATCGTCAGTGACACAACCATGGTATATTGTTGAAGAGGTGTCTGGAAGCACAACAGCTAACATCGTCAAGGCGCCTATAAAGAAGCGCACAACGGCACGAGCAAAGTCCGCGCGCGCAGCCCATTCAGTGCCAGCCGCACTCCCCATGCCAGATGGTTTCGAGGGTGCATTTGCCTCGAAGAAAGACAAGCAGAAGATTAAACACTCGTCATTTGTCAGCAAGATCGAGAAGGCAGCAGCGAAGTCACAAAAGCGGCGGCGACCGAACAAGAAGCTCGTAGCGAACCTCGAATCACTCGCCGACGCGCTGCCAGGGCTTGGAGACGGAAGAGCAGATGAGGTAGAAGTAGGCCAGGCTAAGATTCAGCGCAAGAGCTTGAAGTCAAGACCAGGGGCTACAAAGCGGAAGGAGAAGCTGGTGAAGACGGAGATGGACCGCTTCAACAAGAACTTGGCGCAGCTGGCAGGAAGCAGTACAGGGTCTGGGGTGCAGGATAGGTGGGCAGCACTGAAAAGCCATGTGCAGAACACCATGGAGGTCAAGCCTGAGTTTGCTCAGAAATGAGGGCTCATAATGATCGAGAGGAACACAATGATACCCAAATGTTACAGCAAAAGCAACGAGCTCTTCACAAGACCATGTCCTAAATTATAGACCACGGATGTGTGTACACCAAAGATGCAACGTCGCGAGGTGTCGAGTGGGTAAATTCTGTGAGCCTCAGCTGCTGGAATCGGTGCCTCCTAAGACTGTTGACACAGTTTATGCATGGCCGAATTTCAGTGCAGTCGAGGAGGGCACCGGAACAAACAATCATCCACAGCAATGCAGCCACTCCTAAGACATTTCGTCGAAAGCCTTCGGCACGCTTCATAATGTAGCGAGAGTCCTGAACTTTAATTCTCAATCTTGAATCCAGAAAGCGGTCTCCTCTAGGTCAAAAAGCTCCTGTGCACGAGGCAGTGTGTACAGTTCATTCCCACATTTCATAATTTTGAAGAGGTCACAGCAAACGCCATACTCCTCGAATGCTATTTGTTATTGACGATTTCCAAATTCGAGGAGCGAACGAGTGGCTCGTGCTGAGGATTGGTAAGATAGTGCGACACCATGACATCACAATCAACTAAATCTCAAACTACAACGCCTAAACACTAAGTATCCGGAGGACCCGCACAATGCCTTTGCGCTCCCTGGCTTATTGTCAATAAGCATGTTTGGAGTTCTCCTCTACTTGGACAAGCACGGCGCGGCGTGCTCGAGTGGGCTCTTTGCCTATCCCTTGACGATCACTGAGCGATGAGCGCGTGTACCTTTGTTTCATCCTTAATACTCCCAAGACTACTACACAGACCGCACCCGATACCGACTAACTACGCCACCCACAATGTCTTTTCTTGAGAGGAAGACGACGCGTATTACCAGGAACAAGCCGCACAATGACCATCGTAACAACACCCTGGGTGGGGAGTCTTCAGGTCAGGTTCCTAATGCAAAGAAGCCTCGGTCACGACCTGCGAAGTCACTGCGCGACCGTCTACCATTCCCGCAAGGCACTCTTCCTCCTTCTTCTGGACCTTACTCGATCGCGAACATGGAGATCGAGGTGCCCGTCGAACACCCTCGAACCATATCAGACATAAAACGAGACGGCCGACATCTCTTACAACTTGAGACGGTACTCTTTACAATGTATTACCCTGCGGCGTTTGGGTCCGGCGAAGGGCAAGACCCAGCGGGGCACAAGCACTGGAGTCGCGAAACGTGGCTGCCTCGACCGCGTATACAAACAGCACGGGGATACGCACACTTCGCCGGCGTGCCAGATTGGACGCTGATCAGTTTTCTAGGTGCAACTTCTATGCTCACCAAGCTTCGAGGCTTTCGAAACAGTCCGCCAGCCACACATTGGCCACCCGCGGGTAACTACAAGAAGAACGGCTATAAGATCAAGAACCAAGAAGGACCACCTCCTGAGGGTCATGATGGGGAGCCGGTCTTCCCGTTGTTGATGTTCAGCCATGGTCTTGGAGGTACAAGGACAGCATACTCTAGTCTGTGCTCTGAATTTGCGAGCTATGGCTTCGTGGTCTGCGCGGTGGAACATCGTGACGGATCAGGCCCAAGGACGTTCGTCAACCATAGAAAGCAGCAAACCAGAAGCAAAGACCACCAGGGAGGAGCGAAAGCAAACAAAGAGGACTGTGGAGGGGACAAAGAGTGTGAGCAAGAGTGGGAACGGTGGAAGAACGTGGATCATACGGACGAGGAGCTTGCTCAGGCTCATCATAACATCGTATAAGAAACAACCCAGATGACATTGTTGACTGTGGTTCTGACTTCGTATAGGACTACATCTTTCCTAAAGGCAATCGAATGGACACCACGCCTAACAACGAGCAAGGTGTCGATCAGGAGTTGCGAAACGCCCAAATCGAACTACGCTTGTGTGAACTGGAAGAAGCCTACAACGTTCTCAAGAAGATCTGCGCAGGAGACGGCGAGGAGGTAGCCCGCCAGAATTTGAGGAGTGAAGGCTTTGTTGGTGGCTCTTCAAGAGGCCTACAAGGTGTCAGTTGGCAGCAGTGGAAAAACAGATTCCACGTCGATAAGATGACCATGGCGGGGCACAGCTTTGGCGCTGCTACCGTGGTAGAGGTTCTGCGACACACCGATCGCTTCAAGAACGTACAGGCAGGCATCATCTACGATATTTGGGGGTAAGCACACTACCCTGAATGCCTCCAGCGTAGATTATTGACCAAGTGCCAGTGCGCCCATCAAACCGCCCGCTGAAGACCCCGAACACCGCATCCATTTGCCACTGTTGGGCATCAATAGTGAGGCCTTTATGTACTGGCAGCAGAACTTCGACGCTGTCATGTCACTGATGAAAGAAACGAAAGAGAGCGGTGCGCCTGCATATCTCCTAACAGTTCAAGGATCAGTGCACATTAGCCAGTCCGATTTCTCACTGCTATACAAGGGTATCACCAACCTTCTTATGAAGGCTACAGTGCACCCTCAGAGAGCAATCGACCTCAACATAAGCGCATCACTCGAGTTCCTTCGCCTTGTAGCCCCGGACGCTGGCGCGGGTAAATCTCTGATCAATCGTTCGATGACGGATGAAGGCTTGTTACAAACTGAGTTACTTGAAGAAGTACCCAACAAGCACCGGCCAACCGACCAGTGGATAGCCGCTCGGCTGAAGGTGCCACATGAGTTCCGCACGCGGCTTGCTGCTGGTATGCAGAGACGATTTAAGCGAAATGAGAACGGAGAAACAGTCTACAGCACAGGAGACGAAGTCTGGATGCACTTCAAGCCTACAGCGAAAGAGCTTGAGAAATGGATTCAGGAAGAAGACCGGGGCGAAGAGAGGATTGACTCTAATCACGCCATGAGATCAGATGCAGAGAAGGAAAACCCAGCAACACACAAGTTGCACGGCGACAAAGATAGCTCGCAGGACAATGGGAAAGGCAAGTCGCCCAGTGCAGATGTTTCTCACGAACACTCGACAACAAAAGACAATCATGTAGGTACGGACGAGAGTGAACAAGCACAGTCTATGCATAATGGTCTGAGGAAAGATGAGAACAATAGCACCCTTCAGAATGATAAGGAAGAAGAACGGCGAGCTTATACAGCGGGCGATACGTCAAAGTAGACGGCCAGGTAGCACTTATCAAACTCGTATAGATGTGAGCTAGTTACTGCAAGCTCTTGGATACGCTGTCAATTCCTATCAAATGACTCCTCTTTGAGAAGTAGTTGCGATGCTTCATAAGCGGTCCGGACCCCTAAGAAAGCTTGTTTCCACGTGACCCAACGCCTGCCGAGGCGGTCTGGGTCATTTCAGCCCTGACTCGCTCATATTCGCTTCCTTTGAATAGTAATCATTCCAACATCAACCCTTGAAAACTGACCATTATTGCGACGAGATAGACCTCGCGACTTCGGCCGTGACATTCCGACCGCTTATTAGAGCCAACTCCCTCGCGAGCTCTATCATGACAAAGCAGACGGTCGTAATGTAGTCAAATCCTGCTGTTTTGGCTGCGTGACTGCGTCGGCCCCTCCTTCTTCGCCTGCAAACGTCCAGTCTCACCCGAACCGCATCGTCCATCTCTACAACAGCATCTTCGCAACCACTTCTATTTCGACTTTCTGTGGTCTGCTAGCGATTCCACACTAACCCCGCCTTGATCAACAAGGACTGTGCTCTTGTGTAACACGCGTACTGGACCCTTGGCCCTTCAACCGCCGAGCGGGCACTTGCTTATTCCTGAACGCTGCATCACATCGGTCCATTATCGTCTATAGATTACTCTTCAGCGACCTTCTTGAATCCCGTCTGCAATTGGCGTACGACGAATCACTTGCTCCAACTATCGGAGATCTGAAGGCATCATCGAAAATTGGAGGATACCATCACCTAACTTTGCCGGACGCGCACCTGAACCGGACTGAACTGTCTGCTGCCTGGCTACACTATTGTTGCTATTTTTTAAAGGCCTCCCGGGTTGAGGTAGGGAAAAGGAGGTTAGCATGAAGAGCACGGAAGGCACAGAACCTCCACACAAACGTTCGCGTACAAGCGAAGATGCGGACGATGCAGCTGTTGCCTCTGGAGGCAAGAAGGCTCGAGGAAGACCGCGAGTGGACACCCAGGATGCTACTGCTGCAGACGTAAGTATTGTTCTCATCAGCGTCGATCGCTCATCTCACCCTATCACTCAGCTACTTGAGCCGAGAAAGCAGCCAGACACGTAAAACTGATGCAACCGCTAGCGTCGAAGAACACAGATTCGTCTTGCCCAACGCGCATACCGGCAGCGTAAAGAAACAACAATATCTTCACTCAAGCAGCAGAGCTCTCAACTACACAATACTATTGATGAGATGAACAAGGCGTTTCTACGCCTCAACAATTCGATCGTGCAATCAGGAGTGTTGCAATTGAACCCTGGGCTCGCAAGAGAGCTCCAGCAGATGACCGAGATGTTCGCCAACTGTGTCAAGTCAGCCAACGAACGAACAGTGGACAGCGATGAAGATGAGCCTGGGGAGGCCGCCCCAATGCAAAAGAAGGAAGAAGCCCCTGCACCATCAAAAATGGTGCAGGCTCAATCATCGCAAACGATCACGCCTCTTGAGAACGAGCAACCCTGGGGCTATGCGGTAATAACCCAAGCCACTGAGCAAACCCGTTCACAGAGTGACATTCCGCAAGCCCAGAGCTATCTGTCACATATCTCGAGCTCATCATATAAACTACCGGAGCCGAACAATGAATCTAGCCTGGCCCGTCGATACCAATTTACTGTCGGCGAAGTACTGGATCAGTCGAGGTCAAGGAGTGGATCGTACCAGCCGCGGGCAACGGACGACCAAACTCAGCAAGAACAGCAACAAGAGCAACAGCTACTCCCCTTTGGCCTTGTTGACCTCCCCAATCGCGAGCAGTCACCTTTCGTACCTCCATATATCTTCCCCGTCAACTTTCCCGCAATGGGTGCAGAACTTCCACCAGCACCACGCCAGTCGCCCAAGACAGTCACATATCCGTTGCCTTCATCGTTAACCACGAAGACACTATCGCCGGGCTACACATACTCATACGAAGAAGTCACATTCGCACGACGGCTGATGCGAGCGACATTGGAATTTGGTTTCCTTCTGCTCTGCAATCCCGACGTACATCCTGCGATCTTGAGCTATATCTTCAAGCTATCTCTACCGTACGTTACGTTGGAAGAGATTCGTACTCGTTTCAAGGTGATTCTTTCGCGAGATGTCACCGAGGATCTGGACTGGTACGCCACACCTTTTCTTCATTTAGGCGGTGCCGGAACACACTATCAACGACGTGACGCTCATGGCAAACCTATACCAATGAAGAACAACTGGACGATACGACAGATCGGGCCCTTGGAAAGACGCATGGTTAGGATGGAGAGTGTTGCAAATGGACAGATCCAAGATTTCGAGAGCTTAGATCTCAATGGATTTGAAGGGGAATGGTTCGACGCATACGATGTACAGGGCTACCTCGAAGAACAGTGGCATTGTAGGATTGACCCGAAGAGCTCTTTCGCAGAGTGCTTAGTCGAGGACGAGAACGCGGCAATTTTGGACGAGACCGAGAGCCCAAGTCTGAGTCGTGATTCGACATCCAGTACTTCAGACACCACCATGCCCCCCGTACCGCATACTTTCAACGCCCTCGAACCTTCATATGGCCTCGACATGCCCTTAAACAACGCTCCGACACCCAACTTTCTTCTATCGCCGCCTAAGCAAAGCCTGTTAAACCTGTCATTCAACCAGACATTGGGTCTAGATCTAGCGCCTGGGTTTGACCTGGGCTTCGCCGGAAACAGTGGATACAGCACGCTTGGCCTGAATATGACGGGTGAGACTGAGCAGCTTCCGGTGATGAAGCAGAAGCCGAAGAAGGTTGCGTGGGTGGACGTCCATAAACTCATTGAAAGTAAGTTTGGCTTTGCCGGTGTGAGATATGGCAATTGCTAAAAGTCGATACAGACATCATTAAGCAAGCAGTTTGCCTCGGTCGAGCGCCGGGGTACAGGCGGAAAGATATCGATGTGGCGTTCAGGGAAGCTCTCATACCTGCGTATTGAGAGCACAGAGACAGTAGCATGCACGGGAAAAAGTCGATGTCGCAAAGTGGGAGAGGCCACACGATACTGGAAGAAAGGAGCTGGAGTTTGGTGTTCACGGAAAAGATGATTGGACATGACAGGGTCCGCTCAACTCATTGCACTGTATACGATATAACGGCCAGATGTACTAATAGACGATGGAAAAGCTATGCAAAGCTACCATCAAGAGCACTCACAAACTCAGTGTTGCTGCCGCAGCTCTTTGTTCAGGCAAACAGGGTGGCGCCAAGCCGCGCTAATCGCTAACGGCCGCTCGTAGGGAGTGATCTTCTGAGCAGTTGGGCGGACGAACACCAATACACTCACCCCAGACCCCACGACCCCACGACCACCATCGTGAAAGCACTCGCACCCGTTGCACAAGACCCGCCGTCTGCATATCCCATATCTGTAGTCAATATACACAAGCGCAGAAGCTTCACGAAGCGCGCGCACTCTGCCGTACCTGCAGCCTCAGCTGTGACGTTGCCTGCCTGGCCTGCCATCATCGTCGACTATCACCACGACGGAAGCAACTGTCGCATACTCTGCGCAATCGCCCACGTCGTACACCTAGATAGATAGAGCAAGTGGAAGCCGGTCGCCATGTCGAACCTGGTGGTGGTTAGTTATCCTCGGCAACTGCGCATGCGAACAGATGCACATGGGTAAAGGTAGACACGCTGACAGCATCACCAGGGTAATGTCTACCAGCAGATCATCGAGAAGGTCATCCAGGCTTCGCAGAATGACTTCGAGGAGTTCGGTGTGGACCAGTCGACGCTTGACGAGATGAAGCAGGTATGTCATGGCAGCCTGGCGGTGTGCACCTTCCGTTGCATCGTCATTCCAGCACCTTCCCCATCCGCCTGTGTTTTCCTCACGTCAACACTGCACCTTCTGTCGATTTTGTTGTTTGCTGCATTTTCCATTGTTTTCTCTGCGCTTGGGTCGCTGCGACGTTGCCGCCTGGCTTTGGGGTGGATGGGCGGCCGAAAGCGGGGCGCGAGTTGCCGGTCGGTTTCGCAGGTCGGGGGCGCTCTCAGTATTTGGGTCACTCTTATACCCCCTGCACAGCTCACTGCCCCGCCAAGCCAAGCCCATCCCTACCAAACAGGGCATAGCTTCATCATGTGACGGCTTGCTACCACCACTACTCTTCTTCATAACATCTCCTCACGCTGAGTACATGCTGACGCTCTCAGGGCTGGCAAGAGAAGCTCTCTGCTCTCAAGGTCGCTCAATTTCCCTGGGATCCCCAGCCTGAGCCGGTGCGCCAGCCGCCTACTGTGCCGTCGAACGTCAAGGCGGACCATGATCTGCCTCAGGTGTCCGCGGCGCTGGACCATGTGAACTTTCCCAATGCTCAAATCAAGTCGGAGACACAATACCAGCAGCACCCTCCTCAGAACTATCCGCAGGCTCAAGCCTACACTGGCGGTGGATACGACCAGAATCATGGTCTCGCCCAACAACGGGCACACAACCTTGTTATGCAGCGCCAGCAACAAAGCAACATGATGCCTCAGGCAAACTTCCCAAATCTCCCACAACAGAATCTTCATCTCCCACAACAAGGTCAGCATCCTATGACCCAACAGCAGCGTATGATGGCACCACAGCAGCAACAGATGCAACGCCCGCCTCAGCAGCAACTACCGCAGCAGCGTCCGCCACCACCACCACCACCACAACAACAACAGCAACAACAGCAGCAGCAGAACAACAGCAACCTCTACACCTCGCAGACAGATGGTGCTGGGGAGGGCTTGGAGGATTGGAAGGCATTCCTCACGGCGCGAAGAGCTGCAGAGACTGAAGAGGGACGGATCGCGGCTGATGAGTTCATGCGCGCCCGTGTCGATGCCATGGTGATGCAGCAGGACAGTGGACTGATGGTGCCGCTCGACGCGATGCCGAAAGGCAAGAAGAGGAGGGCAGCCGTGCGCGTGCTTCAGGCCGAGAAAGCCGAGGCGTCGTCATCGACATCGGCACCGAGCGCGTCAGTACCTAGCCTGTTCGATGGAGTCGACGACGACATCAAGCCTGGCGAAGAGGACCCAGACGATGCCATCAACTCTGATCTCGACGATCCTGAGGACGATCTGAACGACGGGGACAACAGCGACGACGAGATGGTAGACTACATGCTGTGTACCTATGACAAGGTGCAGCGCGTCAAGAATAAGTGGAAGTGCACACTGAAGGACGGCATCTTGACCACGAACAAGAAAGAGTAAGTCACACATAACCCAACCGCGAAGACAACTTGCTGACCAAATAGATATCTCTTCCACAAAGCCAACGGTGAATTTGAGTGGTAATAGCATAATGACATAATGCTTATCGTGTGCAGCTGAACTCGAGTTCTAAGCGGCCGACCCCGCGACAAACAGCTTTCCACGCTGACGGACCGAGTTCAGCTGCCGCAATGGCAATTGTACAACATCGTGGTCCTCTCTCTGACGTTGCGATATGACGTGGATCCACTGGAGACATACATACCCGATATGTACACCCTGCAGTACGACCGTCAACTGTACTACATCCAACATCGTCATGACTGGGCATCTGACGATCAGAAAAATGCCTCATCCTTACCTTTCGCACGACAGACTATGCGATTACGATATAGCGCTCGTTCAGACTCACCATCTCGATATCTTCTTGGTTGTGGCAGAAATCGAGTCGACACTGGCCGAGCTTGCAATTCTTCTGTCATCAGACTTAACTTCTTGCAACTTGATCATGAGGAGGCTGACTTGCAACTCTCCTTACTTAGCATACAGACTGAACGCACGACATGCCGAGAATCAGATATACTTCCTTACTTGATATGTGCTGGGGCACTGGTTGAGACCTGGCTGGAAGAGCAATCTTTGTAGCTAGCTACTCTCCGTCAATGCATGATTGAAGTGGCACACTTACATCTCGTGTCAAACTTGACGTCCTACAGTAGTGAAGGTATATGCATGTGAACTTAGTAAACGTGTATTGCCATTATTAGTATTACAGTAGAATAGTAGTATCGTCCGTAAGCGACATATCATAACAAACATCGTGACATCGTAGCCATAACAACAAACCCCATCGAAGACCCAAATCTCGGTGTCAGCCCGCTGTCGACTTTGGCGTCTGATGAGAAGCGGCTTCCTTCCACAGTAACCCCTCTCTTGCAAGAACAAGAAATACGGGGAGGAGGTTAGTACCCCCTAGCCCTCTGATCCCGCTCAATCGAACCCAACACCCCCAATCCCACATCCCCCAGTCCACTTTGCTGCATACTGTCCTTCCCCTCCATCACCCTAGGAACATTGCTGCTCATGCTTCCTAAAACACCGCCTAGGTTCACGGCGCCAGAGCTAGTGTCTTCATGTAACGGGCTTACCAAGTTCCAGAGCGTAGGGTTCAGGTTCGCGGAAGAGGAGGAGTGTAGCGATGGGTGGCCTACAAGCTCGTTGCTGCTGTATGTTGAAATAGGGAGAGCAGCGCTGTAATCGTATTCTGAACCGCCGCCCACACGCTGCTCCGGATGGCGGCGCCCGCCCAAGTGTGACAGGTAATACGAGTTCGCAGCCTCCCTCCCACGGTGGCGTTTCTTGTCTTCGTCCTCTGTTGCCATATATACAAGCACTGTCGCGTGGTATGTCAGCCTTTTTCGCGAGTCAAGTAATCCCTGGCAACAACAAAACTTCCACACATTGCGGGACAACGACATGTTCTGGAAGATTGAGTGTGGTTCTTGGCTTGTAGGTACTCACCACCAGGCTGATCTTTGAGATGCTGTTTAAGCACTTGGAGATGGCTCGATATCTGCTTGCGGTCTCGTCGGATCCCTGTATCTTTGCACATCGAGTCTTGGATGAGTTTGTTACGGCCGCGTAGGGCGTCATCGAGCATGAATTTTTTGCGACCCATAGGTGGCCACCGGATGAGTGCTATGGTGTTTTCGTCAGCCACAGGCATTTAAGAGGTGGCTGCTTCGAGATTCTGCGGGTGCCCACTCACCTCTCCAGAAGGCGTGCTCCAGGAACTCAGGCCAAACGCTCTTTTCCGGGCACTTGTTGTCCTTCTGTACCTTAATCTTTGCTTCTCTTGCCTCCCTTTCGATGAACTCCCGCGGGGTCAAGACTGGCTATTTCTCCCTGTACTTCTGGTACTTGTCTGATCGTGCCAGTAACGAATACAGTCGTGTTATCTCCCGCTTGATCTGCTTCTCCGACCTCTCTAACCCCCGTCCTGCCAGTCCAATGTACTGTGTATGTAGGCTGCCGGTAGAACAGTTGCCCGCAGCAATTGCCTGTTGAGGATAGGCATTCTCGGTAGGGCTCTGACTACGAAACACCTTTTGTGATGCATGTTGCGTACCTGTCAGTGGTGATGCCGTGTTGTCGTGTGACCAATTGGCAGATCGTTCCTGGAGGAAACCGCGATGTTGTGACGATGAGCCGTCCAGTGGTGTTCCAACTGATGGGTGTTCAGGGCTGAGCCGTTGGCAGGTGGCACACCTGAGTGGTGGTGTTGAAATTCCATAGTAATGTTTGGCATGTGAAGAGCCTAAAGAATGGAGTGAATTATGGGTAAGAATGATGACTTTTGCGTATCTCAGGCAGAATGGGAAGGAAAGTCAGGCAGTTGGAGCAATGAGTGACTGTGGATTATGAAAAAGGAATCAGAGAATACGGTTCGAGTATGTGGCAAAGATATGCAGATACTGATCAATGATATAAGAGGGTACCCCCACGGTCAACCCTCAGAGAAGAGGGCCGCTTGGCAGAAGGAACTGAATTTGCGGTGCACCCAAGAGAAGCCGTCTGACAGGTAGGATAGGACTCGGCTATACTTGAAGTGGATGCAAGATCGGTCACCAAGGTAGCATCCCGACGAACATAAAATTAGGCTAACACACTACCTACGGGCGCCGTGGTCGCCCACCTATCGCCATTTTGCTTGTTGCCCAAGTAATTACACTCTTCGCGATTCCTTAGTCTGTTGGAATGGTAAATATTGCCTGGTTAGCAGTGGGAGCAAGGGCAACAGGTAATTGCTGACTGATCAACTGTCATCTGATTGCACGTGTGCGAGGGAGAACTCGGCTTGGAATGCTCAGAGCAAGAATGAATGTCAGTGGTCAACAACAGATTATGTGAATCGAGTTCGCATGGTCGACAACCGTCTCGTTTGTGGCTGTCTTGCTCGTTGCGTCTCAAAATAACTGAAACCCGGTGTGGTGGCCATGCCCATTGATTCAGGTCTCTGTATGTGAATCCTGTCGCGGCTAACGTAGCGGTGACTTACATGTAGAAGCTGTGTGCAAGGTGTGACCTGGCCCGCTTCCAGTGCACCGCGGGATCCTGTGCGAAAAGCGGGCCTCGCTTTTTTGGCCGGGCAAGCAAGGGATGCCGTTAGGGACGACACAGCCTGACGGTGACGCGCAGAGTTTGCAGGTTACTCTTACCAGAGTACGCGGGCGCTCAGGCTCATTCATCTAGCTCGTCGTTGCCTGCAACGTTAAACTTCTGGCGACCGCCTGCAGTGAGCTTCTGGAGCGCGACCTTGTTGGCCTGTGCTCCCATCTTCTGCTGCATCTTCTCCAGTTCCTTCTCGGGATCATCCGATTCGGTTTCGGCAAACGCAAGAACCAATCGTCGACCGAGAAGATGGGTGTTCTTTAGAGCGTTCATGGCGTTAACGGCGTCGCGTTTCGTAGTGAACTCAGCGAACCCAAAACCACGTGAGGACGAATCAAACTTCTTGGGCACCCTGACCGACCGAAGTTGGCCGTAAGGGGTGAACAGGGCGCGCACCTCCTTCTTGCTAGCTTCGAAGGGCAAATTCTTAATAAGAATCTTGGTGCTCGCCGCCTTCTTTGCAGCGTCCTCTTTGCGACGCTCCTCTGCAGCATCCGCGCCCTTGTGAGATGCTTTGATCTGCAGCTTGTGACCCTCTAGATCATAGCCGTTCAAAGTTCGGAGCGCAGCAGCTGCCGCATCAGGGCTATCGAATTCGACGAAACCGAACCCCATCGACAATACACCCCGCTTTGGGTCGACCTTGGTCTTGACCACAGCACTGCGGAAGCCGGACAAGGGTTTGAACAATTCCGTGAGACGCTGGGTTGTGGTGGAGAAGTTGAGGTTGCGGACGTATAGTGTGGCGGTGTTTGATGCGTCAGGTTCAGGAGCTTCCTCAAGCAAGTCGGTCGCAGTGAGTTTGGCGTCTGGCTTGTCGGCGGATGTTGCCTGGACTACAGGCGCCACGAAGCCCTCCTTGAACAGGTCCTTTGGTGCCTTTTCAAGATACAGGATCGAGTCCTTCATCTTGCGATAAGACAAAGCCATGAATGCGGTCTTCGCCTCTGCAGCGTTTGAGAACTCAACAATGGCAGTCATGCCCGTTGGCGGCATGAGAAATTTTGTGACCTTGCCATGCTCCTCAAACGTTTTGCGCAATTCGTCCGCTGACACGGAGTGGGGGACGTTTTTAACCAAGATCGCAGTGTCGCCCTTTGCACTGTTCTTGAAAGCTTCAAGGTCGACTCCGTGTTGAGCAAAGTAGTTCTTGGTCTCCTGGATAATGTGGGTCTCGGCATGAGCCTGCTTGACCGCAGCGTCCGAGGATGTCGGGTCTAGCAGCTCTGCCTTGCTGATCCCCATGCGACTCGCGAGTGTGGACATGACTGCATCTGCGTTGAGGTACAACGAGTTCCAATTGAACGTAGCCTTGACGGCATCCTGCTTTCGTCGGATTTCTTTCTGCTTCTTCAATGGTAACTTGGAGATCTCGAACTCGTCGAGCTTGGTCTCCTTCTTCGCCTTTGCCGAAATGATGTGCAGGAGACGACCTTGGAAGATAGTGCTGTCATTCTCGTTGAAGGCCGTAACAGCGTTCTCGGGATCTTTGAACTGTACGAAAGCGAAGCCCTTGCCTTTGCCGTCGCTCTTCTTCAACGGTACGTGCACCTGGCTTGGTCAGTGATTGAGCGTACAAGTGATGTGTAACACAATATGTCAGAGTTCGCCAGTATCAGATCAGAGAGACATCTACTAAAATACTCTCACAAGGTGACCTCACATGCCGAAGCATCAGTTGTCCCTATCTTGACGTTCATCCTAGAGCGAGTGGTGTGTACGAAAAAATTTGGACTTACTTCTTCGAGTGATCCGTACTTGGAAAACTGGTTTCTGATGTCTTCTTCCGCAACCTCAAAATGTAGGTTACGGAGGTACAGTCGACCGGTTTCTCGAATCTTATCGTCTTCTGACGGTGCGGCGTCTACAACGGGCACATCAGTGGGTTGTGTAGGCTCAGGTTGCTGTTCGATAGCCACTGGAGAATCACGCTTCTCGGCAGCAGGCTTGGTTGTAGCCGGTGCAGGAGCAACAGGGACATCATCGTCCTCAACAAGATCCAGGAGTCTGTTCGTTCGTGATCGTAGCCAATCATCGTCGGTTGTGGGAGGCTGGCCGCCGGCAGCAGAGTCTAGCGCATCTGGCATTACAGCGTCGACATCTTCCACCGCAGCAGCCTCAGTATGGCTGACAGGCTCTGCCGCCGGGACAAGTCGTGTCTCCTCCAATGTCTCGTGGGACGTTTCGACAGTCTTTGGTTTCTTCGTGATGACCTGATAGTCATCATCGCTCTCGTCTGCAGGTACGACGACGTCTTGTACTGGCTCCTCGACCGCTGCGGAGTTGCCTGCGGCAATTTGTGCATCGCCCTCCGTCCATATGTTCGTCTTCGAGGGTGGTTGATAGACTTCGAGAAACTCCTTCAACTTGGGATCTTGCTCTTGCTCTTCCCGCTTTCGCTTCAGAGTGTTGTCCTCCTTTGGCGGTGGAAAGTAGTCGTCGCTCTTTGGTGCAGCCTTCTCGACCTTGATCTGTCGTCGTGACTTGGGCAACAATTCGTCTGAAATCTACCGCAATCGTTAGTCCCACTCGCGTACATGTAATACCGCACAAGCCTACCGGACGCGCAATCTCGACAAAGATCTTTGTCATTCTGATGAAAGTCTTGTTGAAGTACTTGACGGCCTTTGCGGCATCCTCAGGTGTCTTGTAGCCAACATATCCAATGCGGCGATGTGGGAAGAACTTGACGTCTGTGACCGGAAATTTGGCGAAATGCTTGCGCACATCGTCCTCGGTAAACTTGGGAGGCAGTCCGCGCACGAAGATGCGTGACGACTCCATGACTGAAACGTGAGGATGAGCTGTGGCCTGCTCAAGTGAAGGCGAAGTGAGCGTGGTAAGAGAAAGCTGCTCGGCAAAAAGTTCGAGAAATTTTAGCGTCATTGCACGCTAGCGCTCCAATAGGCCGAACCCACCGGTTAGTGGGCTCCTGTTGTTTGGCACTGGCCAGCTCCAACACCACCACCAAGCACTACAACAAACACAAAACTTCACCCAAGCATTGCTTACAGACCGCCATCCACACCTCGGGAACTATTGCAACAGCACACGCGACACGTCTCAAACCAGCAACATGGCCAGCGAGAAGTCAGAAGTCCACAAGCAGGAGGGTAAGGCCCCTATGTATACATCTCGGTTGTCACTTGAGCACGAGCTAATGACCTGAACAGCGCAGATCAAGTCTGCGGACATGGTATGGAATCCGCAATGTCTGGCGAATGACATTCAATAACCATGTGCTACAGAGCGAGGAGATGCAAAACGAAGCCATTGAAGTTGGTGAGTTATCTGTACCCCAGATGCGGCTGGCTCAAACGCTGACAGCTTGGTAGCACAGCAAGCAATGGAGCAATTCACCATCGAGAAGGTAGGCTTAGGCTTTTCAATCACTTTCTAGTACAACAGTACTGACAGTCGTTTCAAGGACATTGCGCAGTTCATCAAGAAGGAAGTAAGTAGCTAGGCGTCATGAGGTATAAGTACGTAGACTAACTCACATGCAGTTCGATAACCGCAAAGGCGCAACATGGCACTGCATTGTTGGCAGGAACTTTGGCAGTTTCGTTACGCACGGTAGGTTCAGCAGCTGTTTATCTCGCTCTCAACACTGGCTAACAGTCTATAGAAACCAAGCACTTCATCTACTTCTACCTCGGACACTGCGCCATCCTCCTATTCAAGACTCAGTAAGCACCAGCAACTGGATTAAAGTACCGTCGGCCGTCTGGAGTTATCACTTGCTTTTTGTTGAATTGCGATGTCTGGACTTCTGGAGCGCACTTCTCACCACGGCCCAGGTTCTAGAGTACGGTGACCTGCTTGGTTGTCATGAGCATGACTCTGGTCGGAATTGTACTCCACATTTTAGTCATCGGCGGTCGGTGTTCTTTGTTGTCTGTTTGTTCAGCGGCATCAAGAGCGCGAGGAGGGGTTCACGGAGTCCGAGAAGAAGGGAGTCTCTGAACATCACGATTACCACGGGTCTCCTTTCACGTCTGACAGTGGAGGCCCATCGATAAACTAAAACGGCAGATACACACATTCAATATTTGAATCCTGACCGAGGTCGAGAAGTGCAAAGCATTCCACCCGTTGCATGTGTTGTGGATTGCGCGCCACGGACGAGCCAAGTGTGGCTGAGCGACAGCGGTGATGACGCGCCTTCCTCGGCGCCAATGCATTTCACGAGATCGTTAATCACAGCACCTTGCCCGACCTTGCTCCCCTCTCGCCCTAATATCCCTCTCACCCTCTCTGACCGACCCCGCGACCCGGAATACTACTCTACAATCAAACGCGCTCGCCGTGCGACGATATCACTGCAAGCTAAAGTACCCTTACTTCGCCAGCCCACAGCTCGCGCATAGCTCCACCTCTCCGCACCGCCTCCGCTCGATCGACCGCGACGCGCGACCGAACCCACCAGCTACACTGCACTAGTTGCGCGACTGCAGCGCAAGTAAATCGGCAGCATGTTTTTCTTCTTTACGTGTGGAACACACAGTATGTTCGTCCTGCTCGTGGATTTGCGGTTGCAGAGCTAACGAGCACCCAGCGTTCAACTCCCAGCTCAGCGGCGCCGAACACATCACAGTGCAATGCCAGAACTGCGGTAACTTCTCTGGTAGAGTGATGAAGCGCTGGTACGTCTCCTCTCCCCCCTACACAAGACACCTTTGTCCTTCCCACAAGCAGCATACCACATCCTATTGCCCAGCGACAATAGCCTTGCACGCTTGCTAACATATATAACAGGGAATGGTTCACATTCTGCTTCGTCCCAATAATCCCATTCTCGCTCAAGCCATACAAGGAAGTCGGATGCCACATCTGCAACTTCTGGCAAGACATCAAGTACCGCCCGGACGTACAACAGCAGATGCAAGGCGGCGGAGGACAGCCGGCGGTCATGCTGCATGGTGGGAATGGGAACGGGCAGCATGGCGCGCCGCCGAGTGGGGTGCCGCAGTATAAGTGAAGAGGTTTGGATGAGGGGAGGTGAAGCGTTGGAGTGTGGCGTTGGGAGACTAAATAATGGCTGGGGTGGGACGTGTAAGGACTTGGCTGCCTGCCGTGTCCTTTTCGAGGAAGTTGCGCGCTTGAGCGACTCGCACAACACAGTCTAGGTGGTCCGGAAGAGATGTTTACGGTTGTTTGGTGCAAGTCATGCTTTGGCATGTTACGGCGTTCGGGGTTGCGAACAGATACCATACGGCATTCCTTTTGTGCACTGTTTCAATTACGAACTCTACTGGAAAAGACCTCTTCGCCATACACCAAGTCCCTTGTCCTTCCACACCCTTCGACTGACCCCCCCCCCCCCCCCCCTCCCCACCTTTTCATTCCATATCGTTCTCCAGTTTAGACTTCTTCCTTGAGATGTTATCTCTTCTCGCAAAGACGGACACTTTTCGCCTCGACCAGGCAATCACCGAAGACCTTCTTGTGAAGCTGATTCAGGCTATTAACGTGTGCGTCATGTGGGTTGCGGTGGCGCTCATTGCTGCTCATTGGCATGGTGTAGAGCTATAGTGGAACATGTACACATTTCCATCAGCACGACGCATGGGCAACACCTGGAAGCTGTGAGGTAAAGGTTCGCCAGGATCGTGAATCCGAATGTTTACGATCCTCGCCCAATCAGAGTGCTCTGAGGTACTCCAGGGTGTCGTATGGCACTACTGCCTTCCCAAGATTGGGGTTTGTCATCTCCGAACTTGTGCTTTCCTGAAAGTGTGCTGAGGTCCTCCGGGCTCTGCTTTTGCACTCTCATTTCTCGCGAAGTGTAATTCACGATCTTCGACATCTGGTCCATCAACAGTACGCTGAGATCCTCCGCGGCCCGTTTTTGGTGCTCGACAAGAAATGCTGGAGATGTCTAGTGTGGTGTCGAGGCTTTGCACATCGGAGTCCGGGCGGAAAGAACGATGACGTTTTTCTTGGCGCAAGCGTTGAGCTTCGAGCTTGCCGGCACGATCACGCACGCTGTCGTCTTTGCTTACGCTTTCCATTGCACCTTTCCCCTTCATCTCATCAGTAAATCCGTCTCGAGATGTTCGCTAGGCAATTCTTCCGCCCAGCCAAGCAGCTGCAGCAGGTTCGCCAAAGCTCTCTTCAAAAAACGAAACATCAAACGGCTGACCAATTCAAAGCATGTCCGCCGCTATGCATCTGAGGCGCCCAAGTCCGGCAGCAACAACAGCGTTCTCTACACTGGTGTTGGCGCTGCCGGTCTCGCTGGTGCCTACCTCTATCTGAGGGGCGGCGACTCAGCTTCAGGGCAGCAGGGCGCTGCTCCTCCGTCTGCTGAGGAGAGTAAGATCCCCGCCTCGACCGGCGAGGTCAAGAAGGCCTTCACTGGTGGCGACCAAGGCTTCCTGTCGCTGGTGCTCGAGAAGTCGGAGATTGTCAACCACAACACCAAGAAGCTCACCTTCAAGCTGCCCGAGGAGGATCAGGAGAGCGGCCTGTCTGTTGCCTGTACGTCTATACCGTTTGCCGGACATGTCAATATGCTGACAACGATCCAGCTGCCGTTATCACCAAGTACAAGGGCCCTGAGATGAAGAAGCCCGTCATCCGTCCATACACTCCCATCAGCGATGTCGATCAGAAGGGCACCGTTGAATTTATCATCAAGAAGTATCCCGACGGCCCCATGTCCGAGCACATGCACAACCTCGAGCCCGGGCAGCGTCTGGACGTCAAGGGCCCCATCCCCAAGTATCAGTGGTCGCCCAACAAGCACGAGCACATTGCGCTGATCGCAGGTGGAACCGGTATCACCCCCATGTGGCAGACCGCCCGCGCCATCTTCAAGAACCCCGAGGACAAGACCAAGGTCACACTAGTATTCGGCAACGTCTCTGAAGAGGATATCCTGTTGAAGCGCGAGTTTGCGGAGCTCGAGAACACATACCCCCAGCGCTTCCGCGCCTTCTACGTCCTGGACAACCCGCCTGAGCAGTGGCAGGGCGGCAAGGGTTTCGTCACCAAGGAGCTGCTCAAGACTGTGCTTCCTGAGCCCAAGGAGGGCGAGAAGATCAAGATCTTCGTCTGCGGTCCCCCCGGCATGTACAAGGCCATCAGTGGTGGTAAGAAGAGCCCCCAGGATCAAGGCGAGCTTGAGGGTTACCTGAAGGAGCTGGGATACAGCAAGGACCAGGTCTACAAGTTCTAGATGAGTGCGAGAGGGCTGTACGATATGTCTGCTAGATATAGATTCCCCATCAAGCAAGCGATCCGCAAGTTTCACAACACCCATCACTCAGTAATGGCCTGGTGTGTGGAGGTTGTAGGCCTGGCTCATGTCCAAACGCGCTCTCGAACTCGTGGTGAAGGAGGCAACAAACGCGAAGGACAGTCTTCACCCCACAATTTGCGAACCCCACGCAACCGTTTGCTTCTCATCGAATTTCGGTCTCGTCAAGCTTGACCTCTTGATGTCTCACTCTATATTCTCTCCTCTCGACTGACCTTGTTCTCAATTTTCCTTCAGCCTAAGAGCATAGTTTACCAACAGAACCCTCGATCCAACCGACAACTTCGAAATGGCGCGGAAGGTCTGCAACCACCCAGTGTTCCCCAGCCTGCGCGCAAAGCTTACAGCACTCAAGATCACCGTCTGCCCAACCTGTCTCATTCGGCTTCACATCTTCGATATCGCAGAGACACAAGCCGGACTGGAGCGCCGTGGAGGCGTCTTCTCTTCTAGAGCCACAGCAGTCGCTGAAGAAGGGAGGGGCCGAAAACAGGAGAGGATCGCCCACAGGGCGCTGTTGAGGCGTTGGAGGCTTGCGAAGATCGACTTGTATAGAGACCTTTGTCTGTTGGAAACATTGCGCGCCGAAGGTGCTGGCAAGACGCGCTGGGAGATCCAGCTTGCAAAGGCTTTCGAGCTGTGGAAAGAGGTTGAACTTGAGTGCAGCAGGATACCTGGTTACAGGTACGCCGAGGAGAACCATGAGGATATTGCAAATGAAGACGAGTCGGTGATCGAACAGGATGCGGAACTTGAGGACAGGTTGAACGAAGGTATGCGCCTGGACTAATACGAATGATAAGTCGACTCAAGCTTGAACAGATACGATCGACGAGACAAGAGACGATGACGACGGAGGATGGCAAACTATCAAGCCGAGAGGGAAGGCTGCCAAACAGTCTCCGAATGATACCGAGCTGTCCGAGGCTTCTAGCACCAGTATCCAAGAGAACACCATGGCGGATGACAATACATATTATGGCCCAAATTTGGACGTGCAGGACCCGGACGAGGTCGCCCTACAAGGAATGGACAGCGTGAAATTGAGAATAGAGCGTGGCTCGTACTGGGATGGTCGGAACAGATTCGATCTGCTCCGCGAGATTGAGGTAGATGAAGATCCTGACTCTCCCGATCCTCTGGAGGTCCACACAGCATCGCAAGTTTCCACTTGTCCGCGGGATGTGGATCGCATCACAATGCCTGATAAGCCTCTACTACCGCCGCCTGTTTCGTCACTGAAGCGCAAGCGTTCGTGTAGACCTCCAGACAACTTACGATTACCAAAAGAAGTCCGTATGGACGATCGCGTCACCATCATCTGCGACTACTACGCGCGCCACACGACCGGCCTTCCTCCTGAACAAACCTCCTACAAGCGACCACACTTCTCCTACACCACCGCAGAGACCGCCCGAAGACGCCTCAAATTCTACCGCAGATCGCCTTTGTACGTGCCTTCCACCTGGGCTCTCCCAGTGGAGTGTGAAAACATCAATACAAGTCACTATAAGACAGCCTGGAAAGTTTACGATGCAATGCAACTCTTGGCTGACATGGAGGATTCGGGACAGAACCAGGCTGAGATAATGGCGCGCTTGGAGGCAGCCGGTTATACCGTGGCCAGCAATGTTGGCGAATTGGATGAAATTGGATACGATGGGTACTATGCGATTCCGATTACTGTGTCAGAGGTAAAGCCTACGCCTCATGCTGAGAGGACGTTCTCGGAGCCTGAGTCGAATCGCTGAGTGCAGGTGAAAGTTTAGCAAGGTACGTAGGGAATCATTCTATAATGGTTCATCCACGAACTTTACACACCGGAGGTGCATACACGGCTACAATTAGTAGGATCCGATCATACCTCCTCATTCGATTTCTCCTAGTTTCCTCCGTCCATGGTGCTATTCTCTCATACCCGCTTCATCATCCCATTGAATATACTACATTCACGTTGCGGCAGCAGTGGGTGGTGCACATGTCGCGGAAGACACAAGCATCAAGTGAGCGCTTTCAGTTGCAAGTGTTGTCGCGTCTCCCTCTCAACATATGTAAACACTGTCGGCCACCGTTGCCACCGCTCCACCTGTACTACGATTTAAAGCGTACTCGTGGCTTCACCCTCGGCTGTGACGCCATCATTCATCGCAATAGTGATGGGTGATCAGAAGATCTGATATGTTCGAACTGCTCCAACACCTCCGTTGACAGGATACTTATCTCAATTTGTTCGGTTCGACGACTTATATCCGAAATCTGACTCAATACTCACACAGTGCCCTACAGCTGAGCATTGAGATGGCTGACTTCCTCAGATAGCAGATCCCATACACTACGCCCGCTGAAGTCTGCGCTTTAAAAGAATCCAGATGTCTGCTCCGTAATCGACCCAGATAGCCATATTCAACGCCTAGGCCCCACAGACGCGCGCGCTGTATCAACGTCTGAAGTTGAGCTCCTGCTCTGTCTGCTCAGTGAGCTTTTCTTTCCCGACAAGATCCTGTTCACCTTCGACTTCTACCTCGACGATGCGCCGACGCTAGGTGAAAGTGAGGCCATCGAGGGTGTTGCACACATCAAGATGTATCGATTTGATTACACGGCTGTGCAACGCAAGTTCATGCCCAAATGATACAATATTGCCGAAGCAGCGATGACGCGGTTTAACACGTTAGCACATGAGCTCGTGCATGCGTTTCCCCAGCTCTATGCTTGCAAAGCATGCCCCAGCTACCGCAGGAATGTTGGTGATCTAGCAAACCATGGCGTTGCATGGCAGTGAGTAGCATGCTGGGTTGAGTATTGTGGCGGCGTAGGCCGCTATAGTATACTGATAGCTACGGTAAACAATAACGTAGGACGATCGGGTCGATGGAACACTGCGCTGAGTTGCTATCTAGCTAGGAGATGACGATATATACTGGCCCTGGAACGTGCTAGTCCATAACAGTCTAAGCAAGGGTAATCGGGTCTCGTACGGACCGACTGATACCGCAACAAGTATGCTGCGCCGGACAGTATTGGCTTGCCTTTGAAGTTGAGCAGATTCGAGAGTGTCCAAGCTAAGTGGAAGTGGTTCGAGTTCTAGCCCACTCCACAGGAGCTCAGGGAACGGAGCCTCGTAGATGAATAGGTGTAAATCTAGGCATGGAAGCTACCAAGGATTGTTTAAAGACCTCTAAGCCTTTTCACTCAAGACTTTTTGCTCGACTCCGCTCTCCAAATACCCCTCTTTACGGCTATTCTTCCCCTCACGTCTCTCCCTCTTCCACTCTCTCTTTGCATCAATCCTTTCCCTTTTCAATGCCCTCTTCTTCGTCTTGTACTCATTCTTAAGCCCCTTCCACTCTTTTCCTTTCTTTGCCTTCCCCTTGCCCTTGCCCTTTCCCTCATCCCGCTCCCTCAGTTGCCTCTTCTTCTGCCGGTATTCACGTGTCAACTCGCGTTTCCTGTTCCTCATTTCCCTTCTCTGCGTATGTCTGGACTGCTTCCGCGCGATCTTGAGTTCAGTTGCTTCCTTCTCGCGTGTGGCTTTCGCAATTTCGAGGTCTCTTTCGTGCTCAATCTCTTCGCGGCTCTTTTTTCCCTTGGATGCTGCAGCCTCAGCGGCGTTGTTGAGGGACTCGATGCGCTTCAGGAAGGCGGCTTGAGCGTCATCGTAGTCGTCATCTTCGCTGTCTGAGGAAGAGGATGACGAATCTGAAAAGTCTGAGGAAATCGACGAGTCATCGTCATCGTCATAGTCGTCGGCTTTCTGTTTCCGCAGGGACTGCTCTGATGGCTTCTCGGGCGATACTTCGGGCACCTTCTCGGGTGGGTAGGTGTCAGCTTTACGGTCGCTGTGTAGTTCGCCTGTCTCCTGACCAGCGACTGTCGTCGATCCCTTATAAGATGGAGGCTCATCGTACTGCGGTGGCCTGCTCCTCCCCGCATTGCTCGGTCCCACAGTGGGAGCGCTCTGAACTCCTAGTGCCCTACTACTGTGTGCTGCAGCCCACGCTCCGGTACCTCTACCGAACTGCTGTCCCATAGCGCCAGCCTGTCTTCCAAACTGCTCGCCCATCGCTCCTGCTTGACGGCCGAATTGCTCACCCCAATCGCCCATTCGTCGTCCAAATCCTTCTCCCCATCTCCCCATATTCTGACCGAAAGCTGCCCAGTCCTGTGATGAGCCAGATCTGGCTCCGCGTCCAGGACGACCGCGACCGTTGCTTCCTCCACAGCTTCGTGAGCTGGGGCCACGGCCGCGACCAAATAGGCCGTTGCCTGGCGCTCCGAAAGGACCATTATCAGGTGCACCAAAAGGGCCATAGCCTTGTGCTCCGAATGGAGTCCAAGGCTGGCCACGATGGCCACCTCCGCCACCAGGAGCTCCGTGGCTTGAGCCCGGTCCAGCGTCAGGCACAGAGTGTGGAGGATCCTCCGAGACTACAGCGCCCCTCGCCGAAGTAGAAGATGCGTTGAAGTCTCCTACTCGTCCAACATGTATACTCTCGCTACTCGCAACATGCTGCACAGGAACATGTCCCTCATAAGCCGGCGCCTCCTCGCGCTCATGCGCCCCCTCTTCTTCAGTCGCTTCACCTCTCATACGATACTCCCACACCTCAGGGTCATCAGATCCTTCATTTGCGCTGACACAGTGAGCTTCAATCTGGCTAGCATCCAGAGAGGCAACGCCATTGCGTGCATCGCTTAGAGCAAAATCGTATGAGGGCGGCAGGTCTTCATATCGCGGGCCTCCGGGACTATGAATAGGTGTTGGTTCGAACTCAGTTTCAGAGTCGTCAGGTATTGAGGTTGAGCGGGGTGTGTATGGGGGGTTGGGTGGCGATGTTGTCGATTGCGGGGCAGCTGTGGGCTGGAGCTTGTCTGCCATGATTCACGAAGACAATTGATGTTGGAGTTGAGGTCTGAGGGTCAGTGTTGCGATGAGCCAAGAGATATACTCTTGGTTTAAGCTTGAGTGGAGTCGCGATGATGCTAAGGCGCAGCTCCAGGGCTGAGTTCGTTTTCGCTGTTGCCTGACGGCCTTGCTTGAACACCATCCAATCGCGGGTTTTGCGCCACGCGTCCAACGATCGCAACATGCCCCAAAGTAGGTAAGAGGGTCACGATTAGCTTCGAGAGCTGAGAACGATGCTCGTGGTGCTTTTGATGGTTGTAAGACGGAGGTGTACCTGAGGCTGGTGCGGGGCAGCACCACGCCACAGCATCTCAACGAACCAACCGGTATGCACAACCCTAGCGTTATTTGCCCAGTCCTCACACGAACTGGGGTTTGATCAATACACGGCCTTGTTTATGCCCGTACTTTCCCGTTCACGTGGCTCTTCTGTGACAATTGGGTACTCGGCGTCCCGCCTCCTTCTGGTCCCGGACGTGATCTTACAAGCCTTCCTTTCATCGCGATCAGATAAGATCCCAATAACACCCTTGTTCTTCATTGACGTGCTACGCTTGAGAGGAATGTCTGCTTGATATTCTGCATCACTACCCTCCACCCGATTTGTCTCTAGCCCACCAGCTCCGTGTCCAATCTTGGACTATGGCTACGGGACGCGCAACAGTGGCAGTAATAGGTCTCGGCCCTGCCGGGCTTGTAGCACTCAAGAATATCCACGAAGAGGGCTTCGATGTCACAGGTTTCGACCAAAATCCCTACGTGGGTGGTCTGTGGCAGTTCACTGAAGAAGACAAGACATCCGTACTCCAGAGCACCGTGGTGAACATATCGAAAGAAAGGGTTGGTTACTCCATTCACAGGGCTTTGGTACAAGACTAATGACCGATTAGGGTTGCTTCACCGATTACCCATATCCTGAAGGTTCGAATGGGTTTCGATAACAACGAAGTCACGGGGCATCACAGCTGACTCTCACATAGGTATCTCGGCATATCCCACAGCGGCCGAAGTTCAGAGGTACTTGGTGAGCTACACAGAGCACTTCAAGCTAGAGCCGCATCTTCGTCTAAATACCGATGTTCGCCAGATCAGGTTCGACGACACCCGCCAGCAATATGCTATTGAGATCGAAGGCAAAGACGTACAGTTCTATGACAAGGTGGTGATCGCTATTGGAGGCCTGACCAGTCTGCCTAACATCCCTACCATTGAAGGGCTAGAGAACTTCAAGGGCAAGGGCTTGCACTCGAGAGCATTCAAGAAGCCTGAACAGTTCGCAGGAAAGCGAGTCATGGTGGTTGGGTTCGGGAATACAGCAGCAGACACCGCAACGGCACTCGCAAACGTAGCGGAGAAGGTCTACATCGCGCACAGGAATGGGGCGCGCATCGTAAGTCCTAACATGATCAACGATGCACACGCCGTGCTAATGTTACAACGTAGCTTCCTCGTCGAGTCAATGGTAAGCCTGTCGACCATGCACTGAGTCTACGCCTGTTCACCATACAAAGCTGGATCATGAGCAACTTCCCAGCCGCCGGCGCCAATATGTTCGACAGATTCATCAAGAGTCTGCAAGATAAGAGCTTCAAGCTGCGACCTGAATGGGGTTTTGAGCCCGCTCAGGCGACCCCAATTGTCTCAAACACTCTGGTCGACTACCTTGAGTGCGGACTTATCGAGTCAGTCAAAGGCATCAAGCGCATCCTCGGCGACACTCAAGTTGAGCTCGACGACGGCAAGATACTCGACGTCGACGCCTTGGTATGGTGCACCGGTTACAAAGCTGACTTCAGCATGCTCGAACCCCGTCTCGACCCTACCAGTCGCTCTTCAACAGCGTCGTCAGATGCCAATGGATCGAATGGCAAGCCGCTCGCTCGCCTGTACCATAACGTCTTTTCTCTTGAGAAACCAGACAGCTTGGTCTTCCTGGGCAATGTGCATACCCCACTCTCTGGCTTTCAGCTCTTCGACATGGCGAGCATGGCTATCGCACAGGTGTGGAAAGGTGCATCAAATCTACCGTCACGGTCTGCCATAGAAAGCGCAGTAGATGAGCATCATATCTGGCTGGCCGAACAAGCAAGCCGCCGCTCTAATGTTTCACCTGGCATGGTAGACGGTGGAGCATGGTTGAAGGCCATAGATGGTCTCGCAGGCACGGGAGTGAACGAGTATTTGGGGTATGGTTGGAAGGGGTGGTGGTTCTGGCTCAGCAATATGAAGTTATGCAATCTGCTAATGGGAGGCGTGTGGAGCCCGCACGCCCATCGACTCTTTGACGGTAAGAGGAAGAAATGGGAAGACGCCCAGGACGCCATCGAAAGAATGAACGAAATTGGAACTGTAGCCACGAAGAAGCACGTTTGAGAACCAATTTCATCATCGTCTGAGTATGTCACGGTGTAGGGTGACTCCTGCCTGTCGTACCTCACCTACCATGAGAGTGACTGCCACGTCACACTAGCGCTGTTTACAGCTACTCACCTATACATACTGTCCGTAGCTTCACCTAATACAACCTCAGTTCAATCCTTCAATACCTCTGCACATGCGCACTGATCACTCACGATCCACCGCGACAGAATACCTATAGCAGAGCTCCGTCATACAAGAGTGATGACAGATTCAGGACAAGTATGACACACTTCGTCAGTTGCCCACCAGTGCCCACACGTTGGTACCTCTCAGGCTCATCGCTTAGCCTGCGTAAGAGCAGGCCTCGACGGTGGTGGGACTCTATGTTCTCCGAGCACGCTAGCACAAGGAAGAAGAGGTTTACATCAGTTCCTCTTTCGCTGTCAAACCTGCACACATTACGCTCAGCGGGACTCTGGGCACTCATGAGTCTGCCCTCCGTTATTCGATGCAACGAAACAGGAACACTAACCCATCTTTTTTTTTCAGATATCGGGAGGGTCATAATCTTCGCCAGCCAGATGGCTGAGGAGGGTTGAATCGTTCTCTGCGAAAGCATACCTGGCATCGTGACTGGTATCTCTCTCGGCTTTCGGTCGCTCCGACAAGGCCTTGGCTGCGGGCGACGGTCGAGCGAGACGTAGCATAAGTGAATTCGCCCCTTAATCTTTAGGCTTCCAAGTAGCTGTTGCTGACCTTGTTCAACAATTTCAGACTAATCTTGGTGTCACTCTCCGGGAAATACTTCTCGAAAATGATGCCGCTTTCCCAAGTCGCCCAAGACTAAGAGGATGATATCCAGTCACTCTGTGGCTTCATTGGATCATCTGCAGGCTGCCGGGATAGTCTATAAGGAAAATTGAAGTTCCAGGTCCCGTATAGGTACTTTTGACCGAGGACGCCCTCGGCTAACAAAGCCAGCCCAGCAAGCGCAGGAAGTCTATAGCTATATCTGGTGATCGCGAGGGTTGTGTAACAATTTATGATCTTCTGCCAAACTCTGAAAAACACCTCAGGACTTTGCCTCAGGGAGACCTCCATCTGTGATGATACTCAACGTATTGAGAAAGGTATGTGTGAGCTCTCGTTCCTCAATCCATTCTTCTATAATGCCATTCTCTGCGTGAAACGCGCAACGAGACCTCCAGTATATCTGTTCACTCGAGAAGTGTACTGTGCGACGTGATAGAAGCGGAGTACGATTCATGAGCAGGATAACTCTCAGCCTCTGGAAGACTGGCAGCAACTCCAGCCTGCTTGGCACATGAATCTATCTTAGATAAGCATATGCAGTCAATAGATCATGCGAGTGATAGTTTTACTTTCATCTGCGTACATTTCCAGCCATGCTGACCAAGACGGCTCGGTTCGCAATCCTTCCTCAAGAATCTTGCCTACAAACACTATGACCTTTCAAGATAGTTGCCGTTCGGGAACAGTGAGGTATCGCCGCTCGGCATTCAAAAATGCTGCCTTGTGAGGAATCGCAAAGAGTCTGACCGGTTCTGACGTTAAGGTGTGGGGGGTGATTCCTATATTGTACATACCGAAAAACCGCTGACAGCGATCTTGTATTATCGCGCACAGTTTGCAGTTGTTCGAGCTGATTACCAATTTGTGAAGGGTCTGATGATGGGTGTAGCCGTGGCTCTCTTTGAGCATTTCCAGATTGATAACAAGGCATTTGTCGCATAAGGCGTCTTGTTCGGGTGTGATGACCATAGCAGTATGGACGAGGATGTGCTGCCCTGTGTCAAGAAGGTTGAAGTGAACATATCAGGTGGAGTTGCGTGTCAGACACCCATCTGAGGGCGCATCAGGCTGCATATACGGCCATGGAGACTGCATACAGACTGACCAATAACTTGCGCATTAGGATGCAGCTCCTCTCCATATTTGGAGAGCTCCGCTTGAGGCAGTAACAAGTCTTGTAAGGAAAGTGAGGTACCGGGGAAGCCATTGACATAGTGAATGCGATCGAAGCTGTAAAGAGTAAGAACCTCTGAGCAGTCTCACATGTCGCCAAAAACGTCAGCTACAACACACAGAGATTATTATAGTCCCCTAACAATCTATCAGGTTGCAGATGGCCTGCAAAATAGCGTTGAGTGTCTCGCATGGTATGAAGGATCATAGGACTAAGCTCGACTTTGCCATTACTCGAGATAGGAGGCTATGTGTGGCGTATAAACAATGACGTCACTGTTAGATTGTCACACTTTTTCAGAACATACCACCCAGCTAAGACACCCCTCCCCAAGCGCCATGAAGTATGGGAAGGAAGGCTTCGCAATGCGTGCATAACTCATGACAAGCTCTGAAGGTATAGGAACTCCCTCGTGTTATTGACTTGGTGGTGTGAAGATGAACTTCAACGGTGATCCTCATCATCTTCGACCAATCGGGTGGGTACCACGGCTGCATGGAAGTCGCGAAACCGTGAGATTGAGCTCGAACTTTCCTTTACAACAAGACTCTCGAGCACTGAAATACACACGATCGCTGGCTGTCTAGCATTGACACACCCGTTGTTCAAAGACACCCTTCGGACTAGATCGATTGATCTTCTTTCGCTGCAAACCCAACAATGACCACTAGGCTGCACGGCAGCTGCAGCTGCGGTCGATTCCGCCATATTGTCGACCTCCCCTCACAACACGCTGGACAAGCTGAATTGCGGTACGACAACTCTTCCGCGTCACGTACGTTTCTGCTGCGAACTGGTGTGAGCTTTCTGACATCACGTCATGGCTCCACCCATGCCCCAAACAAGAATCTAACGAACATACAGGCCAACACGCTGCCAGCCCACTCACACTGTGGCTCCGCGTGCCACTACCATGGTACACCTCGGCAACGTTCGCGCAGCTCCCTGACGAGACGCACTCGAGCATCCAACGTACCTTCATATCGCCATACACGCCGACCACGTCCAACAAGTTCTGCGGATACTGCGGCACCCAGCTTTCGTCATGGAACGAGCGCACGCGCGATGAAGCCGCGCACATCTGTCTACCGGTAGGCAGTCTATTGGACGAGGACCAAGAGCTGCTGAACACGCTGGGCTTCTTCGGCGACAGTAGCGATGAGGAGACAAGCGTCGCTGGATCCTCGCGGACAAATCCTACGCGAACAGTCGCGCGGTCTGAGCCACAGGCGCGTGGCGCTCCATGGTTCGAGGAGATTGTGCGCAACACAACTTTGGGTCGTTTTAGACAGCAGCGCGGCGGACACTCAGACAACGGCGTGCAGGTGGAGTGGGAAGTCACCGAGTGGACAGAGGGCGACGACGATGGTGAGAGTGGCAGCGCCACGCCGAGCAAGAGGAAGATTGGTGAACTTGAGGCTGGAGACACTGAGATGCGGTCCGCTTGATGTCCGTTTTGACTGTCATTATGTGTCAACGCTACAGTAGAACAAGATGCTCACGCGTAGGTACGAGAATGACACGAAGGTAACGATGAGGTGATTCTAGACACCTTCGCAAATGCAGGCACATGCAACGGCTCGGAGCAACGACGGTGCAATTTTGGGAGAACGTTTGAACGTAGACTACATGGCATGTCACTAAGCTTTATCCACCTTCTCTGACCAACAAATGATTGAGGCGCAGACACGTCCGTCTTGGTAACCTCTTGCAGAGCAACACCATCCAGTAAACAGAAACACTCCGGCATGCTGCCGCACTCTTCCTGCCCACGATTCCTCTTTCATGTAAGTGAGATCTAAACAGTAATAGATTTAGCGAATTACATAGTGCGGAGGTGTTGTGTACACCAAACGAGTAGACGTGGGTGCCTTACGAGCCGCCTTGAACCCGCCCAGACGCTTGTGGATGGACCCTGGCTTACGGGAGTACGGGAGCGTCTCCCTCCATCTCAAGCCAACAAATAATGCCACCGGTCGGCGAACCAACCTCCCGAAGCCACAGCAATGCGCAAAGTGCTGTGCTTCACTCCACGCATAGAATGACTTCGATAGAGTACAGATCATCTGTGAGTAAGATTCCTGCCGCAAACGCTGCATCAGCAAACGCCCGTGGGCGGGTACAATTGGACTAGCCTCGCCTTGTGCCTGCACCTGCGTCGTAACCACTATCTTGGACCCTTGACACAGTTGATCCGGACGATCAGCACAGATGATCATTCGTGTCTCGAAGTCTCACCCGCTGCAACGGTGTCTTTCGCGGAGATGGTAGGTCTTGGTTAGCCTTGTACATCTGGCGTTCAAGCGTGCTGGTAACGCTTCCGTACCTTACCTATGGCGTCGCTTAGCCTGGCTTACGATGGCACTATACGGGGCATCCGAGCAGTCGGTACTTGTGCGAGGTATTAAGGGGCAGATGCAGGGCGACGACGATACCGTCTCTTGTGTTTCCATCCACGGCACCGGTATCTGCTCGTCGCTTATCTGCGTGGAAAGCTCCTTCGGTGGTTCTTCAGCGTTCTTCGTTTGATCTGCGATCGAACTTTCTTCTTCGGCCCAAGCAAAGCAGTGTAACTTGCATTTCAGCTGTGTCTTTGCTTGCAGGTAATTTCCGATACGGTCGCAGCTGAGCTCTACGAGAAGTGGCGCTATCGAAGATGGGTCTTGATAAGGATGAGAAGCCTCGTCTTGAGTCTACGTCGCTGTGGTGGCCATGGCGGTCGAAGGTCTGATTTTGGTGGGATCGGTGGAGGTGGTCCGAAGTCGATGTCATCGCAGTCCCTGTCTTTGAGTAGTGGTGGCGCGCATTGAGGAGGGCATAAGTCCATATTGACAGACGAACGTGAGAGACCCCTATGCATGCCGGGCTGCGTGGGCAGCCGGAAACTTCGATGGCTTATGTCCGTGTGGGCTGAAGGCCGTCAAGCTTGAAGTTGGCGAGACACATCCACGAAGACAACCGCGAGGCTGCGTTTGTGCTGCATGCTCATAGCCTTGCCAGCTCGCACCATAGCGATTGTTGAAAGTCATCTTTACGGTCGTCCAGTCTGGCTCTTGTTCTGAGCCTCCTCCCACAACCCCCTCAGACTCGGCATCCCCCCCTCAACATACTTCCCCATACTCCTCAACACCTTGTTCGGCGTCCGATGCGCATTCGGCGGCCTCTTTGTCACATCAGACAACCCCACATGCGGCACGATCTTGCTCAAGTCCTCCTGCGCCATGCTCTTCATCGGGCTGAACTGCTTCCACAGCGGCTGTCGCTCGACGAAGTCTTGATGTACGGCGCGCGACCGGTCGACGGTGATTTGGAACCATTTTGTTGTCGTGGTCTTGGGCGGAGCTGCGGAGAAGGGCATCGGTGCGGGCTGTGAGGGCGGCGTTGATGCGGTGGAGGGGGGCGTGCGGTGGAGGAGTTTGCTTGGACTAGTCATGTCGGAGATGTCGGTGAAAGTTGCGAGTGGGAGGGTGGACGGGTCTTCTTCTGCGTCTTCGGTGCTGTAGGAGGGTTCGGTGCTGCTTACCTCGCGCTCGAGCGCGAAGCGGAGGGGCGAGGCGTTGAGGGCTTGTTGCGCAGCGTCGGGGGTGCGGTAGATGGCTAACGCAACATTGTCTGCTGGATTGTGGTACTCGTACTAGTTTTGATGTCAGCGCAACATCGTGGCCGCTGCAGTTGAGCGACGAACTCGCAGGTGCTTGTATGTGTTGATCTCGCCGAAGCGCTGCAGCACGCGGAAGATCTCGCGGCTTTCGGAGAGGTTGGCTGGCCGCGGCACGATGCGCAGATGCACGGAGCGCGAGGGCAGGTGCCCTGCCGCTCTACGGATGGACATGGCGGCGGTGGTGAGCTGTCACGGCCATGAAGCTTGAGCTGCAATGCAACAAAAGTCCGAGAGTGGGTCACCGAACTTTACCGAAGAGGATCGCGATCCTGGGGTTACGCGTATCACGTGGGATCCCGGTCGCTGGGTCGATTGAAACGTTCATGCATGTCTAAAAGCAAAGGATGCTGTGCGAAATGCTTGATTTGGTGAATATGCAATATGTGGTTGTGGCAGCTCAGTAGCTGCATATAGTAATAGTGTAACGCCAGGCTCAACCCGTAGGGAGCATAGATATCAACCATTCAAAATCCTTGCGTGCTTTTCTGTGCACTCGACCCAAGAGGCTCCAGATCTATTCAAGCTCGAATGGCGCTCTTGACAGAGCTCAAACGGTCACCAGCGCCGCAGACAATACCTCCAACGCCGTCGCAATGCTTCAAAATCAAAAATGTGCAGACAAGGCCTATTTTGTCTTCCTCCTCTCTCTAGTCTCCTTCGCTGTGCTCGACCGCTTTCGCATGCGGACGTTCTTGCTAACGCGCACATTGTCGTTGTGACGGTCTCCTGCCCGATAAAGTGGACGCGAGAACAGAGGCACTGTTACGCGCAACGAGCAGTCATAGTCCATGTCGACGCCCTCATCGTCTACTGATTCAACGGTAGCCACTGTTGAGGCTGATCGGACCGCTGGTTCGTTGACATTGCACTGTTCCTCTTCCTGGATCATGCGGACCAGCTTTGAGATGTCGCGGGCTTGTGACGAGCAGCACTGAAGCCGCGAGTTGGCCTGTCGCTGCATGCGCATGATGGACGCTGAAGCGCGGCAGTAGGTGGGTCGAGGGGCGTGGGGGTCCAGCTGTTCAGTGGGGAATGTGTCGTCCTCGCTGGGCGGTGTTGGTGGCCCGACAGGGGTGTTTTGCGAACGCGATGTGCTGATGAAAAGGTTCTGCCCGCCCATAAGCTGAGCCAGGTCGCTCATTGTGCATGGCGGAGGTGTGAGTGGCCTGCTGTATGGGTGTTCAGGTGTTGTGGACTTTGAGGTAGGTGAGCAGTTCATAAGGGCTCGCTCGGCCTCATGGTCGGCCAGCGACGGCGAGGCCGCATCGAAGGAGAAGTCGCGGAAGAGGGTTGCCATAGCTGTTGACGTATTATGAGCTTCTTCTGAGGAGTATCGTGGGAGGCGTAATCCGATCGTCGAGACGGTTGAAGGATCAGCAGCGCTGCCCTACAGCAAAGTGCAGACGGCCATGGTAATAAGGCGATTTCGATGCGGCCAAGGGAACGGGCGCGCACCGCGCAACTGGATTGCGCAACGGCCTATGACGCTCCGTGCAGTGGCGGGACCCTGCTCATTGGCAGAAGAACGAGAGAGACCCACTAGAGAAATGGGCCCTGCACCGCCGTGCTTCAGCGTTCCTCTCGACCCTTCATGCGTTCGTACTCGCACCACCGGGGCGATAAACACTCGGCGAGCAAACGGGCAGTGCTGCATGAACAGAACCCACCCAGTCTCCATCAATGTGCAAGGCTGTGCGGGCAAGGGCAGCTGAACAGGTTGAATACCTCCAGGGCAGCTCGTCACGATCCACCCTGCGCTGGCCAGACGCTGGAGACGCTAGCAAGGCTGCATAGAACTGCAAATCTGGAGAGCCCACAGCACGACTGGCTGCGGCTTTCGTTCGTTCCTTTCACCAACTCTCCGCCAGTGCGAGATCTCGAAGGAGAATCCTATCTGCTTGCTGCCTTGGAGTGCATGCTAACTGGGCCGGCCTCTCCTGTGCCCCACCGCTCACCCAAACTACAGCATCCAGACGTCGTTATTTCCACCCCTCACGTCTCCACGCCATCCATACCTTATCTCCGGAGCGGCTGTTGCGCAATTTTCGAGACGCTCGATGCCGCCGCCGCGGGCTCGCGGTCTTCCGGATCATAGCTAGTTGACGCACGAGTCATTCAACTCTCCGCGCTCGTGGCTTTTGACACTCACTAAACACTGCACCTCGCTGATCCAGGCACTGCCAGGTCACATTGTGGGAACAGCAGTGCGACTGGATTTGCCCTGTGAAACGGCGGCCCCGAGCTTCTGGGAAGGATCAATGCCTCCAGCCGTATTTGCTACCCTGCGTGTATTGCATTTTCATATTGGCTCTCTTAAGAAATGCATCCCCTTTTTTTATTCCCCGGAGCCAGTCTCCTGGAGCAAGTGGAATTGCTTTTTGCACGCCCGTCTGCGTCTTGGGTCGCATTGCCGACGGATGTTGTACTCGTGCCGCATCCTCGCTCGATTGTCCTGTTTACAGACTGATTTTCGACATTGCCATCCACACTGTTTGTCCCAAAGGGCCAGGCATCCTGTTTTGCACGTGTGGCTGACCTGCAGGGGCGCCACAGCTCTGCAACTCGACTCTTTCAATGCCCTAGGCTGTGATTGGACGCGGCCACATTGGCTTTCGTGTACGAGACCTTCCCTAGGGCTTCCACCAAATACTCTCCTGCATCTTTTGGCGACCAGAAGACATCTTCTTTACACGCCAGGCTTGCAGCGACGTGTCTAAACCTATCGAGTCTTCTCCGCGAAGTCAACAGTCTGCAGAACCAGGTTGGTGGGAAACCGTTGGCACCAAGTCCAGACCGAGAGGGACGATGATGCATCTTGATGACGCACGACAGCTCCCGACTTCAGCCTTAGCCGGACGTCCGCTTTGTGTCACGGCACAACACGTCTTACAACAATCCAAGTATCGTGTGCTACAGTAAGGGCATCCTGCCTGAACCGAAGGATGAGTTGGCAAAGGAGCAAATTTACCTGCGCGCCAATCAGGATCCTTCGAAGCCAAGTCTCCCAGAAGACGGGATCGCCGCAGGTCATGGGTTTTCACGCCTCCGTGCCTGTCGATCATGGCGTCCCAGCTGAACGAACCAACTTGTGTTTTGTGTTTACCACAACAGGTTGTCGGTTTCGAGATCTTATCGCTTTGTCCCAAGAGCTGAAGCAGTCCCCATATCTTGGCGGTTGTCAGCTTCGATTCCACCATCTGCGCCGCTTATCACCATCGGACTCGCCGAAAGCCTCCCAACTCTTCGAATTGAACGGCTACCGTGCAATGCAAAGACAACGCTTGTATGGCCATACGCAACGCGTGTAAAACATGTCTTCAGGCCGTTTCTCCAGTGAAACAGGCCCCCACTCCCTTACGCTCGCGTTCACGATACGGCAGGACCGGTGAGGCTGGACTGATATCGCCACGTGATATTGAAACAACATCAAACCATCGTTCAGTAGCAATTCCGTAGTGTACCCCTGCTGGTCTCCCCGGTATTATTTCGAAAGCACCATCGTGTGGACGAATCAATAGCAACGCGCATCGAGAATGGATCACCATGGTTGCTATCTACAGTATATGGCATATCAGTCTTTGCTAGCTCATCTTCCAGCCCCCAATACCTCGCCTCTTCCGGACTCGGCCAAGCCGTCAGATGACTCCACTGACTCCGAATGGCCAGGATTCTATCCAGCTTCAACGGTACCTTCAGCGCCTCAAGTGCAGCGTGCTCAACCCAATTCGCTATGCGCTGCCACACAACCCCATGTCCAACATCGTTATTAAGGTCCTCATAGCAGCAGTTACAGAATCTGCATGCGTACCGTTAAATGAACGCATGCACGATTTCATGAAGCAGCGTACTCCGGCGTGCCACGGCTTTAGCGTTGAGCGCTCCATGTGCTGCAACTATTTTGTGGTTGAGTGGGTTTGATCGAATATACGATACCTTGTCGATCGTCTGGCAAGACCCATACCAATCCGGACCGCGATTGTCATCCCACGAGAGTTTGATTCATCGCGACACCACGCGCGTCCGGCTCATCCAGACGTTGTAGCATACTTCTCGGCGACCGATCCTGCAGTATCTGCCTCAGGACGTTACAGGCGTGGATCTCTGGAGGTGTGGCCCTCTCCATTCATATACTCAGGAACTCGATAAACTCCTCGCTGAGATCCAAAGCCTCATGGCGTCCTGGAGTTAGCACGCGACGTAGGCTAGATGGCCATGTTGGCTCACTATCAGTATTTTCTTGACGATGACGCCGGAGCAGTTGTGACAGTCCTCGTGAGATGAAGCATGCTGGCCAGGGTTCATAGCAGCGGTCGGCAATTGTATTGACTCTGGTGTAGCAGATATTAAAGGTAAAGAAGCAAGCATGAACACGTGGGTAGGAGCTCTCCATGAATGTCGTGGCTTCCTCTAGGCGACGCGCCGTGTGAACAGCATCTGCTACTGTCTCTGCCATCGAACTCTCGACCCTCCTGCCACCTCGACTCCTTTTTGCACACACCCAAGACTCATCCACAAACTCTAGGAGTCACCTTACCCTGCCAATTGACCAAGCTGCTTCTGCTACGTTATCACGTTGGGGTTACAGCAGCAAGTGAGTACCTTCCTTTCGTAATGTATATGATAGCTTCATACGTGCGTAAGGCACATAAGATGTCTCAGTGATCATTGTCTACGAACATCAATATATGTAGCCAAGCCTCGTGAGAGCAAGCAGAGTATGCTTCCAGTAGATTAGATATAAATCACTGTCTTGAGTCGAAGCCTTCGTCTGCTGCAGTCTTAAACGTCCCACCTTCCACACTCGAGCTTCATCAGAATTGTCATCAAAGCACGAGCCCAAACAGTGCACAACAAATCACCTGAAGCTCGGCTTCAAATCCGACAGCAGTTCAAGTGCGCGAATTGCGCAAACACTAACATGCACAATGGACTAGTAATCAACCAGTACGGCAACACTGTCAAGGCTATCACACTAACACCACTTTGCCATTCTCCACTTCAATTAAGTAATATACTAACCGACTTCCTCAACTAGCACATGGTGTACAGTACCCCTGATAGAATCACTGCGTGCGCGGAGTTCCAGCGTATCATCACTCAGCCTCCACAGTTTGGCCTGATCGCGTGGCTAGGTGCGCCAGACGCTCGTGCAGTCCACACGCATGAGATGGAGCACCTTCTTGACGTACTAGCTGATATATTCTTTCCCTCCAAGATCCGCTTCAAAATTGTCTTCCCTCCTGCAAACAATCAAGGTACGCTTGGCGACGGCTTGGTCATTGATAAAGGGTTTGAACAAAGCGTTGACAGTTGTGCGCAGATCCGCATTCAGGCTACTCACCGCTACCCTCCGAACAACAACGTACACATTCCAGCATAACAAGCATCGATTCATAGTGCTGTCAGTGAAGCTGCGCTTGAGTGGTTGGGAACGTTGCTGCACGAGCTGTTTCACGCGTTTGTGGAGCTGTACGCATGCCAACAGTGTACGTGGGATGAGGACGCGGAGAACCTCAACGGACGCGGGAGGGTGTGGCGGCGCGTTGCTACTCAGATTGAGTTGGTGTGTCAGCGGACGTTGAGTTTGAAAGTTGGATTGGAGAGGTTCGATGCGATTCGAGGGGAGTGGGGAGTGATGAAGTATTGGCGTGGCGTGGAGGAAGTCATGGAGTGGAAGTTAGTCGATAAGTAGTGTGTATCGGTGCCTCGCAAAACGTACGAACTCCCCTGGATTCTGGCTCAATATCATCAAGCATATGTCACAGGTGGGCGAGAGCTTCCAAGTGGCTAGCTAAGGCTAGCTAGTAGGATGGGTGACAGTCTAGGTGACAGGACGCAGGGCAGAACGTGGGATATTTTAGGGCACCAAGACAATTAACCACTCACGTATATGCCCTGCATGCTATACTGTGGTTCATACAGCCACTATGTCAAAATTCAGGAGGGTCGGTACATTCGCAAACGATTGTAACGCGTGCATGGGGAAATTCAATGCAGAGACCTGCCATCCATATCGTATGTTGTTCAATGAAGAAGGCGTGGTTTGAAAACGAGTCGATGCTCACTAGAATTATGGATGGCATCGAGTACCAATCACAATATACTCGTCTGTTTGGGAATCCGTAAATCGGCGGAACTCGTGACATCTTTCACCGAGTGGCTAAGCCTCGGAATTGGCACTTCGAGTGAAAGGCGGCCTTGCTCCAATCGCACAGTGACTACAAACTTCGAGAGAAATTTCTGTACGAAATCGTCACGGAGCTGTGTACTAACTATCGTTCAACTGTTCGCCCACTATGGAAAACAATCAGAGTTCCCATACCGAGCCACCTCAGCATCCAGACAGGCCAACAGCGGTCCAGGATTTCAACCGCATAGTGGAACCCACAATACCGTTTCCCCATTCAAACCCTCCCGAGTGTTCGAATTGTTCACGTACTGTGATCACCCAAGAAGCCGTGATCAATAAATACGGAAACCTCGTCGAAACCAGCACGCTAATTTCAAGCAGGAACGATGCCTTCCAGCTCTGTGACGCAGTATAAGCCCAACTTGCGCGGCCCATGCAGTACAGCATACCGCAAGAAACCAGCGCAACTTCTCAGTTTCGAAGCCTGCTTCGCAACCGCTCAGCGGACAGTTTGATGAAGCGTCTCGGCCAGATTGATGCGCGCGCAGTGTTGCACGGCGAGTATGCATATTGAAATTGGTACGTATGCAGGGAACGTTCGTCGAAGAAGCAGAATGTGGATGATCTCAAAGGGCATGGGGCTGCGTGGCAGCGAGTCGCTTGCTGAGCTGAGTTTGCCGCACTGCACGGCCTAGGTCTGCCGTTGAAGTCGGCCAGGATGAGTGCTATTCAATGTCATTGGGATAGTTTGGAGTATTGGCCGACGTGGGGAGAAGTGGAGAGCTGGGAGCTGGTGGACTAGCAGCAGGCCAAAGCTTCACCAGCACCGATTCGTTACGTCTGTGTCAGTATTGGATTGCTGACGATTAGAGTAGTGGTGTCCAGGAGCTCGAAGGATGCATATCTGTTCGCTGTCAGCGGCATCAAAGGTAAGAAAAGTTGGACAACACCGGAGTTCAGCTACAGATCATTCTTATTCACCCAGCTCGGTATTTGTGTGATTAAAAAGGTCTCGTAGCGAGGGCAGTGACTATGCAGTGAAGCCACAGTCTGTAGGCAATACTGTCAGCAGGGCAAATTCAAGGAGAGGTGAAGATTTGCCATGTGCCGTCGCTGCCTCAAGGTGAACATCATAGTAAACTACCTAAGTCGCGTTAGTGAACAATAACGCTTGTCTACGTTGTTAGGTGACTCTATTCATCCACTGTCAATAATGGAACAGCCTTGCAGGCCTGGCTAGTGAACTTTGAGTGTGAACATCTTGCACGCAATAATGAAAATGCAAGCAACGATTGCGAAAAGTGTGGAGAAGTCTATTGGGTATCTTGCACACAAACTGGAAATCTAATCACACCTACAACATTCTCAAGCATTGCCAGACAGCTTGTTGTCCACCTCTTCCTCAGTGACAACCGTCTCATGACTACCCTCAAGCTCAGACAAAACAATCCAAGTAGGTAGAATGCACAGCACCGTGAACCCGAAGTTGATGCCAATGGAAACGAAGTGGTTCGCATTGCCCTCAGTCTGCATAGCCCACGCAACAGTCTGGCCCAGGGCTTCTACACCACGCAGAATACCGGTGTGGTGAGACAAGTTGGAAAGGTCGGTAGCGTACTGGCCAACAAGCCAGTAGAGGAATTGTTGGAACGACTGACCGCCGAATTGCCAGAAGAATACCAGCGCGTAGGACTTTCCGAAGCCGCCCTGGAACCAATCGAAGACGGGTGCGGTTGTAGCGTTGTAGAGTTGGTTCTGGAGAATGGACGCCCAAATCCATGTGCCAAAAAGGATGGTTACGATGGAGATGAAGGCAATCTTGCCGCGGGTTTTGATGTAGATTTTCTGGTTATCGAGGAGGGCGGCGATGATGAAGGAACTGAAGATGCCGGCAAAGTTCGTGAAGAAGGAGCTGAACGCACGCGAGCGGACGGTGAAGTAGGTCGTGAGCCAGGTCGACATGAAGCCGTTGTAGAAATAGCTGATGAAGAAGGCGGGGAGGAGGAGCAAGATCCTACGGCTAATGAAGAGCTTGCCGACAGCCTTGAATTCCTGGCCCCAGCTGGCGGCGCGCTCTGTGACAATCCTGGTGCCATCTTTGCGCCAGACTTTGTGGGCGGGTGAGAGGCAGAGCGCAATGGGGAGGCCGAGACACATGATGGCGATGAAGACGATGTAGGTGGACGTCGAGACAGAGCCGGCGGTCTTGCGGTTCGCATTGAGACCTAGGTTGATAGCACCACCGACGATGGGACCAGCGGCCTTTGCGGACTGCCAGATGGCGAGGTAGAATGCGCGATCGCCGGGAGATGGGTAGCCGATGATGATGGCTGCCTCAGCGGCCCAGAAGAAACCTGCGCTGATACCGCAGAGAGCGCTGCCGAAGAGCATGAACCAGGTGTTCGCGCTGACACTGTTGGTGTAAAGACCAGCGCCGTACAGAGGGTAACCGATAGCACCAAGAGCAAGTCCGTAATTCAGTCCAATGCGGTTGTTGATAGCACCGGCAAGCACGCAGACAACAGCAAAGAGTCCGTACACTAGAGCATTGGCAGCAGAAACTGCGTAAGGCTCAGCAGCGCCACCTGCTCCCAATCCACCGAGCGCATCCCACATGCCCGGTGCCGTGAACGAGACACCGCATGCGACGAGGATCTGGAAGGGAACCGAGCGGAACAATGACTTGTTCTTGTGGATAGGCGCCGCATGTGACGTAATGGAGGACATGATGGCTGGTCCTCAGAGGCTTACTCGGACTGAACAAAAAAGTTGACGAGTGTCAATAGGGCTTGGTAATTTACACTGCAGGACCTACATTGTATTTATCTACTTGGCGCATAATTGCTCATGAAAATATTTTCGATGATGGTTGAGGCAAGCGCATATTGAATAGCTGTGGGGCGAGCACGACATCGGGAGCTAATGACTCGTTCGCATTGGGACCCTGGTTTCCCACGCTCTTGGAACAAAAGTTGTACGTTGACGTTTGCCACGCTACACCTACGCTCGCTTTAGTGTCGTGAAATGGAACGGTAGCATCCTGAGGCTCAAGCCGGACCAGGCCGAGACTAAGCACCGACAGCGGGAGATATTTGAGCTGCATCTGGAGTGTTGGTGTACAGCTGATGAGGAAAGCACGCGCGCGCCGAGTTGAGGCTCCACATCAGAAAGATGGAGCTCCACGATCCACCGAGATGCCCACAGTCTGGCCTCGTGCACGTTGCTCAAGGTCCCACAGAACCGCGTGATTCGTCGCTGTAGCACTGGAGTTTTCATGTGCCGTGCGAAGGAAGCGGCCGGCATGGTCGGGTGTGGTCTCCTGGGACGTGGTACCTGGGTTTATGCATGCGGCGAGTCCAGGGACCGGTGCAGTGAGATGACGTGCGATTGACTGTGGTCTAGTAATGAACACACCTAGCAGCAGGATCGTCAGCAACCTATGAAGCCAATCTCAACGGCGATGCATTGTTTCAAGAAAGGAACAGAGGTGTGAAGCTCGTTTTGGAGGTTGGGACCTGCTGTCACTGTTTATATGTATAAGATGTGGATGACGAAGGCATAGTAGTCAGCAATCGTTATCGGGGAGCTCCCTTATCGACGAATAGCAGCGCGAGGGGTCTTGAAAAGGAGGAGTTCTGGCTTGCTTTGGTATGGTCCGGTCTGGAACATGCGGTACACTTGAGAGCCCCGCGTACGTTTGTTTGAACGTCACTTGTTGCAGTCATACTGTCGCAGTGATACAGACACAAGATGCAGCTGTGTCCCAAGGAGGTGCGTGACTCGCCTGGGCAATTGCTGGGCGCGGCGATGCGCCAGCTGCAAGGAACCTCGCGCTGACCCCCACCACAGCTCGACAAGCTCGTCATCTCCCAGCTGGGCCTGCTCGCCCAGCGCCGCCTGGCAAGAGGAGTGAAGCTGAACCAGAGCGAGGCAACAGTAAGGACTGGTCATTGCTACGTGAAACTCACACCTAATTAACGGTGTCAGGCGCTCATCGCCAACAACCTCCAAGAAGTACCACACCAGCTTGCACGCCCACCCATGACAGCTCGCTGAAGGCGCACAGCTTATCCGCGATGGCAACCACACCGTCGCCGACCTCATGGCCATTGGCAAGACCATGCTGGGTCGCCGCCATGTCCAGCCCTCAGTGGTCGCAGGACTCCATGAGTTGATGGTTGAGGGCACCTTTCCCACCGGCACCTACCTCGTGACCGTCCACCACCCAATATCGACCAATGATGGCGACCTCGAAAAGGCCCTCTATGGCTCTTTCCTGCCAGTTCCCTCCAACGACATGTTTCCTCTCATCGATTCGACAGCGTATGAATACGAGAAGCAACCTGGCGCAATTATAGCTGTGAAAGGCGAGGCGGGCATCATCAAGCTCAATGAAGGGCGCAAGAGGATCAAGCTCAAGGTCAAGAGTACGGGAGACAGGCCAATTCAGGTTGGATCACACTACCACTTCATCGAGACCAATCCTCAGCTCTCTTTCGATCGCGTTCGCGCCCATGGCTACCGCTTGGACATTCCTGCTGGTACGTCTGTACGTTTCGAGCCTGGTGACACAAAGACGGTTACTCTGGTGCAAATTGCTGGAAACCAGGTCATCAAGGGTGGAAATCGGATTGCCTCAGGCCACATCCACGATACAAGCGTTGCAGAAGGCATTGTGGAGAAGCTGACTGCTGGAGGTTTCCTGCACGTACCGGCGCCAGCTGGCGACGGCGCACACATCGACATCTGCACCATGGAGCGCCAGGCCTACATTAGCATGTTCGGTCCCACAACTGGCGACTTGGTGAGACTAGGCGCCACAGATCTGTGGATCAAGGTCGAGAAAGATCTGACCAAGTATGGCGACGAGTGCGCGTTCGGCGGAGGCAAGACGCTCAGAGAAGGCATGGGCCAGGCAGGAGGACGATCTGACGCCGAGGTCCTGGACACAGTCGTGACCAACGCTCTGATCGTTGACTGGTCGGGCATCTACAAAGCTGACATCGGTATCAAGGACGGCATCATTGTTGGCATTGGCAAGGCTGGTAATCCAGATGTTATGGATGGTGTCGACCCGAACATGGTTGTTGGTTCTTGCACAGACGTCATCGCAGCTGAGCACGACATTGTCACGGCAGGAGGCTTCGACACGCACATCCACTTCATCTGTCCACAGCAAGCGCAAGAGGCGATCGCATCCGGTATCACAACGATGCTCGGGGGTGGGACTGGACCAAGCACCGGCACGAATGCAACCACTTGCACGCCAGGCAAGACACACATCAGGCAGATGCTGCAGGCCATTGACGAGCTCCCCTTGAACTATGGCATCACTGGCAAGGGGAACGACGCAGATGTGAAGCCGCTACAAGAGCAAGCTGAAGCCGGTGTCTGCGGTCTGAAGCTTCACGAAGACTGGGGAAGCACACCAGCAGCCATCGACGCATGTTTGACCGTCTGTGACGAGTACGATATCCAGACTCTGATCCATACCGATACCCTCAACGAGTCCGGGTTTGTCGAGTCGACTGTGGGTGCATTCAAGAACAGGGTCATCCACACCTATCACACCGAAGGCGCAGGTGGAGGCCACGCCCCAGACATCATTAGCGTTGTCGAGCATGACAACGTCCTCCCATCATCCACAAATCCTACCCGGCCATACACCCGCAACACGTTAGACGAACACCTGGATATGCTCATGGTATGCCACCACCTATCCAAGAACATCCCCGAAGACGTAGCCTTCGCCGAATCGCGTATTCGCGCCGAAACCATCGCCGCAGAAGACGTCTTGCATGATCTTGGGGCCATCTCAATGATGTCGTCTGACTCACAAGCGATGGGTCGTTGCGGTGAGGTCATTTTGCGCACTTGGAACACGGCGCATAAAAACAAAGTTCAGCGCGGATACCTTAAGGAAGATGAAGGTACCGGCGCAGACAACTTCAGAGTAAAGAGATACATCAGCAAATACACTGTGAACCCGGCTATTGCTCAGGGCATGGGTCACATCATTGGCAGTATCGAGGTTGGCAAACTGGCAGACTTGGTAGTGTGGCGGCCAAGCAACTTTGGCGTCAAGCCAGCGCTGGTCGTAAAGAGTGGGATGTGCTCTTACGCCCAAATGGTACGTCACCACTCCTCTTCTCATTACAAAATTGATACTGATCTTCGCAGGGTGATCCCAACGCCTCCATCCCAACCGTAGAGCCCATCATCATGCGTCCCATGTTTGCCTCCATGGTACCATCATCCAGCATCACATTTGTGTCCAAAGCATCCATTAACTCTGGCGTCATCAAAAGCTACGGTTTACGAAAGCGCGTCGAAGCGGTCAAGAACTGCAGGAACATCGGCAAGCGAGACATGAAGTACAACGACGTGCGGCCGAAGATGAAGGTCGACCCCGAGACATATAGGGTTGAGGCCGATGGCATGCATTGCACTGCGGAGCCAAGTGAGGAGCTTCCGTTGACGCAGGGGTATTTTGTTTACTAGGGGATGTATATATGCAATGGAATATCGTGGCGCTCCTACACACAACACCTCGCCGGAGATTTCTACTACCAATGCCAGCCTCCATAACCTCAGAGCTCTTGCAGCCAGTCAGGGTTCTCTGCTTCAAAACAGCATCACAATCACACGCGTCAACCAGGAAACACGTACCCTGTGAGATCTCCCGCCATGACCCTCACAAATAGGCTTGGCATTGACCCATACCTACACCCTGACATGGTCCGACATGCAGTACTCGACGCGGTTCTTGGATTCGAGGTCGTACCCTCGGGTTTTGAGACATTGCCGCTGTTGTCTGTTTTAATCGTTGGTCAGGGGAGAACTTGATTTGATATTCGTACCATGCATGCAATTTTGGACATTGTTTCGATATTTGAATGCGCAAGAGTATCTACTTGCGTTTTGCTGTGGAAGTGGCTGACGTTACGAGCGCCACAATGCAGAGGATAGCAGAGAACTGCATGTTAAGGTCTGCAATTTGTTTGCTAAAGCTTGTAAGAAGAGAAACATCTTGTGTATATCAGCACGAGATTGACTGTGCCAATCCTTGATACGCGGCAATTACCAGTAAGAAACAGAAGGTGTTCGAGTGCTCGTTGGAGTAGGAGCATGGGTGCCGGGCAGGAGAGTTGGCGTTGACGTTGAGCAAGAACATCAATGCACTACAACACTGCTACGCAACAAATCTTTAGGAAATCAGGAGGACAACAGACTGATTTACAATGCTTACAAGCGCTGGCATAATCTCGAAGTCCAAGATCGTTGACGAAGTAACAGACTATTCCGACCTATTTAGCGTTTGTTCGAAGAAACATTACCTCACCAAGCGAAACACCCTCACTTGCGGAGCCATGCCATACCGAAAGCTACATTCCTCCAGTAGAGCCTTCAGATCCAAATGTTACCTAGGTAGCTTGGAACCAAATCATACAGAAGCTCTAGGTGCTATCTTACTAAGCCCACCTCAACATTTGCTACAGCCATTGCATGACTCATCGATCTGAGGCCCCGCAGTTGACACGGCAATGGAGTGCGTCGATGAGATTCCGGGAGTGACAGCCGAGACGACAAATCTGGCGTCCGAGCACACAGCACTCGCTGTAAGTGATGCCGTAGGAGCATCATTTACATCGTGTTTCAATGGCAGGTGCTTTGATGGCGTGTGCCTCTACGTTGTCGGCTGATGCAGGAAGAACGGCCGTGGTGGCCGTGGTGGCCAGAGCAAGGAATGCGGTGAGCTGCAAAAGAGAACGTAGAACGAGCTGGAAGAGATTGATGTTGGTTCACCTTTGTGAGCTGCATAGTTGCTCGAGTGAGGTTTTGAGGGTTGATGGGCTGAAGTGCGGGCAGGTATCCTGAAGTGCCTTGTCTTCAGGAGATCTGCTAAGGCTTTATTTTATGGACGTCATTACCACTTAGCCTCAGGTCATTCTTACATGAGCGCTCGGCATTGCGGCAGCCATTTCCCATAATTCTATATGTCTTTGACACTGAGACAACATAAGCTTAGTGTGGGGCACGCCGTGAAAGGTGCGTTTATAAGCGCTCGCTGGTGGTAGGGTTCTTAAGCCTCGTGTTAAACATGTTCAAAATATCAACAAGTACAGCCTGAGAAATTCTGCGCCCAAACTTCCAAAAGAGGAGGGCTCTAGTGGAATGGCTCACTTTCAAAATCGGCGCGTGTGATGCTAACGCCTCTGAGGGCCTCCAGGGTCTGTTCTCGATGCTCGACTTCCAAAGTTGTTGGCAGAATTAGTGAGGGTAGGAGAAGATGGATGTTCATGCGCGACCGAAGTCGCCGGGGCTGCACCCGTGGGCGCGCGCCTTCCCCGCATGGACCCATTATGAACATCGTTCGTTCGTTCACTCTAACACCGAGCCTCGTGCATATCACGCCCGCGGTAAGACTTACATGCATGATGTGCCACCCCAGCATGTCTTGTTCTTCGAAGCTTGGCCAGGCTGTACGAAGGAGGGAACGTGCCCTCCTGTCGACAACCGCGTTCACGGAACTCTCACATGCATGTGAACGCGCACCAGACCCCTCTTGACTTGCAACGGAGTCTCACTCGCACACCATCCATGTACCTTCGATTCTGCCCTTGTCCACGAACCAGGACCTGCGGACAGGCCGCAGTTGGCTTGTAAAGCTCGTGTGTTAAGGCTCGACCCACGAATGCCTTGCAGGAACGCAGACGATCTCCTGGAAAACCCGACACTCCCTCATCACGGACTCCAAAGACGATGAGGCCAAGAAATGACCGACCAAGTTTTCACTGTCCCTGGCCTAGGCAAGGCCTTTTTGATGGCCTCGCCGTACCGAGCCAAGGCTTGGGGCAGCCTGCCGCAGTCTTGGCCTGCCCAGCATGGAGGCCTTGTCCGCGACCATGGCGCCCCGCCCCACACATGCTTGTGGCATGATTGGAGATTCGGGCGGAGATGGATCTTATCTGATGACCGAGCTTCTGGGCGCTCCATCTTATCAGATCATCGAGCAATGAGAGGTTGCTGGGCCACACTATCGTTGAGAAATCCAGAAGCCTCGTGGTGGGGAGACGCGCACAATTTTTCCTACACTTACCTTCCTTGTCCGGTTGTCGGCGTGTAGGCAGGGACAAATCTCCCACCGTATGGCGGTTCCGCTGCATGGGTACCGGGGTATATAATACCAGCTAAAGTAGCCCTTCTCGCTTTCCGCCTATCCTCGAGATCCATCGCTTCTACACAAGGCAATTGGTTGGGCTTCGCTACCCTCTTTCACCATGAGTCTCACTGCTGGTGGTCCGCAGCCCACGGCTGGCATTGAACGAATTCCCCCTCAGCTAGATGCAGAGAAGAGCCATCCTATCGTTGGTCACAGCGACGAATCCTTTAATAATGCGAATGCAAATACCAACGAGTACGACATCGATGGCCAAAAGGTCCAGGATTTCCAGAGGGGAGTTGAACGCGTCCGGATCATCACCACCATTTGGAACAAGCCTACACTTATCTCCATGTTTGTTCTGTAGGTTGTATTGGTCAAAACGATTGCGACATCCTCTGACAATCCCAGGCTATACCTGATCCACTTCGTCGATATGCTGCAAAACTATATCGACACCGGCCTCAACCCATACGTCACATCAGCATTCAGTTCGCACGGCTTGCTCACCGTAGGGACCGTCATCTCCACAGCACTTGGTGGCTGCGTTCCACTTACCATGGCGAAAGTCATCGATCTCTGGGGCCGTGTTGAAGGCTTCTGCTTCATGCTCCTGGTGTGTGTCTGTGGTATGATCGTTAAGGCTGTTTGCACGAACGTTCAGTCCTACATCGGTGGTCACGTTCTTTACTGGACTGGTCATATCGGTCTAATATACGTTATCGATGTTATGTGCGCCGATATCACCTCTCTCAAGAACCGTATGATCATCTTCGGCATCAACCAGACGCCGAGGATCGCCGCAACCTTTGCTGGACCCGAACTTACTTCGATCTTCTTGAGTGGTCCTGGCTGGCGTTGGGCGTTTGGAGCCTTCATCATCATTCTCGTCGCTTGCAGCGTTCCAGCTATGGCTCTCATGCTTTACATGTACCGAAAAGCTCGCAAATCTGGCTATGCTGAGAAGCAAAGGTCTGGTCGGAGCACATTCCAATCTGTGAAACACTACGTTATCGAGTTCGATAGTAAGTCCGCGTCGGCTGTGTCTGTTGTCTTCGTACTAATCATGGCCAGTCTTTGGTATCATATTGATCATGGCCGCCTTCTGCCTCTTCATGCTGCCGTTCACCCTCGTGAACTACGCTCCCCAACTGTGGAAGACGCCCTATATCATCGCCATGATCGTCCTCGGCATTTTGCTCTTTCCCACTTTCATTCTCTATGAGAGGTATCTGGCTCCAGTCCCATTCCTCCCGTGGAAGTATCTCAAGGAGCCAACCATCGTCGGCTCTTGTGTTCTTTACGGTGTCATGTTTCTTTCAGTCATGTGCTGGAACGGAATGTACAACTCGTACCTGCAGGTTGTACACAGGCAGAGTATCGTACATGCCGGATACATCCTCAACTCCTTCTCTCTCACTTCTTCCGTCTTCGGTCCTCTTATCGGAATGCTCATCAGCTACACGGGTAACTTCAAGTGGGTCGCAATGAGTGGTGTACCTATCACTCTCCTCGGAACCGCTTTGTTAATTCCTTACCGCCAGCCTGATTCTCCTGTCGGTGTCTTAGCTTTTACCCAAGTTCTCGTTGGTCTCGGTACTGGTATTTTCGCCACCTGCGGTCAACTTGCCGTCATGGCACCCGTCACTCATCAGCAGATTGCTGTCGTCAACGCGCTCTGGGGACTTTTTGGTGGCTTCGGCTCCTCTATCGGCTACTCCATCGCTGGTGCCATGTGGAACAGCATCACCCCCGGCAAATTGTATGAGCTTCTTCCCGAAGGGTCCAAGGACCAGGCAGCTGTCATTTTCGGCGACATCCAAGTGCAGATGTCTTTCGCTGACGGCACCCCTGAGCGTGCCGCCGTTGTTGGCGCTTACGCTCACTCTCAGCGCTTGATGGTCATTGCTGGTGTCTGTTTCATTCCTCTTTGCGTTGCGTCCATCTTCATCTGGAAGAACATCAACGTCAAGAAGCTTGAGAAGGAGCAGGGCAAGCAGACCAAAGGTCTGGTCTTCTAGATGATGTCACGACTTTACTATCAGATAAAACGGGGGTTTGAGTTGCAGGACGCTTGTAGGTGGTATTGAGACGTGCATATGTACAATAATGCATGTCTGTACGATAGGAGAAACATGATGCTTAAAACTTTCCAGTGACAAATACATTCGTTGTCCTCGCTTGAGCTCTTCTTAAGTGCTATGAGGTTCCACAAACTGTCTACCTTGATCAATGAAAAGACGTGTGGCAGTGGCGCTCGACTAGCGTATCACCAACTCAGCATTCCTCCTGTGTACAGGTCTGCGCACGTATGCATCGTTATAAGATATATAGATTGAATGATTGATTGGTTTAACATCCTTTCTAAGTCTAAGACTATGGAAGACAAGAGCGGCAGTATCCCCTCTGATAATGCAAAGATTTAGTTACAAGAGAGTGAGGTCAATAGAGGTACAAGGGATAGTGAGGGCTCAGGCCCAGAGCGAAGTTGCTGGAATCAGAGCAAGTGCAAAACAAGAGCTCATCCACTTCACCACTGGTCACAAGGCTGCTGATGCAGTGCTCACCCTCCCAGACCAGACTGCAGTGTCTCCCAAGAAGGTTGTCAGATGGCTGGGCATCTACTTTGATTTTTTTTTGGTTTAACGTCCTATCTGAGTCTAAGACTGTGGAAGACAAGAGGAGCAGTAGCTCCTCTGGTAATGCAAAGATTTAGTTATATGGTGAGGTCTCAGGCCCAGAGCAAAGATGATGAAAACAAAAGAAGTACAAAACAAACAAGCAAAGGAAAGAGAAGCTGTTGTAGCATGCCTATGCCAGGTCTTCTGATGACTGCCCAAGATGCCACCTCCTTGTGCCAACCTTGGTCCTGCTGATGAAGTCCAAGGTGGCCGCCCAGGTGCAGTCCTGCTGTCTGTTCTGCCCCTCAATTGCAGAATTTTCCGGTCAGATCCTCTGCAAACAGCCTACAACACCACCATTTGGCCCTCCCAGGCCTCCCTCAGGCCCTGCACCATTGAAATTTCATCAGCACCCATCTCAATACACCTCAAGCCATCATCTCCTCCAATTTCAGACCCTCCAGGCCATTATTGAGCTGTGCATCCCAGGTGCAGACCTCTGTTTCCTGACTGGAAATTTTGAAGTTCCTGGCTGGACACTGGAAACAGGCAATTTACAGGGGTCTCTGGCTGAATTTTCCAGTCCACTCTTCCCAAAGGACAGCAAAGCAAGACAACACAAGCATTCTGGCCTCTCTCAGGCCCTATATCATTGAAATTCCATCAGCATCCATCTCAACACACCTCAGGCTATCACCTCCTCCAATTTTGGACCCTCCAGGCCATTATTGAGCTGTGCATCCCAACTGCAAGCCTCCTGCTCCTGACCGGAAATTTTGAAGTTCTTGTGGCTGGACCCTG